TTTTTTGACAGCTCGTCAGAATTTACGAAAATCATTTTACATTAAAAAAAAAAAGTGGGAAGAACACCATGAGGTTCAAAATTAAGGAAGACAGAAAAAGAGCACGCGCGCGCAATAGTGAATATGAAGAAAGAAACAAAGAAAATGTCAAAGAGGAGCTCTTTTGCCCCCCATAGATATTGGCATGATTTGCTTTTTAACGAACAAATGAAAAAAAGATCCCCCAAACGTGCTGATGACTAGCTAGCCTGGTTCTGAAAGTCCTTTGGGACGGAGGCGACTCCCAGGGTCAGCAGGAGACATGTAAAAACAGAAAGAAAAAAAAATGCACTATGTACGAGCAGAAAAGAAAGAAAAATGAAGAAGAAACACTAGGTCATGCATACCATGGTGGTTCAAAGTGGGGGTGCTTTTTTAGTTGCGTTGAATTGTGTTGTTTTGCATGCGTGTGTGTTATTTACAAGACCCAATCAAACTGATTTCCTCCCGACGGTTTGCTGTCATTATCATCGTCTGACATTTTGCGTACAGAAGGGCGTGGCGACCGGTCCATAGGAGATCCCGAACCAGATGATTCACTGGATCTCTTGACCGACATCTTTCCAAACACCGATGCAAAGTGAGATGCGGTTGGACTTGCAGGAGAGGGTTTTCTGCGGTCCCATGCCGATGGATGCGGTGAAGTGGTGGAATCATTATGGTGATGATGGTATGTGTCTTGTTGCCAAGCTGGATTGGAACCGGTTGGTGTAGGTAACAAGTGAGATGATGAAGAAGGTGTAGTGGATACCGATGACTTGCTGTCGTAATATGGAGTTCCAGGTTGGTGGTATATAGAATGAGGTTGTTGATGAGGGCTACCCGTAGAAGCGCTGCCTGGAGGATAGATGTAGCCAAGGGATGGACCACCACCAGATGAAGATGCTGTCGTACTTGAATTATCAACATACATGCTGTAACTGTTTCCTCCTGTATTAGAGTTGTCATGGCCTTCGGATGACCCCCCTGCTGTGGTTGATGATGATGGTTGTTGGTATTGCATTGAGTAAGGTGAATACATTTGTTGAAGGTGGCTGCCTGAAGCACGCGTGTATCTTGCAGCTAGTCGCGGTTGAGGGTAACTAGGTACATAGGGATAATAGGGATAGTTGTAGCCTGCATTAGCTGCTGCTGCAGCCGCCGCTTCTGCTGCAGCTTGTTGAGCCGCTGCTTGTTGGACAGCCACCGCGGTGTTGGGATCATTAGGTGATCTAGACATAGCATCGTTTGAGGATGCTTGCTGCTTGCTTGGATCGTAAGGCCAGTCTTGTTGTGTAGGTCGAAAAGGTGATGGCGCTGGATCGCTGACTGACCGGTTGCCGCGACCGCGCGTACTAGCAAACTGATTACCCCTTGACAGGTCATTGTCTGCTGCACGATAATCTACCGTCCAATAACTTCCTTTACCGGGTTCATTGATAGGTCGTGGAACCTTGACGAAGGATTTGTTTAGCGATAGATTATGACGAATGGAATTCTATAAGGACAATTCTAGTTAGCCATTTCGTTCGTCGCATGAAGAAAAGAAAAAATAAAAAGGCAATATTGTGACGATAGTGCAAGGTCAAGTTGGCTGATTGCAATGTGGCAAAAACATGCAGATCGTATCTTTTTTTTTTTTGACAGCTCAACTCATTTGCGTGTGGTTTTGCGAGTGTTCTAAATCCACGCTGTGCTCCCCTTCACCAAAAGAAAAAAAAAAAATGGAGCGCCTCCTCTCCCTGGGTTCCCCTTACCTTCCAACCGTTTCCGGCCGTGTTATAAAAGGGATAGTGCTCAGTCACCCAAGCGTAGATTTCACTTAATGTCAGCTTCTTGTTGGGGCTGTTCTCGATGGCATATCGAATCAGCATAGCATAGGAATACGGTGGTTTGCCTTCAGTGTTCTTTTCTACATGCATGTCTCCTTGTTTCATAACTGTGCTGTTCTTACGGGATGCTGAAGTCCGTTCAGTGGAAGCAGTGGGTGAAGGACTTGGTTGAGGATTGGTATTGGCATACGGATGCTCTCGAATACCAGATAAGTCACTGGAACGGCGATTATGTTGAAAACTACGCCGACTGTTAGCAGCAGATTGTGAGGTTCGTGCATGTGAAAGTGAGATAGACCCTTTCACAGCAGAATCATGCAACACAGGTAACTCCGTGTTAGGTGAAGGCAGCGCTCCTTGTAGATTAGTGGGTGGTGGCAAGGATTGATAATAAGGTGAACTGGATGGGTTTGAATATCGAGACATAGGTGAAGGTTGCTGTTGCTGCGATGCAGAGTTGCGTTGTTGTTGCTGCTGTTGTTGAGATATCGCCATGTTAGACCTATCCCACCAATTTAGACCATTTTGTAGCTCAGTCATAAGAAGGTGAAGGTATATACAAAGACCCTGGTATTTGATAAAGCAAAAAGACAGTCAATAGAGCCCTATAGGTGGCAGTGATAGTGAAGAAAAGCAAAGGGAAAAGCAAAAGAAGAAAGAAGGATAGTCAAAAAGAAATCCCAAAGGGAAAAAAAATAAAAAGAAGGACGAAAAATAAACCTGTTATAAAATATAATGGTTGGGGGTGTTCTTTTTTTTTAAAGTGAGGTGGTGGCAAGCACAAAAAAAAAAGGATGTAGAGTGTGCAAAAGCAGACAGTCTTACCCAAGCTTGTTCGTCGGTAATGCTCCCGCAAATCTGTACTACGCTATCGGATAGCCTCCGCTTTCATTCCAGCAAGGTATTCAAACTTCTGTTCTAGCCTGATAACTAGCACTCCCTCTTCATATAGCTTAACTTATTCATTTGATGTGATCTAACTCACACTATAGCAGAGATCTATACCTCATCAGGGACACGGATTGGGGGAGGAGAGGGACCTGGCCATGTTGGTTTCCAAGATCGACATTGGCTGATTGGGGGGAGAGGAGGTGGTGGAGTTGAAAGCGATGTTGATGATGCCAAAGCGAGAGAGCGAAAAACCGTACATGTATGGCAAGAATGCTTATACGTAATAATAATACGGCTTGCACCAGTTCGGTGAAGAGCGAAAGTATACCTTTTCAGCTATGAGCCATTACCCCACCCCGTTTCAAGCCGACGCAGAATGAACTGAGCTTGTTACTGGGTTATCGATGACCCGTAAGACAAACTGCGTTTTTGACGCTCTGTACCAAGCTATTGTTAGCTCATATTGTATGGTCAGTGAAGGCCCTCCGGTGTCCATCGCCATAGAAGACGAAAACAGAAATGTCCCCCAAGGTAAGTGACATTCACCCTTCGTGGGCGTAAACTTTTTTATTTTTTTTTATTTTTGAAAGCGTGGACCGGGGTTGGGATATTGCCACCTTTTGATCTTTTTAGCTGTGGACGTCTCGCTTTCTCTCTTCCAACCTTTATGCCTCGTAGACTTCTCACCTATCATGTATCACACAAAATAAGGAACTTGGGACCGGGTGCTGCGCATTTCCTGTGGCCAGCTAGAGTTCCCGGGTCCTTAAAACAAAAGTCACACTTGTCCATCTTCTTTGCTATTCTGTCCCCACCCCCCCCCAAAAGCGCACAATTTTTTTTGAAGCTCCAATGCCTTTGTTTATGTTCATGACGAAGTCATGAGGTGTGAGATTTTGTGTATCAGAAATCTTTTTGACGGGCAAAAGCTTACTCTTAAGCTAAGCCGTTTACTTCAGCAAAATGGGCTAAACTGTCGGCTTTTTCCTTTTGTTATGCATCACCAATGCTTGATCATATGGATGCACATAATGTTCATTAGTATCACTAACCTGATGAAATGGGGAATGTCTCATTTTCACCTGTTTCCTTTGGTACAAGCAAATGGTCAAATTAATAAAGTAAGCACCCGCACGTCCTCTGAATGGGCCATCCTGTCGGAGGCCAATTGAGGACGGAATGGCGTTATCTTGTTGATGTTTACTTGAGCTGGTTGTCTGTTTTCGGTTGCCTGTGTCGGGGAACTTGCTTTTCAGCAAAGGCAAGAATTACTCCTGTGCATGAGCTAACGTTTTATCTTGTAATGCCTTTTTCCTTTACGGTGAGTTGGTGACCAGTCACTTCATTAAGAAAAATAGGTCATGACGTGCGGTACCAACATTTGAGCATTGTCCAGTTGGCTTGAGCGCCTAAGGCAGAACGCTGAAGTGGTTTTTTATATTTGAAAATTACATGTGAAATTGCACAACGCACTGTAAGGAGAACCCCCATCATTACAATTGATCCAATATAAAATGTTGCGGTTTACAATAGCCTTTGCTTTTGACCTAGCCGATGCTAAAGACCATATTTGAGGAGTAAATTGGCTTTTGTGCAACAGGCCATGCTCAAGAGTGAGTGGAAAGTATGCAGGTCCGATCCTTGGTGTGACTTATCCGAAAGATCATTATCGGAAGGTGCAGCTTATGGGAGGGTTTACATGGTCTTTCGGCCATTGCTTGCGTACTTTCAGAATTGTATATCAAGTCCGTCCTCCACGGTCAGCTGACAAAACAAGGTCCCCATCCCACTCACACAACCACTGGTCCCGGCAAAAATTTATTTCGCGGTCAGATGCTATGCACTTAGTTTAGGTGAAGTGATCTACCGACTAACCATCGCCTCCCATACTGATGGAAAGCTGTTCAATACATGCCTTTGATGGCATTCGTATCTCTTTGCCACACTGTACTTAATTATATAGATCGATGATATCATGGTGAGATATGCCGTTAAATTTGTATCGATCTTGTCCAGCTCACGAAAGATGATAAAGTGAATACCTATGAAAGCCGTTATGAGGATTCGCAAAGCAATTGCAAAGGTACAATCTACTTACTTGTGACAAGATTTACTCGTCAGCTGTGGAAAGCTCAACTGTACGTTCTGTCTTTCCAGATCTCTCCATAACACTCCCGTTGGAGCTGCTTTTGCCGCGTAGTTCTACCAGACAGTTGTTTTGATACATACTAACAAAAGCGAGCTTGCTAGTGGTTGTTTCCAATTAATCTGCTTGTCAAATATGTGTTGACCATGGATATATTGAATTTGAGGTCCTGAGAGCACTTATATCCGTACATTTTTTTGAAAATATGCAATTACATATGTTGTGGCCACAAAAAAAATTACCTCACCTTCCCGTAATTTCTGAATTCTCTATTTCGATAATGGTGAAGCTATTTAATCCTCGCTTTTGCGTATTACTTGGTTCCACCGTCGAAAAGGATGTTGACGCAGTCTATGAGAACAGCCTGTTTGCGTTTGTTCCAGAACTGTTTTGACTGCCCTTGCTGAAAGGTATAAAGGAAGACAGTATGCTCAGGATATCGAGATGATACCGAACATAAACAATGTCTGCGAAAAGTATAAGTAAACAGTACAGCCAACCACCCAATGAAACATTGAAAATAGAGGACCCAATACTCATTAAAAATTATTGTCATTTTTTGGTAGAAAAGAAATAGAGGGAAGCTAGACAAGCTTTCACATAACTACGGGAAGAGTACATAACATTATTAAAGCCTTCGCTATGCTTAAACTAATTATCCACATCCACGCTAAATCAAAAAATTCATGAGCGAAAGAAAAGAGTTGAAAAAAGTCACATTAAAAGAATGAGGACACAGAGAAAAAGAGGTTGGAAAGTGGGACCCTCTAGTACCAGAAACCGTAAGCAAAGCCGCCGCCACCAATAGCCAAGGCAAGGCCGAAGAAGATGAGGGAGTAAGCCAGACGAGCGTACTTGTGGGCTACAACAGATTCACAAACGGAGAAGACAACGGCGAAACCGAAGAAGCTGGAAAAATAGTAAAAGAATTCATTAAATTTTAGTGACAATGTCTTTGACATCAGATTTACGGTCATGAATAACTTACATCCAGCCCATAATAGCAGCACCTCTGGTAAGACCCTTGGCAAAAGAGTTTAGGGTCATAACAACCAACAGCATAAGCATCAAGTCGCGAAGCATATGATGACTGCGTTCCATACGAAGCTGAGAAAAGAATAGCAATAGATTTGTGTTAGCGTTACCGCAATCGGCATATACGCAAACTTTTACGACACTTACGAAAATGTTATGGAGCATGGCATTAACACCACCACCTAGTCGTGTAGGGTCATCATTATAAGCAGTTGTACCAGTGGTTCCAGTGGTGCCAGTAGTGTTGTAGGCATTGTTTCCGGTAGTGCCAGTAGTACCAACTCCAGTACCAGTGCCTCCAACACCAGTGCTTCCAACGCCAGTGGCACCAACACCAGTACCAGTAGTGTTATAAGCACCAGTACCAGTGTTGTTGTAAGCCGTGTTATCGGCAGTGGTCATCCCCGGCCCTCCCGTGTTCCCAAGTTCAGGATCAACTCCTCCTCGCTTGGCACTATAAGGACCAGAGGTAAAACCAACATCGTCGGCTTGACCAAACATGTGGCGCAAGAACCAAGTTAAACCCCAAAGAGCGAAGAGGGCAAAGACCGAAGCCCATGCAGTGCGTGTCCAGGAATTAGCCAAGAAGGCATCCGTGGAATAACGATCGTAGCCCGTGTAGGAAGAAGACATGGAATAATAACTAGGTAGGTAAGTTGTTGTGAAGTTTCGAAATAGTAGCCAAACGGCCTGCCACCGACGAGGTCTTTTATATGCTTTAAGCGCTTGAATGATCAGGTATGAGCAGCAACTGAAACTCTAGCCAATCACTAGCCATCTCTGGTGTTGATGAACAAAAGATTATGCAAAACATATTTTTTCAGAAAATGCTCCTATGCTGATTTTCCCTTGCTACGGTGTGGCGGACTGATTACTACATGACCCTTGATTAGTCAATTCTGTTCAAATTGAATACACAGGTTGAAAAGTTTCCATTAACGTCATTCATCTGTCAGAAAGAGTCCATGGAGTCCAGGCAGCTGCGCCCTAAAATTCTTTGGTGTTGACATCAATTCAACGAGGTGTTTGTTTGCAGCACTTGCTTAAGGTGGATGAGCGAAGGATTGTTTCACGATGGCTATTAACGGAATAAAAAAAATAATCGAACGGTCGCTCGGATTTCACAGATAAAACATTACAACGTCATGCCCTTCAGCTTACAAGACTCTGTCACTTGTGGATATGAGACTACGCCAAAATTAATGGTGGTGCAGAGATCGACTTTGTGGTCGGCAAAACTTTACATGGCATCCCAGGTCAAGCACCCGATTATTTCGGGCTGGATAAACCAAACTCCAACCGAGTAAATAATTAGTTATTCTTAATGAATAATACATAGGATTCACTGCAATTCATGTACAGCCTCGAGCTGCCTCCATTAATAATTCTAGATATGTTGGCTCGGCTGAAAGATGTGATTATGACTTCATAGAGTGGCAACGGCATTTGTCATTGTTGATATGCACTGAGAATTTACTGGACGGGGTCCAATCCACCGCTATCGCTCTGTCCATTCAATGACGATGCTTATCTTCCTCATTCTTCCATCAGCCGCTGCTCATTAGTCGCATCACTATCACTCGTGGGTCGCCGACATGATGTCAGAATGCGTGTGATAAATTTGAGACAACCGAGTAACAGGAGAGTTATATGACACGGACTGTGCAGCACTTGTTTCAAGCTGGCGATCATTAGGGCAACGAACAGTATATATGGAGTGGCTCATAGCACATTCATAATTGATTAGGCAACAGATTATTTATTTTCAACATGCGCATGGCAGAGAGCGTACTAAACCGAATTGATATGTAGCGATGACTCCTCTGCTATGTCAAATTATCCAAAATGCAACAAACCGTCATTATGTCCAGTGAACTGACACATATTGATGTTGCAAAAGGATAATTTTGACATTTCGCTGTTTTGCGCTGCGGAGGTTAATCGTCAACTTTTTTGAATCAGCCTACTGTCTCAGGCCATGAAAAATAAATCGCCAGCAACGAAGTGGTTGCAGTGGAAACAAATATGGTCAATTTGTGTTTCGGTATCAAAAACAGCGGGCATGCATTAATTTTTTTTTGTGGGCAGAGCAGCCTGAGCAATTTAGATGGATAGAAAAAAAAAAGGTTGGAAATTTGCGAGGCCTTCACCCTCGGCTCAAGGCGCGAATCATGCAGAGCAGTACTAAAGATCAAATCTTCACTTCGACATTAACACGGCAAATGATTCAGTTGGAAAACAGTAGCATTTTATTGCAATAATAAGATAATATGAAGTAGCTGGTGTAAAAAAAAATAATCACATAAACTTAAGCGGTAGTTTTACGAGAAAGAAAATGTAGGCTTGAGCATCGCTGGACACTTTTGCTGGCTGTCAAAGCAGGCAGGACAAAATTTTGCTCACTGCAATAAAGATCACGTGTACGGTGGCTAACCTACAATATCTGCTGAAGCAAGAGGCTGGATCTACACACAGAAACGGATACATACATCAAAGTAGATGTTTTCAATGGATAGAAAACTGATTCGGCGTATCAAGTTACGTAGTTAATGTGGATTCTAGCTTTTACGACTTACATTATTTTGGTGCGGGCGGCTTGGGTTGGCCCAATTCGGAGTTTAAACCGAATCCGACGAGGCATACAACTATCGTTTTGATGAGATGGTTGCACTTCCTCTTTTCCTACACGCAACGCAGAATGAAGTTTTCCGCCGGTATGAAATGACAAGTTTATTTACATTGATGGATGTTCTGTACGGCAGATGGATGGATGGATGCGACATCGACTTCACAATATATTCCTTGTAGTTGGTAACTGATCTACAGCATTCGAGCATTGCGACATTACATGTGAAAAAAAAAAGATCCAGTGTTAGAAAATGGCAAACACAACGATTATGAACACAACCTACACTGTAACGGTTTCACTGAGCACTTGATACGACAGAACATGCCTTCATCCATCGCCGCTGCCAAACACTTCTACTCCAATTTTGCTGAAGCTAATTCGCTCTCGCTTTTTTCCACCACTATTCAGACGTTAGCTCTTCCCGCAGCAAGAGTCGCAGGGCTCATTTCCAAGCTCCCTCTAGCATCCGCCGCAAGATTATGAGCGCTGCTTTGTCCAAGGAACTCCGTGAGGAGCACAAGGTAAATATTTTTATGATTCGGCAATGTCTTTAATGAACGGCCCCAGTGCGGTCCAAATTAGTCACCCCGAAATACATAAGGCTTTCGTTGTCACACTTGCTAACGTTGTGCGTCTGTTCTCTCAGGCCCGCTCTATCCCTGTTACCAAGGATGATGAGGTCATGGTCGTCCGTGGCAGCTTCAAGGGCCGTGAAGGCAAGGTTGTTCAGGTCTACCGTAAGAAGTGGGTCATCCACATCGACCGTGTCACCCGTGAGAAGGTTAACGGTGCCTCCGTCCCTATCGGCATCCACCCCTCCAACGTTGTTGTCACCAAGCTCAAGCTCGACAAGGACCGCAAGGCTATCTTGGCCCGCAAGAGCCGCAAGGAGGCCATGAAGGAGGTGAGTTTCGGTTTAGGTTTGATAGTTTCCAAGTTTCAACAAGTTTACTCATCATCTGATTACTTTATATCTGACAATAATAGTAAACTCATATGCCATCACACCCCCCACAATAAAAAACATGTTTTAAAAGTTTAACCAAAAATTATTCAAAACGTTGCCTTTTATTTTGCAGTAAGAGTACATTAATTGAGAGCGGGTTTTCGAAAAAACGTTCTTAATGACATGTGCAGGCATGCGAATTATCTCTGCCACGGATAACAATGGCCCGCAGCTGAGAAAAATCATAACATTTGTGCTTTGCATGTGAATACTTGACACACCAGCAGGTGGTACTTTATGCCACCATCATGGTTAAACCGTTGCAAAAGGTGGAAAAGGAAACAAGACTACACCAGTCGTGCTTAAAGCCCCATTATTAAATATGTGTAGTCTCGTTAAAGCTCATCCTCCAACCTAGAGCCAACCAGATGCTCGCCTTGAAGGCAGGCAAGGCTAATGTGGTTTACGTAAAACGGTTTCGTGACTGAAAACTTCAAATTTTCATTTTCCGAAAAGCTTGGTAACTACAATTTCACATTTATTCTGCCCCACTTTCCCCGGTCCATATTCTTCTTATTCTCCTTTCACTTTTACAATGGTCAACGGCGTCATTGACTTTAATCACCAATCTGTCGAGGTTCCTAACTCCAGAAAGCCTGGTCAAACTGGTCAGTGCATAGCCTTTTTACTGTATTGCCTTGTTCAGTATATTAACCGTTTCTACAGGTGTCTACAGAAACGCTCAAACTTCAAAAGACTTGCTCACTAACATCAATCCCAAGGTCACCACCATCTATGAAGCTTTCCGACAGGGTATGTTTAGGGGCGGCTCAACCAACTGTTGTTACAATAGCTAGCCACATTGAAGCGTCTTTACTCATTTCTTCCATGACCTTTGCCTACCTACACAGGTTTGAAGATCTCTCGTGACCGTCCCCTCTTGGGTATGCGTCCTATTGTTGACGCAAAGACCGGAAAACGCGGTCCATATGCCTGGCAGAGCTATCGCCAAGTGTCCTACCGTATCACCAACTTTGGTTCTGGATTGTTCAATTTGATTGACTCAGTGGTTGGCGAGGACTATGGTAAAGGAAGTATGCCAATTGGTATTTGGGCCAACAACCGCCCTGAATGGTTTATTGCGGATATGGCCACAGCTGCGTATGGCCACTTTTCCGTTGCTTTATACGATACACTGGGTCCCGATACCGTGGAATATGTCACCAACCACGCCGAAATTAAGGCCCTTGTCACATCAGCTGACCACATTGCTGACCTTTTGAAGCTTAAGCATAAACTTCCTACTCTCCAGGTTATCATCTCCATGGATAAATTGGACGATGAGACCCCAGTAGCCGGCGTTCCTAACAAGAGCGCCATCATCAAGGCTTGGGCTGAGGAGAAGGGCATTGTATTGGTGGATATGCAGACTCTGGAAGCTGAAGGACGTAAGGCCAAGCGAGCTCATCGTCCCCCTAAGCCGGATGATTTGGCTTGCTTGATGTACACCAGTGGCACCACTGGCGTTCCCAAGGCATGTGATAATTATTTAATGTCTGCCTGCCTGTTTGAATCACCGCTAATATGGATGACAATTTATTAGGGAGCTATGCTCAGTCACCGCAACTTCGTCTCCGCCTTGTCTGGTTCGCTGTACAACTTGGATGCAAACCAAGATGATATTAACATTTCCTACTTGCCATTGGCTCATATCTTTGGTCGTATAACGGATCTCAGTCTGGTACAAGCTGGTGGTCGTATTGGTTACTATTCTGGGGATGTCTTGCAATTGTTGGATGATATGCAAGCTTTGAAACCCACGTTCATGGCGAGTGTTCCTCGTCTTTTGAACCGTATCTATGCTCGTATTGCTTCTCAGACCATTGAAGCCCCTGGTATTACTGGTGTGATTGCCCGTAAAGCCGTTGCTGCCAAATTGGAGAATCTCCACAATGGTGGTTCCTACACCCATCCTTTCTGGGATCGTATCATCTTTAACAAAGTCAAGCAAGCATTGGGTGGTCATGTTCGTGCTATGATCACTGGTTCCGCTCCTATTGGAAAGGATGTCATGCAATTCCTTCGAATTGCCCTGTGCGTTGACCTTCGTGAAGGATATGGTGCTACCGAATCTTGCGCTGCTTGCACTTGTCACAACCCTGGTGAATACCGAGCTGGTCACATCGGTGTTCCTTTCCCTCACAACGAAATCAAGTTGATAGATGTCCCTGAAATGGATTATCTCTCTACTGACCCATATCCCCGTGGTGAAATTTGCGCTCGTGGTCCCAACATTTTCCTTGGCTACTACAAGGATGAGGAGAAGACTCGCGAAACCATTGATTCTGAGGGTTGGTTGTTGACTGGTGACATTGGTATGATTGATGAACGTGGATGCGTTATCATTATTGACCGCAAGAAGAATATCTTCAAGCTTGCTCAAGGTGAATACATTGCTCCTGAGAAGATTGAGAATGTCTATGCCAAGAACACTTTGTTGGCTCAGATCTACCTCCACGGTGACTCTCTTCAAAGCTCTTTGGTCGCCATCATCGTTCCTGACCCCGAAGCTCTGAATGTTTTGGCCGCCAAAATTCCTAGCGTTGCTGGCAAGAAGCTCTCATACCAAGAGCTTTGCAAGCACCCCGAAGTGAATGCTGCCATCTTGGCGGATATGGATAAGACCGGTCGCAAGGCTGGTCTTCGTGGCTTCGAATACGCTCGCAAGATTTATCTCGAGTCCGAGCCTTTCTCTATCGAAAATGAATTATTGACCCCTACCATGAAGGTCAAGCGTCCTCAAGCTGCCAAGTACTACCAAGATCAAATCAAGGCCATGTACGATGAACTTGACAAGCAGACCGTCACAGCCAAGTTGTAATCGCATACCCAGCGCAACCCATCCATTCACCCACCCACCCCCCAAAAAAAGAGAGCATTCGACACCCTCTATGTTATAAAGCATTTCACTCTAAGCAAACCCACCCAAAACTTACATTAAAAAAAAAAAATGATGACAGCTCAATCCATTACTTAACTTTGTTAAAACCCAGTACCTCTATTGCTCCTCCCTTATTCCCTGGACACTCATTCAATATTAAATAGTAGATTAAATGAAATAGGCGAGTGCCTGGTTCACCCTGTTTTTAATATATTTTTTAGTTTATAAAAAAAAAAAAAAAAGAGGCAGTTAATCAGAAATAAAACGGAATCATAGAAGTAAACGTTGCTTTTGATACCAAACATGAGGATTGCAGAAAATAAAAGAAAATCGAGAAAGAATAACCAACGCTACCACAATGTGAGCAGCTGGTACGCATTCACTCCCTACTCAAAGCCTTCCCACCATTACCTGGGGGGCGCGCGCTTTCTCTCTCTATGGTACACGCAGATCCTACTTAGCGAGGTGGGTAAGGTGGGTAACCAGGCATTGGACGCGCCGCTGATGAAGGATAGGGGCTGTTATGGGCTGCAAAAGGCTGGCCGTTATCATCAAAAGACGGTTGGTAGTTGGAATAATGCTGAGGTTCCGGAATGGTCATGGAAGGACCTCCTCCAGGAGAAGGATAAGGTGGTCGCTGACCTTGCGGTGGTGGCGGCATTGACTGAAATCCTCCGGAAAATCCACCTATTTGTCAAAGCCATCAGTCCTACTGTTCCCTACCCTTTATTAATTATTTTCATATCACTTACCAGACGGATACTGTTGAGAGTGAGGGCTTGGGGGCGGTGGTCGGTGTTGCGGATTGTAAGCCGAAGTCAATAAGGATGTCGACTGGTTTTGCGGAGGAGTCGGGGGATAGGCACCTGGAGGTTGCTGAGATAGTGGGTAAGGGGGTCGATTATAGCCATCCGGAGGAGAGTGAGCTGGCGGGGGACGTGAACCACCACCACCGGGATGCTGATTGGGATATGCTTGGGGTGGACCAGGCGGCTGGTTAGGATACGCTTGGGGTGGACCACCCGGTTGACTTGGATAGGATTGCGGTGGACCAGATGGCTGATTCGGATATGCTTGTGGTGGGCCAGGCCGCTGATTAGGATAGGATTGCGGTGGACCAGCCTGTTGACTGGGATATGATTGCGGTGGACCAGCGGGTTGACTAGGATATGTTTGAGGAGGACGGCTATATGCTCCAGGTGGCGATTGCCTTGCATTAGCAGGACGATTGTGTGGATATAACGGAGTCGAGTTAGATGAAGCCTGTGGCCCGTTCAAGGGTGGTGGAACATGCGGCCGTGCCATTTGGTTAGCTTGTTGAAACTGTTCAGGAGGAGGTGGTGGACGGTATGGAGCAGGGCCAACGCCAGGTACATTCTGACCTGGTGGAGGAGGACCAGGACGTTGTTGCGGATGTACAGGTGCTCCATGTGGACGTTGCTGCGGTGGCATACGCACTGGTTGGTTGGTTGGTCTTGGTGGTGCTGACTGAATTAGGTATATTTTTTAAAAATAACCAAAAAAAAAAATTAATCCTGTGGTCACCAAATGCCATATTTCCGTCATCGACTTACAGCAGAGTAAAACGTCAGCTCAAGATAGATTTGTCCAGCTGAACGTCCCTTGTATTGAAGATCAAACCATTCTACAAGAAATACGGCTCAGTAAAGGCACTTGGGCGGTTCGCGTTAATCCATATTTCTTACCATCTTGTTCGCCTTCCTTAAGAACGTGGGTCAAGTCAACCTCGCCCTCAGAAATCAAGTCCTCTTTTCGCTTATCTTCATCAAAAAGCTGAACAATCATTTTTGTCTTCCCTTCCGGAACAATCAGGTTCACCTACGGATTGCACAATATTAACCATCATGCCAAGACCCGTCGATACACTCTATATGTTCCATTCAATAACCAACCTGATCGTCCCATAGAGGGTGCTGGCCACCACGATGGTCAGTTTTGGTCTTCTTGGCTTGGTCACCTAACCGAAACACGCAAAACGGATCTTGCTTGCCGACAATCTGTAGAAAGAAGCGAGATCAGTCTATGTCTTCTGTGTGGCGGAGATCTAGTTATCAGATGGTACCTCTCTGTCAGGGAGATTGCGCTAGAGAGAGATAAACACAGGTTCAGTTATTTAAATGCGAGGCAGGTTCGTTGATTGACTTTGAGACTTACGGCTTTGAGGGCGACTACAGCCAATTCGCCAATAGGTTTTGCAGGAGGCATAAGAATTAAAAGAAAGTGAAGAGCTACGGGAAGCTCAGCCTCTCCGTTATAGTGCAAAAGCTGAGGCTGAAATGAATTTGAATCAATCTCAGCTCAGCTCAGATCAAGCCAAGCCAGGCAAACTGACGGCAGTAGAACGACAGCAATATCTTCATTCGACGAACGTGAATTGATGGATGAAATCTTCAGCAGAGATTGGACACTACGTATCATATCTTTCTATCCAATAGAACTAGAAACATTTCGTATTGCATTTGTTTCATTATAAGGGTTTTTTGCCACGCCGTCAAAATGCGGGGATTGGCAGAGTTCTGTTATTGGCACGAAGGAGATTTTTCAACAAAAAAAATTTTGACTTGCTTTTTTTTTTTCTACTTCCATTCTCCAATCGCCTAAATTCACAATAAGAAGAGACTCATCATGAGCAGTGAACCGTGTTCTCATCTGATGAATCTTGACATTGGGTCAATACTGAAAGGGAAATTGGTATCACAAAAAACACAACGTCTCCAGTGTCAAGGTAAATAAAAATAAAATAGAATAGAAAGAGAGGTAAAACTAAGCTCAGTCCATGTTAAATATCCCATTTTTTGGTTTAGATTGTCAAGCAACCGATAGATTGAACTTGTGCTTGTCTTGTGCTTATGTTGGCTGCAGCAAGTATTTTTTAAGAAAGAAACCCGACCACAAAGATCATTGCAAGGCACATGACCATCCGCTGGCTATGGATATTTCTTCCCTCAACCCAATGTGGTAGGTTGTTTCTTTAACTTGTATTTATTCCATGCACCACCCAATATCAACACACCATCCTAGTTTGCACTGTGGAAAGCAGGTCTTTGGTCGTCACTATTCATCCCTCGCACGCCAAATCGTTCAAAAAGCCTTTCCCCGTCGGTCGTCCCGTTTACACACAGACGATGAAAAGTCTTCTGATATAGAAATAGACGATGAAGAAGACGGCGACTCCTCTGTCACCAGTGGCTCAGAATCGTCAACAACATCAGGCGGCATACGTGGTATTCAAAACTTGGGAAATACGTGCTTTATGAACTCTATCATCCAAGCTCTTAGTAATTGCTCCCCCGTGCGAGACCAGTGCTTACAAAACAGTGCACGACGACGCAACAGTGATGCTGAAAGTACATCGATCGCTGTCGAGTTCAGTCGCATCATGAAAGAGCTCTGGTTAGCGACCCAGCCGCCTCCGTCGTCATATCGCTCTAGTTTGGTGCCTATATCACCGCTCTCCTTGTACGACACTGTGTTGAAAGCCATCACTAGTTTCAGCCCAGCTGAGCAGCAAGATGCCCAGGAATTTTTCACGTATTTCTTAGACCGATTTTACAAAACCGTTCCGAAAAAGTTACCATTGACCACGCCCATCATCGACGAAACCACCCCTTCCAATGACTCAAAGCATCCCGGCGGGTTGGACTCACTTTTTCGGGGTCTTTTATTAAATAAGGTCAGTCATCGGATGGACTTTCGTCATATATTGACGGACATTGAATTATCCTATCACATGACGCTCACACTTGCCACCCATCAGATTACCTGCAAAGACTGCGGCTACACCATTCGAAAGGAAGAGCCATTTTTTGGTAAGTTGCATAACATCATGCAAAAATATGAAAACACCCATGGACTAATCCTCTATCTTAGATCTGTCTCTCGACTTACCCCATCATTTTGCCATATACCAGCGAAGAACGCGGTCACAACAAAAATCAACTGGTTGTTCTCTTAGGGGTATGTTTTTGATATATTTAGCATTTATGTCACCCAACTGTATTTTGACCGTGATTTTTCCATAGATTGCATCGATGACTTTACCAAGGTTACGGAACTGGAAGAATTTGAATGCAAAAAATGTAAAGGCAAATGTACGAAGCAATCCTCCCTTATGCAACTGCCTCAAATCCTCTGCCTTCATATAAAACGATTCGGCATGTTGGAAAGCCAACGCCCTCGTGCTTGCAAGCTAGCGTCGCATGTCTCCTTCCCTATTGACGACCTGGTATTGGAACCCATTAACACTGAACAGCACGTCAAATACGATTTGTCGGCTGCTGTTGTTCATCGGGGTAATACTTTGTCTTCTGGCCATTACCTTACTTATGGACGTAATGATGGTCGATGGTTTCGTTTTGATGACAACCGTGCTACAGAAGTATCTAGAGATACACTTGCCGACGATGAAGTCTATATGCTATTTTACGAAAGAGTAGGCATAACAGCGTCGCCACCTGGTAGTCCGTCATGGTCTACATCTAGTCAAGAGTTCTGGTCTGCAACGTCTTCGCCTGAATCAGACATCAGTTCGTATGCCGAGGCTTCTGATGAAATTCCTGTTATCAACAAGAAACGTAAATCCGCCAACCCTACTACATCTCCTAAGCGCATTCGACACCTGTGAACAATTTCTATATTTTTTTGCTTGTTCTAATTTTTTTGAACAGTTGAACATACCCTATTCTTTTTGTCAACTATTTTTTGTTACGGTTCATTTGTTCATATTTATCTGTTGCTTCCATTCTATGTCTTTTTTCACACTGCAAATGTACATCCTATACCCCTTCTGCTTTTGTACTTTGACACTTTTTAGTTTTCCCCCCTTCTTCTTCCGATCTTTTGTTTATTCAAACTTCCTGACAATGTAATTACCCTTAATGTCCGAACTAGATGGTCAAAGCCCTCTTTTTTTTCTTTTCTTTTTAATATACTTGGTTAAACTCGATACCGCAAAGGGTTTGTATTTTGATAATTAAGAGAGCAACGGAAAGGTCTGAAGACTACAGAAACAACATCCCGAAGGTGAGGGTACGAAATACCAAACCTATAGAAAAATTGGGCTTCCCAAAGGAAAGTAACAACTAATGGGAAAAGAAATGGTTGACTGAAAAAAATAAAATATACGAGGTATATTTGATCATGTAAAAACAAGTTGAGAAAGCATTGATAGTCTAGCGTCGTTTAATTGAGCTATTGAAGGTACGAATGCAGTGTTCAACATCTCCTTATTCTTCCTTCTTGTCATCCTTCTTCTCTTCTTCCTCTTCTTCGTCATCTTCCTCCTCATCATTTTCTTCGGTCTTGCCGTCGGTCAAACCAGCATTGATCTTCTGGACTTCTTCAAACTTATCCTTGAAGAGGTTGGCGTTCTCAGAGTTGGCGAAACGGATGGCGAGAGTTTCCTGTCTGGCTTCACCTTCAGAGACATCAGCGGCAACATTCCAAACCCAGGAACGGTCAGATCCAACGTTAGGAGACAAGCTCATCTCAGAAGTGATGGCATGGTTGGCGCAAACCTTGTGAGTCTTATCACGGCGCATCAAAAGACGAACTTTCTTGGTGTCCTTGTGTTGCAGGAACTTGACATCACCGACACCACGCTCCTTCCACTCCTTCAAGCCTTTGTCGTAACGGAAGAGCTTAGCACGCCTACAGAGAGAGCAGGTTAATAAAAAATGTTGTAGTGAAGAACCGTGGGCGAAATGAATATTTTTGGGTGCTTTGCCAGGACGGTGGCGTCGGCAAGCGTAGCAACCAAGCGCGCGCCCCAGGAGTTTTAAACAAGACGAAAAATGACTTACATCTTGAAGAGAACGTCCTCCATTTCTTCCATAGTCTTTACTTCGACTTCGGAAAGCTTGATAACAGGCTCAAAGTGGACATCGGGAGAGGCTTCAACTTCCTCCTGCAAATGGCAAAGTTAGTGGGTGCTCAGGTCGTGAAGCCATCGATGAAAACCCAGTGCTGCGGATCCATGGCACCAAATGCCAGATCGGCTGTTTGTCATTACCTGCTCTTCGGTGACAATCTTCTTTTCTTCGGTATCAGCCATATTCGGTTGTAATTAACGCTGTAGTAACAACAAAAACAAGAAATGGGTTTTACAGATGAGGGTCGCAGTACTTGATATTCTACGAAGGCGATGAAAAAAAAAATCGGTGACGTAAACTTGCAGTGAAAAATTGAATTCAACCGTGCAAACTATTCAATGCCTCACGTCACAGTTAGAGGTTGGCTTTTGGCGGGAAGTCAAAGTCGGACCGCCAGAGGCTGGAACGGCAAAAACCCGCACGTTTGGATACCAGCGCACTCTAATTTTGCAGCAACGTTTGCATTTAATTCTGTTGCCTGCAGTCCAACTCGACAAATCCTCATAGAAGCTCACTTGACTTGATGACAGTTCGATTGGTTATAGCTATTGCATTGATGTGTCTTTGAATTGCTACGCATTTTGGTATGTTTTGAGTTCAATGCCTCCCCTAATGGCGATTTCATAGCTTTTTCTGTCTACCCCACATTCATTGGCTGACTTATCTCTCCATTCTATAGCTTATTCACCATTCCCTATTCTGAAGCTTTCTACCAAACGACGTGCGCAAATAAGCATTATCTTCAATTCTTGAATTTCCCCCACGGATCGAAATCCAACCGATCACCATTGGTCTCGTCTCGTCTCGCCTTTTCTTTCTTTCTGATCTTTTTACCGTTGATACATAGTAAAAAGGAGCAATATGAAATTGTTCTCTCAAAAACTTTCGCGAGCAAAGCGGTCTTCACCTTTGAATCCAAATGCTGAAGATCCACAGCCAGGCGATTCACCTTCACAACCGCAGCCGGTAGCTTCCAAGTCAGAAACCACCACCACATCAAAACAGTCCGGTCGAAACTCTCATAAACGAAAGTTGTACCCCTTTCATATGGATCGAAAGAATAAGGATTCTTCTTCGTCTCTGGAGTCTTCTACAGCCGACTCCGTTTCTGAACTAGAGAACCCCGAAAGCGTCAGTGAGCAAGTCGTTCAAGCACAACCGCCTAATGCTGTGTGGTCACTGAGTGCTGCCGAACCCGACATGACCAAAAAGCCACCAGCTTTACCAGCGTCCACCCCAAGTGCATCAGAGCTGTCTAAAGCGATTGCAGAAGCGGCACATGCGAAGTCACCCAGTGAACCAATCACAGTTCCTCCAAATTTACTCCAAACGAGTCACTTGCAGCATTCTGAGGACTCTGTTCGGCCGCCATTGCCGCCTTCTCGTAAATCGTCGCCACCACCTGCCACGCTTTTGGCTTCATCTTCCAGAGCGCCAGATGCTTCTCTTTCTGCTATCACTACGTCAGCCGAAATATCCAATCCGCCATCATCAACCACTTCTTCATCAAAACTGCGAAGTGTTCCTATACCACAACCTTTATTGTTGAAGCGCCATACTAGCCGTTCATCGTTTTCTTCCGTTGACGATAACAACGACAGTCCAGTGTTGTCCACACCCACTTCTGGCCATGGCCGTAATTCACTGTCCATCAACAGTTTTAATGTCAGTGAACTTAGAGCGTCTGATTCACCTTCATCAAATCTGCCTGTCCTCTCACCTATCACATCTTCGGCTGGATCACAAGAAGAAAATGATGGAGGCTCACCAGCTTTGTCGGCAAAGTCTTCGACTGGTCATACTAGTCCAGCAAGAGCCATGTCTCCTGTGGTTGGCAGCACTGGTATAATTCAGAAAAAGATCTCGAAACTACATGATATGGAGTATGGAAGTAGTGCAAGTGAACCGGAACCATCAGATACGCCTGGCGGATATGCGGATCGAGCTTCCCCGTCTGCAGCTTCTTCATTTACTAATGAAAGCCCTATTTCACAATCTCAAACATCCACCATGCTCAACAATCAACAATCAAATGCATCACCCAAATATGCGAGTCCCCCAGTGGGTAGTGGTGGAAAATACATGCTTAAATCAAAACGCGCCAGCTGGATAGATGCCAACGCTGCCCATCCTCCGCCCATTACGACGAACTTTTCACCTTATGGTGAAGCTAGTTCTGGCAGCGCACCTTCCACTCCCATTAGCGGTACGGAAAGCACCCGACAGCTTCATAGCAGAAAGAATTCGGTTGCCGAAGGGTTGAATTCCGCTATGACTGGTTCACCAGCCCTCATGTATTCTCAAGCTTCCATGATGACTTCAGGGGGTTACTCTCCATCGCTTGCTGCAAGCAAAGAATTCGATGAGAATGAACCTCCTCTTTCCAATACAAGATTACATAAAACCGGTTCAATTTCCAGAATGGCAGATTCCAGTGGCGCAAAGAATATACCCACACATACCATTCGGCGCAGAGAAAGTTCCACCGATGTTACCAGCTCTGGATCTGAAAATTCATCCCGCCTGGTGGATGTGATGTCAAAGCGACTGCCCAGAAGGTCGTCTACCTTGGATAGCAGTATCACCGATGGCGATGACGTTAATGATAACCAGCAAAACCCTTCGTCTCTTCCACCGCCTTATGTGTTGCCCACTGGTTTCCGAGAAATCTTTCAGCACAAACGTACACCGTCCATATCGTCAACTTTGACAGCCAACAGTGTTGATGAGCATTCACCTTTAGTATCACCTATTGCTCGCCAGTATCCTCAACCTTTGAACATGGAAGAAGTTTTTGCTGCTCCAACTAGCCCTTCTGATCATAGATCACCTGTCACACCTCTCAGTGCCAACAAATCCTTAATAAGTTCTAAAAGAGAGCGTACAGCATCTTCATCCTCTTTAGTCAGTCCAACTTCTAGTACCAAACCAAATGCTCAGACCAAGGCCCATCGTCGAAGATCGTCCATGTCCATGTTGCGAAATATACCCTCAGAAGAACTCGCCAGCATAGTCAGTGGAAGTTCACCCAACCCTGTGGTGATAGCTCCCATGGATGAGGCATTTGGTCGCCAAAGAGGTCGAACACATACGATTGCAACCAGCAATTTGTCAAGTTTTCATACGTTTGATGATATGGAATCCGACGAAAATAATACCGATGAACAATCTACTTCTAAAGCGACAAACCTCCCTGGTTATCAAACCTCACTGCAAACCTTCCTCAGAAGGCAGTTCCACAGCTATTCTGACCAAGAGAAGCAGGCTCAAGTGAAGCGAACATCTTCCATTGCAGATCGAGACAGAGACGTCACAGAAATGAGTCTCGATGATGATGGTCCTAGTGATTTGACTGGTGACAGCATACGACGATCATATAGTCCAAATGATTTGGATCCTAGTCTTAAAGAACTTCGAGCTCCCATTTTCCCCTCTTCGTTGCTCAATACTCCGTACCCTCGACCCATTATGAAGAAGGAGAACAAGAAGTTAATGTCTATTAGTCGAGCAACAGCAAGTACTTCAGCTCCACATTTATTGCAAGATGATGACAGTGTTTTGCCTGCTGTGAACGACGCATTTGGATGGCCGGAATCTAGCAGCAGTAAGTTAACTGATACGTTTTTTGGTTGATCCTTTTTGGCTGCTTATAGCTCTTTTTCATTCATCCTGTGATTGCTTTGATTAATCATGACCATTCTTTCCAGAGCCAATGCATGATTCAATATACATGGATACCGATAGCAAACCGGCTGTGTCACATATTCAACCGCCTGCATGGAATCGACGCTTATCGCAACAGATGTATGCCAACATTTTGTTCCTATCCAGAGCCGCGAAGTTGCGTAAATGGAAGCGACATAGTCGATCAAATTCATTGCCCACTATTCCTAGTCTTGAAAAGTCACCGGTAAAGGCATCTGAACCGTCAAAGGAACCCGCAAAAGGTACAGAACCAGCGGATGATTCACCTCGCGGAAGCAACCGTATACCCATACCAGCTGGACTTCCGCGTCACATCCAGCGAGAAATGAGGTCGTCGAACAACTGGCAGAACCAACCTGGTGATGTTTTAACCCCTACTATTCTTGTGTCTTCTTACGAAAGCGAAGCATATGGTGAATCATCGCGGTCTGGCGAATGGTCTAAAGGTTGGAAGGATGTTGGAGGCATTCCATGGGTCGACTGGGTAGAAGAATATCGAAAGATGAAAGATGCTGAATTGCAGAGACGAAAATCTTTTGAATCCCTTTCCACTAGTCTCAACCCTGACACCATCACAGCATCAAACAATCCAAGGTCGTCTTTTACCGAAACGGACCTTGATACGCTTATGGATGAACCCGATGATAACGCATCTTCTCAAAAGTCAGATGAAAATATAGTAGATAGAATGTTGATTCCATGGTGGTCTTCTGTGAAGAATAATGTACAACACACCTTGCACCGGCGACGGCCATCAGGAGCTTTGGCAGTGCATCCAACACCTTTATCGACCAGTGCTGGTCAAGACCGATTTCCAAGTATGACCCAGCGCCGAATGTCTAACTTGGCTAGTCAAGACGATTCGGACCAAACAGCCATGGCTAAACATCGTTATCAGCTCTCACTCGACTTGGATGATATTCGAAACATGTTTTCCGCTCATCTGTCATCTGCAGCGGCTGAAAAGGCTGCTGTACCCAAGGCACAGGAAAAGTCTGCTTCAAATTCATCATCGCTCTCTGCGTCTCCCGTCGTTGCACCAGAACGTCCCGGCCCCCCTCCTCCCGCTGCTTACCTTCCACCCTCAGGTCCATCATCTGTTAGCCTTCAGCGAATGTTTTCATATACACCTGGTCTTGCTCCGTTCAGTTACGGTAGTTCTGTGACTAGTCATGATTCTAGCATTTCACCGTCATTGTCATCACAAGGCTATGCTAACAGTGAAGATTCAAAAGGGCAGTCTTCGCTTACGGCGTTCTTTGGTACGGGAGGGTCCGGCCTGAGTACTCCAGAAGAGTATGGCATTACAGGAAAAAAGCTAGAAGGGGAAGAAAAAGCATCACCTGCGACGATTCGCATTCGACACACCATTAAGTCACGCTTGGAATATGCCAAGAAAGTATGTGATGCTGACCTTCGTCTTATCATAGATGGTCTTAACGAGTACGTTGAACGTGGATTGCAATATGTCGAGGATGTCGATGAAGTTTTAGAACATGGTGTGTCGAGTCCTGATAGTGAGGAGCTTGAGGAAGATGAACCCATGGAACCATTGCAGCGCGAAGCCTCGTTTTCTAGTCAACCGGAAAATCATAGCATGACTCCTGACCTCATCGTACCTCCAAGTCCAACGGCTGCTATGTCTCCTATGTCTCCATCTATGGGACGAAAGCGAAATCTTCAAGTTAGCCTGCAAGGTATAGATGAGGGTGAAGAAGCCTTCCTTGGTTTGGAACGATCGGATGATGATGATAGTGGTTCGGATCAAGAACAATTGAAAGAACTGAGTGAACAATTGAAGCAAGAACTACAAGGAAACAATTATCAAGATGACGTTTCGAATTTACAAAGTCCTCCATCTGGGCCACCCAATGCTGGCAACTTGACGCCGTCTGATTCTATGCCTGCTCATTTATCGCATGTCAATTCCAGGCTGACTCTCATATCAGAAGATTCATATCTTCCTACACCCTTCATATTGACACTCCAAGATTTGATATCTTTGGCCCAAAGTGTGCTTGATATGCCTTTGGATACTTTCCTTGAAAATTCTGGAACGTGTGCTGAACTTGTGTCTCGCATACAAGAGCTAGGAGCCAAATGGGACGAAAATCCAAAGTGGCCATGCCGTGAATGGTATGTTCGACTACTCCTTGGCGTTGCTGCTCTCAATCGAGTCGTGGAATGGTGGGAGGCTGAAAGGGGCTTTTGGGCCAACTCCTTCTCACTCACATCGTCAGGCACCCAAGCAACCAGTAAAACCACACAGAATGAGGATGGTAACGACGGTGGGTTAGAAAATGACCGTGCACATGATTATCGTCGTCGTTCTAGTGGTGCTAGTAGTACTTGGAGCTCGAATTATATGCTACCACCTGCTCGCGGTGAGCCTATCATTGAGGAGCAATCCGAAACCGAACCAGATGAATACGAAGATCAACGCTCAAATGCTACAGCTACCCCTCTTTCATCAGGCTCAGAGACCATCATGATGCACAAGCGTCATAGTGAGCAAATGGATGCTATGGACTCTCGATCTGACTTTAATGATCAAAAGAACGACAGTGATCAATTGCAGCTGGATGCTGAACGAGGTCAGAATACAACTATTGTCATGGAACTCAGTCTCAGTACAGTTGAAGTGCGATACCTTAGTCCCGTTTGGCAATTGGTAGTTGGGTAAGTGCATGAATCGATGTACCTGTTTTAAACGGGTTCATTTGGATGACCTTAGTTTTGATTTTCTCACCGCCTTTACACTTTCTTAAATCCCCCTTTTTTTTTTCCCAATCCAATCTTTTATAGGTCTAACCCTGCCTCGGTCATTGGCTGCCCCATATCACAGTTTCTTTCCTACGAAGATCAATGTGTTTTTGCTGAAGCTACACAGCAATTACTGTCTGACGACTCTAAAACAATAGAGGTGCGATTCACTCTGGTTCAATCAGACGGTGATAAAATTGAGCTCGAAGGCAAAGGTATGCTCATGTACAATCGAGTGACTGCAGAACCAAGTCACACCATGTGGGTCATCAAGCCCATCGGTACTCGTCGATGGTCTGTCGTCGAACCCATGTTGACTCCCAAATCAGAGGAGTTGAGCAAATCCCCCAAAGCTACCAGCCCCGGCCACCAAACTCCTACTCAGGAAGAGCGCTGGAATGACATGCAAGATGCGTTGGAGGAGGAACAAAATGATTTGGAAGAAGAAGAAAGGGCGCGTCGGAGGACCCGATCCATGTCTGAACCTACCATCGTCACACCACCTCTTGCTCCTACAAAATCTCCAACGTTGCAGTGGGATGAAGCCGTAGTGGACCATCAAGCCCTTGGGCCTAGTCGAAAGGGTGCTATGATGCGACGTGCCATATCGCAAGGCGGTCAGCCATCCACTGATTTGACAACAGCCAGCCGTCATTCCATGCTGAGTCTTCCACCTGCTTTATGTCGAATCTGTGAAAAATGGGTTGTTACAGCGTTCTTTGAACAACACTCGGAACTATGTGTCGAAATTCATCGTGCCGAGATGGATTGTTTGATGTGTGATGACAGTACACGAGAGCTTCGTCAACATGTGCAAGATATGTATGACGACCTAACCGAAGAGCTCAGCAAATCAGAGGCGCAACCTATCAATAAGGCAGTCGATGGATTAGCTCAGAAGAGCCTTTCGATTGATACCATGTCTCAGCAACAAACAAGCGATGGCAAGAATCGTAGCTTACTTGATGTTGTCGATCTTGAGCAGGCTATGGATCCAATGGATATGAAGAAAAATAATATTGAAGTCTACAAAGAACTTTTGGAGACGCTTGATGTTGCTCTAAGTATATCGATCCCTGGTGGTGACAATAGTGCAACTGACAATGAGGAACAGAATGACGAATGGAAAGCAGAAGGATCCCCAAGAATGCTTCAGTCACCGCGATCCAAGTCCAAAATGGTACATATCATGTACTGGAGACCACCTATTGCCGATGATCCACAAGTGGCTAACCTTGTGAAAGACGTTGAAGTGATGGTGCGAGGCAAAATCGATGCCGTGAACCGTATGCGTGATACTTTGGAATACAATGAACAAGTTCGATTGGAGTTCCAACAGTTGATGGATCAAGATGCTGGCTGGTCTGAATTTGTCACCGGTGCGGAAGACAATGCTCTTCAAGACAACCCTCCTGAGAGTGATGATCGACTCTCCAGTGATGCAAATGATCCAACCAATGCGCAAACGGAACACGAGGACGAATCGAAACCTTCTGCCGATACCCTGTCACGCGTTCTGGAGTCTGGTACTCCTCCCAAAACCATTGCCAGCAAAGTGAAAAGTCGCGAACTAGTGGATCTCAAGGTTGTACCTCGCGGAACGAAAGCACCTAAGCGAAAGCCCTCTTTGGTACCAACATCGCCTCCCATCATGGAAATGGAAACCATTGAAACACCGGTTGGATCGCCTGGAATACGTCCACGAATATTGCCAAACTTCAACGAAGGTAGTTTGTCTGGCAACAGCAGTCCTGGTAGTGGTTCTAGCATGCTCGGAAAATCGCCGTTATCGCCGCTTCCCTTGTCTGCCACTTCCAGACCTACCCCACCTAGCATCAAGGATTTCGATATCATCAAGCCCATTAGCAAAGGCGCTTTTGGATCTGTGTTCTTAGCCAAGAAGCGAGCAACTGGAGACTATTATGCCATCAAGTTTTTGAAAAAGTCGGATATGATTGCAAAGAATCAAGTCACTAATGTCAAGGCTGAACGCATGATTTTGATGACTCAAACCGACAGTCCATTTGTCACCAAACTTTACTATACGTTTCAATCTAAGGATTACCTTTATCTGGTTATGGAGTACTTGAATGGAGGTGATTGTTCTGCCCTTATTAAGATCATTGGTAGCCTTTCAGAAGATTGGGCCAAAAGCTATCTCGCGGAAGTGACACTTGGTCTCAGCTACCTTCATGAGAGAAACATTGTTCACCGGTAGGTTTACATTGAACTTTTGTGATATGTGGTTAATATGAACTCTAAAGCTAACGGTATTTCTTTTATAGTGATTTAAAGCCGGATAACTTGCTCATTGATCAATATGGACATCTTAAGCTTACAGATTTTGGTCTATCCAGGATTGGATTTTTGGATCGACGTGTTCGAGATGAAATGGCGAACTCACTAGCTCACGGTGGTCATCATCTACCAACTTCACCGGCTCCTTCAAGATCCCATACGCCACCTGCACAAAATGCTGATACCGTTTCACCAAACACATATAGACATTCATACTTTGGTCTTTTGTTTGATCGCAGTCGGCGAGGATCTATGGCAAGCTCTACATCTGGTGAAGGAAGCGGTTCTGGTACGCCTAATTTTGTACCTAGCATACCTGAAGGCACAAAGTCGCCTGAAAATGCAGGTAGTACTGCTGGTGAGGACACTCCTCACCACAACCGACAACACAGTAATACAAGCAGTATGCCTAGCATGCTCAGCCATTCTGTATCGTCAAGTATCACAGCATCAAGCTTTATGTTTGCTGATAGAGATAGGACCGAGAGTGAGCGCACCGATTCTCCGCGAGGAGCCATTGGAACACCAGATTATCTTGCTCCAGAAAGCATTTTAGGAACTGGCCAAGATGCTATGGTCGATTGGGTAAGTTTTTATTTTTTTCTCCCATATTTCATGAAAGTTTTATATGCAATTCATCTTGACACTTGCATTTGCAGTGGGCTCTAGGTGTCATTTGTTATGAGTTCCTTTACGGATTCCCACCTTTCCATGCCGAAACCCCAGACAAAGTATTTGAAAATATCTTGTCTCGACGCATCGACTGGTACGAAAACGAGGTTTCTATTTCACCTGAAGCGCGCGATTTTATGGAACGCCTGATGGATACCAACCCTTCCAAACGATTGGGTGCAAATGGATCTGAAGAAGTCAGATCACATCCGTTCTTCAAAGATATTGACTGGGACTGTTTGTTGACCAAGTCGCCAGCTTTCAAGCCCAACCCTGTCAATCTTGAAGATACGGAATACTTTGATGCTCGTGGTGCGACCATGCATGCCATGATGGACGATGAAGATATTCAAGCTGCTGCCAAAGCCCAAGTTGAAAAGGCTAAAACCATCATTCAGCAGGAAAATCAAACACCAGGTGGCAGTATGTCCACAACAGACGACGCTTCATCCCATCTTTCTTCCAATAACAAGAGTGAATCCGGCGCGAGCGACAATGCAGACTTTGGTACATTTGTATACAAAAATCTACCTGTGCTAGAGAAAGCGAACGAGGATGCTATTAGAAAGATTCGGCACGAGAGTATCATTGCTAGTGTCGCCAGTGGTATGAACATTGACCCTGCTACCGGCAGAATTATCCATCGGTCACTACCCGTAGCCAATCGCAGAAAGCTTGCCTCTCAATTAGAACTTTCACCTTCACCACTGGGAATAGCACCTGTTTCATCTTCGCTACCAGCATCACCACCTTCTCTATCACCATCCAGTTCAGCAAAAACGAACCAACGACGACCCGTCGATGTGGGTTCGCATGCGCATTTGTTACCTGAGCCTATCAAACGACGAGGTTCCCTCCCTACCAAGTTACGGACCAGTACAACAGCTTCTGGTTCCAAAGGACGTCCATTATCTGAAGTTGAAAGCAAAACTACCACACCTTCTCCCATTGACCGTGTACGCCCAACAAGCGACAGCCAAACTAATTTGAAGCAAACCGACGTTACATCTACTACGCAAGTTTCCATCACCAACGAACCACATCCTCTTCAACAATCTGACAGTGAACGCCCTCGATCCAGCAGTCTCGGACCTAGGAAGATTGACTGTCTCATCGCCGATGATAATCCCATCAGCTGCAAAATTCTTGAAACCATACTTTATACACTGAACTGTCGATGTGTCGTTGTTCGTAATGGTGCCCAAGCTATCCGATGTGCTATGGGTGGTGTAAAGTTTGATATCATCTTTATGGACATTCGCATGCCAATCAGTAAGTCTTTTTGAAACGCGATATGGCTTTCCTTTGCATGCTAGTTATCTGACCTGTTCTTGCACTTTTCCCAATTATAGTTGATGGAGAAGCAGCTGCTCGTATGATTAAATCTACCATCAATATGAACTCCACAACGCCTATTATCGCGGTAACAGCGTACGAACATACTGTTCAATTGGCAGGAGCGTTTGATGATATCTTGAACAAACCTGTTACTACTCAGATCATCTTGAACCGACTGAAGCAGTTCTGCGACATCTGGAATGTACCAACTGCTTCAAGTAACCTTCAACAGCCCACCATGCCAAAGTCCACAGATGCAAAATCACCATTATCAACCTCGACTTCGTCAGTAACATGATATCCGTGTGCATTTTTTTTTTCTTTTTTCTGTTCTTATTTTTGCTTCGTTATGTCGTTTATCTTTAATGCAAACATCATCGGTTTTTTCTGCTTCTCATAATGTTTTCTCTTTGCTACCTTTTTTTTTGTATACTCTGCCTCTTTTCCTTGTGGTTTAACTAGATCGTAATCACTGGTCTTTACAATGCTGGCCAACTTGTATTTGAATTCCATTGTGCCAAATTAAATATATATATTTTTGCTGACCATAATGAAAGTTGGAAGAAGGACGTGAGGGAGATTGATGGTAGAACTGATAGTCGCATAGAAATAGTCCATTGTAATAGTCCATTATACCCTAACTATTCTTACAAAGCATACAAGTCATCACAGAGAGAGGGTACGTATAAAGTAATTTTTTTCATTCATAAATATTTGTAACAAAAGGAGAACTTTTTTTTTATTGTGCAAATTGAAGAGAATAATCGAGTAGATGAAGAGAGTCTATGGAACGAATAAATGTGAAAGAAAAAAGGAGATGGAATGTATAGTGTTGATGGGGTAATGGCATGTTTTATGCTTATTTAGCACGAACATACTTGCCAACAACCAAAGCGTGATCTCTTTCATAGGGTTCAAGAGTAAGCTGTTCTTGGGGCTTCACTCGCTCTTCTTGGAGCTTCTTCACTTCACGGGCAAAGACGGTGGCGGGATCAACAGTTGAGTCAATGCATGATGCCTTGATGGAAATAACGATGTGACCATTGTTCTTCAAGAAATGGTGAGCGTTGAGAGTGATGATACGAGCTTGATCAGGTTGAGCAACATCGGCGAAAATAACATCGACCATGGGCACAAGCATGCGATACTTGTGGGGATGACGAGCATCCTCAATGATAGGAATAACGTTTGTTCGCTTCTTAGCCATGTTGATCAAATCACGACCAGATCGGTGAGAGAATTCAACAGCGTAGACGGCACCTTCGGGACCGACAACATCAGCAACGTGAGAGACGGAAGTACCAGAGGCAGCACCAAGGTAAAGGACCTTCTTGCCAGGAGCAATGTGGATATTGTCAACACCACCGAGAACACCAGCGGCAATCTTGGATCTGAAAGGATTCCAGACACGGTATTCGACTTTAGTACCATCAGCACCTTCAACGGAAATGCGCTTTTCACCATAGACGGCTTCACCAGGGACAAGGTTCTTGGTAACGAGCAAATCTTCCTTGCCACGAGCAACAAAGATGCCTTCGTGTCTGTGGGGTTCAATGATGACCTTAGCACCACCCTTGGCACCACCGGCAGCGCCTCCACGGCCACCACGAGCACCACCACGACCGCCACGAGGAGCACCACGGCCACCTCCACGAGCACCACCTTAGATCGATCAAATTGTTAGTCAAATGTACTCATCACTGCCTACATAGAATAAAAAGAATAATCTACCTCGTCCTCCACGGGCACCAACACCACCCCCACGGGCACCAAAGCCTCCACGGCCACCACGGGGAGCAGCACCTCCACGGCCACCACGACTACCACCTACAAAGCGAGATCGTTATTAGTCAACCCTAAAACAAGGACTAAACATGTTTAGCAGTTTGATTTCGCTATGATCGTACCTCTACCTCCACGTTCGTAAGCCATTTGTATAAGTTAAAAGTTAAATGAAGTAAAGGTTTAGAGATTCGGAGACCAAGCGGGGGACACTTTGGATGAAAAGAAAAAAAAAAAAGTGTGACTGGTTCTAGTTGTCCCTCACCTCAACCCAACCCAACCATGGACGACACATTAGCACAAGTCGCAGAGAAATGCGCGCTCCAACTTGAAATGTACCAGAAATGTGTCGAGAATTACCCAAACACATGGGACCAGAGTTGTGCCCAACAAAAGAAGGCTCTGACCAAGTGTTCAGAAGAAAAGTAACTATCCTCCCCCCCCCCCTTGTCCACAGTCCGCAGTGACACTGACGTTTTTTGACCTCCTACAGCGTTGGTATCCTCAAGTACGTTAAGCAACACTGCACACCCCAAATTAAACTATACGACACCTGTTTGCAAGAAAATTCCAATGAGCCTGAGAAGTGTATTCAAGCATTGAAGGAACTCTACTTTTGCACCGAGGTGACGGCTATGAACTATAAACAATCTCAGCAGCCCCCAGCTCCTGAAACCAAAGCTGAAGACAAGAAATAGAATAAATAATGTAGAACGAATGTGTAGCTACTTTAATTGAAATCATTCTTTGACGTTGAGTCGATATTTACAGTACAATTGCAAAAGAGAGGTATCAGAGGTGAACGTCTTGTATACTAGAAGAGCTATAAGTTTCTAGCTGACGCTTTCCTCTTCGTAGCATATATTCTATGGTTGAAAAATCGTTCTTCCTCAAATTATGCTGACGGAATTGTTGGCGTATGAATGTATAAAAATGCGGACGATTCTCCTATGAGACGAACGTCAATGCTTGTTTAGTAAGGACACTAGGATTGTGAATGTGAGCATCAGTGAATGCGACAATGGAATGTACATACCAAAGGCTTTTGTCGAGCAGCTCTGAAACAAGATCGATACAAGTTGATTACGTCTTGCTGTAGTCCCGATCGCCTTGCTGCACCTGCCATGTTGAGATCAATTGGTTCTTGACAGGGCTTGTAAATTCAGTGTTGAACGGGGCGTATTAAATTTCCCATTTTTTTCTGTTTTAGGAAGGAGGCTTCCGGCCTTTGCCTTGGCCCACGCAGTCAGTCCAGCACTTTTTAAAAGAAAGGCACTCATTTCAATAGGATGAGACGGGAGCGACATGATTCTTCTACCAGATAATGACCTCTGGTCATTTGGCTTGAAGTTACTAGTGACTCATTGCAACGGTGTTTATTTAAGATTTGCTTTACTGCCTATCAGGCGATAACAGGGCCAGTTAGACAAGCAAGTTAAAGCCTAAGTGAACAGAGTGATTTGATTCAAAACAATGGGCGAGGTTTTCAGTCACTATTGTCATGCATCACACTCCATTGTTTGTTCCATCCATGTGGTCCAGCCAGCACAAACATTGGAGAGAGGTGTGTTTACGAAGAAGTGAGCGTTGCCACGGTGAAAGTTTCTTCTCCAATGATAGGCGGTATCTGATGGCTCATGCAGTCCGATCCGTGGGGTCTGGTCACCTGAGCCGTTGATCTTATTTCAGTTCACTCTGGAAGCCTCCCGTGAGTGAACTTCTGTTAACTCTTTTCCCAATGAAACTCTACATTCCCTCATTCTTACTTGCCTTGACTCTCACTGTGGCAGCTGAACCTCTGCAGCAAGTGCCAATATTGAGTCCAAGACAGAGCTGTAACGGTATGTGACTTTGCTTTTTATCCCTTTGAGTTATGTCCCCGACTCACGCTGTTACCACTAGATTCCGTCGTGTCATGTCACTGGCGAGAACCCGAAAATACATGCTGCTCTCCCAGGTACGGTTTGGTTGTATTTGTACAGCAGTGGGTGGAATCGTATGGTCCACCAAATGAATTTACAATCCACGGTTTATGGCCTAATAACTGGTAAGAGCCTTTTGTTCACCTTTTAAAAGTCCTACTTCCGTAACGCTGACTCTTTCCTTTAGCTCAGGCTCGCGTGCACCCAATCGAGGCTGCGATAGTTCAAGATCTTGGAATAATGTCGCCACAATTTTGAGAAACAAGAACCCAAACTTATATCAACGAATGAAGACTTTCTGGCCCAGCTATAAAGGCGACGATAACTGGTTTTGGTATGTAGTGTGGTTGACTCACACATGTAGACCGAGTACTAATACTGTCTGCTATACATGTAATTAGGTCTCACGAATGGGTGAAGCACGGAACATGTGTGTCAACGTTGAATCCATCGTGCTACGGATCTGAATATACCCCTTATCAAGATGTCATTGATTATTTTGAGGTAAATTCTCTTCTAGTCATATTCTAGCTTGTGCCCATAACTTATTTTCTTCCACCCTATCTAGCAAGTTTTGTTCTTGCGTAATGAATACGATGTTTATGGTGCTCTAAATGTAGCAGGTATATTCCCTGGCGGATATTACTCTTCAAAGGCCATGCTAGACGCCTTGAAACAAGGGTTTGGAAACCGTGCCAAGATCGATTGTGATAGAAACGGTCAACTTAGCGAAGTATGGCTGTACTTTAACGTTGGTGGCCGTGATCACTATCAGCTTGTGGATGCAGAAATGGATGGATCATGTAGGGGACGCGTATATTATCCAAAGAAGTAGATGGGCACTCGGAGCTGCTTTAAGCTACATCGGTTTGTCCTTAGACGGCAGATGCCAGCATACAGTTTTTCTATTTTAACTGATCTTTTTTATGTCATTTCATTTCACTTTACCATTAAAGTCTATTGAGTTAGTGTAGCTGAGGAATGATGATGTTAGGATGGTGTTGTTCGAAAAATATCAGAAGCCAGATATCTAAAGTACATCAGTATGCTCACAACATCAAGTGCTATGTTACCAAGAAATGACGGTGGGTGCTTACAACACTAACACGTTGATCAATTAGCTTGTGAAATAAGGCCCATATAGTGGTACAATACAGTAGATGTTAAAGAAACGACTTCTGTCCGTTTCTTCGTATATTCCATAACAACTGTTCATTGTTGCCTTTCACTCGACCGCACGGTCAAAACGAGTGAGGCAATTTTTTCTGATTTGCCACCAAAACAATTTTTTGCTTGACCTCCGTAATTTTTTCTGTTTTCTTGTTTGCAGACCCCCTTCTAGTCAACATGGTGCTATACTTTACCAGCAATGCCGCCAATCCGCCAGCAATCATATACATGGGAAAGGACAAATTTGAAAGTAAGCGCTGTGGCCTCGAGCAGTCACCAATGTTCTTCCAACTTACAAAAGAATTCGCCTTAATTCTGTCTCCATTCCTCCTTAGACGAAGACCTTATCAAATATGGTTTTCCCGAAGACGTCTGGTACGATACCTTTTTTTCATTCGACATATGGCCAGTGTAGCCAATTTGCATTGAATGATATTAAACGTTATTTTTTGGCCGCCATACACTATACACAATTCATGGTGGTTAGGGTAAATTTTCCACTATGAATTGAATTATCTCATATCACGCTTAACAAACATAAGCTAACAAATGGCTTTACATCAGTTTCACGTAGATAAATTGTCGAGTGCTCACGTCTACCTTCGACTTCAACCAGGAGAAAGCTGGGCCAATATTCCTCAAGACCTTTTAGACGATTGCGCTCAACTGGTCAAGGCAAACAGTATTGAAGGTATATGATCTGCACGAACATTCAGTTACTCTGTTGTTTTTTGTTTTGAAAAACAAGAAAAAAATAATCCTCGCCGACTATCATTAATCTCTGGACGACTCAGGAAATAAGAAGAACGATATCACTATTATTTATACGCCTTGGGCCAATCTCAAGAAAACAGAAGGCATGGATACTGGTCAAGTCACTTTCCACAATAATAAGCAGGTATAACGGATGGTTTGATTTCAAGTCATAATTGACCTCGTAACTCATTTCCTTGCCTGTACAGGTCAAGCGCGTGTATGTGGAAAAGAGAGCGAATGAAATCGTCAACCGATTGAACAAAACCAAGGTCGAGAAATTTCCTGATTTGGCACAAGAAAAGATTCAAAGGGATAAGTTGGACAGACAAGCATCGCGCCAAAAAGATTTGCAACAGGTAAAACAAAACAAAATACATGAGTGGTTATTCCCATAATGAAGAAGTCAGCCGGGCCGTACCTAATCTCAGTTCAATTTCTTCATCCGATAGGACAAAATTAACAGAGAGGCATCAGCGAAGGCTCGAAAAGCAAAAGAGGAAATCGATAATCTGTTCAGCGAACGCAATATGGTCAGCAACTACCGGGAGACGGAAGTGGAGGACATTGATGCGGCAGAGGAGGATTTTATGTAATTTACCCGCCAGACTCATTCAACCAACCAACCCTTGTGTTGAGCATAATTAAAACCATAAAAGAACCTATCTGGTTAAAAATACCCTGCTGAAATGTGGAATGAAACTTGTTTGGTGGTGCAAATTTGATTGAATGTAACACCTCATGTCGAGTAGAGCATATGTCTTTTTCCTTTTTCCAGTTCACATTTTATGGGTAAGATTTTCATTCTACATGATGTAAAATGACTGCCTCATACTTTCAAAATTCTTGAAGAAGAGAGGAAGATCTTCCTTCCCAACATCATTCATATTGGAAACGGACATGAAGTACACTTTACAAACTGAATACAAATTTAATGACTATTCAGGTCCGATCAGGACTTCGCCCTCCGCTTCAACTCGAAAATCTCAGACGCAGATGACTATGATTCCGTATGAAAGGAACTATGACTCCATACAAAACAGATGACAGAGAGAGAGAGAATCTTTGATGATCCAGGTCATTTCCAGTCAACTGAATTTATCTTGGAATAGGAAGATACCTATGTTGGTGTACAAAGTGGACAGTTATGGGGTGGGATGGCTTGATGGAAAACAGAAAGATGGGAAGTTCAAAGTTTCTTCCCATGCTTCTCAATGATTTAATGCATTCATTTTCATTGTTAGCTCCAATTGCGAACTCCTAACAAGCAAGTGCCGATGTATTCACTAGGTACTGTTTAGCTAGCAAATATGAATAACTAGCGACCATTTCAATATTTGAATTTGCGATTCACACAAGTCTGTACAACATGATATTATAGCCACCGTGCTTGGTTTCCCGCAATGGTTTGAAACCCACCTGCTACAACGTCGTACAGCTTATATGGGCAGGAATTCGCGTGTTCTTTAAGCTGCTTTTCATTGCCCAAACTCACTCTTCTTCCCTTTTGATTCCTTCTACGTTAGTTCCTTTCTTCCTTGCCTTGTCCATGGTCTTTTGACCACATCGCCATACTACTCCTTTAGCGACTCAATTCCGTTCCTTTGATACATGCAACCTCTGAAATGGTTGGCAGTACTGGCTGTTGCCTTAGCTGCTAGCGACATTGGTAAATTTCATCTTTCTCCTTAATCAATTTTTAGCTTATCCAGCCCGCGCTAACCAACCCACTATCACTAATTACTTTCAGGGGCTGCTCACCAACACTCCTCAGCTGCTACAACAACTAAATGTAAGCTTTTTTTTATATAGACCTTTGGTGCTTTAAACATAGATACGATTTTGGAATGTAAGGTATTCACCTATGTCTTCTTAGCCGTCTCTACCCATCACCCTACCCCGTCGCACTCTCATCATCACCACCACCACCACCACCACCATAGTCACCATCATAATGGAACTGCGTCGGGCCATCATCACTCACTTCACCACAGTACGACTCGCCATCATACTACCACAAAGAAGAGTTCTAAGAAGATCAGTTCGAAGCACCACACTGTCTCGGCCCACCATACCACCATAAAGAAGGGATCTAAGAGTGTCAGTTCAAAGCACGCTGCTCCGTCCCATCATACTGTACAACATCATGAAAATGACTACCAAGCACATCATGAAACCCACCATTCTTCCACTAAGAAGCACACCACCGTACACCACGAGGCTTCCAAAAAGAGGACTACTACTCATAAGACCACTACCTCCAAGCATCATACTACAACAACACACCACCATGCCGCACCTACTACGACTAAGAAAGAGACTCCTCATCACACTACTTCTTCAAAGCACCCCAATGGTTTGTTTGTTGATGCTTTCTCTGAAAGTAATCCTTCGTCCACAACGACTGCCAATGAAGCAGACGCCACTCCTGATACCAATGAAGCCGCCGTCCCATCCGATGACTCTGCTACGACTACGTCTGATCCCGCCGTGGTTGCTAGTCCTAGCACAGACCCTGCGTCGCCCACCATTGCTGATCCCAACACTGCAGGCACCGACGCCACCGTCACGGTCGATAACCTGGCCAGCGGCGATGCTGGTACCGCCAACGTTAGCAACAAGACCATTGGCATCAGTGTAGGAGCTGCTGTTGGATGTATTGCTGCTGTTGGTCTGGCCGGTATGATGGTTTACAAACGTCAAACCCGTCGCCGTTTCGAAGATAGCATCGGCGGTGGCAACAACATGGATGAAACCCCTCAAACTCACTGGAGACCCACTAGCTTTATGGCCGCTGTCACCAGCGTTGTCGCTCGTTTGCCTCGCGATCGCAATTCGTCTTCCAGTCGTGGTTCACATGGTTTTGCCGCTTCGGTACTAGGTTCCCTACGTCGTGTCCGCAGTGGAAGATCTAACCGCTCAAGCTCGGGTTCAGAAATGAGCCATCACTCGCAAGAGTCTCACACTTCCTTTGGCTATGCCGTCAGTGGTCCCGTTCCTGAACTCACTCGTGTGGATGACCTTGATTTCCACGAGGTAGATCTCAGAGCAAGATAGACATGTGTGCGCTTCACGTTCAGTCATGAGCAAACACCGCCCTTTCCTCTACTTTTTTTTTTCTTTCACTAATTCTGTCTTTCCTTGTTTCGATACATTGACATGATTTCCCAAATAAAAACTCTACTTTTTTATTCGGAAGCCACAAAGTCAACAATAAGTCTATTACGCGACAGGCAATTGAAGTGGTTTTGTTGTAAAAGATCTCTTGTAGACCGATGTCGATTCTATTGAAGAAGATCTCTAGTAGATGACGGATGAATTGCTAGTTGTTCCCATCATTTCCGTCGTAAAAGCCCAGCTTTTGCTCTCTCTTCAATCTCTAAAGCCGCTGCTCTGCGATTTTCAGCTTGCTTTCTCCAAATCTTGCCTTGTCCTTCTTGCATGCGTGCAAAAAGATTCATGGCCTGACCTTTGGTGAGCGATCCGTCAACAACCTTCATACCGAACCTTTTTCGAAGGACTTGTATTTGTGCCTCGGTAGCAGGCTCTTGTCGGAACTTGGCATTTCTCAGCACCCACTGGGAATTTTGGGTGTTCGACTTGTAATATGACTTGACGTACGTGTCGACTGCCTTGATCGCCTGATCTCGATTATCTCCAGTGATAGGTAGTTCCTGTGGCTTCGTATAGATCGATTTTCCATAGCGATTTGGTAACACTTTTCGCAGTTTCGCACCCCATATGCCTAAATCAGAGTAGGATATTGAGCGATCTTCAGTCACGATGGTTCATAACGTAAGAGTCTACTTACCATTTTCTTGTTCAACTTTAATGGATCCGTTTTTGACAGCTAGCACGTACGCTTGATCGCCAACAGCCACCCAGGCATTACGGCTCAGTTCGTACAAATCTTTGGAGCCTGAACAATCATCCATGACTTCAAACACGCTGTCGTATTCCGTGATGGTAAGGTGGGCCTTCGGTCGCTCGGACGGAAACTCAATATTCTCTGAATCATCAAGCCGAAGGTTCTTTGCCATTTGCTTGCTTTGCTCAATAATCAAAGCTTGTTTTTCGACCTCCAACAAATCAACATCTATATTTCTGATAGTTAGCAGGACTCCCACATGAAGCGGTAATACCAACAAAGCTCACCATCCAATGTCGTATTGACGTCCAGACCAAGCAGTGTAGGGATTGTGATAAGACCAGCACGGCCGGCGCGAGAGAAATTATCTACAAAGTCGATGACAAGACAATCCTTTTTGGATGGATGAAGTCGCATACCGCGCCCAAACATCTGCTGAAACAATGTACTTGATTTAGTTGGCCGTGCCATAAGGATGCAATCGATTCGAGGAATATCAGTTCCTTCCGTCAAAATGCCACAATTTACGAGTACGGGGCAGTCTCCGTTTCGAAACGCCTGTAAGGCTTCTTGACGTTCGACGGGAGAGGACTTGCTGGTGATAAAGCGAGCTTCAATATTCTGAGCTCTGAATGCGTTACATAATGATAAGGTATGCTCCATATCTACGGCAAACACCAGAGTCGATCTTCGGTTATCACTAGCTGCGTACTTCTCCCAACTTTTGATGATAATGTCGTTTCTGTCCAAGGTATTGATGGCCTTGGATAGTTCACTTTCTTTGAAATCGTTGTACCTCGTGCCGACTGAACTCAAGTCAACCTTGGTTTGCACCGTTGTCACTTTCATATTACATAACCTAGAGAGGTATCATCATTAGCATTGGCCAATTGCGCTACCATATGGGTGACCATCGTACCATCCTTCTTCCACCATTGTTAAAAAGTCGCGATGATACACAATGTGATCGAATACGCCTTGTAATCCAATTCCGTCATGCCTCCTAACAGTAGCAGAGCATCCCCAAACAAACATATCTGAGTCCTGATTGTTTGCATCAAAGTGCTGCAATATCAATTGATATGTGCGTGCCGCTGCATGATGAGCCTATTCAATACTGGGTTAGCTTTGTCGCAATATAAATCTGAGTTTCCGAGTTGGGCTGCTTAGGCTCACCTCGTCTATTAGAATGGCTTTGAATGCCTCCGGATCGTAGCGATCCAGTCTCTCCGAACCCGCTCGACCAAGCGTCGGTACAGAGGCCACTACCACATCTGCGCTGTCTATATCGGGCTTCAACCGACCTCTATCGATGACGACTTTCTACACCATATGTCAGAAAACCTAAGCATAAGCGTTCTATTCAGGGATTGGCAAGAGTTGCTCTTACCAAAGTTGGATTGATGGAAGATATCTGTCGCTGAGCTTGCTCTAGCAATTCTTCTCGATGTGCTAGCACGAGAGTTTTGGTAGCTTTTGGCGACCGCGCTGGAATTTTGGAAACCAAATTGGCCATTACAACCTAATTTTTAATACATGTATTATTATTTTGCTGCACGAAAAGTCAATTGATTACATATGGTTGCGAGGCACCTACTGTCTTCCCGCTGCCTTAAACGGTCATCAAAAGCAATCGTAAGTCTATGTAGTTCAAAACAAACAGTCGCTAAATATGTAAAGCCTTACCGACCGGAAGTGACACTACTTGTCTCTTCTTTCCCAGCTTGAGCTGATCCAAAGATGTTTGTACGCATTCTTCTTGATAAGATCGCAAGACTCTAACGGTTAGATTGTCCGAGCGAGCGACGTTCAATACACCGCTGGCATCTTGTCGACGCGCGTATACGGTATGGAAATTTCGAATGGAGATGGATGCATGGAACAAAGATTTATTACTAAAGTATATAAGTCTCGGTAGGCTTGCTATAGTTCGCAAGAGTGGAGGCATATAGAGGGGTTCCCGCTTAGGGCGTGGAACCGGTTCAGCGTAGCTTTTCAGGCATTGGACTGCTAATTGTTACTGAGCCAACTTCCAATTGCTCAGTCGACTGTTCGGTATCCGAGTAATTGCAAGAGAACATGGTACTTGCACCTTTGTGGGAGAGGGAAGATTGCTTTGAATGCGTGCTACTTTCGTCTGCGTTGTACATTGCTCCTTTACGATATCTTGCGCCTCGGTTATCGAGGGAAGAGCACAGTTTTGAGATGGAAGCCAATCTGTCTCCCACGTTTTGGTTACCCCATGCCGTTATCATGGAGGTCATTTTTGATAATTCCTTGGGTAAGTCGATGTTGTTCGGCGGTATAGGAATATCTTCCAGTGTTGTTTTAGGTAACTTTTCGAAAGCAAATTGTTCTGTAATTTTAGAATATGCATTATCAATATAGTCTCTGCTGTCGTCTAGCAAGTCGTCGCCTTCATCGGGTTGAACCTTTTTGAACAATTTGGTTTATAAGTTAGACATCTGCCGATCTCATTGCTTATAATGTAACCAAACTTACTGATACAAAGTTGATAAATTCCATCAGGCTTTTGGTGTTTTCCTTCAAGTACACTATGTGTAAGATTTGGTGCTGATTGTGATATCCATCCGAGTTGTTGCTTACCATAATAAACTGATGCAAAAATGACATCCATGGTTCTTTCAAACTTGGATCTACCAAGTTAGCGAGACTCATGAGACATTTTGCTAGTAATGTTAGGGATCTAGTTGTCTTGGCATCTGGTTGATCTGGTGTCGATATAGATGAGTTAGTCTGGTGCGTTTTTATAAAATCCTAAAGTTCCCTCACTTGCCTCGCACTAATCCAAATAGCCTTGGTGACGGAATAGCAGGGCAAATCAGCCTCAAAAATATAAATCCACTGAAACGAAGGGTTATTTGATTGTTACCAAAAACTTGTATTCTCACCCCATAACGTAATCCATTTTATCTTACCTGACGCAGTTGTAGCGGATCGTTTGACGGTTGCTTTCTTCCTCGTCGTCTAGGATAAACTTCTTGACAATAGCACAGCGTAAGTGTGAGAAAATTGACCGCAGCTGTCTGTTATATAGTTAGAGCGCAACCGAAATAAACAGTCAGTAAAAACGTCAGCAATGTCACCAAATGAACAGAGGTTTAAACCATGGTGCTTACAAGGGACATTTGCACTTTCCAAGCTCAATGCCTCTCCAGAGGGATCTAACGTATAGGAACAGTTGCTTCCAATTCTCTGAGATATTGGCTCCCTTAGGAGTTCGGGTTGGATCAACCTCAATGTGTGCCTTACTATCGATCAATGCACGTATGGTATCTCCAATAGTTTGCTCCAAAAAATTTCTACCAATCATCCTCATATAAAGATCTATGGCCTTGGTAAGCAGAGAGTTACCTCTGTAACAACATATCAGAAAACGCATTTTAACTCGACAATTCTTAGATTGGTTAAAGGTTACCTAAAGAGCGTGTTGGCATCATCTATGTCACATACAAGTGAGTTAGACTAACTTCACATTTCACCCTGGAGTTCAATTCATGGTACCAACCTGCACTGATACAAGAGACCTCATAGTCTATAAGAGATTTAATCCACGGTATCGATAGCCCTATGGCCTCATAGATGTTGAGAGCATTGGAAACAAAGGATTCCAAATCGGGGGCTTTTCGTGCAAGTTCGAAAGTAATATGATTGTCAAAGTTGGCCATTAGCTGGTACAGAGCACGTAAATTTGATGTAACAACATACACACCATCCATTATTAAATAGTTACTTACATCAATCAACGGTTTATATGAGCAAATGGGTAGAATGACTCTCTCCTCGAGTAAGGTTCCAATACGCAGTGAGCCGATGCAATCGGAATGGTGAACACTTAGTCCAGCCAAAGTTGCAAAAGCACCTTGTTTGTGCTCTTTTTGCACACGATACCATTCGCCCATCAGCTTATCCTGTTGAAGCTGTTCAACTGAAAGAGTCACCTTCCCTGTTGAAAGAAAAAACGGATGATCAGATACCGATGATAATACCTGCACAGAAAGTCATACTAACCGATTCTAGAGTCCTTTCCATACTTCGACTTGCTCACAAGCGTAACAGTGAGACCTTGAGCCACCTCTGGTAAGTTGCTACAGACGCTCATACATTAATTTGCTATGCGAGATTACTTGCATTATATAAAAATTTGCAATTGTACCTTAAACTAAAGTCCTCTTTCCATCCAGGTGAGGATGTCTTTTTTTGCATTCCAGTTATAGCCAAGACTTCATCTTCAACAGATAACTCGCAATACAACTCACTTGAACTTTCGCGATTTCCTCCAGAGATGTTTTTACCTTCGTAAACTCGTAAATACAATGTTCGCTCCAGGCGATATAAGAACGAGTCGGCATCGGCTTCTGCACCATTGACACATCCAGAAACATTGGGCTGGGCAAAAATCTTGAGCAAAGTAACCCAACTTCCTAATTCTTCTGCATTATCAACAGCCAGATAGATTGCTCTAATTGGCGAGGTTCGGATGGCAAAACAATGAAAGGTACTGAATACCGAATCAGACACTAGATAGATTTGGTTACGATTCAGATGCTGTATCATAACGGAATCCACCTGTCTGCATTCCTAAACACAGATATATGGGTAAGATTTTTATAGTTTTGCGTAATCGAGGGGGGTAGATCACACAACTTACTGGACCATCCAAAAGCTCAAATTTGTTATTCGACTTGAACCAACAGTGCAACTTCCGCCAGTAACTATTCTTGATGGAAAAGTTCTTGTCTTTGCGCACCTCTGCTGTTGATGTTAGACCCATGAAAAGTGCTTCCCAATCGTAACAGCCAAACTGAGCCTACCTCTCAGATATACACTTCCATGCTTGATGACATCGCCATCTATCCCGGGACCACGGCAAAAGCTTTTTCTGGATGTGACCATCGAGGCCATTGCATCTGTGGCATCAATTGAGAGGCTTGATAGCGAGAATGGGTGGAATTCGGTTGGTTTCTGTCGACCCATGGCGGTAAATATATTTTTTGCTCCGTGTTTGCTGTTTAAATAACCTATGTCGACGCTTGCGATTCCTGAATTTTCGGATACTGCCGAGTTGAAGTGATGTCCAGAGTAAGGCGCGCTGGAGACGGTTGAAAAGCTTGTTTTACGATTCATCGACATGGGCTTCACCTTTTGGCGGTTTCCATTTGCCTGACCCTAAACAGGAGGTAAGTATTGTATATGATATATGACTGATGATGAGGATTACTTCTTACCATTGGCATCATGGAAGACCTTGTGTCTTGTGGGCGAATATTTTGCCACATAGTCAGTGCTTGCATCCAGTCATAAAGCTCATTATCATAGTCGGTGTGTAACAGTACCTCCCTATAAACAGTGTTATGAAATCTGATATAGACAAATTTGAACCATAATTCAATTCAATGGTTCTTACTTTCCGTCAGCCGAGGTGACGCATATGACCTTTTCTCTATCCTCCACCAAAGGAATAATAGAAACAGTGCTGAACCGAATTTCTGATATCACCGTGTCATCCTGGGTGGCAAATTGTCAGAATCCCACTTTAGGTTAGTAATGCCAACAAACAAGCCGAACCATTTTCGCACCTGATCGTCTTCATATTGCATCAACCGGCCTTCAGGGGTCATCAGATAAAAATAGCGCCGTCTCCAAATCGATACATCGTTTTTCACGCTCTTCTTGTACATATAACCACGGATACTTGTCCGATTGATCATGGCCATATCCATTGGCGGCTGTTCATTTCGGGCGTATAAGTGGTTGGGCTGGGGTGATCTCGGAGTGACTGGAGGTGGTGAACTTGACACAGAGCCATAAGAACGGTCATTGTAATGAGTCGTCTGGTGCGTTACCGTATCTGAATGCTGATAATGGTAACCTTTGCATGATCTTCCATAGATTTTCTCTAAACACATTGCTCGCAGCTCTTCATAGTAAGTGCTAAGGCTTTTGTGAAGACGTTTTTCTTGCATCTCAAACTGTAGTAAAGTAAGAAAAAGAGAGCAATTGTTTAATGTCAATATACCATCAATTTATTTACCTCTTCAACCATGCTCACGTTCAGCTGGAGATTTGTATTGGCGGATGAATCAAGGGGCTAGGTTGTGTGGTACGTCCGTCAACAACGCTTATGAACGGTATGAACTAAGAGAAAAGCAGATTAAGCTTACCTTATTTGCCCTGCCATCTTCTGAGAATTCACCTGAATGCTTATTTTGAAGGAAATGATGGAAGCCTAGCTCACCAAAAGTCTGAAGCATGTCTTCCAGAAAACTTGAAGGTCCTCTGTGGAAATTGTGTACCAGCTGAATAACTTTAAGGATCTGTTGGATGTTTGATGCACAGTATATTAGTCACAAATTGTTTTTCTTCTGCAACTGATAAATTTTTGATTAAACTGACATCGTATCGCTCGTTGTGCTTTAGTAACCGGACTGTCCTTGTCAGTTCCCAAGAGTATTCAAAGGATACTTTGCACAGCTTTTCCTTCGAGGAGAATACTGCCAACGCATCTTCCTGAAAGGATCAAAAGGCGGTTAAAAATGCACTTCACAATTTTTAGGCTCCTCCATTCAATATTAACCTGGTAAGTCTTCATGGAGGCGACATCTGTTCTGTTGTTATTCACTAATTCATAGTGCTCTAGAGAAGTTTCGTATTCCGTCCGACTGGCTGTCACAGAGGGTGCCAATTTCTGTAAAGAGAATGAAGGTTCAATTATGGAACTATAGTTTTTGTCGCCCATATGTTCTCATACCTTTAGCATCTCTTCAGATTTCTTCTTTCTGTTTTGAAGATCTATTAAAAAATCCCACCTGATGTTAGCGGAGCCTAGACTTCAAATGATCGGCAGCACGGTGGCAATCTACCTTCCAAAAAATGAGTTAACGTTTCAGTAACAGAATTCTGACGTTCTTCAAACGTTTCCATCAAGTTGGCGACATTCGATAAGAGAGCGTCTGATTTTTCTGATGATGTGAAAATCTCAAGTCAGGACCCCTGCTGAAGTGTTGGGTTTCAACATTGTAAACTTTCATACAAACCTTCCAACTCAAAATATTTGTCGGTTATTAGATCTGAAATGGCCAATGCCAAAATCTGGACGGACTTTTCAAACACTTGTGACCGGACAAAATAAAGAGGCGTTAGGGCCACTCTAGCCATCCATTGCCGCCAAATCCGTACTTACATTTGCCAGCCTCAAACACTTCGGCAAGGGCGTCTGTAAACACTCCAGATTTTGCTATGGACGATTCATGGTCTGCAATATATTCTCGAAAGGCTGCAGAGTCATTGTATAGTTCATCGACAGGAATTAATTTTAGTTCCGGATGGTTGGATTCAGGTAATGATGATAATGAGCGGGAATGGGTTAAATTCTTATTTTGCGAGATTTGATTTAAGGAGTGCTCTTCAAAGAATGGGGGAGAGTATTTATCGTTAACATGGTTTGAGCGACTGTAGAGGAAATCGCGTCCTGCATAGGTGTTTGGCGGGAGCTGTACGGGTTGTGGTTGATGGAGAGTGTACATCAAAAAAAAGGTGAGGTAAAATGGAAAGGGAGCTATTGAATGCTGGGTCACCCCAACTGGTACTTTAGGTCGTTTTGCGACACCAGATTTTATTTGGACAGAAAAAAAAAGCAACTTCGAGGGATGGATTTCAATCAGGAGATGTGAATCGCTCACACAAGTACAGTAATGTAGAACCTCACGGAGAACGTCCAAGGAGTGAATTTTCGGGTTACAGGGTCAAGTCAACTAATGGCTAGTAAAACCATGGCAAATGGGAGACGACCTTGGATTTATGAAATATCTCATGTTAGTTATCGTGCCTTGTCCTAGATGGACGTTTCATTTTTGAAGATGTTTTCAAATGCGATCCTTTGTGAATTGAAGCCACGCTGCTCGCAAACTGTCGATCCCACACCATATCAAAAAAATAAAAAGGTCACACACAGTTGTTGATCTTGGCTGGTTTCAGCATTGACCCGCGCCTGCATGCGGCTTAAAACCATTAAACAGATTCTTAAACGATGGGCACCATCCATTTGACGAAATGAGGGTAACATTGTTTAGTTTGCTTTATGAACTACCTATACCTGATTCGATTTTTACATTACTGTGAAGATTATCAGGTCCCTCCTTCGAGGGTAATCGTGATAAAAAAAAATCATTGAGTAATCTCTATGGTGCTAGGTAAATTCCATGCGTGGTCATTGTTTTTTCTACGTGCAGTGGTGATTGTTCGGAAGTCTTGACAAATATATTGTATTCAAGCGCACATTTTATTTTTTCTGCTTCTGTCTCCAAACTTACACCGTCTCAAGTCCCCAATTTTGAAGGGGGTTGGACAGGGGTCATATCGCCTTGTAACACACTTTGTTTTTTGGCATCGCGCCTTCCCAGCCATTATCTTTCTTTCCTCGTCAACAACAAATTCATATTACTGCTGTTATTGAAGTCGTAGCACTATATCTCAAAGCGATATCAACTTCTCTTCAATCTTTTTTTACACAAATCAGTCGACCGGCTGAGGCGCATGAGTTTGTGCACTAACGTCTATGATAGCGGCTGCTTGTAGTTTTATCCCAGCCATTATATCGAAAAGTTCATGGAGGCGATTGCATCATTTCAGTCATTAGCTCAGGCTAAACAACATGAAGGACAACCCAAGGTACAGCCTTCTTATTGAGATTTTTGTTGACAATGAATTGCGAAAATATGACAGTAACAGTGAACCTCTTCGTGGTCAGCAAGCATATCGTCTGTATATAAAAGCTGTGTTACTGATTTGTGAAGAGTTAAAAAAAGTCGCTTTTCCTGATGAAAGTAGGTAAATAGTTAAGGTTTGGTAGGACGCGACTTCCTCACGTAAACTGCATCTAAAAAACTTTTTCCCTTCAAGTGATTTTATCCACCTCCAGCCCTTCTTCAGAATGCTTCGCTTTAGCACGTCAGTGTTTACAGAGCGCTGAATCCATCAAAAACACATTATGCAACACAAACATCCAAAACATGTCGAGCATACCACTATCACCATCTCCAAAGTCACCACCGCCTGTGCCGCCCAAACCGAAAATATTGAAGAGGAAGCCAGTCGACACGTCCCTGGTAAATTTACCAACTAAACCACAGGGTATATTTATGCAGAGGAGCTTATCAACTGGACGAGGATATTTGGGTACGCCAAAACTGAATATTCCACAGTTTCAAGTGACAATTCCGGAGAGTAGCCTGGACCCTTCGACTCCGTTTCAAGAAAGCCCAGAGTCCATTGTGTTCGACAAATCTGACAACCATACGAAACCAGAACCTCCTCGACATCAAGCAGCTATGGTATCCCCTCAAGGTACGTCTGGGAAACGATAAGTGAATATTGACATGATGGGATACTAGATTGATGATTTGATAATATAGGATCTGTAGCGACGTTGAGGCGAAAACTAGATACTGTTATTTATAGACGAGCGTCCTCGCCCAACCTCGGAAGACCGTCTCCGCAGCACTCAGCGTTGAATGGTCGACGAGCCAGCACGATCAAAGGCATGCTGTCGATCCCTCACTTATCGCGAGGAGAGAATCGAGCCATTGACAAGAGTGCACAAAACTCAAATCTTGCTTGGTTTTCTCTTGACAGTCTAGCAAACTCGTCTTTCCACTTTGACAATTCTGTTGATGTATCACAAACCGTACCTGCGCAAATGTTACAGGAAGATAACCTGATAGTTCCTGGTACGCAAAGGAGCAACGACAACATACCGAAAATACCAATCCCCCCACTACAGGTCGTTTATAAGCACTTTCAAGATCAAGACGCAGCATTGACTGATAGATCTGAGAGTGATTCATACGAAAACAGTGCCACCGCTTCTTATATACCCGAACAAAAGCTGCATCTGCTAGTTCAAAGATCCGATCCGGGTGACGGTGATCCATCGCAAAAGAAGGCATACATTCCAGATCATAAAGTAATTATCAATCAGTTGCACACCCTTAATGTGTCGGCAGCTATGGTTCAATCCATTCTGCAATTCCGTCCAAATATGGTAGCCTATCAGCTTACACTGATTGATTCCTCAATCTTCCGTGCTATTCGAACCGACGCTTTGATAGAACATAGCGCAAAGGCTCCTCACCCCAATATTGTAGCGTCGACGGATTTCTTCAATTATCTCACAAGATATATAGAGCATTGTATTCTTCTTCCACAAGAGGCGTCAGTGCGGGCCCAACATGTTAACCATTGGATTAAGATCGCAAGTAAATGCTTAGAACTTCGAAATTTTCAAACATTGAAAGCCATCGTGTCTTCCCTCGGTACACCTCCCATCCAACGGCTGAAACGGACATGGTCATTTATACCCAAAAAGAGTTTAGCAAGATTAGACATGCTAAATAGCATCATGTCTGAAAGTTGCAATTATCGTAGATACCGCGATAGAATACGCAACATGTTGGAAATCGAACAGAAGTCAGCGGATGTTCTCAGAGTTACAAAGCCGATCGTTCCATTCCTTGGGACCTTCATACACGATGTAACGTATATCATTGCCTTCATCAAGAGCTATCGTGGGCCAGCACCTGCTACCAGTATTTCCACACCTACAACACGATCCAAGAGTAAGGATGCAGTAGCACATAAGATGGAGTCGATGATGGCACCGTCCGACATATCTGCTACCGAGAAACTGATGCTGAAGCAAGACCAGCGGTTTGTAGAACTGGCTCGCAACTTTGAGTATTATCAAAAATGCCCAGATTACTTGCCATCGATTCCATCTCAATTCGTAAAGTCCATGTATAAATCAAGGAGAACCAGGCTCTCTGATGCCCTTAAAAGCGCTTCTAACAACAAGCTTGGTCTTCCAACCTCTGAGGACGATAAGGAAGATATGCCGGTGCCAATGCAACAAGTCGTCATAACACAATATTTGGTGAGTGTATAGATGCAAGAAAGGTAACCTTCGCTCATATGAAATTGGAATATTGATGAGTTTGATTTTCAGCTCACGAGATCTTGGGTTGCTGAAAAAGTCATCGATGAGCTTAGTATGACCCGAGAACCATCCCAAAAGCCGCGTAGCAACTCGGAAAGTTCAACACAGCTCACATCGTCCTACAACTCTAACACCACTACTATGAGTGCTAGCAGCACAAGCTCAATCATTACGTTCAAGACTAGCAGTCTAGGCGGTTTTCGTAGCAGTTCTGGTAGTTACGACAGTGACAACCCCTGTACCAGTGGAGACGACCCTATGCCTGCTGCGGATAAGGTGAAAGGTGATGCTTCTCCAAAATGTACAGCTGTGGTCACAGAAGCCTCTGCTTCCTCTGAAAGGAAGGAAAACAAGAATTTATGGTCTTTTACCTGGAAGAGAGGGTCTGTGGATGACTCGCAGGATAGTCACGAAGGACACTTAACTACAAGTAGCCAATCGGAACTTGAAGTCAAGGGTCGATCCATGATATGGTCCGATGAATTTTGGGAAGGACGCACAATGGATGAACCAGAATCGAATGTACAGCGAGGTGATTCAAAAAACGAGAATAAGGCGCCGGGTATCAATTTATTACGTTCAAACTACACACTTTCGTTACCCAAACCGCAATATCCAAGAAGTCACTTGGACATTGTCTCTGCCGGTCCTACACCGCCTTGGTCTTTCAACCGCACCACAGGCGATATCAAGTCACGGAATCCTCTAATGGACACTGTGGCACCATGGCAGCCGGTTGATGAGCCAGAACCGATTTGAAATTAGGGCAAATGAAGTTCGGGTATGCAAGCTTCAATGGACTTGTCATTTTAGAACCCAAAAATGTCGTCAATCTCATCCTTTCTGGATCCTTTCGATTTCTTATCCGAGGTTGACGCCTGCTGCACCTTCGTCTTCACCTTTTCTTTCATTTCAGCTTTTCCATTGTTTGATAATGAGCTGCTGCTTGCGCTCTTCTTTTGGCTCTTGGCGCCGTCATTGTATTTAACTTGTTCATTTGCTGCCATCTTTCGTTTCTTTTTCTTCTTTTGCTTTTCCGCTATAGACACCGCGTCCTTGACAACCACATAAGGTTCATCCTCATCCTTTGACTTTCGCTTCATACCCGTCTTCTGCTTCATTTCGTGAGCATTCTCTTGCGATGTAGAATTCGGTTCCGATATCACTTTGATTATGTTTTCCTCTTCAGCAACTGTATCATCACGGAGCACAATTTCTGAATATAGATGTAATTATTTTCATAAATTGTAAGTATGGCGGTGACAAGAATTCGCAATGTGCGTGAATGTATATACCTCCATAATCCATTGGCTTGCCTTCCATTTTGGGTTCAGTGGAATCCCGGGTCAATATTTCTAAACCAAACAAAACTCTTCCATCAGAGGACGAATTTACCTACTCCATATTGAATCATGCAAATTACTACAAACCTCCATAATCTTCCATAGCAATATCTCCTTTAAGACCATTTTCTTTTGCAATTCGACTCACTGTATCTTCTATCGACGTGTCCAAAAAAGTTTCACGGATATCAGCTGAAACATTTCCAGACTCAAGATGAACAGGTTTGAATTCAGATATTCTGGAAGCAGGATATATAAGCCATTATTCAAAGGTGATGTATGTTCGTATCAGACCGCACTTACCGTCGCTGGCTAAACTCCCCAGACGCCTTCTTCCTCGCCTGTTTCATGGTGGTTTTGTCAATGTCTGAATAAGAAAGCGATGTGTTCTTTGTGTCGGTAGGGAACTTTTGCTTCCAGTCTATCATAAGGTCATAATAGTCGTCTATTTCAACACCCCATTGTTTACAAGTTAGAAACGTCCTGCTACAGAGCCCCATAATGACCAGCGTTAGAGGGATAAAGTATTTCTTGTTCAGGAGATGCTGGTGTGCTCTGTTAACAGGGTTAGTGGTGGAATGTTCGCTTTGGTGTAATATATATGATAGTTAGCTACCTATATGTCTCAATAGAAAGCACTTGAATCTATTCGAGATACCTCGCATTAGTAAAGAGTTTTTAAGTAATCCTTTTCTTGATTTTCAAACTTGCCCGATCTATCAACAACGCTGCCGATATTATTCTATGCAGGCTGTAATTGGCATATTCGAGAGTTGGTGATGTTGTAGGATTTCCTTTGCATTTTGCAAGACTTAGAGAAAATGAGTGGATGTCTTATATTGATGTGTACCCTTCTTTTGAAAATTTCTTACGGTGTTTCGTTATAGAATGAAGTATACAGCTTTGCTACCTCAGCCGACGGATTAATTTCTTTCAGCCGTTTCATCAATCTCCGCACCTACAAATTGTATTACCAAAACCCAAAAAAGATCAATACCAACATCAAGTCCAATGAACACAAGTCATAAAGATATATCTATCTTAAACATACCTCACCGAATTTCTTAAAGTAATGGGACTGTCTGTGCTGGTTGACGTTCTTGTAGTATATCCTATCCCATATGGCCAGTTCTAACCAAAAGTCTTGTTTCCGAGAAGCCTTAACAAAAGCCGAAAGTTTTCGCATATTGAAGGGGTCATCGTCTGAATTGGGTGGAGTGGATGCAATTCTGACCGGACATTCAGGCATGTCACGGTCTAGTATGGTCGGCATAGCGGAGGAAGGGAAAGCAACCATGGACTCAAAAAATTTGGGACGGCTTTTCTTTCGGAGGCTGAGCATGATGTCACGACAGGCCTGGCAGTGGGGGGCTACCAAAGAAATTTTGACTTTGACGTGGAACTACGATTCGCTACTTTCCTTTGATTTGCAATGTCTGTACCTGCCTATCAGCCCTTCTCTCCACTCGGTATTCCGCAAAAGCAGCAGGAAAAGACCCAATATTCCCCATGGAACCCCATGGGCTGGTACAGCTCCGTTAATTCCTACAGACAGCGCCTCAACTTGCCCAATCCCGGCAAATTTGAGAGACTGCACTTTGAAACAAAAGGTTGGTCTCCACTGATCCATCCATTACGCCTTTACGCGATCTACCATCGACGTGATCGCAGCAATAGCATCCTACTTATTTGTTTTACGCGCATTGACATTGGCTAATCTAATATACTTTTTCTCTTTTGTTTTCCTTTCATTTCTATTCTTCCAGACACTTTCTTGACCAACTATATTTTCGATGGTGCACAAGCCAACATTATTAAGGAGCTCTCCGGAAACTTCCATGTTCAACATCAGTTCTCCCTTGGCTCTCAAGTTGCTCCCCCAATGTATAACTTCATGGCTGGTTATACTACCGAGAGAGTGAGTGATTTATTTACATTTTTGATGAGCGCCAACCCGGAAACGAAATCATGCTAACGACAAAATCTAATCTAGACCATGATGCAAGGTACTATGGACAATGATACCAACATGAACGGTACCATTAGGTAAAGGTTATTGGGCGTGATAGTTAAAGGTGTAGACACTCCGTCTTATGCTCTCTGATATTTCTTATAGACACATGTGGAGCCCTAGCTCAATGACCAAGATTGTTGGACAGGTAATGAGTTTGGGCGCATACTCTTTGGTCACCGGCCATAGTATACTGACTGTTCTACATCGTTTATAGTTCACCAATACCCCTGGACACTCCATGATTCAATTGGAACAGGATTATATTGGAACTGACTTCTCTGCCAACGTCAAGGCAATGAACCCCAGTCCCTTGGAATTTACTGGTATCTATATGGCATCATACCTTCAATCCCTCACCTCTAATTTTGCTGTTGGTTCGGAATTCGTTCTCCAACGCCCTACTACCGAGATTGAAGAGTCTATGATGTCCCTTGTGGGCAAGTATACCGGCAAAGACTTCGTCGCTACTGCCCAATTCCAGGGTGTTGGAGTTGTTCAAGCTACCTACTATCAGCGCATCAACGAGAAGGTCGACTTTGGTGTCGAGCTCAACTTGGTTGCTCAAGGTGGCAGACGAGAAGCCGTTGCTACTGTTGGTGGTAAATTTGATTTCCGACAAGCTACTTTCCGTGGACAAATCGATACGACTGGTCGTACTTCTGCTGTTTTGGAAGAAAAGATGGCACCTGGTTTCTCCTTCCTTGTGAGCGGTGACTTGGATCATATGAAGGGTCAGAGTAAATTCGGTGTTGGTATTATGCTATCTGCTTAGAAGAAAAAACCTATCTCCTTCTTTTCTCCCTTTTCCCTCTTGTGTATTATTGCCACTTGCTTTGTGAAAAAAGTCCCAATTTTTTTCGAATATATAAAAGACATACAAGCACTTGATTTAGACAAATACATAATCCTGCGAATGTGCATCTATGGACTTGCAGAAGGGGATGATGCCTGAGTTGTAAGCTAATGTAAGGCTTATCGGTGGCAATTCGCGGGAAATCCAAGTGAACGGTGCCGGTAAGACGTTATAAGTTTACGTTGAAGACGAAATGTCATTCCACAGATGAATTAACGTCTGTTTGGCTTGCGAATGATAGCGAGGTAGTTTGAGAATTAAGTATGGGGAAGAGAGGTTTTGCCATATGACCAGCCATCCCGCTGAAACCATTACTTGGTCTAAAGCCATTGGATGACTAATGGAGGTGATAGCTGCTAATAAGCACAGCTATAGAATTAAGCAATCAAACACAAGAGATTATAACTGCTATTCAATGCCTGCCTGAGACGTAGCAAAGATGGTTCCTTCCATTTTCGAAGAGACTCCTGGTAGGACGCTTTATTTGCGGAACTGGTGGTTCTCATTGGCCAAAGTCAAAGATGAGAAGAAAAAAATTCAGTCCGCCAGGCTCAAAAGTCAGGTCTGACCGTTTTTTGCAATCTCATTCTTCTCACACTAATGGAGCCAGACGACGAAAAACCATTTCAAGATTCGCAAAATAATACTCCAGTACAACGATTTCTCGCTAGACATGTGCCTACGCAGCTGGCGAATCCCCGAAAACTCTGTTATCGGCATAGACCTGATCTAGCTCGCCTACGAGGGCCAGACGAGTACAACTTTACCGATGTTCAAAAGGTAAATGTCGGTAATTTGCACAGTCAATTAGAGATTTCTCGCCAACTAATATGCTCTTCGTTTTTAAACAGCAAATGGACAAACTTCGATGTACAGACAAGGCAGCGATAACGCATATTTGGTCATTATTCAGCGCCGCACCTCCTCAGCAACGAATACTCATATTGCAAGGTTTATTGTCCACGTGCTGCATGCCTCAATTATCTTTTCTACATGATGCTGTCCAACCGCTGCTTCGAATTGATTTTATTGCCGTTCTTCCTAGCGAAGTTTCACTGAAGATACTATCATTTCTGGATGCGAAATCATTGTGCCACGCAGCTCAAGTAAGCAGGACATGGAAATCATTAGCTGATGACGACGCAGTATGGCACCGCATGTGCGAACAACATATCGATAAGAAATGCACAAAATGCGGATGGGGCCTACCCTCACTTGTCAAAAAAAGGACAACTAGGACGAATATGCGAAAAAGAGCGCTGATCACTAATAGTTCGCCACAACCTGTACATATGGCATCATATGCTAATGCTCCGCTCCGCAATACGTGTGGGTCAGACGAGACTTGGGAATCCCAAACTACAATATTAGCCTCAACATCGTCAGACTTACCGTCTTCGAGTGAAGCTTCATCGGAACGAGAAGTCAAGCGACCAAGAATCGAAAGTCCACAAGTGTCTGATTCTCAAGAGGCTTCCACCCCACCGCCTGTATCACACGATGTTGTCACTATACCAGCCCAAGTACAACGTCCATGGAAAGATGTTTACAGTGAACGTCTCATCATTGAACGAAATTGGCGACGTAACAAATACAACATGCGGATATTGTCAGGACATACCGACGGCGTAATGTGCCTTCAATTCTGTGACACCAGCAACATTTTGATAACCGGTTCCTACGATAAAACCGTCCGTATATGGAATCTAGAAACTGGAGAAGTCATTAGGGTTCTAACGGGTCACACTCGATGTGTGCGAGCGTTACAATTCGATGATGCCAAGCTAGTGACCGGGTCCATGGACCATACTTTAAAAATATGGAGCCTTCAAACTGGTCAATGTATTCGTACTTTGGAAGGCCATACCGATGGCATCGTCAGCCTACACTTTGACTCGCGCATTCTCGCCAGCGGCTCAGTGGACACCACCATCAAGGTCTGGAATTTTGAAACGGGTGAATGCTGTACGCTTCGTGGTCATACCGACTGGGTCAACAGTGTTCGCATCCATCAACATTCCATGATTGTATCAGGCAGCGACGATACAACCATACGATTATGGGATTTGAATACACGAACTTGCATTCGAGTGATACAAGGTCATGTTGGACAAGTCCAAGTAGCTATTCCTTCGGGTCCTGGTTTCACCCATCGATTTATTGAAGTGCCAGTCGCTCGACCTGATATGGTTCAGCATCAGCAGCTTCATTATTTACGACAACAGCAGCATTTACAACAACAACAGCAACAGCGACGAAGACAGCTCACTGATTTTAGTCCTATTTGTACCGTTGATAACGCCAATGAACAAGTCGACCCATCTAGCGATGAAGATAAATCTGAAGCAAGATCAGATCAGCCGATCATTATCTCAGGATCTTTGGATAACACCATCAAGATTTGGTCCATGGTCGGTGGTCAATGCCTTCGAACCTTGTTTGGCCATGTGGAAGGCGTTTGGGCACTTGCCTATGACAAACTTCGAATCGTGTCTGGCTCGCATGATAATTCTGTCAAACTGTGGGACATGGAAAGTGGACGATGTATTCACACACTTGAAGGTCATCGTGGGCCAGTCACCGCCGTCGCTCTTAGCGATATGAAAGTCATTAGCGCCTCAGACGATGGCGATATCAGAATTTGGGACTACGGAGTACAAGCTTAACGCAACAGTAATTAGTCTTTTAGAATCTAGACACCAGCGCAATACCCTTTTTCATTCAAAAGCTCAACTCCATTCTTGTTTTCCTTTATATAACCAAGATTTGTCTTCTTCACTCCCTAATGTTCATTACAAAAATAAAAAAATAAAAAAAAATCATGAAAATGACCAGAATTGGCCCATTGCAGATGGCCATTTAGTCAGCCAATCAAAAGTCGTCTAGAGCAACAAATTCATGAAGACTATGATGATATAAAGTTTAATTGATAGATGACATTTTTAAAAGAAACAAGTGTACGATCAATAAGTGAAGAATAAAACTACAGATGCTAGTTCCACTCCTCGGATGGAGTCCTGCGTCGAATCTTTCACATAGCTTGTTTTAAAAGCTGGTTCTCTGCAAAGTCCATGGTGGCAACAGCTTGTTGGCGGAGATTCAATGTCAATGCGAGGAACGGAGCATTACATTGGTGTAGTCTGCACTAACTGGATATCTTTTGACACGATAACAAGGGAGTGAATTCATGTAATGGTAGAGGGAAAAGTGAACGGATAAGTGGTTGTTACGATGTGGATGGTGTTTTCCTTGGGTTGTCGAAGCGTCAAAGTAAGTTAGCAATGGGCCGCCTCCATAAAGCAGCAATGGTCCGGGACTGAACTATCATACTTTTTATTTATGAAGAGGTAGCTTCTTTCCTTAAACCCGGTTTCTCTCTTTTTCTCTTTTTAAACCAAACGGACATAGCCACCGCTTTTTCTCTTCCTTTTGTAAGAAAAACGACCCTGACGGCACCCCGGAAAAGAGTTATGTCACAGACATACCCATTCGAGTCATTCATCTCCTCTCTGAACGTTGAAGTTCCAGAGACAAATGACCTAAGCGAACAGGAACTTGCTGATGAGTTAGCCATCTTTGCCAACGCTCAGTTTACCTTTGATATGCCCCCTGGTATGGGTATCCAAGACGACAAACCTATGCCACCTGAACAACACCACCGTTACAGCTACCAACACCAACACGAACTTGTGCTTGGCCATGTTGCCAAGCTTAAGCAAGACCAGCAGCAAAATGGTGGTTCAAAATCACAAGAACTTCACCCCATAGGTAAGATGTTATCCTTGACATGCGAGTGATTGTCAGTTTGTGATTTATCACGGTTCTCATTTTTCTGCTTTATTTCTATTTTTTCACAACTTTCTTATGTGTGACACAGTCGATCACCAAGGTTACCAGCCTAATGAATTTTCTATGCCTCAAACTTTAAACAGCAATGGCCCATACCTTCCTGTGGGTGCTTCGATGTCTACCATGTTGACCAGTGCGCAGCATGCCGAGCACGCCAATGTTTATAAGCAGCAACTGACCGTGAATACTAACCACGACAGTGCTACTTCATCGCCCGCCAACTCGGCTCCTAACACACCTATCAGTGAACATCCATCGAAGGACGATCAACGAGGCATTGTTGGCGACGACGATAAGCGACGTCGCAACACAGCGGCTAGCGCTCGTTTCCGTATCAAGAAGAAGCAGCGCGAGCAAGCTTTGGAACGCACGGCAAAAGAAATGACAGAAAAGTCCGATCGTCTTGAATCCCGCGTCAAGGAGTTAGAACTGGAAATCAAGTGGTTGCGCTCTCTTTTGTTAGAGAAGGATTCTCGTCAATCTGAAACTACCGATTCTGATGCTAAGAAAGATCATTAAAAACGGAGGAGCCACGTCTCTGATGTTGTTATAAATAGTGTTTTCCATTTGCCTTTTTTTTCCCTCGTTTTTTATTTTGCAATGTCCATATATTATGAATTTGAAATTGTTGCTTTGAAACACTCGCTCTGAATGTTATCAAAATTGCCTTGGCATCTTGTTGATGAGGAAGACCCTTATTGTCACTATGACCCCCCAGCCATGCGTGGCAGGCAACAAAGTCATAATGCATACTGCGCGCAAATTGGTTCGTAAGATCATTAATATCATTTAGATGGAAATGGTAACAATGCCCATTGAATACTATAGATTGGGCTCGACGAAATAGGTGCGACGAAAAAAAAATCTAAAGAAAATCAATTAGGCTCAAAAGCACACATTCTAAAGTAGCCGTGCTTTGGCCATAAAATAACAGCTTTAGGAGAAATTGTTCTTACACCATGTCATTTCATTCCCGGTAAACAAAGACACATTGGTGTTGCATGTCTCGTAATTAGTTTCCAAAAGTTAAAAAAGAAGAAAATTGCAAAAAGTAATTCGAAACACGAATAATAAAATGGTGTGCACGCACTGGAAGCCACAAGTTTCAATTTCATAAAATAGATGGCAATTTACGTAGGTGGTGGTGGCTACGGCACATCTCGAAATATACGTTAGCATTTACGGTCAATATGGTGGAGGTCATGAACGAAGCCCTCAATGGTAGCAGATGGCCGCCACTCCATCACAAAGCTATGGTAGTACGGTTGAGGTAGACTTTTGAGTTGAAAAGGGGGAAGCTAGGGATATCGCGCTAAGGTTTTTTTTTGTGATCGTGAATTGAGTTAGCCCCAACCATGCTGTAGGAAAGCAATAGGTACAACACGCTTGATCGGTACAAAACCCCATTTTCTTTTCTCCTAAAAAAGCTACATCCCAACGGCTCTCCCCCTGAGCCATAGTCTGCGGGTTATGCTCTACGAAGCGACCATGGTGCAAGTTAAAGATCAACATGCTCCGCAATGAATCATGACGTGCATAGCTCATTAGCCTTGCCATGTACTTCCAAATGCCTTCATTCCATTCGCAAGTAGGATCATTTGTGCCTCCTTACATTCGCCGCGCCTTTGGTACAGTCTAGAAAAGCTGCTAACCAAATTTTCATCGCTCGCCCATAGCTTGCAAAGGGTCCATATGACCCTAAGCCCAGGACACTTCATGCAAGGGTCCTGTTTGTTCCTGTGCTGCTGCGAGACCAAATAGAGCCAGCGTCTAGGTCCATCGATTGCAATGCAGGCGCATCCTTCTTTTGCTTCCGGTACAATATTGACCAAACCTCAAGCAAGCGGCTATCTGAAGGATATTGGGGGTGAGGTTGCACACGTGTGTATCGAGCCATGGCATGAACCGTCACTGGGCTGCGCACTTTGGTAAACAAATGGATAAATCAAGCAGATGATGCAATCGGCAACGCTGGGCCGATAGCACCGCCGCCTTCATGGATCAAAAAAAAAAAAAATTGAGCGCAGCAGCAAAAGAAAATGCTTTCAACCCATCAAGCCAGCGACCCAAGAAAATAAAAAGTACAGAGTTAGAAATTGACTTGTTCTGGCTCAAGGCTGCGTGGTCCTGTCCTTTATCTTATTGGTTCATGAGCCCAGGAAAGGAGACAGTTTTGTTCCGGTAGGACCTGCATTGCATAAAAGAACGATTTGGAAAGATCAAGCTACAAGCGATCACTGTGGCTCATTGGTGTTTTCATAACCCCGTTGCAGGAATGCCAATAATAAAAAACACTCAACCAAACAATAGTTCCGACTTTCACGGAGTGCAAAGGCAAAAGCGAAGCGGGCTGATTCGGCTGTGAGAAGAGTTTTACAGACCCAAGCTTGGAAAAAGACTGATTTGATGTCAACCACGCGTTTTGTTGTGTAGTGTCTGGGCCAAACTTGGGGATGGGGGGCGAGGCTGTAGATGAATCTATTCTCGTTGATTGGTGCGAAGAACATACCCCCCCTTGGCGATAGAAACACCTCCCGTTAAGTGCTACAGCATAATATGAAAGAGCGGCGCGCATCTAAAGAAGTCTCCGAGGGTAGATGGTCAAAAATGGTAAGAAGCCGCTTGGAATTTGTACATACTGAACCGAAAGGCTGCTTGCATTCGCGTTACTCGGACCTGGGCGTCGATATCTCAGTCAACCAAGAATGTCAATTGGTCGGCAGGCCTGATAAAGAATGAGGCGCGCCTAGAGTGTAACGTTCAAACCCCCCCCCCCCCTTTTTGGAGAGAGTATTCGCAACCATAGGTATTTTTCACAACACGAGAAAAATAAGCCAGCTGATGACCTGACTTTTTTTTTGTGTACTTCAGCACTGCCCGTTGTTACAATTTCCCCAAATATGAAAACTTCATTGTTCTCAGCAACGATAACTCCCACCCCTCTCGATTGTTGCATGAGAAATATCAAGTCTAGCCCTTCGATCGCTCAAGGTAGTACGGAACGTCTATGTTTAGGCGTTTACAAGAAAGTAGCTATATGTGATGCAACGCTACACTATGCTATGCTCCCAACCTTCTACTATGTTACATTTAACCTTGAGCCCACACAATCTTTATCGTTTTAAAAAAGACAAACACAAACAGCATGACCCTTTTATTTACGCTTCGGGTCTCAAAACCGTTGGATCTCGATGATTTGCTTCAACACGACTATCCAAAGCGCATTCCATATGTAGAGCAGAGCTGAGCTGTACTAGGTTGAGCTGTGCAGTGCAGAGCAGAGAGCTTTTTGGTAGGATGCAGGTTGTACCAGATGACGATCAAAAAGCGTTTTTGATACTCAGCGGGTCTTAAAGTGGCATCATCGGCACGATGGAATCCTACGATTCAAGGCAGAGTATGGTAAAGTCGGGCGTGCTGACTCTACAAATCCAGAAGGGCGCACAAACTATTGTACGACCTTGAGGTCTGGGTGACAAAAAGTCCAAGAGAGCAACCAAGAAAAAAAAATTTTTTTGGGGGGGGGGGAAGCGAAGGAGAAGGAATTGAGGGTCAAAGTAGAGTCGAGGGGTATGGTTCAGTGGAACGATCTGAATATGGGAATTCTTGTCGGGAAGCAAAAAAAAAAATTAATTTCATTCAATCAATCAGTAGCCTACCTACCATTGCTTCAGATCACTATAGAAATCCAGCTGGGGTGAACGTAATAGACCAATTGTCGTTCGAGCATTGGGAAAAACCGGGTTGAGAAAATAGGGGTTTCGTAGCTCACTGCAGGTACGCGCAATTACAATTTTTTTTTTTTTACCCCACGCCGTTTTCAGACATATGGATCATAAGGCTAGAGCTCACTTGATTGGGGACAAAGATAGTGTAATAAATATAATAGCAAGGCAATTTATTATGTTACATAGTGCGTGTGGGGAAAAACAGAATTTTTTTTAGTTTTTCTTATTCTAATTAATATTTCATGGGCACAAAACATCTTTGGGAACTTCTTGAGGGCCGTCTGTCAAGATTCCCTATCTTTCTTACAGGACGCCCAGCTATTAAAAGCCAGTCGGTAGGGCTAGGTGACTTGCATCGTCTTTCTTTTTCCCCACGTGCCTCGACCACTTTACCAATAATTGCCAGTCGGATAGTAAAAGAGCTGGTAAAAAAGTCAGCTGGGACGAAAGGGCTGGCTGGTCAAAGATTGAACAGTTCCAGATTCACTGTCTCGAGAAATTGAAACTGGACGGAGAATGTTTGATTGTTGGTAGGCCTATGTCCAGGCTAGACTGCTCTACACCCCCTTTCAACGTAAAACTTCTTTGAAATTGACCATCATGGTGTAACCAAATCGTCATAAGGCTAAAGAAAATACTGTATTACAATGAGTTTTATATGATTACCATTCAATGACAAAACGACGTAAGAAAAAAAAAAAAGGACATATGTATAAACCCTCCAAAAGAAGCAGAGAAAAATAAATTCAACAAAAAGTAGAGATGAGAAAAATTAATAACAGGCATACAAACTTGCAATACATCGGCTGTGAATATACAAAGTGAAGATTGAAAGAAGTGACATGCAATTCAAAGAAGTTGGGTTCCTTTTTTTTAAAAAAAAAAAAAGAAAAAAAATACAAGGGATAAAAAACGAGATCAACTCTGTCCTCCTCCTGCTGTTGACATTATGGGTAGCGCCAGTGCTTATTTTTTCGTTCAAAAATGATGGTATTATTATTGTTTTTTTTTTTTTTTTTTGGTGCTTTTTCGTTGCAACATCACTTGGCTTTTCCCTTAATGTCGTTCGCTGTTCAGTAAGGCGGAGCCATCGCAGCATTTGCGTATTGGTCAGTGAGATCAAGAGCTCCGCTCTTGTTCCTGCTGGTGTTGGAGACTCCGCTTGTACTTCGTGAAACATTTTGATGGTTGCTGGAACGGCGGCCGTCGGGAGGTAAAGGTTGCCCGCAGCGTTTGACCAAGATATGTCGTTTTAATGCGTCCTTACGACTGAATTGCTTGTCACAGGTTTGGCATGGGAAAGGTTTGACACTAAGATGAATGCGCTTGTGTCGTTTCAAGTCATGATTTCGATTGAAGGATTGTGGGCATTTATCGCACTTGTAAGGTCTTTCGGTCAAAGGAACCTTGTAGTGGTAAGCCTTCATATAAGGAGGGTAAGAAGGCATGTTGGTATTGTGAGGAGCAGCCGTGATCATTCCACCTCCAATGCTATACCGTCTTGAATGCTTGGGAGAGTCATCCTCGTGGTAAGAGAGATAATCGCTAGAAGTAGGATATGAATTGGAAATGGGTGAAGGTGTTTCGTCCCCAGCAGAATAGTGATAATCAGCCACGGGAGGAGGACTGGTCGTGGTGTTGGTCAACATAGGCATACCAGATGCTGCTACAGTTGATTTTCGGTAGTCGTCTTGAGGGGGATAGAAATGTTCAGACGACGGAGATTCGCCTCCAGAATGATGTGCGTGGTGCTGATAATCCCAAGTTTGGAATGCATGCTGTTGTTGTCGATCATAATCATAATGCTCAGGTGATTGATGATGAAGTGTATCATTGCGTGGTTGATCCCTTCGGCCAGTTAACGTTGCGTAAGAAGGAGAAACGGCATAAGGATGTTGATGACCTTGAATGTACGACACAGAAGGTTCATCTTCTGTCATGGGTGTAGTAGGTGCCGACATAATATGAGACTGAACAGGATCCAGATGGTTGTTATGAAAGTCATAGCCAGACCAGCCTTGATAGGATGGTAAAGCAGTGGTGGTAGGAGTGAACCTGGGTGCAGAGGCGGCGGGAGCTTGCTGTGGAAGGGAGGTGGTAACAGGACCATTGGAGAATGCAAAATGACTAGGAGGAGCTAGCCATGAATGTTGGCCATGCGGCAATGAGGTACCACTGGTGGAAGGCATAGCCGACTGATGATGCTCAGTCCAGTCATTATTGTGTTTGAAAGTCTTGTCAGATTCACCCATAGGTCTAAAGAGCATATTCACTCTAAAGGTAAGCTCGTTACGGTCAGAAAGCATCGAGATGCACTAAGAAGATTGGTTTGGGGTTTAAGGCCTGTGGGAAGGCTGAAGGGGAGTGTGAGTGGGAAAAAGTGGGTAGTTGAAGAGAGAAGGTTAAATGGGACTAACGTTCAAACCGAGATTGATAAAGTGGCAATTGAGAGGAGAAAAGTAAAAGAAGACCTGCCAAGTTGTTAGTTTATATAGAAACTGGGGGGGAATAGAGCGCTTGGGGGGAGAGTCAGTAAAAAGATACACAAAAAAAGGCGAGATTTCGGCGGGGATACGAAGAGAGGTTTTTCATACTGTTAAGGGCTATTGGAAAGCAACCAAGTTTGATTGGGTATTAAAAATGGAATTGGGCCAGGCCTTAGCGGAAGGGAAAAGAAAGGGAGAGGCGGAGGTTGGGTCCATCCAGTTCCAGCCAGCCCCGGCGTGGTGATTTGCCTATGGGCTTCCTCTTTTTTTTTTAATATTTTTTGGTCAGCGTTCTTCTCTGGTCCTAGACACATCACCTTCTTTACGTAGACAGGCAGGCCAGGCCGAGACGATAGAGAACTTCTTTTCGATGCGCCCATATTAGGATGCATACCCGAAAGATATTCTCTTTCCCTTATCGGCGAATGAAAATATCCCATACTTTCATTATCAGCATGACCATCTTTATTTTCTCTGCGCTATGAAAGAAGTCTGGTAGAGTAGATCTCACTGGAAAATGGCTGGTAGCAAACTCATCCCAAAAAGATAATAAGCAACGCCTCTTTGTTACAAAAAGTCTATTTTTTTTTCCAAACTCCTCTGTCCTCCCCTCGTACGTTTCCCCCCAAGGTCTCGCCAAAGATAGAAGAGACACCTTGTCATGCGCAAAGAACTAGAGTCTTGTGCTTCGTGCGACCTAGGAAGCGGTGTTGCCCTCCCAAAACAGGAATGCGTCTTCTACCATTGGTCCCTTGGCTCGGGTTCAAATCCCGCTTTGGGACTCCGAATAACCAAGACAAGGCGATCGTTGGAGACGAAAGCCTATGGGTTCTGCCTATGCGTCCTACGGAAAACTATTTGCTTCACCGACCGCATTACGTCGATCTCCTGTAATCCAATGGACCATTAGGTCAATGGATGGCTTGGTATCCTACCTACCCATTGAACTATTGGCAATGTGGGGAAAAATAGTGTTGATTTATTTGGTCAAGTTTGCTCCCCCCCCCCTCCATCGGGGTTTAAGCTTTTGGAACTTGGACCTACTCGCTTGGCAGGGCTGCCTGGTTCGCTCGCACGGACGGACTGAACCCATCCGCATTAACTATCAACGGGAAATGAATCCTTATGACATGGGTTTGCGAATTAGCCTTTTTTCCGTGAATCCGTTTGTTTATGCTATGCGTCGACAGTCTTTTGATATGCTACGTTCTCTAGAATGATAGTCCGCTAAGAAGGAGGTAGGGTAGCATGACACACGTTGCTGTTGGTGGCGGTTTGTGGCAGGAATGGAAATAACAGAAGAAGCTCAAAGTCTATATTCAACCTAGATGTGGCTCGTGTATGCAAAAACATCATGTCAGAGGGTTAGGAAATTGAAGATCAGCAAACAGGCCAGTCTCTAACCGTCGGATAGATAGCGAAGCGAATATCGCCTGATGCCCAATTCACCCACCCAGTTCGTATTTCACCTTGTTTAAACCCTTTGTTTCCTTGCCTTCAGTCTCTTGATGTCAACAGCTGCTACTAAGATCCGTTTGGTTTAAACGTGGCAGTGTGCATGGTGGAGATCAACAAAAAGTTCTATTGATGATATCTGTTGCCGTAGCGATCCCGATAAAGTTGCTTGTCAGTCAGCCACTGGGATGCTCGCTTTCGGTCATAGGGAGAAAAATGAACGGCTTGCTAGATTTGGGCTGGTCCCACCACTTGTGTCTGACCTTCAACTTTTTGCCCGCGTCGCCTATGGTGACAAACCGTCATGCTTGCCATTAACGTAATGTCAGTTCATAATTGCACCACGACAAGCTACAACGTTGCTAGGGGGGAGTGGGGTTAATTTACGCGTAGCTAAAAAAAATTACATTTGGCATTTGGAATAATTACCAAATGATCTCGCCCATTTCGAGATGCATTTTTCTCCAGTAACATCAGACTTCATAGAGCAAAAGTTCTATATCGCGTGTAACTTGTAGTCCTCGGCAGAGAAAATATTTTTCCCTAATTGATTTTCTCGCTCAAAAAATAGCGATGACTGCGATTTTTTTGTACGCTGGGCTTTCTTCTCTTTCCCACCCGCGCCATGGAGAAACGTCAAGTAGACCAACATATTGTCATCAGTAGCACTCCAAAACGGACAGTACGGTCCATCTTGTCAGCTGTTATTCTGACTTGCTCATGCGCATACTTTTTCGCCACAAGCATTAACGTCGGTACCACCCCGGTAAGGAAGAACAATCCACTCTCCGTTTTGTAAACATAGAGTATGTACGTACTTACACCCCCCCCCAATATTATTAGAGCCCCATTGATGTCGGATACAAAGAAGGCAACTTCACTTGGAAAAAGTGTCACGACAGGTTCGAGTGCTCGACTTTAGCTGTGCCTATCGACTATAGTGATAGCGATAGTGCCAAGTTCGACCTGGCTATCATTCGTTTGAAAGCGACTCAGGATGTATCAAAAGGCCCATTGTTTGTTAACCCTGGTGGCCCTGGTGGCTCAGGTGTAGACATGGTGCGTTTAGCGGGCGACATTTTGTCCAAATCTGTCGATGGCTTTTACGATATTGTTGGCTTTGACCCGCGTGGCATAGGCGCAAGTAATACGATTCGATGTTTCGAAGACGGAACTGAAAGCAAATTTTTCTTGGCCAACAAAAGCCCAATCCTCAGCCCAGGGGATAATCCAGCAAACCACGCAGCGTGGCTAAAGGCTCAAGCAAATCAGTGTATTGCCAAGAACAAGGACTTTTTGCCTTTTGTGTCGACTGCTGCCGTCGCTAGAGATATCGATTCCCTCCGTGCGGCCTTTGGCCAAGAACTTACTAACTTTTGGGGATTCAGTTATGGTACTTTCCTGGGAGCCACATATGTCAATATGTTTCCAGATCGAGTTGGCCGCGTTATTCTAGATGGCGTTACCGACCCTACCACGTTTTCAGGAGAACTGGTCAACTGGATTAAAACGTCGCTGATCCATACTGAAGATGGTATTGATGAATTTGGAGCGTCGTGTGAGGCAGCTGGTCCTGAGAAATGCGCATTGGCGAATCGTGACAAAGCACTCGCCTTTGACGGCCAACACTACGTAGCTCCCACTCTGCGATACTACCTCAACCACCTCATTAACAACCCACTGTTGTTAAGCAACCAATCGGCTCCAGGTATAGTTGTACAAGGGGAAGTCGCCAATGCCTTTTTCCTTTCCTTGTACAAAGTGGCCAACTGGCCTAAAATCGCTGCAGCTTTTGCCGAAGCGATTGAATACTCAATTGGTGACAAATTGCACAATTACTTGGCTGAAACGGAGAGTGAGCGATGCCCATTGGTGGAGGACTATACAATGAGCTTCATACCCGTGCTATGTATCGATGGCACCCATTACGACCAACCCGATCTCGAGTCTTACATGAGGGGACTTGACGATGCTTCCAAAGTGGCTCCACTGGCGGCTACACTTTGGGGTACCTCCATGATGCAGTGTATTTACTGGGATGTGAAACCGGCTGAGCGATATACTGGACCATGGAATCAGAAGACAAAAAACAAGGTTCTCCTCATCGGTGCTACAGGTGATCCCGTAACGCCCGTTGAAAGTGCTGCAAAACTTGAAGATCTTATGGAGGGTAATGGTGTTTTCCACAAGCATAACGGTTGGGGTCACTGTAGTCTGGGACAGCCAAGTAAATGTACCACCAAAGTCATTCGTGATTATTTCGTCGACGGCAAGGTGCCTGAGAAAGGCTCTGAATGTGCTATGGAGGATCAGCCATTTGAGCTCACGGCTTCTCTGCAAAGCTTTGGTGATAATAGTCTTAGCTACCAGGATCTTTCTAATCTTGCTGATGCTGTACACTATGCTCAACGTCGTATGTAGTGTGAATTGCAAAAAAACAAAAAAAAGGTGGCTTAACCGAAATATCATAATACCGATTAGTTCTTGCACTACCATGATGTGTCTTTCGCTGCTTCTTGTTTTTCCATTGTATATTTCACTATTCTCGAGCGAATAAATCTATCATGACCTGAGAGAAATTTATTCGCAGAATCTCTTATCTAAGGCTTGATTCGGAACTACAGAGCGTGGGTGTTTCGACTTGGTGCTACCCAACATGACATCTGTTCGACACCAGTGGTTCTTGAGACACCCCCATCGTAACCTTCAAGACTTGTGTTACAGGACTTGCGAGCTTACCCAATTTCGAACACGATTATCGAGCCTTTTTAGAGCAATACTATGACCATTCCTATAGCAGCGTTCAGAGAAGTACTAGCCATCCACAGTATGTACAATAGTCAATGCTTCATGGTTGCCCTCTATGAGAGTTTACCACTCACAAAACTGGGGTTCCACACCTTTCAGCCTGTAATTGTGTCCACTCTTTTATGCTATCCCAGGTTCTACAGAAGACGACGGAGTTGGCTATCAGAACCAACTTCAAAAGGCGATGTGAGCTAAACCTTACTCAGCTCACATTGAACCGATCGATACCATGCTATGAATACTTTTCGTCATACAGCCAAAAAAAAATTGAGATGATGCATCTATAAAAAACGTGTTACATTGATTCAGTTTGTTTTTAAACCTTTGCAAGAGACGCGGGTATTTGATCGATGTAGCGCGCAATCCATTGTCTGAACGACTTGATAATAAATAAATACAGAAAAAAGTTGCGACAATTTTATTTATGGCGTCTGTCTAATGCGACGAATGCGCCGTTTTCTAGAGTAGACATCATGCAATTATGGGCGGCCTTCTGTCTTTCCGCATAGTCATTCAATGTATGCAGTCCGGAGACAATTTTACAAAGGACTTTGATGCACCTGTATTAACTGACCATCCATTTAGTTTTTGAGATTTCCGCACGGCAATAAAATCATGGAACAAACGCAGGTCAACCATTTGATATGCTTTGGAAGCTGCTGGACGCCCAGGGTTCTGGTAGCAAAAGCCGAAGCCCTACATCTTCATGCAAACCCTGCTTGCGCAGATATCAAAACAATACAGTGGTTTTCATCGGCAGAAGCGGTAGTCATGATAGTGTCTTGAAACTTCAAATTGATATGCGAATTATAAATGTAATTTTTATTATACTTGAAGCTCACTCGAAGAATAAACAGGCGTTCAAATAATATTTTTCGCCACAAATTGCAGTTGTTGTTATCAGGTGCAATGTTTTTTTTGAATAGGAGAATTCAATGCAGAGGAACTACAACATAAATACAAAAACCGCCATCATCGTATTGCATGGCGCGTCTGGCGTACAATATGTTGGCAATAAAGAAAAAAAAAAACAATACAGCTGCAACTATTTACGTTATAGTGCTTGTGGTCTGTAGTAGCATCTGGTCTTGCGTAAACTAGTCTTTCGTGTTCGACAGGTTTGGAAGCACGGTTGGTGTACAGCATTCTTGTTGATGGGCCCGGGATGTTTGTTGGCCCAAATAGATGCCAAAGGCTGAACACCATAGATGAAAGCCAATGTAAGATAAGCGATCTCTCTAATGATAACTGCGTACGGGGTTCAATCACAAGTCGGATTACAGCATCTAGCTGTGCTGTTCCCAGTCAGTATAGAGTGATTATACAGGAGTTGTAACATGGCTGCGGTGGGCTGAGTCGTGCATTTGGTGGCGCGCATCATTCAACGTGGATATTAATATAGGCTTGGCTTGGCAAAAGACCTCGATGTAAGAGTGTGAACAGACATTCATTCTAGAACCAAAGGTTACTAATAGCTCTAAATCAATCGGATGATCCTGTCTGGTTTCTATCCTCAGGAATGAAATTATCCTTATGAAGGAGAGGTATGTGTTCATGTTGGTGGCGGTTTAGGACCATAAAGGGAAATAGCTAAGGACGCTCACACCTAGATGTGGCTCATCCCCATTGTCAGACGCGGTTGGGTTAGAATGTGGAAGATCGGACGAAGAAAGGAAATCCATTGGAATGGCAACATGAATTGGGGGGAGGGGAGAATCAGGATCGGGAGGACTGACTAGTTAATTATGTTGAATGAGAATCTAAGAACTCGCAATTGCAATGCTAGCGATCGGTCCTTCTCACTTTCCCTCATCCACATTCCACCCTGCTTCTCGTTATCATTTAGTCTCATGGTGTCAACAATCATGGCCGCCGCCAGAATTGATGTGGTGATCTCATGGCAAAAACGTGGCAGGGTGCAAGGTAGTGATCAGCAAAGTTGTATTTGAGTTTAGTCATATTGTGGCAGACCCGGTAAGATGATGGCTTATTCGATCACACATCTAGACCGGCCTGAGGGTAAGGAGGAAAATGCATGGTTTGGGTTATTGGGTTGATCGTTCCAACCTCTCGAGTTTACTCTCTTACTTATTGCCAGTGTAGTCAGCTGGAATCCCAAAACCTCACTACAATCAGCTGTTTATCATTACCATAATGTCAGCCATGACGACAACATTTGCACAATCAACGTTTCAAGTGCATGCCACCCCTGCTTATCACTCAAGAGCTCTGTCGTAATACCCTCCATTCAGCACAATATATCAAGCAAATGCCCAAATTACATCACTTTCTGTAATGCTGATGTCACCACATTGGTTTCACTACCATTCAACGAGTACGGATCGCGTGTAACGCAAACCCTTGGCAAGAGGCATCTTGGCATCCATGAACAGAACATATTTCCTATTTGGTTGGGAATCATTTCAAGGTGCGCATTGATAAATATGCGAGGACTGCGCATTTAAACCCTATCCGACTGCTTCTCTTTCCCACCAAACTATGGAGAAGCAACAGCTTGATCAACATACCGTCAGTCATACTCCAACTGCACCGAAACGGACGGTGCGTGCTATCGTATCAGCGGCCGCCTTGACCTGCGCTTGCGCGTACCTTTTCAGCACCAGCATCCATCTCGGGAACCCCGAGGTAAATGTGATAACTTTCCAACACGTACTGTTATCCATAATACTCGCTTCATATACTTACACGTCTTAAATATCTTTTCGTTTCTTCGTTACGTTTTCAATTGATAGATCTCCAATCCCATTAACATTGGTTATAAGGAAGGCAACTTCACTTGGAAAAAATGTTACGACAAGTACGAATGTTCGACTTTGGCTGTGCCTATCGACTATAAAAATAGCAGCAGTGCCAAGTTCAACTTGGCTCTTATCAGATTGAAGGCAACTCAATGTGCCTCAAAGGGGCCTTTGTTTGTTAATCCTGGTGGCCCCGGAGGTTCGGGCGTGGATCTCGTGCTCCGAGCTGGCGACATTTTGTCTAAGCATGTCGATGGTTATTACGATATCGTTGGCTTTGACCCGCGTGGCGTAGGCGCAAGTAACACCATTCGATGCTTTGAAGATGGAACTGAGAGCAAGTTTTTCTTGGCCAACCGAAACCCTTACCTCAGCCCGGGTGACAATGTAGCAAATCATGCAGCTTGGTTAGAAGCTCAAGCAAAGCAGTGTATTGCTAAGAACAAGGACTTCTTACCTTACGTGTCGACTGCTTCAGTCGCGAGAGACATTGATTCCCTTCGTGATGCATTTGGCCAAGAACTAACGAACTACTGGGGCTTCAGCTATGGAACGTTTCTTGGAGCTACCTATGTCAATATGTTTCCAGATCGAGTAGGTCGCGTTATTCTGGATGGCGTCACCGACCCTACCACGTTTTCAGGAGAACTTGTCAATTGGATAAAAACGTCGCTGATCCATACTGAAGATGGTCTTGATGAATTTGGAGCGACGTGTGAGGCCGCTGGTCCTGAGAAATGCGCATTAGCAAATCGTGACAAAGCACTCGCCTTTGACGGTCAACACTACGTAGCTCCCACTCTGCGATACTACCTCAACCATCTGATCAATAATCCATTATTGTTTAGCAATACGTCAACGCAAGGGGTTGTGTTGCAAACACATGCTGCCAATGCTCTCTTTGCTTCATTGTACAGCGTCTCGTCTTGGCCGCGTGTGGCCAAGGCTTTCTCGGACACTATTGAAACGTCCACTGGAAATGCATTTTATAACTTCGTCGTTGAAAAAGAAAACGAAAGGTGTCCGCTAGTGGAAGAATATTCATTGACTGCCATGCCCGTGCTCTGTATCGATGGAACTCATCATGATCAACCAGACCTTGAAAGTTATATGAAGGGACTTGAAGAAGCAATGAAAGTGTCTCCACTGGCTGGTCGTCTCTGGGGCACGGCTATGATTCAATGCATTTACTGGGATGTCAAGCCTTCGGAGCGATTTGCTGGACCTTGGAACCATAAGACACAAAATAAGGTCCTTCTCATCGGTGCTACAGGCGATCCTGTTACGCCCGTTGAAAGTGCTGCAAAACTTGAAGATCTCATGGAAGGTAGTGGCGTGTTCCATAAGCATCATGGTTGGGGTCACTGCAGTTTGGGACAACCAAGTAAATGCACCACCAAGGTCATTCGCGATTATCTCGTCGATGGGAAGGTGCCTGAGAAAGGCTCCGAATGTGCTATGGAAGACCTGCCTTTTGAACCCACTGCTTCTCTACAACGTTTCGGTGACAGTGGTCTTACCTCGCAAGACCTTTCTGATCTTGCTGATGCTGTGCACTCAGCTCAACGTCGGATGTGGTAAAGAAATGAAGCCTTCAGTGTAGATGAACCTTATTTTAGCCTTACTGTGATTTCTCTCCTATCTTGACCAAGCAAGCAAAATATTTCATGCTAGTCTCTCTGTTCTTCCAATTAGTCTAGCAATGTTAGGTAGTTCCCACCACTGCTTTGTAGTTGGCTTTACTTCTTCTCTTAAGCTTCAGTTCATCGTCTCAACATGCTATAAAACACAAGAATCAGGCACCGTAACTACCATTCCCAATCATAACATGAAGGCTTGGGTTTAACAAAGTTGACTTCGCGTGTAACGTATCTACTTGGCAGGCATGTCATCGCCTTGGCAAAAGCACTTACGGTAGCTTGGCGGAGTAACTCTGTATGGAGAAAAAATTCCCATTACAAGTCTTTGAGTTATAGCGATCTGATACTACAAATTGATACGACTGTGGCATTTGTTCCACTCAGCCTCTCGTCCTTCCACTCACAATATGGAAAAGCAACAAATTGATCATGCTATTGTTTACCATCATCCAGGCTCAACGAAGCGGACAGTACGCACCATACTATCAGCTGCTATCTTCACTGGAGCGTGTGCCTACTTTTTGGGTACCGCAGTCGATCTCAGTATCCCTCAGGTACAGCAGACAGTCCCTTGGCGTCATTACATGGATGTAAAAATACAATATTATCATGCATAACTCTCCTTCTTCCTAGGTCGCGCAACCTGTTGATGCTGGGTATAAGGAAGGCAACTTCACTTGGAGAAAGTGTTACGACAAATACGAATGCTCGACTTTCGCCGTGCCCATCGACTATAGAAATAGCAGCAGTGACAAGTTCAACTTGGCTCTTATCAGATTAAAAGCAACGAAAAGTGCATCGAAGGGAGTTCTGTTCGTCAACCCTGGCGGCCCTGGTGGCTCGGGCGTTGGTTTGGTACTCAAAGCTGGGGAGATTCTATCCAAGCACGGCGACGGCTATTACGACATCATTGGGTTTGATCCACGTGGAATGGGCGAAAGCAACACGATTCGATGCTTTGACGATGGAACCGAGAGTAAGTTCTTCACGGCCAACCGACGAACGATGCTCAGTCCAGGTGACAACCCAGCGAACCATGCAGCTTTTTTGGAGGCCCAAGCAAAGCAATGTATTTCCAAAAGCGACTTCTTACCTTACGTGTCGACTGCTTCAGTTGCGAGAGACCTTGATGCCCTTCGTGATGCATTCGGTCAAGAACTAACGAACTACTGGGGCTTCAGCTACGGAACTTTTCTTGGCGCCACCTATATCAATATGTTCCCAGATCGCGTTGGTCGCGTTATCTTGGATGGCATAACCGACCCTAGACAATTTTCTGGAGATATTATCGAGTGGATTAAGGCATCGCTGGTCCATACCGAAGATGGTATTGACGAGTTTGGAGCAGCTTGTGAGGCAGCAGGACCAGAGAAATGTGCGTTGGCTCACCGTGACTTAGCTCTCGCCTTTGACGGCAAACACTACGTAGCACCTACGATTCGATATTATCTCAACCATCTCATTAACCACCCATTGTTGTTAAGCAACGTTTCACCACAAGATGTCGTCTTACAGATTGATGTAGCCAACGCTTTCTTTTTGTCGCTGTACAAAGTGGCTCAATGGCCCGCTATGGCCAAAGCCTTTGCTGAGGCTATTCAATCTTCAACAGGTAACGGATTGTACAACATTATAAATCAAAAAGAAGACGAACGATGTCCCTTGGTTGAGAAATACTCCATAGGTGCCACACCTGTTTTTTGTATCGATAGTAGCCATGACAAGCACCCTGATGCCAAGAGCTTTTTGAAGGGAGTTGAAGAAGCCTCTGATGTGTCTCCTTTGGCTGCCGGTCTCTTGGGGACAGAGATGCTGCAATGTCTGTATTGGGAAGTCGTACCTTCTGAACGATATGATGGACTATGGAACCACAAGACCAAAAACAAAGTCCTTCTTGTTGGCGTTACAGGTGATCCCATTACACCTGCTGAAAGTGCTGAAGCTCTGGAAGTTCTCATGGAAGGGAGTGGTGTGTTCCATAAGCATCATGGTTGGGGTCATTGTAGTTTCGGACAGCCAAGTAAATGCACCTCCAAAGTGATAAGGGACTACTTTGTGGATGGCAAGTTGCCTGAGAAGGGCTCTGAATGTCCTATGGAAGATCAGCCCTTCGAGCTCATCCCTTCACTACAGAGCTTTAGCGATAATGGCCTTACTTATCAAGACCTTTCCGTCCTTGCTGATGCGGTACATTCTGCTCAACGTCGTATGCAGTAACCAACAAAAGATGTGTGGCATGTAGCACTAATTCAGTATATGATGTGAATAAAACTCTTCCGCTACGAATATTTTTTTACTTCTTAGCTGATCTGTGCAAAAAGTACTATCAGCAGCATACAAACTGTCATAGTCTGTTGTCTTTTAGCCTACCCCTGCCTTCCCCTCATTTTCTATATTCGAAATTTTTTTCATACAATTTGTTTATGTCAACCTATATCCAATTCACATAAGGATCCTAGCCTATGTTTCCAAGGGAAAGAGGTATGCAGTACTACTTGGAAATGACGTAGCTGAGGCATAGCGTTCTCATGGTGGCAATATCACGATAGTTCTAATTTCTGTGTCACAAGAAATAAGCTGGCTGACCTCGTTAACGGTGTAACTTGTCGAGCGCCATATATGTCAAAGTTAGATGTCGTCGTACCAAGAAATGGGATACAGCGAAGATACGATGGTTGAGAAAAAACCCATCGACACTAAAGTTTACATGCTTTACGTCTTGCAATTTGGGCAGCAGCGAAAGTTGATGGTTGGAACGTCCCAAAACAGATGTCTTCGATCCGATGTCGAATCGTTAACGTTATTGTAACGTCGGTTATGATATCGCCACCATTTTTATGCGCTAAACTTTTCGCCTCGCCGCCTGCTAAACTCTTTCCGAACTAACGTTCCTCGTGTGCAGGACAAATGAAATCGTCATCTCTCGAAGTTCGTTTTGGGTTCATGCTATCTAAAGCTAATTTGTTTCATTGACGGTTATAATTCTGACCGAGTGTGCATTATGTACACCAGGATAGCACGTTGATACAATGGGGTTGCTGATCTATCTTTTTTACTCTATGTGGCCCTTTACGCACATCGATGCTATATGTAAACAATGACATGTCATTATTTGTCCTATCGTAAGGCTCGTCAGAAGACGACCGGAGTTGGGATCCTTCGCGAAAAAAAAAAAAATAAGGTGTACGAGCCCAACTCTAAATAGCATCTCGATGTGAATCTTACCTCACCCGGTAAAAGTCTAACAGGAAAGCGTACATTGATCCCGTCTAACCTTCCGTAAGTGTAGTCATTGAACCGAACGCCCATCAACCGAGTGAACTGAACAATATTTTTTTCCCGCAATGTGTGTTGGTCACGCGTCAAGGGGCGATACTAATGACCATGCAGTGCAGATATCCCAAGTTTACGGACGATACAAAGAAACAATATTAAGGGCGAAATGTGGAAACGTTAATTTTTTTTTTGTTGCAAAGTTTGGGTGTATTCATAAACTATTGGTATTTGGACTATAGTGGGTTTTGTGATTTCTATGTAGGACTTGCGTCGCCATGGATCGTAGCGAAGCTTTTGTGAAATGGCGTCTTGCCGGACTGGCGATCGCCTCCGCTTCACACCTGTAAACGAAATCAAGGTTGGGTCATCCATCAACATACATTTCAAACAGTGAGGAAACAAATGCCCAAAGCAGCAGAGGCCCTGTAGACGCAGGTATGTAAACAAACAATGCAGCAACCCACAGATTATGATCGACAGCACTGACTGATCATTTCATGACCTATATTCGAACCACGTCGATGAAACCTTCCTCATGGCAATTGACATCTATAGATGCTTACGAGTGGCAGAGGTCCCCAAATCAGCAACAAGGTGTAGCCCATACCGACCCATTCATCTGAACCATTTGGATCACATCCAGCTTATATACAGATTCTATAGAGATGTTTACTGACATATTTTATGGTATATATAATAAGAGAAAAAGTCAAAGGATATAATATATGAGTATGTATATGAAGAGATTTGACGTTGTGAAATATTTTTCTGTAAAAGTAGGTAACTCATTGAGTCGACAGCTTCTTTTTTTGTTCCTTTTTGTTGTGTACTGATGGTATTGAGTGAAAAACTTTTTCGGTGTCCCTTTTGGCATTAAAACTAGTTGATTTTGATACGATACTTCTTCGTTTGATTTTTTTGGGTGATTTTTGAACAGAATAAATTACAGGGGTATAGACAGGGATATCGGTCGTGTCGTGGTCACCTATAGGCAACTTCAGATGTGATAACAAAGCGGCCGCGACGACTGATATGATAGCGTTCGTCGTCAGTGGTATCATCGGTTCCTGAATTGACATGGAACTTACGATCTGAAAGGTTTTCAGACATGGGGCGTGCTCGTCGACGTTGTTGTTGAAACGACTCATCCGACAATTCAAATTGAGACGATGTAGACGATGTAGAACGAGGTGGGGTGCTGGGTGGTGTTATAGCCACTACAGACTGCTCATCCAGGGAATCACATTTATCATGAATGTAGAATTCAGAGGGTCGTGAAGATAGGGTAGTAGGGAATTCCCAAGGGTCCAAAAGCATCATATCGAATTGCCTTTTCTTTTCGCGAAATTCTGTACAACTGCATTTAGTATATGAAAATGGAAGGTCAACACAAAAAAAAAAGGGGGGCAAATTGCTGCCGAGGTTCTTACCATCTTTTGAACGAGCTTGGAGTTCTTTGATATTGTACATGCGGATGTTGTTTACAAGATACTCAGGCGGAGGAGCCCTGGTAATGAATGGATGTTTCATCAATTCAAATGCACTGGGTCGCATTAGTGGATCCTTGTTAAGACACAATTGAACAAATTGAGCAAAACAAGAGGTATATTCATGGCTGCATTGGGTGGGGTCCAGGATGGGTGGCGCATCACGCAAAGTAGATATTAATACTTTCATGGGGGAATACTTTGAGTTTGGAGCGTGACCATAGGCAAGTTCCAGAGCAGTAATTGCTAACGACCAGATATCGACCTGGTGATCATACCCATTGCCATCCACGATTTCCTATGACGACATCGAGAAAGAATAGTGAGTTTGTGAGACCATTTGCAAGAGAAAGAAAGAGAAAATATTGATACTCACCGGTGCCATCCATGCAGGTGTGCCAACAAAGGAATTGCGAAGTCTACGACTCTCACACTCTAGGAGACTACCACTGACACCAAAATCGGCAAGCCGAACGTTGCCTGTTTCGCGGTTGATGAGTAGATTGGCAGCCTTAACATCACGATGGATCAGATTGTTCCTATGAAGATAGCATAGCCCACGAAGAGCTTGCTTGATGATACAGGCAATGACAGGCTCTTCTAATCCCTTTCTGTATTTTCTCAAGACATCATGGCACGAGCCTAGATAAAAAATAAATTAGTTGCGGTTAACACTAATTAGGATTAAAGTAGAGTAGCAGAGACGGCATTTTCTAATGATGGGGGGAAAAAGATCGGTTTAACTCACCTGCGGTCATGACCGGCGTGACGATGCACAGCTTACTATCATGCATAAAGCTACGATGAATAGGCAAAACGTTATCATGGCGACACAGGCTCATGATCTGAATCTCTCTGCGCAACTCATCGATTTGAGATTGCTCGAACTGGTCCATATCAACCATCTTAATCGCAACTTGGTAGTATTTACGATAGGTTGCCAAAGTGACGGTTGCAGTTGCACCATAGCCTAATGGAAAGCGAGAATTTCGTTAGGAAATCGAGTCTTAACTTCCCCCAACCCACCACCCCAAAATTTTCAAGCACCGACCTATTGGAGAATGCAATTCGTAGTCATGAATATTGACACTGAACACAGGCACATCATCTTCGTTCACAGACGATAGAGGCTTTCCAGTTGACATTCGACGTTCTATGAGATTGGTCTGAGACGACACTCTTCTTCTATGTCGGTCATGATCGTTTGGCCGTACAAGAATGGCAGACGATGATAGTGAGGGGGTGACACCAGCGAATTTCTGCAGGCGGTCTTGAGCTGCTTCTTCTGCAGAATAGTAGCTGAAGAACGTATTCATACGAGGTCTTCGTGGAGATTCAGCATGTCTGATGTCTTCCTTGGTTACCTGCGTGGTGGTTGCTGACTTTGGTCGCGGTAACAGGCAGTGTTTAGAAGTGACAATAGCCGGAAGCTTGTGGTGTGACATAAATGACCATGATTCGGAATGCTTTCCGGCATCCAAAATATGTGGACGAGAAGTGCAGGCCATCCCCATAATATGATATGATGATTATTTTCAAGTGGTTTCAATGGTGGAAACCAAGGATAAGAAGGTTAAAAAAGAAATAGAGAAAAGGAAGCGTAAGAAATAGAGGAAATATAAAAGCAAAGAAAGTTAGAAAAAAAAAAGAAGAAAAGAGTCCAATACATTAATCATGTTTATTTTGTTAACCAGGTTCTACCAAATTGAGCCAGCTCGGTCATCGGGTTGAGTGTGAAGCACAAGGTACTTTAAGCTCGTCTATGCTGAATATGGGAAGCTCAAAACAACCCCAACCTCTATACGCTTTCTCTTTTTCATTTCTAAAGCTTGGGAGTTTCAGACAGATCCATTGCTAAGTCGTGCTGCTTCTTCATAAGCCTTTTGTCGTTCATTCAATACAAACTTGATACGAGCCATTGATTTTTTGCACTAGTGTAGAAAAAGTCAATATGCAAGTGAGAAAATAATAAAAAAAAGCCATCTAATATATTTTGTACTATTGTATAACTTACCTTTCTGACTCTCCCCGCATTGGTCCATGTGCTCTTGTCAATACCTAATCGCCTTGCTTCCTCTCGTTGTGTGGCTAAGACGTTGCGCTCCTTAAGTAACACATACCAAAGCTTGTGTAAATCGTCAAACGACTTTAATCGAAGTTCGCTTGCTTTCCAAGAGCGACCTGCAACAAATAATATCAGATCAGTTAACCATCGCTACGGTGAGGAATGCCACCATGTCGTGATGCTTATAGCCATTGTTCCGAAAACAAGGCTTGCAGAATTTCGTTCTTGTTGTGTACGTCGTGGGAGCCGTAGATTGTTTTTTCTCTCTCCTTTCCACTTTTTATTTTTCCACTGCACCCCTTGTCCTCGTGCTCTTACCTGTCCAAGTTTGTTCAGGAAGGCTGGCACCATTCTCGAAGAATTGTTGCAGACCTTTTGGTGCCGAGCTTTGCTGTGTGGATACAAGACGAGTCTGTTGACCAAGTTGCTGTGTTTGCTTGAAAATAGAGCTAGCTACTCGTTGTAATAGGCGGGACATGGCGAGTGGTTATATAATTACAAGAGAGATTTCAGAAATGTTGTCTGTGTGTGTGCCTGCCCGTCACAAAACAAAAAATTGAATAGCTTTGGAAAAAAAGAAAAAGTCACTGCGTCACGAGACACGACCAAAGTTGAAATTTTGTCAGATAAAAAATCTGTGGCTGGCCTGACTGCATGAATGGTGGTGGGTTTTTGACCAAGGAAATCAAAAAAACAAGCGTTTTGCATTTGAGAAACCATAGAGTTCTTTTTTTTATTTTTGGTTATGGATTTGTTTTGTTCTGGTGATTAGAATAACACATTTATCACTATCATAGATCAGAACCAAGTGATAAGTAAGAAACAGAGAGAGAGAGCTTTAATGAGTAAGGAGCTTGCCGAAACGAAGACCTGCAACAGCGAGGCCAACGACCTTGACGACCTCAAATCCGATGTACTGCTTGTGAACGGAAGAGGGTTCCAATGGGAGTCCCTTGATCATCTTATCAGCTCGCTTGTTGAGAGTAGGAAGCAAATAGCTGCTTTGCAACAAGACAATAGCAGGGGGGAGAAGGGTGGTGGCCACCAAGACCTTGTCGATAAAACCACCGCGATCAATGATCTTTTGTCTCCAGACACAGTACAAGTCCAAACTAACGACGCTGACGGCGATCTACAAGAAATTTTTTTAATATGACATGGGTTTTGGAAAGAGTTTTGGCTGACTAGCACGCGAATATTTTTCTTTTCGTTTTACGCTGCAGTTTACCAACCCCCACTTGAAAATAGCCCGTGTTTCAAAATCTTACCTCCAGCTTGTTCAACCAGTTGAAGATGAGTCTACCAACGTTGGCGGAGTGCACCTTGTCATCTGAAGAGGAAAGGAGAGTAATCGGAGTATCCAAGAAGCTCTGGTTAAGAGTGGATGCAAACCAGTATCTAGAATGCAACAGCTAGTTAGCATCGAATCTTTCACTCTCCTTGGAGGGTCTTTTTATACGTACGTGTTGACGAGCGAGAGCCATAATGTCAAGGTGCGTATGGGGAGCTTTTCAAGCACAGTGTAATGCAAGACAGCTTGGATGGCTACGGAGGGCAACGCGATCTTGATAGGGGACCATGGGTCCAAGAGAAAGCTAGAGACAGACGAGTTGTTGTTGGTAGTCATCGCGTTTAGGTAGAAGAGAAAAGAGATAAAAATGCTGATCCTGAACCTCCTTCCCTCGGTTTATGTGCTGATGACAATTTGATGACCGCATCGTCTCACCCAAATTTTTGGACAAAGCACGGCCCCGCCAATAAAAATAGGACATTGGGTAGGAAATTTACGCAATCGTTTTATGTTGTGATGAAACAAAGGCAAGGAAAAAAAAAAAAGTATGAACAAAATGAAAACAGAAGGGTGTGTTGTACAATGGGGATGGATATACTGTATAATGAAAAACCATGGATAAAGTGATTATTAGAGTTCCTTTCATCCTCGACTTAAGCGATCCAGGGTAGCTTGTTCAATAGAATCATGGACAAACGTCTGCATTTCCTGACTTTCGTCGACTTGCTTTCCGAATTTGTTAAATAGATGCTGTTTCACCTTGGCTCGCGTCACTCGGTTGAGATCAGCATGTTGTAGATAGCTTGCTATTTCTTTTTTAACAGACTCTCGGAACTCTGCGTCAGAAGGTGACGATTTGGCAGAGGCTGCCGATGAGATGATGGGAAGGGGTGGAGGAGCGGGAGAGTAAGAACGGGTTTCGGCTGCATTGGGTTCACCCATAGTGGGTATTCGAATGCCAAGACGGTTATGTCGAGCTGATCTTCGACCCAGAGCTTCTTCCTCTTCTTCGTCAGCCGGTAGACGGCTATTGGGTTCAGATGTTTGTCGGCGATGTTGTGCCAGTGCCGATTTTGGTACAGAATATATGGTAGCCATAGATTCTTCAGGATCCAAACTCAAATTTGAACTGACATAAGATTCTGCCAACGACAGGTTGGATCGAATGGAGCTGCGATCGTTGAGCGCAAGATCATCCAAGGACTTTGAAAATTCACCAGGCGTATCGGCAACGGGGCGAGAGACATATCGATTCACTCGAGGCATGCTAGCAAATCCACTACTGTTGATACTACTAGGTAGAGTCGAGACGTCTGCATACGTGCTTTGCGTAACGAAATGTGGTTCGTTGGTCGATCGTGATGAAAAGCTGAGATAGGACGATTGTGATTGAGTGGGCTGATGCTGGGATGACGGTCGAGTCGCTACCAAGTGAGTCGTACTATCCCCAAACGTAATCCCATGATTTCGTGATGTAGCATGACTATCGTCAAACGGATTATCCAACGCCGATGCAAAAGGATCATGAATGGCGTCTTCATGCGAAACCAAACTATCGCTATCACGTCGATTCGATGGCGGAAGTAGTTGCAAATCATCAAAGATATCTCGTAGATGGGGCTGTTGCTTTCCTTGCTTCTTCATCTTCGTGGATGATGAAAAGTCAATTTTGCGTGAACTTCCTCCCAAGGTTCTCACGCTATGTAAGCCATCTCGAACTTGAGCCATAGGAGGAGTCGAGATCATGTCATCTCCTGGTCTAGCATTGTTGGAGTTATATCGCTTGGATGAAACGGAGCTTGTGCTCATTCTTGGACTACTTTGACCAGCAAAGCCATTGAAATCAGAATCTAGTAATTCGGCATCGAAGTCCTCAAACATGATGCCTGCAGTTCGTTGTCGTTCTTCTGCCATCTCGAATTCACTGAGGCGCATTCGTGGCATCTTCCAGGTGCCTCTTCCAATGGATGTATCGTTCAGCGTAAGGGCTCCATGATCATAATCACGAGGCTTGAATTCTGACTCAGGGTCAATCACACCATGGAGTCGACCAGAATGCTCAGCACCTTCAGTTTTCCAGAGATCATACCATCGATCGGCATAGTTACTGCACCATACAGCAACAATAGGGAACCAAATATTGAAGAGCGGTACCGCTGCAAAACAGTACAGCAGGAACCAGAGGACATACTTGTATTGCCTTCGAAGTAGGAAATAGAAGATATGCAAGCTAACAAGACCCAGAAAGCAGATGGCGATCACCGTGTATGCTAAGCCATATCCGATAAAAAATCGAATAAAGACACTGTAGAGGTAAGTCATCATGACAGGAGACACAACGGTATCGAGTACTTTTGTGAAGGCCAAGATCCAATAAGACACACCGATTTGACTGGCAACTTTGAGCATTTCAATGTTGTTGTGGAAATTGGTTCTTAATAACCTAGTTTGTTGAGCTTGCAAATTTCGGAATGTGTTGGGAACAGTGGCATAACCAATGGCATCGGGTTCGAATCCTAGCCGGTGTCGAGGATGCGACTTCAGCAGTACAATGGGGAAATACTGTTCTTCACCAAGCAACAACACATTTCTCATGTGAAGTGTATCAGCTGCTGGAGTCGCGAACTCTCGCAATACAGTGGGGTGGACACAACAGGCTAAGACATCCACAGGGGGTGATAAGGAGAAGTTGGAAGATGCTCCAGTCATAATGGTTGTGCGTTTATCATTCGCTTCCCAAGAAGATTGAAGATTGTTTCTGTCCATGTCATCGCTTTGCTTGGAGTAAGGCGCCGCCCTTGAAGGACTGACACTCGGTCTGGATGTCGTTGCCTTATCTTGCCAAATGCGATACATGACAAACCCACCATTGATGGTGATCATGCTACCCAAGCAAGCTTCATAAGCTAAACCAGAGAAGAAACGCATGTAGAGCGGGAAGATTTGCAACATAGTGGTGACATTTTCTTCTGGGTTGGCGGGCCGTACATCGCCACTAATGGCTATGAGGCGTTCATCATTTTCAAGACGAGAAACGAGTTTCTGAAGTACCGTGCCTTTTACTTGAGTGTCTGCATCAATGACAAGCATATATTTGAACATGCGAGGATCGATTCCCAAAAGATTGTAGCACTGGTTGAAGAGTTGGTATTCCAAGGGTGTTATGCGATTATTGGCCAAATCCATACATCGTTCCAAGAACGCCAGAGCAATCATCATAGAATCACGTTTGCCTCGATTGCCTCTGCGCAATTCGTCTTTCTCTCGCGGGTTGCCAATCTTGACAACAAGCAAGTAAGGAACACGGTTACGACCCGTTTCATAGAAACCTGAATACACTTTGGCGAAGTTGGTCTTTTTGCTGCCTTGACCCAACGATGCATATGCCTGAGGACTAGGTTCTTCTGTGCCACTATAGCCTAGGAGGTCCAAGATTTCGATATACGTTTCTCTGTTCGCTGAAGGATGCTTCACTGTACCATCACAGACAAACATGAGCATTTTTCGAGAGTCAGCATACTGAGTAATAGCCATGGATTCGATGGTTTGCTTTAACACATCAGTGGCTTCAGCATAGCAAGGAACTAGTAACATAGTGTAAGGAGCCATGTCGCTGTTGATCATGTATGAATCGTTGGCTGAGGAGGAAAACAAAAATCGACGCATGAAGGGAAGTCGTGATAAGTTGGAAAGATTCATTTTGAACAGGAACAAAAGCAGAATACAGCCCATGGTGGCCCAAAGAGCAGGATTAATCTTGGCACATCCAGTGTCCATGTCTTCTTGTAAGATACCCTTGTAAAAAAGACGATCCATACAAGCAACATATAGATCAGCGTTCTCAGAGACATTTCCAGTATAGTATGGTGTGATATCTTGGCCCAAACCCAAAAACAACAGCTGGGTCAGGTTGTAGGGCAAGAACATACGATCAAGGACCAGTTTTCGAGTCATGATATCGCTTGAAAAGTTCATAAGATCCGAAGCACTGACAAGGTAATCTGTCACATCATAGACTTTTCCATACAAGATGACGTATCCACTACCATCCACTTCACCATTCGGAAGAGAGCTACGATTCTCGTAGATGTAGTCTCTTGTGTATGTCAATTCTAAGCAAAACAAAGAAAAGTGTAAATAACGACAGAAATCTTGGGATTTTGTGGAATCATTCAGGCATCGTGGTGCATTCACTAACCTCCTTTAATTCCTTTTTGCAGTTCTGCCACATCATCTGCGTGATCAAAGCACGGTGCCCCGGTTACGCTTCCATTAGAAGTTGGTAGAGGACAAGACATCAGTTGGCCTTTCGTAAAATCAACACTGTAACCGGTGTCATTCATAATTCGATAGATCAACCAGCGATCTGCAACGTATTGCATATCCAAATCGCCAATACAGGCTTGGATAGCAGGGTCGGAATAGGTGTTGTTGCCTTCTTCACGGGCCAAAAGAGTAAATGTTGGAAACAAAGGTGACAGATCGTATCCAGGGTATTTGCTAACTTCCGCGGCCAATGTGGACTCGCTGGCCCAGTGAGACATATTTACAGCCTGGCCATTCACCTGAGCATACTTTGAGCTTGGCGATATTACTGTTGAATATTTAAAGTAATCTGGTGGATCGCAGAACAAAGAAGTAATGTATTCAAGCCAAAAAGTGACGAATGCGGAGATGAAGATAAAGAGATAGACCATGGCCATCTTTTCTCTCCATGATTGCCGTGATACTGTAGAGAAAGAAGAGTAGAATAGCAATAGACATATCAATGACCAAGATCATCCTATCAATTGACAGATACTCTCCACTTACTGGTAGTTTTCATACGTCCAACGTACAATAGAACAAAGTCAGGAATGAAAAATGTGCACAAAAAGGCAAAAGCTGCCCAAATGAGACGTGGCAGTGAAGTCCGGCGGCCTTGGTTAGCAATATTGCTGATGGAGTAATAGGATGCACGAGCTCTCCTGGAAGGTTTTTCCTGTAGGTCTACATCTTCCATGGAGGGTTGAAAGTTCATCTGGGCATAGCCGTTTCGACCTAAATCTTGTCTTGGGAACGGTTCAGCATAGACAGAAGATCTGGTTTCGGTCACGAAAGTTGAATTTGCGGTTGGAATCATTTTTTCATTTGACTCGGTTCGATGATGTGTTGGGTTACTGCTAGTAGAAGACATACTGTCTCTCCAGGTGTGAACTCGACGTCGGTGGGGAAAGCTCGAATGAAAGTATCCAACAGGTGGAGGGGACGTAGGTTGTTCAGACAAAAACTCCACTGACCCTCGCTGAGAGCCAGGTGAGGAGGCCCCTCGGCCAAAAGGCATGTGGGCATTGGTTATGGGAGATGTGGCAAATGCAACGTTAGGCTCAGTAATGCGGGTATCAAGATTGAGATCTTCTTCTGACGCAAATGGATTCGAAATAATAGAAGGAGACCTTTCACCATTAGACAAATTGGGGCTGTCAAAAGGATTGGTGTTCAATCGAGGGCGGCCTGCACTACGATTTGCCGGTAAGCGGGTGAATTTGTCCACGTCGTTGGAATTCGAGTTCGGATTCCACTGGCTCATCTGGACGGTGACCGGTTTGCTATAAGCTATACGATGTTATACACCAGCAGTTGACTGTCGATAGCTTTGAAGGGGAAAGATAGGAATGGTGAAAATTAAGAATGGAGAGGGTAATATAAAGGGGCTGTTGTAATAATATGACTGACAAGGTTCAAGCAATGAAATCTTTTTTTTTTTTTCCTTCCTCTTTCCCCCAGTGCTCAGTCAATTTTGACTCGAACGAAAAATCACATGACTTTTGGTTTCATCTTCGCTGTGAGCCGCTGCGCATCTAAGGCTGCCTTGGGAGAGTCAGGCTATGGCAGTGTAGGTAGAAGACTTCATCCGATGCTATATTGGAGGCAATTCAAAAACTGTATAATAGACTCTCATAATAGCTAACGCCACTGAATTTGTTTCCAGACCTCCGACAAAGACAGCTTTTATTTTACTGGAAAAGACGAAATATTCGTCGTACGATTACTACTGAGCTGATTGGACAATACGTCTTGCCAGATACTTGGCCATAGCTGTACCACTTGAAAAAGCATGGCTTTGACGGTAGGACATGCGCACAAGGACGAGTGTAAAAAAGGAGGCTGGCAATCAATTATAGCTTTACGGACACAAGTACGTTTTAATTTACTGTGATGTGGTCCGACCATTTGCGCAGGGAATGAAGGTCAGAAAAAATCGAGCACATGTGGCTGCTGGGCAAGCATTGAGATAACGCCGCCACGAAAGAAGGTGTGCACTGTGCTTTGAGGTTCCAATTCAAAATTCTGCTACTGTCGTACTGTACCTCCTCGACCAATTTACAAAGTCAGCTTTGCTAAAGGCTGTTTGTTTGTGTCTATGCAAAGGGTCTTTTTACAGAAAGATACTACATGTACCTCTTTACGGAGCAACATATAGCAGCATATACATAACGTAAAAGTGAACTGTTTTTTCCGTTCCTTCAAGTCTCCACATAATGCCACATTCATCCTCTGTGACGCTTGTCTCTCTGATGTCTTGGCACGTCTTTATGGTAATTGTGGGTTCCCCGCTGAAGCTCATGCGGAGTACAATGAATTTCCGTGTGTAAAGTAAGCCACCTATGAGAAACGGCAAATGACCCATCGATATCAGCAAAAACAGTCGTAGCAGCCCTTATGAGGATCAGATATGAAGTTGCTCATTTTGTTATGAACAGCTTTGAAAACTGCGTACAAAACGCTAGGTATAAGGTGCAATTATAGATCAACTATTGACTAACAACGCACTATTCGATAGAAGAAACTTCTTCTTCCTCGCTTTACCATATGAAGTCAGGTCTTGACCCTAAGGTTCAAAAGCCGAATATATTCAAGCGAACGTGCGGCTGGTTTTATTCGAAAAGTCATCGTAAGTAACGCAAAAAAAAAAAATTCAGTCGTGATCATCCACATTGGTAAGATATACATCTTGGCTGTTCCAACATACTGGGCCCTGCGTAAAATGGTAGATGGGGGCCAATTGAATGTATCGCGGAGCCAAATCTGTTATGGTATACAAGGTGCACAGTCAAAGTGCTTAAAAGGTGCTACACCGATTCGTATGGCATCAGAACGGAGCTAGAAAGAAACAGATTCGTAAGCATTTATGACGATAGGGCAATATGCCTTTCTATATATCATGGCACATTGCAAAATATACGATGGTGTAAATGCTACGGACAATGTGACGACGCTGAAAATGTGTGAGAAATAAGGTGGTGCCATCCTCAGCAACACTACAACGAGACATAGCATCGCGTATCAAAAAGCTGACCTTAGCATGGAAAATGTTGCAACCTCGGTTTTCCTGGTAGGAACAACCTCGTGTATCTCACATCGTCGTTACGCACTAATCAAAGCAATATAAATGAACTTGATGACGAATGTACTGTACTGCCAAATGAGCAGTTTTATAGGAATATGCAGAAAAATAAATTAAATCGGCATGATATAGCGCCGGTATTCAGATGACTGGGACCCAGCGTCCTCGCCAATGGTGCTTTCGAATGGGTAGTTTTTGAAAGCCACGCGGTATGCATGCTTGTGTTTTTTTTCGTCATGAATATTTCAAGCTATTTCGAAAACGTGTTCAATATAGTCGGACCATTAAAAAATGATTTGCTAGGTTTGTTCTATGTTGAGCGGGCAAGCTCACTCAAGCTGTTCATGAACGAAGAAACCTTGAGAAAGAGCCAGTGTGATGGGCCATGACCAGCGAAAAAAGGTAATTTCTGCCTGTACTGAATTCTCAATATCTCATTTGCCAAAATTTAGAGTGGAAGTCTTTGTGCGACCATTCAGGTACCCGACGCATCCTGAGCACCGGCTAACTTGTCCCAGAGTTCTTTTTCTCTTTTTCGTCTCTGTCCAATCCAGATGAGGTGTTGCGCATGAAGCAGTCAATCGACATTTCTCCTTTGTGCAAACATAAGATACCATGGCCAACATGTTGGCTCATACTACTTCTTATACTGTTATTACTACCCATAACCTGTAGCGCCAAACCTCAATCCACCGAGACCTCCACCATTACCAAGACAGCAATAGACCTAATTTCAACTACTACTAAACATACCACAGAGGCCGCAGTGACGGTTCCTCATACTAAGATTAAAAAAGTTGCTGGCACAACTTCCAGTATGTATTCCTAAAGCAGTTATCATGCGAAAGTTCGATCCTGCCTGACGAATCAGCTTTGTGGGTTATATTCTAATGAATTTCATACTTTTTTAGCTACCTCATCAAGCAGGAATATCGTACATTTTCCATTTTTCAAATCCGCCGCAACCTCCACCACCCCATCAGGGACGGCATCGCCTACTGTCGAAGGCATATTTGGGCCAGTCATATCGCTATTTCGTACATCACGCAGTTCCACCGCCACGACCCAATCGCCAGGTACCACCACCACTACCTCACAGGAATTTCCGATAGGACCTCATCTTACAAAGCCTACCTCTACTACAGCAGCAGCCAGTGCGGGCAAAACCAAGAGCCCATCACCAACACCCACGTCTATACCAGATAAATCATCAACGTCACAACCACAAACCACAACAGCTGATGGCCAAAGTAAGACCACGGTATCATCGCCAGCGAGTACAACAACAGTAAGTTGAAACCAAAATCATACGAAATAAAATTTTCTCGTTATCTAATTCTCTATTCACTATAGGAGGATGACCCCATGGTTTCGGTTCAAATGCTCAGTCAAAGTACCAGCGTGGTTGGAGACCGTACCATTACCATTGGAACCCCTCCGCATGCAACAGACGCCTCGTCTCCACACGCAGCATTGAGCGACCCTTCGTCGCCTACGGTGATTGTGGTCGTTCCACCTGGAGGCGGAAATAATCTGACATCCACGCCTCCAGGGCAAATCATTGTTCTGCTCAAGGGGGATAAAGGAGTGATGGCGAGTATAGCGGTGTCGGTGTTAGCAAGCAATAACATACTATTGGTGCTGATATGTACTGCGGTGTTGTTTGTAGTGTGACTGTGAATAGTTTCGATGGACGTTTGGAAAATTTTTTTTTTTTGTCGCTTAGTATAAATTGCGGTGCTGGAGGTGCAGTTGTACTTCTTTCCGTTCGAAACGGCATACCATCTTGTACCGGCCCTTTTTCCAATAAACTCATATCATCATGACAAAATATATCATCGTCTCTGGAGGTGTCATTTCCGGTATCGGTAAGGGCGTCATTGCATCCAGTACTGGCACCTTGCTCAAGAGTTTGGGTCTTCGTGTTACTGCTATCAAAATCGACCCTTACCTCAACATTGATGCTGGTTTGATGAGCCCTCTTGATCACGGTTCGTAATTCATTGGCCCTTTGCTATGTAGCATGGTTTCTTTGTTTGCTTACTCCTTATCTTGCTTCCCAAAAAAAAATTTTTTTTTTTGTTCGGTATCTACAGGTGAAGTTTTTGTCCTTGACGATGGTGGCGAAGTCGACTTGGATCTTGGAAACTACGAACGCTTCCTTGATGTCACCTTGACCCGTATCAACAACATCACTACTGGCAAGATCTATCGTGATGTTATTGAAAAGGAACGTCGTGGTGACTACTTGGGCAAGACCGTGCAAGTGGTTCCTCACATCACCGATGCTATTCAAGACTGGGTCGAGAGAGTAGCTTCTATCCCTATCGATGACTCTGGTGAACGCCCAGATGTCTGCATCATCGAACTCGGTGGTACGGTTGGTGACATTGAGTCAGCTCCTTTCGTTGAGGCTATGCGTCAATTCCAGTTCAGAGTGGGTCAAGAAAACTTTGCTTTGATTCACGTGTCCTTGGTCCCCGTTGTTGGATCGGTTGGTGAGCAGAAGACCAAGCCTACTCAAGCCAGTATTCGTGATCTTCGTGGTGCTGGTTTGACACCTGATTTGATTGCATGCCGTTCCTCCAAGCCTCTTGAAGATGGTGTCCAGGCCAAGATTTCCATGTTCTGCCACGTTGGCCCCGATCAAGTTTTGGCTGTACGTGACGTATCTTCTGTGTACCACGTTCCTATCTTGTTGCGTGAGCAAGGTGTTGTGGACTATTTCCGTCGACGTCTCAACTTGGATTCTCTCGTCGTCTCTGATGAACGCAAGTTGGCTGGTAAAAAACTTTGGGATGACTGGAACGATTTGGCTCAAACCTATGACCGTCTTTACGATACCGTTGAAATTGCTTTGGTTGGTAAATACACAAACCTTCACGACTCTTACATCTCTGTCTACAAGAGTTTGGAACACGCTGCCTTGGCCTGCAAGCGCAAGTTGACTGTCAGATGGATTGAAGCCACTGACCTTGAGCCAGAGACCCTCAAGACCAACCCTATCAAGTATCACGAGTCGTGGCAAAACCTTTGCTCAGCTAACGGTATTCTTGTTCCTGGTGGTTTCGGTAACCGTGGTACTGAAGGAAAGATCATGGCTGCCAAGTGGGCTCGTGAGAACAAGATCCCTTACCTTGGTATCTGCCTTGGTATTCAGATCGCTGTCATGGAATTCGCCCGTAATGTCTGCGGTATGCCCGACGCTCACTCTGCTGAACTTGACCCTAATACCACTTGCCCCGTTGTTATCTACATGCCTGAAATCTCAAAGACTCACATGGGTGGTACCATGCGTCTCGGTACTCGTCCTACTGTCTTCCAAGAAGGTACTGAAGGATCCATTGCTCGTCGTTTGCACGGTGGTGCCCAGACTGTCAACGAACGTCACCGTCACCGTTATGAAATCAACCCTGAGTATGTTCCCGTCTTCGAAGAAAAGGGTCTTCGTTTCGTTGGCAAGGATGAGACTGGCGAGCGTATGGAAATCATTGAAATGGAAGGTCACCCTTACTTCGTTGGTTGCCAATACCACCCTGAATACTTGACCAGACCATTGAAGCCCTGCCCTCTGTTCCGCGGTTTGGTCCTCGCTGCCACTGGCCAATTGGACACCTATCTCAACCAACAACAGTAAGGTAGAGTCTTGCGGAAACAATATTCGGAGGTAATTGAAGACGGGGAGTTTCGACTGGTTGGTGCATGCACCTTTTATATTTCTCTTCCTTCATTCGAATGCTATCATTCTGTTGTACCATTTCACTTCTTTTTTACTCCCTTTTGAATATCTTTTTGTCATTCCGGACAATATACATAATTGCATAATTTCATTTTTCATCGTGTTGAGTACCGGTCACTGTGAGAGATAACTCCTTTCCTCTTACATACCTGCACTCGCACGAATTTTTTTTTTCCATCACTCTAGACTGTAACAAAAGAAACTGCAATAGATTTGTTTTCAACCCTGTAACTTTTGGATTTATTGGATAGTTGGTATGGGATATAGCGTGTTAATGTAGATTCGGTATGGTCCCAAGCACAAAGACGAACAACCTATTTTTGTTAGATATATATGTCGGGTTCAGTGCCATCTTTATCAAATGTCAATTATGCCTGCACCTGTGGCGTGTCACTGGGGTGTCCGATGAAACAGGTACACAATAACGATGTCTTTATGGTCGGTGACTGGATCGATCGATCGAGAGAGACGAACGTCATAGAACATAGCATAACAGTACGTTGATTGTCAAATAACGTACAGAATGCGCACACTCGCTTTTATGTGATGAACCACTTTATAAGCAGATTGCTATAGCATTTGGCTCAAGGAAAAAACGCAAAAAGCACTAGTATTAGCACAAGGTCAAAAAGACCCAAGTGAAAGAAACTATACACGAGGAAGAGAATAATGGAGTAACATGACAGTGGAATAAACGAGAAGATACATGGGAGGGGAGATGATGTGAGGCTTCAGATATAAACAATGTTGGGATGAAGACGGTTGAGGATGAGTGGGGGCTATGAAAAATAAAGGAAATGGAGCCTAAGATTCGTTTGAAGAAGGACCACTAAGAAAGGTATCAATGACTTGGCGTCGCCAGGCTTGGAAGCGCTCAATCTCAGCGTCCTTCTTACTCACACGTCGTGCCAATTGCTCAAAGTTTTGACGATGCTCTATCGCCTGTTTGTCCAGTTGGTCATATAAGGAGTTCACCATGCGACGAAGTGATTGAACTTCCTTCTGTAACTGAGTGGCCTGCGGTTGATCATGACCACAGTTAAGACAGGCGACAGGCTCTATTATCATCTCCTCCAGGTTGGTGTTTTCAAGAGATATAAGATCGCGTGTATGCGTCTTCACATCACTGGCACCATTGTTCTTGATTCCAACATCGTCAAGAGCCATGGTGGATGAAGGACTTGCTGATGTCTGCGATCTCATATTATGGTCAACTCCTTCAGTGGACGGTTTAGGAGAGGGTAGTTGGCCAGCAGATTCTAAGGAAACAGGTTTGGGGGATTCCGGTAGACTGGACAAGTGGTCCAAGGATGACTGTGTAGGTGGTTGTCGCGTTTGAGAAACAGTCAAGGATTTGAGATCAGACGGAGTCCATCGTGGAGAACCAGCAGCCGATGACGCAGACGAATTAAGCTCATCTTCTTCATCTTCGTGCAGTTGATCATCATGCTTGCTGGACTTTTTAGACTTGATGGGATCATCTTCGACTATGCCTTCAACCTGTTCAACCTCTGCTTCTTCATCGCCGTCGTCCTCATCGTCTTCATCGCCTTCTTCATGCCCTTCTTCATCGTCTTCATCCTCCTCGTCTACCTCAGAATCCTCGTCAGAGTCTCGTTCTATGTCACTGTCTTCGCCGCTTTGTTCTTCGTCATCAGCGACAAATCCAGGGCTCGATTTCGGTCGGTTGGAAATCACGTTCTTCGGTAAGGCTCCTCTAGCACGTTTGCGACTACCAGCAACGACCACGCGACCTTCTTCTTCCTCAACATCCGAGCTCGCACCAATCTTAATGGAACTTTCTTCTCCTGTTGCGTGACCTTCTTCTCCATCTTCTACAACTGGTATATCTGCTTCGTCGTATTCGTGCTTTTCGTATCGATCTTTAAGTTTGCGTCGTTTGTTGGGAGAGGACAAAGAGTCGGCATCACCATCTGGCGTTAAAAGGTCGGCTTCATCGGCATCCGATTTATTGACGAGTTTTCTTCTGTGGTTGGTTCCCATAGTAAGACAACCACTGAACTTGGAGCTCGGAGCATCGTAGCTGTATGGATTGCCGAGGAGGTAATCAAAATATCGATCAATTTTGTATTTTTGCATCCATCGCTTAATACGTTGCGCAAACTGCGGTCGAGTAGAAATGTCTGTGTGACCGAGTTCACCAACAAGTTGTGACCAATTCTTGAGCTGTGTAATGGCATTAAACATCTTAGTAGTCCACTCTCACACACGTCATGGAGTACAAAAATCAGAAACTTAGCTGACCTCTTGAACATGCAGTTTCAAAACTAGAGCATAAATATCCCAAGCGGAATATGTCAAATCTTGTGTCTTGGGAGTAGCTAGAATCTTCTTCTTCAGATAAATGATACTATCTGTATCGTCCGAGGCATACATTGGGTCGTGAGCAAAAACGAACTGAACGTAGCCATCGACAATATTGTTCTCGGCAACATTTTCGCCAGTGACAGTACGAGACGACAATTTAGCCAGTTTGATATCTGGATCAGACTCTATGGGCCGTTTCGGCGCAATTCTTATGGCGAAATCCCTAGCGGGTACACGGTCTGATGGTGCTGGACGGATTTCTGGAGGGATAGGCACCGAGGGAAACTTTTCAAAAACGGTTTGAAAAGAATTGGCACTGGCAGACTGCTCGGGACTGTATGGAGATGCAGATGTAGAGGCATAACTGGTGGGTAAAATGTACTTTCCATTCGCTTGATGGGGTGAGTGGCTTTGTTCAGGGTTCGATGGTGACCTATCCATAGGTTTGTGATCATTCGTTTTGACAAAAACAAATTGTGAGGGCTGGGTGGACCATGAGCTGCGTGGACCGTCCATTGACCCTGAGTCGCTAGATACGTCGTGCGAAGTATGCGATACTCTTCTATTTGAATCATCATACATGGGGTATCTTTGGGGTGACATGTTGGGTGTTTGGCTGTGGTTCGTATTAGGCGGCTGCTGATCAAAAAGCAAAACAAAACCATAGTCATACGTAAGCAACAGGTTGACAGAATGAGTGACTCCATGTATGATTTCATAGTAACTGTCGTGCACTCTCAAAGTAAATTCAACTCACCCCTTCTCTCTGGTCGAGTGGCATTCCAAGGGCGTAAGTAGAAGCTTCGGATGGTGGGAAGTGGTGGCTGGCATTACTGGTCATAATACTGGCCGGATTATAGGTACCTGGTCTTCGGTAAGTAATTGGATGGTCGCTAGGTAGTAGATGGGGTGACCGCAGCACTTGAACATCTCGGTGCTCGCTACCTTCGGAGCGATTCATCATGTCTGACAAATTCATTCCCTAATCCCCAATTGGACAGAAACGGCAGAGTGAATGAATCGGTCAAAAGAAATGGTTGAAAGGAATTCCAATCTAGACAGAGAGGTTGCAATTTGCAGAACAGTCAAACAGCTCTTCCAAGCAGAATTGGGGGGTAAAGCAAATAATAAAGATAGTGCAAGAAACTGTAACTAACACTGCGAACTTTTGGGCTCGTGAGTCCCATTTTTTTTTTTACTGGAAATACTTTCTATGGCAAACCCAAAATATAATAACCCGCTATTAAGATCACGTGTCAAAGCTCCACTCCATTGACGTTCTGGAAAAGGACCTTTGCTATCCTCCCAACGACTTGATCCAGTTGTGATATGGGAGCTTGTTGACTGAATTCTATGCATTCCGGAATTAAGCTGGAGTATTTAGCATACTCTTTCATGTTAGATGTAGCCAACGTCCATTCTTGCCAAGTATCCACCGACATAGTTTTGCTCTGAGGTCCAATTTGAGAGATGTTGATGTGGGCAAGATGTCTTCCGATAAACCCACATACCAACCGAGAATACAGTTTCCATTCCACGCTGATAGCCGGCACCTGCCCACTTGTCCACATCTCTCCTAAATTACCTAGAAGACCTATGTGAGCTATGCGATGGGAGTCCTTTCCTTCTGCCCATTGAAATAGAGTTCGATGGATGGAAACCAATGCAGGAAGAAGTTGGCATTTTTCCAAGCTGAAGTCGCCTTCCGCGCGAGAAAATATACTGGAGAACTTGTGTAGAAGTAAGAGCAATTTGGTGGACTGTCGAATGCTATCTGGCGGAATGACAGTAATGGATAAAAAGGCCGCCAGTTCTTCGGCAACCTTGCACTCATTTGCATAGTCGTGACACTCCAAGAGTTCTGAAACACATCTTACGTGGAGCGTCATGATGCAGCAGTTTTCCAAACATTGGTGCAGAAACCCGTCTGTATCCGATAGGGGTAGTTCTAAAGATTGTCCAAACTGTCGCCAGGTATCGTCAACAGGACTGGTAGAAGCATTTAGTTCATGCTCTATGCAGGCTTCAAGTAAGACAACCATGGGCTTAACGTGACATATGAGCCGACAGCCGACGTAAAATAGTTCAGTGAAGATGTTACGAAACAACTGCATATTGCCAAGAATGGATTTCCAGATATCGTTGCCTATAGCCGAGGCGTCGGGACATCTATTCGGCAAAGATACAATGTCACCAAGCAACTTGCGAACGTTAGACGTCAGGTCAGAATGTTCCATTTTTCGATTTGGTTGATAAAAGCTATTATCGACAACCAGAAGCGTGTTTACGATAATTTCGGGAAATCCAGTGCTGGAAAAGTTGGTGCCTGGCATTTCCACATAGGTGAGAGCTAGTGATATGGTATAGGCTGCATAGTCTTGGACCATGGACGGTTCACCTTGATTATTGCTGTTATTAATGCCAGCCAGCATTCTGAGCCATATCAAGCATACAAGTAGGGGATTGCTGTTATTTTCCTTTAAAACTTCTAGTGTGGGTTGGAATGCGTCTAGAGGGGATGGCCATGTCTTACGTAGCGAAGAACAGACTTCGTGCATTAACGCAGGATTCACCTTTGCTGTAGGAATACAGGTTTCCATTGCATTAGTGAAGTTGGCAAGGGTAGCATGGGTGTCAAGGTCGATGTCGTCGGTATATTGTACAATGTAAAATGCCAGTCTAATATACAGGTGTAAGATATTTGGATTTGTTTCGGAATGGAAATGATCAATCCATTCCACCAATATAGATGTGATGTATTCGAAATAGATGGTATAGATTGGTTGCTGTTGTAACTGCTGATCTTCTTGGAGTAATTGTGCAATGGTATGAAGTATGAGATCAAGCGAAGCAGCTTTTGGTTTGAGTTGCTTCCAGGGTAGTTGAAATAGATCTTTGTTCAAAATTTTGACCCAGTCTTGGCGTACAGATGGCAAAATGGTATGGTAAAATATGAGCACTTGTTCAAGTATAGCTTTAGTAACATCATTCGATCGATGTGTCGCAATGAGAGTCATTAACAGAGTAGCAAACCCTTCGGAGATCTGGTCAAATTCCTTGGGACGGTTTGAATTCTTGGACGTCAACAAAGGTTCATGAACGTTGAATATGAGTTGCAAGGCATCGCCATTTCCGAGAGGCTCTGACATAATGCGATCGTCGCAAAGACAAGCAAATACCAGTTCGTACATGGATCCACAGCTGTTGTATATATATTCCAGAGCATTAGCGCCAGCTGATTTCCAGACCTGAATAATTTTGTCCAACAACGTATAGAGCTGGTGCTGAGTCAGGGCTTTCAATCTTTGAGACTGATGTTGATGCTGTCCAGATGTGATAGCCCTTCGTATGACGTCCAACGGAACACCAAGGAAATCCATATATGCGCGAAGGTGATATGTGTTCATTGGCTTATTGACATAGATGTCCACTATCAGCATGAGTACTTGAATGTATTCCATATCGTCGCTGATTTTCTGGTGAGCAGCACTCAATAGCTTCATGGCCAGTGACGAATGCCTATAACTCAGAGATCTCTCTAGTGGCTTTTCATTGGTGGTTCTGCCGATTTTCTGAATCGCCTTGAATGCTGCTTCGTACCACTTAATTCGTTGCTCTTTGTTACTACCTTGAGGAGTAGAGAACCATGCTAGCACATCAAACTTGGTGGAAAGCTTGAGTTGCGATGATGCTGAATACTTGTCACTGAGGCAAATTTTTTCATAGATATCAACAAATCGTGCAGGATCACTTTGAGGTTCAAACGCTGGGAACAGCAAGTTAATATTGCGGTCGTCAGTACCCATCATGCGTAGAAGAGGATCCAGCTGGTCCGGGTGCATAGTGAAAGATTCTGATGCCATCTGTGCTATCTGTCGACTAAGAAGTTTTCCCGGTGGAAATTCACTGGCATTATCGCGCAATGCTTCAAATACAAAATACACTGATTCGCATGCCTTTTTGGACTGCAAAGGTGACAACGTATTGTCATACCGTCTTGTCATATCCTCCATCACAGCCAGCGCTTGAAAGCTTTGGACACAAATCCTTGAATCAATTTTGTCATACGCTAGCTTGGATACTGCAGCTCTATTTTCAGACAACTGTTTTTCGGTATTTTCTTCCACCTTGAGTTCGAGTTGTTCGAGGTGAAATCTCGCTGGTTTCTGACAGATTCCTTGCGGAACTCTCTTACAGGGGATCTGGATGGTAGAATTAGTTGTCTTGTTATAGTACAATCTCTCTAATTGTTTCAAGTAGCCTGAATCCAAGGCTTGATGTTCTGTTGTAAGCTGGTTGAACTGGCGAGCCTGATGGTGGAAACTTCGCACAGTATTACCGAACAGGTCCTGAGGAGTCATTTGAAGGATCTCATCAAGAGATAATGACGTGGCTGGTTTGCGTAATTTAAAGTCTGGTAGCTTTGCCGTGACCAATTGTGTGTTAGGAGCAAGCGTGTGGGAACGAATTGCCAAGCTACTGTTTGGACGAGACGTTGATTCAGGAGCTTGATAAGGCACCACCTTAGATACCCACTGGAATTGGTCAAACTCCTTCATCATTTGTGTTGTATTCACCAGATCCATCCACAAGTTAGTTCCATCGTACAAATCCAAGTCCTTGGCCGATTCGCTGCTCAAACTTCCACCAAGTTTACGACATTGAAGTAGTCGTGCGGGTTGGTAAGCGCTGGGGAGCTCAGAAATATCTTGCATATCCTTTTGCAAACGCGCATCGCCTAGCCATACCAACATGGCATGATATAATTGCTTCAGATCCTGTTGCTGACCACGACTGTTTTTCTCGTTGAAACTCTTGTCTTTTGCAGCGTTGGAAGAGTTGATATGGAACTCCTTCAATTGCACTAGCCGTTTCTTGAGACCATCCAACAAACTATCTTTTTTGGAAAAGAAGAGATGCCCATAAATGAACTCGGTCTTTTGCTCCTCATTGGTCAATCTGCTAAAGTAGAGAGAGAAAAACATTTGTAGGAACAGAGGAAGCAAGTTATGATCTGCAGGTACAACCAAAATATGCTGAGCCCATCGATAAATTGAAATGAAGTCGACAGGTTTGCGAAGATTGATGTTAGCATGCTTAACAACAGCACTTATGTCAGCATCGTCTTTGCTACCATCCTTTTGTAGCTGCAGACCAATTTGCATTCGAAAGTCAGCATCCGCTATGGTTTCCAACACCAGCATTTGGAAGGCAAAATAAAATGAATGGTTTTCAACATTTGGAGTTTTGAACAGACTGGAACTTGCAAGCGACACCATGGACCATTCCCCCGTCAATAGACTGGGATAAGCTGTATCAGCCAAAACCGACTTCATAAACCTCATAGGATTTCGTGACCCTTCATGACCGGATTTCGAAGATGACGCAGGTGAAGCAGTGGACTGGCGGACATCGTCGAGCCGTTGGGCTTCCAATTGCAAAATACTTGGAACAAGTGTATATCTCCTGTTAGTGAAGGCTATCTTTGCACAGTAGTCCACCAAGGCAATTCGATTAGGCTTCCACATCCAATCGGGTTGAACGCATATAATCTTGATCCAAGAATGTAACAGGAGGTCCAGGTATGAGAAACCACCATTTTCCTCCTCCAAGCTGAATGCTTTGTCGATCTCTTTTGCCATCCAAGCCTGGGATCCGATGACAATTTCCAGGCCGTTCTCTGGCTTGATTAAATCCAACGGACCATCCTTGTTGACTAGGTATAACTTTCCTGCTTCGGCCAAGCATGGGTCCGATTTGGCGTGGAGTATTTGATCCAGGAGCCACACTGTTGATCCGTGATTGAAAAAGTCATCGCCATGCATGTAAACAAAGCCAGGCACAACATTGGCCAACATGTAAAGCAGGGAATCCACGTGACTACTTCGCAGCATGAGCTGAACCTTCTCCCAGCCTCTGTTGATATCAAATCGGAGAAAATGGCGGCTGGTAGGCGACAGCATGAACGCAATGTAGATGACAAGACAGAGATGGTTTGCTGTCAGGTCGTTGGAAAGTTTTGCGTGATCGCCTATGCCAATATTCGTGATAGCATCATCCAAGTCTGTTGCACGAGAGTTGACGGGACATTCAAACAATTGCAAACGAAGAACGATGTCCCAGCACCAATCCATAAACTTGCGCTTATTAGCATCTGTCGACGATAGGAACACGCCGCTCGACGAAGGGATATATGGAGCAATGGTGGAAGTCAATGCTTCAGTGGAAGGTGCAGCTTTTTCGAACATTTCGGCAGTGGGTTGGATCCTTTGAGCGATGCCAAGGATCATGAAGGCAATCTCGCTATGGATAGCGTAGGACAAATGAGGACGATGTCGTTTTTCCCAAGGTTTGGTCCTGGAGTGAGGTTCCGATTCCACTTCAGTAGTGTACCCATAATTGAGGTTCTCCAAAATATACTTTGTAAAATTGATGCCAAGATCCGATAAAGTTCCTGAACATGTTAGCTGTTGTAAGGCACCAAGATCGTCTTGCCGTACATTCCAATCTGCCAAACTCAGAGAATGGAAAAGATAAAGAGCGATGTTGCCAATCTTGTCAAAGTCGTTGACGGTCCAGTTCAGAAGGTTTGAAATCAACAATGGGTGGCGGTCGCACATAACCTTGTATGTATCTCTCACATCTTTGTAATACATCCCTCTTAATTCCTCATTCAAATAGGCAACGTGAAAAAAGACATACGCAATGGCCAGGATGACATTTTGCGCGGTAGTGAAATCGGTTTGATCTTGAGAAACCGTACGTTGTGAGTCAATCACCAAGGAAATATTCGACAAGCACTGCAAATAAAAAATGCCTTCATCATTGTTGTCCAACAAGAACTTGCAAAAGCGATCAATGGAGTAAGCCTTTGCTGGGTATTTTACATTGGAGTTTGGTGTCACTTGGAAAATGTCATTGATGATGCCCCATAAACCATCGACTGATACGAATTGAACAGGAATGGACGCTAGGAAATGCTGTACACCTTTTCGTGGCAATTCGAGGTAACAATGAAACACGTCTGTAGCAAGTTTATCCACACATTGTTGCATTTTGCCTTCAATTTCCGAAGTGATATTGAGGTCGCTGTGACCCTTAGCCAGCCGACCAACATTTTGCAACAATTGACATATCATTTGCGCCAGCCGCTTTACTATAACGGTATGGCTGGTTTTCGAAAACTGCAAAAGCAGCTGGGAGAGGCATTGGAAATAATCATTTGCCAGTGACAGTGGATATAAGAGGACGTCTGATGAATCGTCACCAAGTTGCGATGCTTTCACCTTGGACAATGCGCCGGTAACTGCTGCATTGAGACGCTCAGGAATGGAGAGTTGATCCAAGATAGCCGAAAGATCTTCCTCAGTCAACAAAGTCTTATTAATGCTTGACAATTCTGAATGCTCCAGCACATTTTTTGGTACTCCATTGAGGTTGGAGGCAATGGCCAAGATCTGAACCATGGCAGTAATTTCAATCTCCACTTGCTGTGATTGTTCCGACACCAACAAATAATTTGTCAAGTTCTTTCCCCATTTTTCTATGCCAGGACAGCTAATAAGATGGTGAAATAGAAATCGTCTATCTCTAAAGTTGCAACATGATGTATACGGCACAAGTAACTGGATGATCCATCCACGAATGTCATCCAAGATTGTAATTAGGGCGGTGGATACTGCGTGACTGGTAGCAATATAATTTTCACCAATGTTGGACTCGGCGTACTGTAAGTGTGCAAAGAACCGTTCATAATGAAATAGTATGTCGAACAACTCTTGGAAATTGAAGAGCTCTAAAGCGTCGTCTGATAATGTCGGGCGCTCACCACCATTGACGCCTCGAAGACCTTGAGATTCCCAGCAAAATCGATCAAGGTATTCCTGAATCTGTATTCTAGCCATTTTGCTTTCGTATAATTTTCGATAGAGCAATGTGTCGGCCTCTGACCGGAGCTTGAAGAGAAGTTTAGATAACTTTGCGCCTTCAACGGCTTGGAAATGACCCTCATTATAATGAAAAGTATGTGTGATCTCGACACCATCCCCACATTTTGCTTGAAGGACTTTCGATTTGTTCTCCACAACCCACAGCCGTTTGGCGCGATCTTGTGCTTGGGACTGTAATTTTTTGATGGTCATTTGCAACTCCATCGTCTCTTTAACACATTCATGATATTTTGATAAAAGAGCAGTCAATCTATGAGTGGTATGTGGTTCTTGGATATGGAGGTGTTGGAACTCAATCCTAGCGTCTAGAAGATCTTGGACAGGGTCCTCCTGAAGACGAAATAGTTAGGTTAAGCGGTTGGCGAGGGTTGTTTTCACTGGGGTTGGGCAACTTACGGGCAATGACGTTGTGGCATCTGATGTAGTAACATATAACAGAGAGAAATGCGGTATCTGCTTCTGCCAAGATGTCTCGTAAATCCAGGGCAGTAACTTGTCTAAAGATTCTCTAGCGACAGGTGGGGTTATCGAGGTTGGCGACAAAGGCGTCGGCGTGGGTATAGGCGATGGAGCGTCGAATGATTTCATATTGAAGACAAAATGAGGAGGATTCAGGTGGTTGTATTGATGGGCATTCTCTGTTGTTGATGGCAAGTTATTACACGGTGGAAATAAAGCAGACTCATATGATATCATTGGCACTTCTCTGCGCTGAGGTGGTCGGGCAGGGATGACAGTCACGCTGGTTTGAAAGTCATCGGAGCTCAACCCAATTCAAAAAGAGACATCAACTGGCCTTGATTGCATGCGGGCGGGCGGGTCATTGTTATTCTTACCGTTTTTTGCTTTGGTTATTCCAACTCATCAGGTTATTCCTTCCCTCTCTCTCTTCTCAACTTCCTTCTATTTCTCTGGGGATGGCACAATTAGCTTTTTCCTTTTGCCTTGCCGTTCCCGATACTTGTCAAGTCCGAGATGGAGAAGACTCATTCCGAGATTTGCGGAATGCCTGTGGGACACTTGCAAGTCAAAAGCCGCATATCACAGCGCAATTTACAAACGAGTTCTTCGCCAAAGCCAACCCTAGTCTTTCCAAACAAATATCAGCTTGCAACATCACACTGAGTGGTCCAGCTGCACTTGTTCTCTCGGCACGCGGAGAATTGTTACGAGATAATCCCATCAAGGTTGTTGGATCGGAGCATTTTACTTGAAAACCCAACAAAAAGACTAACTCCAATGTATTTGACAGATCAATTTGATCATACGACCCTCTGCTCAAGATATCTATGTCGACACATTGAGTCAAGAACTCAAGCCAGTCGTGCAGCAAGGGTTTGAAAAAATCGAGGCGGATACCGAAACCCACATCCGCGTCAGCAACTTGGGAGGGAAATGCACCATCACTGTACACGGTGTGATTGAACAGGCGGAGAAAGCGCGTGTACAAGTGCTTGTGTTCCTGGATAATATGGCAAGTGTTGCAATAACAAATGGAACGTTGTTATGATTGCCAGTTTCCTAATCCAGCTCTGTGTCACTAACAATAGGCTGGTTTGCGCACGGACACTTTGGATATGCCCCACAACCTCCATAGCGTGGTGTGCGGAAAGAAGCGATGCTACTTGCAGTCCATCAGCAAAGAGACAGCTACCAATATTTATCTCCCTTCTGTGTTTCTTTCCATGGCAAATCAGGATCGAACATCGGCAGCCGAAAAGCCTGCTACCATACATATTACCGGAGATTCAGTCGGAATTGCTAGAGCCAAGGACATGCTCACAAAGCTGTCACTCCAAAAGGTATCACAAACAGTGTTTAATTGGCTTTTTTGGAAGATGTTGTTGTTATTATTATTATTATTTTTGCATTCTCTAACTATGGCAATCTAAAAACAACAATAGGCCAACTCCATGTATCACAAGGATTCCATCCTGCATCCACGAAAAATAGACTGGATGCTATTACAGCGACGGGATGAATTACGAAATATCATGCAGGACAACGGTGAGTTCTTGGAGGGAAAAAGATATTTCGGAAGCGGAAGAATTGAGACTGATGCAATTTGATTTTTTTTTTTGTATTTCATTTTTTTTAGGTTCTTTTATCGCACTACCTGCTATTGGCTCTGGAAATAACACCATCACCGTGTACGCAGAGAATCGCGTCAACGTCGAACGAACCTTGCGTTCGCTCAATTATCTGGTGAGTAGAATGCCCCCAAAGCTCCGTAATGCCCTTTTCCAAGTCGTACACTGACATCCGATCCATCTAGGCATGCAATGTATACCAGGCTACGTTTTTCTTTAAGAATCCCAGCGAGTCAGGCGCATTTAATCCAGACGACAATAGTAATATTTTTAGCTCACTGGAAAACGTAGGCAAACTGGTTGCTCAGCTAGCCCAAGCCTCTGGAGCAGAAGTTGCATACAAAAGCGACCAAGGATGCATTGAAGTGTTTGGAACCGAGCGCGCTGTTCGAAACGTATATCAAATGTTGTATGACATGCCTTTCCTCAAAGTAAGCTCTTTCGAGATCGCCTCCTGTACACTCATGTGTTTGTGTCTAACTTTAATCTATATCTGTTATTTTTCTCGCGTTCCGAAAATGGTATTTTCTATCTCAGATGTACCATCAAGATACTATCTTCGATGTAGAGTTGGCAAACGATCAACGAGAGTTTATCAGTGGAAAGAAAAATGGAAAGATCAACAAGATCATGAAAACCTGTGGAGTCAAAATTCGATTTTTGCCATTCAGCGAATATAATTTTGTCATTGAAGTCAGCAGTACCAATTTTGCCAAAGCTCTGGATGGACTTACATTAATGCAAGATGAACTGCCTGCCGAAATCTCCTTTTCTGTTCCAGAGGTCTATCATCGCCGAATCATAGGAGTGGGAGGCAAAAACATTCAACGCATCATGAAAAAATATGGCGTTTACGTGAAGTTTTCTGGAGCCGAAGAGTTCGCTTCCCTGGGTGGCTATTACAGTAACGAAGATAATGTGGTAGCTCGTACGCCTATGAAAAACCAAATCAATCTGGATAATCTTAAACATGCCGTCATGGAACTTATCAACCCAAGAGACAAAGACTTTATCACACAGTCGCTTTATATTCCTTCCAGATTACATCGAACTTTGCTACAAAATCATGATTTGGAACTGCAGGACGTCGAACAAAAGGCAAACTCTAAAGTCCATTGGCCCGACAGAGAACTGGCTTGCGACAAGGTTCAAGTCACTGGACCTCAGTTTCAGATTCATTTAGTCACTCAGTTCTTGAACCAACTGGTGCCAGAGGAGCATTTTATCACTGCCCCAGATACACCAGAGCTACGTGAATTGTTGAACTCTGCGGATTTCAAAAACCTGGTGATGAAGATCAAGACCGATCATGACTTTACCGTTTGTGTGCCTACTCTTGAAGAGTCTACTGAGCCTGCCTCGTTAGAAAGCTCCTCAACACCCAAGGCGGGAACTAAAGCTCCTGAAGAAGCAAAGATTGTTATTCTGCTCAAATTTACCCAAAATATCATCGACGCTCTGCCACATGCTCTGAATGAATTGACTGATTTCTTGAAGAATCACGGTATTAACCCGTCCATTCAAGATTTGAACCCTAGTGACCTTGCCAGTTGTCCCAGCGATTCATTCGACGATTCGCTATTGAAGTTCAATAGTGAATCTCTTGCGAACATCGAGTCGCCAGGTATGCTCATTTTTGAATTCAAGTAGAATATCACCGTAAAAAAGTGACTAAATAATCTCATTTTCTCTCTCTCGCGCAGATGTCGGTTTGTCTAGTTACAGCTTATTTAACCACCCTAGTGGTAGTGCTTTTGGAGCCTCATGGGGAAATTTTGGTCCTGGTCGTGAAGGTTCTAGCAACTTCAATGAGGGACCTAAGCAAGGTTTACCAGATAGTCCTATTCGAGCGATCTTTGAAGAGACGGGTGGATCCGAAGGGGATCTGAGAATTCCAAGGCAATCTGAAAGACAATCTCAGAAGCCATCGTTGTCAACGTCAACCAGTACTTCTAGTAGCATATGGAGCAATGCTCCCAATCCCAGCCAGCCGTCTTCGGTAAGCAATTGTTTCAGCTATCAATACAAGTGTATGATTTTTTGTCATGCGAACTAATCATTTCCTCGAATCTTTTTAGTTTTACACTCAAGGTATGGATTTGAGACCTCGATCGGCCGGTTATGATACAACGGCTTTCAGCGGGATCATACCTGGAAATACCTTTGGCTATCGTCCAAGTCAAACCCCCACGGGGCCGTCAAGAAGCTCGACGATGCATGATATTAGACGCATGTCACAAGTACCGCCTCCTAATGCTCTGACATCTTCCTATTCCACTGGAACGATCAATAGCGGGAAGGCTGCTTCGCAGCGATCACTTCCTGAATCCATTCTCAAACGAGATCTCCTTAGCTTCCAACAATATCAATACCAGCAACAACATAACCAAGATGACCCATCACCACCCACTGTACGCCCAAAGATACCGCCACCTGGATTCCAATACGGAAAAGTATTTGGTCCAGGAGATGCTACTCAACCAGATAACAGTTGGGAGGAGATGAATAGTAGGTATTTGTTTTTTTAATTTGCTTTCGGGTGAAGTGGTGGAAAAAATAGAGAGAGCAGACTTTTGCGTTTGAGTTGAGTTTTTGTGCTTTATTTGCTAATGGCGGTTCTTTCTGGGGTAGAAGCTTTCGCCCAACCTTTCAGCCTTGATCCATTTCCACTGCACCCAAAAGCATCGTTTCCTACGCAACATCTTAACGGCCGGAGTCCAGGCTTTGATATCTAGATTATTTACTTTATTCCAACCCCTTCTATGGATCATGCCATATCATGCCTTCCTTTCTACCGAGCACCAACAACCTCAGTGTGGTGCCAAGGCATGGCTTTAATTTCCTTGTAAGCATTTGTTCAGTGTCCTTTTTTATTGCTATGTTCCAAAATGTACATACTTTTTTCTCTTTATAACTCGCATCCTGTTTGATGATGAATCTCAATTAATCTAGCAGAGCTTTAATATTGACTTTTTTTGTATTGTTTCTCTTTGTGCTTTTATGAATGCAAATCCATGTCAGTGGGCATCTAGTTTGGAACAGCCGCGGTGGCAAATGAAGGAATCCTATCTAATCTAGATGAGTTCGATAATTCTATGATAGTCTTCCTCCACGCCTTTATATGTCTCTTGAAGTTTTTCCAAACGTTCGTTTGCTTCCATGTCTCTCAGAGCATCCTGGGGGTAATCGACACATTAGTCGGAGTGGAAATACATGGAAGCATGACAGACAACTCACCAAGTTGAATTTGTATAATCTTGTTTTCACTTGCAATCGATAGCTCTTGTAATCGGAGGCCTTACGCTTATCCAGATGCTGCAAAAGATAAATCTCAATGCACCTTTGCATTTGTCGCTGAAAACGAACGATGTGATAAGTTAGCTCATATGCCACCCAGATGGAAGAGCGGAGAATACCGCAGGGCCAGGCCCTTCTATGCCCTTCCTTCTTCTCTCGCCTTACCTTGGTGAGCTTGTACTTTTTGCGGGCCATGTCGACAAATTCATCAGATACAGGTGCCTTGAGACCTTTGAACGCATCGGCATCGATCAACATACGCATGTCATTTTTATCTCGTAAATCGGCAAAGTTATCATTGGGATCCTCCACTAAAAGTCGTCAAATGAAGGCGTATCAGCGTATGATACCAGCATGGTGGGGTGGCGGCAACAAAAAAAAAAAAAATGGCTGACTGACCGTTCATTTCCACTACATCATTTCGGGCCATGGATTCCTTGTACAGCGTAGAATAGAGAATGCCTTTTGATCATAAGATTAGCGACTGAAGACTCCGCCATGGGTACGCGCGTCTCATCTGACTTTCTGGCCGCAGCCCCCTTCATAGCTTGTGATACTTACTTCCATGACCGTGAGACTGAAACGGTGGTAATATCAAGAATTGACTGAGAGCATCATGATCAGTCAGAGGTCGGTACAAAGAATTTTTCCATGAGTTCACCTACCTAATGCGCATTCGAATTTTATCTGGCCAGCAGAAAAATGGATAGAGTGTGGCATATCCCACAAAGTGATACGACGTAACGTCGGCTGCATCTTCGCGTTTGAATCTGTCACAAGATGGTTTAGACGTTCGATTGTATCATGACTTTTTGCGTGAAAGACCAACTTACATGGTGTAAATGCTCCACTTGTCATCTTCGGAGTCAATGTAGCTGGAGCCCTCCACGTACAGAAGCATGAAAAGTTGCATGCGTTCATGATACGTTCTGAATTTCTCACTGCTGAACGATGACTTTCACAATATGTGTATGAGCAAACACCAGCGTGCAACACAGGATGCATGCATATCTTGTTTACCTTGTAAATCTCGAATTGGTCCTTTCCATCATTCAAGCTGTATTCGTGCACTTTTTCGCCGAGTGGACGGAACGATGCTTCATCTTCTTTGACCTTCTCCAAGAATCGATCGTAATTGGTCATATAATCTGTGTCCCATGCGTTACCGAAAAAGAAAAAGATGATTTTTAATTTTGAGTCATATAGTTTAGGTGGGTCTGGACCATATACGTTACCATGCGGTATGAACTCTCGTAGTTTCCCTTCAATATCATCCGCAGCAAGTGGCTCTGCTTCAGACGACGAGGAAGCTACGCCCTGAAATTTTTCTGCGTAGTCCAAGTGAAAGTAAGTAGCCAGCGACCCGGATGCGTAGTAAAGCTGGCCGGGAGGGAAAAGGATAAATGATAGGTTTTATGTAAGAGGGATATGACACATCCAAACCTACCTGGATAGCCAGATCTTTGTATCCGAATGCAATTTCCTGCTCGCCAAAAATAGGATACGTAAATTCAGGATTGAATTCCACGTATCGCGTCGACGCGCCAAGAGAGGCATTGGGCCGGACTAGATCACCATGTAGAATTCTATTAATGACTGCGGCTGAAGTGCGCCTTGCTTTGTGATGATACCCTACCTAAACGGAGCTCGGTGGCTTCGGTGGTATTGCAGCCGTACGCTTCGAGATCGGCTGGATTATATTGCAGGCTGGCCATGAACGAGTGAATTATTTTTTTTCTGCCCAGTGCGAGCAAAATTTATTTTTGGCACCGTCTGATCCCTGAGAAAATAAAATCGATCGCCATCCAAGTGAGTTAAAAATAAAAAAGTATCGCAGGCAGGGAAGGATTAAAGTACATTAAGTCGAATGGCTCTTTTTTTTTTTAATGTTGTAAATAATTCAACATGCTTTTTGTCATAGTATGCTACAGGGAGAAGAGGGAGGGGTGGGGTTAAACTAGGGAAAATGAACGGAATACATTCGTCAGCAAAAAAGAATATAGAAAAACGTTGGGTGTGCAGTTGAAATACAGTGTGTGAGGATGATGTTATGTAATGAACAAAGAAATTCAAGATGGTGATGTAAGGGGTAATATAGAATTCTGAGCTACTACCAGCCCATGACCAGGGAAAAGTCATCTTTATCGGTCTTGACACGCTTGAGAGCAAGGGAAGCTTCGTCTTCATCGGAGTAGGATCGTTTGCCAGATAGTTTGCCAGACAAGGGAGGCGAAAAGTTATCTTGAGAAAGCGAAACTGCGGAATCGTGAGGATGCTGAGGTGTGTTGCATGTGCTGCAAGGAGAGCTTGACGATTGTGATAGAGGAGGGGAAAGTGGTTGAAGCGATGTGGGTATGTTTTGTGGGGGGGTTTGTAAATAGTAGGATGGTTGAGAGGAGGGTTTGTTATTATTAGCGGTAGGGTGTTGAGGTCGAGTGACTCTATTTTCGATATGCGTATTAAGCAAAGAGTACCATTGATCAAAGGTAGCTTTGCTGATAAACAAGTTGCAATCGATGACTTTTAGAAAAACCATTTCCGCAGCATTGATTTCAGACACAGGAAGGCCAGAAATTTTAGCCCATGCTGAGTTGCGATAGTTTCTATCTTGAAGAAACTTGCTGGCCAGAATAAGACTGGCAAGAAACATGCGACGTCCACAGCTGATGTAATCTTGTTCTCGTCGAACGGTGGTGGTCATGCATTGACCTTGAAGTTGATGAATGATGGCATTTTTGACTCGAAAAAGGTAGAAAAGAGCGGTTTGAAGGGTGGAATAGGTGGTGCGTGATCGTTTCAGCACTTCCTGAATGAATGTACGGAGTGAGACGACATTGGCCTTTGGTTTGTTGACGGTGGGCCAAATGGCTTCAATAACTTTAGCGGTGGTGTCTAGAAAATCCATGCGTGATTAATATTAGAAAAATACCGGCGGGTATTTAAATCAACGTGGGCAAAGGATGAAAGTGGAAACTCACCAACTAGGTTGTCTACATATAAAAGCTTTTGGTTCATGGACTTTGGCGAAGCGCTGAGTGGAGGCGCAGTAGAAGGTGGTGGTCGTGATGAGCGGCGCAGCGGTGAAGCCTCATGGCTAATGTTCGACTTGTGATTCTCAAGCGAGTACAGGTCAGGATCGCTGGTGGAACGCTTAGCGCAGGGTGGCGGTGTAGGGAGTAAGCATCGTTTGCTTATGGCTGACTTGAGTTGATATTGGATGTCATTTGGAGGTTGAATAGGGTGCATAGTATGGAGTAATGGAAACGTTCAAATACTAAGACTCTCGCAGAAAAAGCAAGGGCAAGGCAAAAGAGTAGTTGAAAGAAAACCGCAACAATGAATGGAGAACAAGCGGTTTTAATAAGTCGACGAAAATAAAAAGATGGCAAGATAAAATGGAATCGCCAAGAAGAAAACGGTCTTAAAGCGATGCACCAATCATCACAGCCAAAATTTCCAATTACGGTCATTCAGCCGTATAGACATTATTTTCACAAGCGCTGCGGTTTGTCATAAATTTCGTCTCGTGACTTTAAAACCTAGTGATTTTTCGATGGTTCCTACTGCGGCTGTAGATGTTGACTGACTGGATCGGACTGCGGTGGCGGCTTCCGTGTTCATCGGTATTCGGGTTTACTTTGGTATGAGCTTCGGCACTTTAGATAGACTTCCCTCGCGTGGAGGGGTTGAATGTTTTTGCGCATTCAACACTGAGCCACACCAGGGGATATGATTTGCCAAGCGGGCTGAAACGAACAGCACTTTCCTTATTTGGCACATGACACTACCGCCTAAATCCCCCGTCGTTGCTTGATAATCCCGTTTCCGCGCTTATAGATTTCCACCACGTCACAACCCATAGCTTAATACACCCGTTCAATGTTTACAAAAAATCATATTGTCTTGCCAAGTCTTCCATGCTCGGCTTGGACCGATGAATAATATGAGCTAGCCGATGCTTAACAATCACTTTAACCTTGTCCGTAGCTATCACGGTATGTTTGAGTCGCATGTCCGCACTTGGTCTTGCTGTGCTGCCGAGACCAGGGATTTCAGAGCCGACTGGACACTGTCGGATGTATCCCCAGATAGCCGAATAAAGTAGGCTGCCAATATCACCAATCGACATGCTGTTCAACAGGTGACGGCAGTTGTATAGCTGAGTCTCTATGGCTCCGGTCTAACCGTGACGCGTCAGTCAGTCCACTTCGTTCGATCCGCAGTCTTTACCCCATAAAATAAAATAAATTTTACCTGACTCAGCAAATCCAATAGTTGGTGTGTGTTCTCCAGTTGTACACAATGATCCCAAGGTGATTCCGCCTGTTTCACTATGTCCATATGCCAAAATGCAATGTAGTAGGCCAGAAGGCTGCGTAACAAGTCATGAATGCCCGCTTGACCATCAGTATAGCAATGGTGTAATACATCGAATAACCCCGGATGATCTCGAAATGTATTACCAATGAGTCCGTCCCTAATGGAAGATAGATGAGTTAAATGAGACTATCCTCATGGACATCTCCGTTCGGCTTACCGTTCGTTGGGGAGTGACAAAGGGAGCATTTGATCGTATTTGTCCATTGGTGTAACCACGGCTGGCCACTTGGTGGAGAGCCTAATGACGATCTGGCTACCGAAATCTGAGTTTCCTTTTCCATTAATGTCTCCATTGGTGGCCTTTTTCACACATCTCCATCTTTCTCACCTGCGTGCTGCTGCGTAATTTGCTGTAGGAGATGGGCCGTGTCCATGATATTGTTGGCATATATGTCATCTTGATAAGACCTAGATGAGGAGAAAATTATACACCTGCATTTGAAATGATAGCTTTTTCTCTTTCCTACCTCTCTATTTCTGTGTCGGCTAAATGGGCAAGGTAACGAGGTTGTCTTGGTTTAAACCTACTACCCGTGGGTCGACGGCTAACCTGCCCCAACGGTTCGTCAGCTGACGCAACATGGACCGACATTTGCTTCCGATAGACATCGAGCAGCAACCAGTTATCAGACTGAGTAAGCGTCATGTACTTTGATTGGGAAAACGATTCCAAGGCGCCTTCATAGATTCGATCACAAAACGTCTCCAGAAGTTGTCGGGCTATCCTGGGTTCATGGCTCATGTAACGCACTGTTAGAGGAAAGGGGTAAATTCCATTTGAAAGAAACAATGAGAAAATGGACAACGCCTATTCGTTCAGGCAGGACCTCCAACTTACCCAAATTGGAAATAACCTTCCTTAGCGCAGCATCCTTTTCGCCGCGTATGTGCAATGCTGAAAACCGTTCAGTGAGGTATCGGAACCACGCTTGCGTCAGCTTATCGGCGATATCGTGCTCTGCATCCTTGTCCGATACACGAGTCCAAAATTGACTGTACAGAAGGACCTCAAACCCAGAAATGCGACACGTCAGAGCAGGATGATTAATAAACAATGACATGACGGTTTTCCATTCGTCGGCCAGATAACTTTGAAAGGAGTGAAGGGTTGCTTGCGCAGCAACCCCGGCATCATCTGTGCATGGCTCGGCTATGACTGAGCAACTTCCCAAGACTCTCTCAATCACTCGCGCGTCGGAGTTCTGTTCGTCCGTTAATTTAGATATCGATGCTTTGAGTTTAGAAAAAATTTTATCCAGAACGTCACTTCCCATGATGGAACGGATGCAAAAGCGCATAAACAAATGGGTGAATGTTCAAATAAAAAAACCAGATCATGCTGAAGTTTCAAACTCACCGGAACACCCCTGACCATCGTTCATCCAATTTGTTTATGAGATGAAAGATAAGATAGCGTGTACATTCGTTGGAATCGGCGTCAGACGATTTATCCAGTCTTAGGAGAAGATGCGAGAGAAGTTCCACAGCACTTGCTTTACTTTGTAGTCCACGCAATTGAAGTAGAAATATTGGAATCTGCATGGCCTCCTCATTGACTCGTCCCAGGTTTTGTTTCAGTAGTCCAACCGTCCATTCCACCAAGTCCACGGAAGCTGGTTTTAAATCGGGAACTGTGAACGACGCTTTCATTCCCGTGATAATAGAGTTCTCTTTTGTCTTCAGAGGGTAATGATATAAGATGGCGTGATTTTCAATTCAAGTCAGATGGGAACGTCCATAAACATGTCTAAGAAATAGTCATTATTACCGGTATTAGTTCCTTCATGCCCAAATCTTCGTCATGGGCTATTGTGTCCAACATCACGGCTACATCCAGCGCATGCTTCATAACCAATCCGCTTGGACTGAACGCAACCTGTGACAGCCACTTGGGGAAAACGTCTGCCAAGATAAAAGGTGGCTCGCTATGAAAGCAAAATTAGGACATTGGCCTGTCACAGGGACTCCTTCCGCAGCCTGTCAAAAAAATAAACCTTACTTTGAGTTCCTCTTGTAGTAAGAATATCGTTGTTTTCGCTCAAACAACAATATTTTTCCCATCCAGTTATTCTCATAGAGCATGCAAAATACATCACGCCAGACGGCTAAAATGGAAAAAAGCACGTTAGTGTGCGTTCCTTGCAAAATGTGACTCGGAGTCCCAAAAATTTTGTCTTGTTGGTACCATTGGCAAATTTGGGAGAGATATGAATTAAGCTCATGAGGTATGAAATATAGTATCGAGCAATGTCGTTTTCATCTGCATAACTCATTTGTGCGGCTTCTTCATGATCATTCATTGTAGTATCTGGAGAGTGTGTTGATTTCTTCACGATATTGCTGTAGTCTTGCAGCAACCAGATGACAGACTCCTTTGCGACATTTCGAGGTTTTTCCATAGTATATTCGAGGTATGCCTTCAAAGTAGTAGCTAGACGTAATTGCTCTGGTGTTTTTACTTCGTCTCTGATTTAAGAATGTCAGAAATGTCATGTTTTGATGCTGCTTCCCGCGTTGAACTTACTTATTCGCTTCAGTATACGGGTTTCCCAACTTTCGAAACTCGAAAACAATTATCTTTTGCAGAGCGACGGGTATCTTGTCAGGGAGAGTAGTGGCAACATGGCATAGTAGCCATAACATGAAGTCTTCCGGTTTCTCACTACTGCTGACGATGATCTATGGCAGCCATCCAGGAGAGAAATAATGACGTGTGGTTACTTTTTTTTGATACTGTCTCTTGTTATCCCCAAAATAAACCATTCACCAAAAATTACCTGGAAAAAGGTTTCCAAAACTTGGTTTTTGCTTTCCATTGGTCATATTAGATGGTGAAATGATGCGGTGGAGATCGTCTACCAACACTTACCGAGAATCATTTGACTGTACCTCTAAGCAGCCGACAATTAAATCTACAAGCGATTTATTAACGCTTGATTTAAGATTTGATGTGATCTGAGCATCCAGATCCAGTACTCCTGGTATGTGGACAGACGAAATGTAAGTATGCGCACACGTCCTTTTTTCATTCACTAGAAAAATCATAGCTAACCGGCGGATGTCCTATGTTCCTTTAGCCGCTCACAAGCCCACTAAACAAAATAATTAGCATAGCTCATATACAAACGTTGATTTCTCCCACGTTATAGTACGTACAGTCATAACTATAGTTCCATGTGAGTGATATGCAAGTCGTAACCGTCGGATAGACAGTAAAGCAGCCCGTTCGTCCGCAAGGCTGCCTTGAGGTTCTCGCTTCCGCTTACCAAGCAAACTTAGAGCTTGCTTGCTATTGTCCAAGGCGGCATCGCATTCTGAAGATGTCCACGCTAGACCTGAGCATGACATTCCGAGTTGTCCAATGCAAAACACAATGCGTTGCACGTCACGCTGAGGTTCAAGAGCGTACTATGTGCACTGCCCAAAAAATTTGGCAAGCCTAGTGGCACGCATTTTTTTTTTTTAACTTTCAAAACCCTGCAACTTTCACTCACACTCAAAGCTATGCAGGCTACAGATCGGAGAAAGTTACCTCAATCCGACGAGGTAACACTTGCTGAAGTGAATAGCGAGCTAGGTATGTGCTTTTTGTCATGCAGCTTAGCCGGACGCGTGCTGCTGTTTGAATTGGCATTGAATGGGTTTGACCACTGACGACCTTATCTCCATTGACCTCTCCTTCCCTTGCAACAGTCATAGCAAAGTTAAATAATCCAAACGATCCTAATCTCCAACGTATCATTCAAGGCAGTGTAAGTGTTTGATTCGAACAATGGCGTTCACAGCCTGACCTTGCATATTCACCGATTCGATTCCTCCCCACCCAGCCAATTCTCTTTCCTACTATACAATGTGGCAATAGAGAAACAGTACCGACCATCAAGGGACAAAAGGCATGGTCAGACAAAGATGCTGATAATCAAGCGCTCATAGACATTGTGTGGAACCAACTATCTTCACGATTTGCTGATTTGCAACAGACCGGAGCCTTTCATGCTTTTGACGGCGCTTGGCAGATCCTTGCGCCTGTCTTGAAATCCATATTTCGCGACGAGTTTGCAGAGATGCTCGGTGAAAAGCACAATCAGAATGCGAGAAACGCTTATATTAAAGCGGTGGCATGGCACCCTCACCGCGAAATCCTCGCTGTAGCTCATCAAGACGATGTCGTGTTTGTCTACCAACTGGAAGGTCACAGATGGGTCAGCAGAATGTTATCACATGAATTCATGGTAGATGTTTCTAGTATGGAGTGGAAGTATCGATCGGCAGGAACCCTTGCAGTAGGCGCTAGGTATGAACATTCTTTTTTATGTCCTGTATGTATGCATGCATATAGGCATTTCTTGCTCATATTGGATTACATTGATACACGTAGATCTGGAGTTTGTATATGGGATCTTTACAGCAACATAGGCAAGATGCCACCCCATTTCTCGTTTGATAGCGGAGTTCCCAAAAAGATACCAAACGTGTCGTCTGGTTCATCCAGTGGGTCCAGTTCAGTTTCAGGAACACACTCACCAACCTCTGGATTAGCCAAGGGAGCATGGATGAGTTATCTACAGTACCCAAAACATACCTCCATATTATCACTTTCATGGGATCCTACACCTGGTAGCCACCTGCTGGCCTCGACATCAGCCATTGATTCCACCGTTGTCATATGGGACACTTTGACAGACACTGCCACCCCTCTCCGACGACCGGATAACGGTTTACATATTGTTAGGTGGAGTCCCAATGGTGTCTGGATTTTTGTAGCCAGCGTGTAAGTATGCCCTCTCCTTTGAACACTGGAAAAAGGGTTTAAAAGGAATCGTACTGACGTAGCCTCTATAGGAAAGGACACATTAGGGTATGGGAGACCAGGCGGTGGACAGACAAGCTGATACTCAACCCATCTGGTCGAGCAGTCAAGGTAAGCTGTTGGGAAATGAGACTGGGTGCGTACTAAGACGCAACACTAACAAAGTCTACAGTCTGCGTGCTGGACACCTGACGGGGCCAATCTCTTTTACAGTCTTCGAGGCGAGGATGAGCTTAGAATGATTTATTTTAATAAGGCATCTTCGGGAATAGGTAAGATCAGGGCCGCCGCTCCTTGTTTTTCAAAAAAAAACTTCACCTGGGCAGCCTCTAAATCTACTTCTTATTCCGCAGATTGTAAATCCATTTCCATCAAAAACTTCCCTGTGGTTGAGGAGACTCTTGCCTCCGGCGAGAAACAAAAAGTGAACGGTGCTATTCGTAATATATGCATAGACCAAGTGACTGGAGAACGCATGGTGATTTCCTTTGAAGATTCCAACGTGCTCGCATTGTTCCTTGTCCGAAAGATGACGGGTCTTGCCGTGGCTACTGACAGCGTGTGTCTTTTCAGGTAAGACTCCTCTGATGTTCAGATAATAACTAACTTTTCACTGTACATCTACTCACACGGTCCCTTTCTCGAATAACTTTATGTTACAGTGGCTACATCCGAGGTGCTGCACTCAATGTTCAACCGCCAAGCGTGACCAATATATCCACCCTTCCTATTGTCAATACAGAGTCACTTGGTGATGCCCAACCTCTTCATATTACATTTGCACGCAAGTTTGAACATGGATCACTTCTTTCCATTGCATGGAGCAACGGCGCCGTCACATTTGTTCCCTTGTATTTCCTTGACTCTTCCAAGATCACTGCACCGAAATTCTGATTAAACTCCATCTCACTCTTTGACTTTCCTATCCATTATTTTTTAAAGAAAAAGACGCACCGGCGAAGTAACTTTTAATTCATTGTAATGGTGCTAATTCAGGCGATGGTCTATTATTTACAAGGGGATTCAGTGGAACAAAGAAACTATCATAAAAACAAATTGAGTTGAACCTCATGATATTGGGGCGAAGCTTAAGCAGATGGGGTCTCGTTTGATTTGAAAAAGCTCTTGGCGGTAAATGCGCCTTGTCCGTGTGGAGGCGTGGTCTTTCTCGAGACATAAGGTGCGAGCTGCAAGTGACATCAGTTAGTTGAATGACCAAGGTTTCCTATGACATGCACAATGAATCCCCTTGCCGCACACTCACGTTGAAATCGGTCATGTCAGGCACAACGTAGGTTCTGACTTTCTTCCAGTCGACCAAGTATCCTCCACGCTTAGTGTGGCGACCCATCGCTCCTGATCCGGTACCTAATGCGAATGCAATGTCAGCGAAGGAAGTAGAGGAAGTTGATTTGAATGGAAAGGTCCATTACCCTTGTAAAAATTATGTCCTCTTTTTGAAGTCAATTGCTCACGGCGAGCTCCACGGTATAAACCTCTGATGACTCCAAACATGTTGAATTCGAAGAAAGATCAAAAATGTATGGCAATAAAAAAAAAGGTGCTCGGTCGGCAAGGGTTGAAATTTTGTGTGGCTTGGGCCCGACCCTGGGTTTCCTGTCAGTCACGCTGCTGCCCGAAAATCGGGTCAAGCTGTCTGAAGCATGCCCATAGTTGGACATGAGGTCAAGAGCACGCCAGAGGTAACAATTCCGCCAATGCCACACCTTCACCTTCCATGGTTGCTGACGATGATGCATAGGGACCAGACGTGGTGTTTACCATATTGACCCCAGAATATGACCTGACGGAGCAAATGTCAGCCAAGCGAGCACTACAACTCGATCCGAACATGGTCTTTGTCTATCGAGAAGTCCATTCCAACGACAGACCCAAGCAAATGATAGAAACTGACTACGGCGTGATATCATCTGATACCGAACGGATGATTACGAATTACCTCGACGAGGGACACAGTAAGTTGGCTAAGCTCCGCCGCCACGACAACACCCAACTTGTTAAATTGAAACTATGTACAAACTACAGCCCAAGCTACCTTGGAAATGATCAATTCTTCCGTTGCGTCTGGGCGACGTCCAACAATGTAGGTGAATAAATACAGCTTAATTCGAATTGACTGGCCTATCACTTACCCTAAAGAAACAACCCCCTTATATAGAGCCATCATTAATATGTTGATCAATATAATCATCGATGATAACACCATCAACCTTACTATATCCAAACGAACGTCGTTGTGCCGGCAGAGTGTGAAAGTCTTATTCTTAATCTTGGAATGTCACGGCCCTCGTCTGTTTGACCCTCTGTGGAACAGCTTCAGAGTATCGAAATCAACGCAGCGGAGCCGCAACAAATTAAGCAACGATGAGGATGACATGCAAGATGAATGCACTTTGCAGCAATACGAAGACTTTTTCGACTTTGTCAAGAGCGTGTTCCAGCAGCGTGATACATCTGAGGGGCAAGACAAGCAGAAACAGGTTAGTTGGCTGCTTCATTGTGTTGGTTGGTCTCTCCTGGTACGATACTGATTGGTGGCCATTTCTGGCTTGGTTTTTTGGGGGGAAATCATCCCATAGCACGGTTTATTGCTCGATTTTTTAATCAAGGTGTTGGAAGCGGATATTCAAAGCCGAAGAGGTAAAAAAAAAAACCATTAGGCGGGCCATCGATGTGGTTCAAGATAACAAGACTCACCTGACTGTTGTTGTTGTTCAGAATCGCATGAGGAAATGAAGAAAGCCACCATTATTAGACTACTAAAGGCCAATGCATTCAAATCCAACTTGGTTCGCGAACTGGATTCGATCTTCAGCTGTTATGACACCACACTCCCTTATGATTATATCCCCCCTACCACGCTTGAATACCTGCGCACAGATGTATATACACTATCTACTCGAATATTGAATATGGTAAGTACGGGATGGCAATCATGTTTAGATGGTCTCAACTGATATTCCTGTTCTCAGTTGGTTATATGCGCCTACACAGACGGCGTACTGGACACCACGAGCTTTGAGGAAGAGACGTATCGACAATTTTCTCGATTGCATGGTCGGCAATGTTCATTTTTTCTAGAGGTAAGGCCCGCCCCGCGATGTTCAATACAAACACAGGAGATAGATGCATTAACCGGTCGGCATTTTCCCTTTGAAAAAAGAACATTTCCAACCCGGCGTTTGTATCAACTCTGTGTGGACTCGCGTTTAGTGATTCTGATCTCTCCATGGTCCCTGATGAAGCTCTCAGTTTGAAACACAATCGCAGCCAGGTGGTCAAGAAGATCTTCGACTTTGACATGATGACACGACCCATATCTGTCAACACGATCCAAGATATCTGGCGACACGTGATGATTATGTCGAAACGGATTTCATGTTACTTGGAATGCAAAACGTTGCGGTTTGGAACCGTGGTGATATCTGGACTAACAGAGGATGAAATGTGCCTTATCTGGGAGACCGGTTCCCTTGCCATGACCCATTGGCGAGACCATATCTCGGCGTTGTTGATGCTCCCACAGATTGCAAAGCATAAAGCATTGAGCTCTGAGCAAGCTGAGCGATACAGGGACTACCAATCGATGATTGAATTGACTATAAACATGACGCAACTGTGTCTAGACGTTGTCTAAACCTTGCCATCAACAAGGTGGCTTCCATCCCCATATCACGTGGCAAACCCAAGAGTAGCCAAAAAAAAAAAAAAAACCAGCGGTATATCACTCCCAATCGATAACAACAAGAATGGAGACTTTTTTTTTTTTCACAAGGGGCTGGCTGACAAGGTCGTATGACGGGATGGAGCTCAAAATGGCCCTCATCTTAATCAAGAATTGGATGTTCACAGCCATTTGTCCTTTGTACACAATTGTAAAAAAATAAATATTGTGTCTTCTCATGAAATGGATGCACGACGATCATCCTTTAAAGTGCACGGAGCTTTGCATTTGTCAAAGCGGGCGCCGGAGAAGGCTCTCCGACAAGCTTAATTTGGATATTTTGTAAGGATCTCGTGCTGTTGTTTACATTTGGCTGTCTGCTGGTAAGCTTCTATTTTATGTAAGCAGTATGCAAAAGGGTGGTGGGTCAAGATCGCGGGGTAAAGGTGGGGTGAAAGGCTATATACTGTGTGCGCTGCCAAAAAAAAAATAAGAGAGAACAAAAAAATAATAATGATAAGAAAAAAAATATGTGTGTGCACAGATCGATAATGCAATAGCTTGTGGGACAGAGGAGAAAAAAAAAATCCTTGTGGGTTTTAAAGTAATATAGCAGATAAAAAAAAAAAAAGGAGAAACAATAAGAGTGGCGTGTGTGTGAAATTGATAGAAGCTGGTCCTTTTTTTTTTCTTCCAGAGAGGGTATTGGTGATGTGGAGCGAGAAGCTCTTTTGGTGTGTGCTTTTTTTTATTATTATCGTCCGTCTTCAATGCAAAGATTTGATTCAGCCAACCAGCCAGAGATGATGAGAGTTTTTACTGCTTGTTGATGTGTTCTTCCTTTTCATATAGAGGGTTGCTATTCCTTCTTCAGCATGCCTTGCTGTTGACATCTATAGAAACGGGAGGTTCACTCAATTAGATCTCATTCACATGAAAATGGCAAAAAAAGCGTTTCATCTTACCTCTACAGTCGGTTACCACACGAAGGACACCACGTCGTGGCATAGTAAATCTTGTGAAGCAGGCAATAGTTACCGCCTGGACCTTTATGTGAAGGCGTATGTCGTTTTGCGGATCGACGATATAATAACATGGAGTGGAAGAAAGAGAGGTGATGAAAAAGAAAAAAAGCAGATGGGAACCAGTCGTTTATATTCTTTTGAAGGTGGCTAATAAAAATAATAATAAGTGCAGTCCAGCCAGGCTAAATAAATGATAGCGAACTGGAGTACAGTATGTCGGATTGATCAAGTATCCACAGGTCATGGGAAGAAGGACTGGTTGTTTATGTGGGGGGCTCCCTCATTCTAGAGAGCGAGTTATTGAGTGCCCGCCTTCCTCCGCTGTGCCAGGGTAGCAAAGACAGGCTAGACCTGAGGGCAATGTCCATAGCTTGTAACTGGAAGTTATGACAATCAAGCATTTGCTGTGCCATTTTCAGAAAGATCGTCCAGGCACTGTCCAATTTTTTTTTCTTTAATATCTAGAACATTAAAATACGCGGCGCAGTTTGGTCTCCAGGCGACCAACAAGCAAAAAGAGAAAAGCCTATCCCCCCCAAAAAAAAACCTTGCTGGCTTCCACCCATGACCAACCCAGTGTAACCAGACCCCCAAAGGATAACCAAATAGAATGGAGCAACTTTAAACTCGTCGCCTTCCCGCACTTCCGAGTTGCAGGCAAGACTAGGACGAATAGCCGACTTGAACGGAATCGCATGCCGCTCCATCGTATGCATCTGAGTGTTTAAAAAAGGGTAGTAAGAAAAAGAACATTGCATTAGAAATTGGCTTCTGCTTGCTGCAGTGATGTGATCTATGCACTGAGCTTTTTGTTTTCCTTATAGTCCACTTGGCTGGCTTGAAGGGTTATACATGCTTGTAAACGAATAACAGCCAAAAATGTTTTATAATGATCCTGAGATCACATTCCCTATCTTCGGCCAACCATTTCTGGGAGGGTTAAATGAACGCGAAGTGAAATCATGACTGGTATAGGCAGGGTATGACATGCCCTCATTTCCCTCGATGCTGGAAGAATAAAATAGTTCTTTGATCGCCAATTGTTTCCCAATACCCCGCCATTGGTTTCAGATTGATGATCATCAAAGTGGCTCGTGGGTTCCTATCAAGCTACCGGTGCATTGGGTCTACTCAAATGAAAAAATGTCATTTGGGAGTGCGGTAATTTCTCTTTTCATAGTAGATGCTTTAAGTATGATATATTATATATATATAGAAATTGAGATACAGGGAGAGTACAAAAAACAAAGGTGATGATGCCATGACGATGAAAAATAGATAGCTTTTGGGGTTGTTTTGATTTCTTGCTTCTTCTTTTAATGAAGCCATCCTCGGTTGGAAGGCAAGCAATTGGAAAGGAGGATCAGTCGATGACGGGTATGATTGGTGCTCTGCATATCCTCAATACTATGTTTGCAGGTTTTTTTTTTTGGCCTCCAGCATTGTGAGTTCCCAGGGGAGGATTGGTTCCTTTCAACGACTTGAGCGTGCGCAATCAGGGCAATACGATGTAGTGAATTGCCGTTTATGCAACAGACAATAGTTAGGCCGAGAATTAGAAATCAGGAGAGCTTCGCTAATACGCTGTTGCAATGAGAATATTGACATTGTACAAGAAAGCGTTTTAAAAAAATAAAATAAGTGGGAACGGTGGGATAACCCATTATATATATATATAAAAATCTGAGTGTGAGTTATGTGTATCTAAAGAAAGAAAAAGGATTGGGTTCGCGTCACCGCTTTTTTGAAGGATGGGATTGACTGCTTTCAGTCCTTATGCAATGCACTGGGGGTGGGACACGTAACGGACCCATGTTTAGAGCACGGCCTTCTCTGAGATCGGAGTGGATCTCCCCCAAAAAAAGAGATACTTCTTCTCGCCCTCTCGGACACCTTGACCCCATGAGCCACGCTGTATATGATAAGGTGTACAGGTTTGGGGGGGGGGACGTCGACAGCTTATTTTTGGGAGTAACGGTTGCACATTCTACTACCCTCAGCCTAACCACCTTTCTTGTTCCTGATGCAATCCGGTTTTATTGTATATTTTTTGCTCAGTAATCCAAACACAAATACCGATCAGTTCCGGGAAAAGAAGCGTATGGGTTGCTTTACCAGTTGGGTTGGATGTTGATGGGAAAAAACTGAACCAACAACAAATGTCAACAATAACAAAAAGGAGACCTGATTTATGGGCTCTACTCTTTTGATGGGGCATGATATCACGGGTTCAGGGCTGGGCAAGATGACATTGACTTGCTTGCCATCCAATGTAACAAGCATGTCAGTAGTCCACTCGGCAGACCGAAATGGAAAAGGTGTCGCTTCGTCTCACCCTAGTGAAATCACATAGCCCAGTCTAGTGTTTAATGGCGCAAGGTTTTGAGCGACCTTGAGGCCATGATTGGTCAAGAGTCCACTGTTCTCTGTACTTTGCTACTGACTGTGCTACTACAACTCAGCTGTGTTCCTTCTCTACCAAAGCCTCGACCATGAACATAAACAGCAAATAAAAGAAAACGAGGTTCTTTTTTATTCTTTCCATTACTGTGAGGTAGGGGTTGCATCGCATTGGATCATTTATTCAAACTTCGAAAAAGCCAAAACTGAAAAAGACAAGTCACAAATACGGCTGGCTGGCTGACTGACAAAAAGAAGGCTCGGTATGCCCCGCTCTCTAGCTGTGAACTGCGGGATGGGAGTATTCTTTATCCACAACGACGGTAAAAAATTTTTTACTTAGTCTAACACTAACGCAATTGTGATCTACTATGGAAATTCTCTTTATTATTAATCCAAGAAGGTGTTACTTTTATGACTCACACTCGGATGGTAGTGAAGAAAAAAATGGCATGTTTAATAATCAACGTTATGAAGTGAGATAATGTCACCCCCAGCGAGATAGGTAGCAGTGAGCGTAAAAGCAGATCATCCGTGGATAGCACTCCCCATGTGGACCCAACTCAGACGACATTAGAGGTCAAGGAGCCTCAAATAGTCATACAAGGAGCCCTTGAAAGCCCGCATAAAATTCAAGGCAGAGGGACATCGTCGTTATCGCATTATCAGCGACTCAGATCGATTGAAATTTATTGGGCATCTAACGAGCGTGTGTCATAAAAAATCTCCAAGGTCAAATTTCCATCTTAAATTGAAGCTGGATCAAAATAAATGCCGGCATCGATGCTCAAGGTGTTAGACATATCCCCTTGACTAAGGCCGTCGGTTTACATCCATTGTAAGCTTATTCAAGTCATCAGTCCATTCTCTTACTGTTTGGTTTTTCAGTTGTAGCTCAGTCGCTCATATCAGATTGGGGTTAGGGTAGCCGTAGTTTGGGGTTTTTGGACTGCTTACTTTATGCTCACGTCAGTGTTATCCAAAGCGTCGCTTAAGAAAAAAAAATACTATAAATTGGCCGTGGATACGGCGATACCCATGTTACTTCGTTTTCACTTTTAAACAATCTTCTAAAGTACTCTACAAAAATGGCTATTGGTGTTGGTATTAACGGGTAAGTCACAGCAAACCATTCGGCATTGTAACGCGTTGAATCGATTTGATGACTAAATAATGCTCTTGCTTATCCCAACAGATTTGGTCGTATTGGCCGTATCGTTCTTCGCATTGCTTTGGAGAACCCCGAAATCCAAGTTGTCTCTGTCAACGATCCCTTCATTCCTCTTGAATATATGGTCTACATGTTCCAGTATGACTCCACCCACGGTCGCTTCAAGGGTACCGTTGAGGCTAAGGATGGCAAGCTCGTTGTCAACGGCAAGGCCATCAACGTCCACACTGAGAAGGATCCCTCCCAGATCCCTTGGGGTAAGGACGGTGCTGACTACGTAGTTGAATCTACTGGTGTCTTCACCACCATTGACAAGGCAAAGGCTCATATTGCTGGTGGAGCCAAGAAGGTCATCATCTCTGCTCCCTCTGCTGATGCTCCTATGTTCGTTGTTGGTGTCAACTTGGATGCCTACAAGTCTGAATATGAAGTCATCTCCAACGCTTCCTGCACCACCAACTGCCTTGCTCCTCTCGCCAAGGTCATCGATGATAACTTCACCATCGTTGAAGGTCTTATGACCACTGTCCACGCTACCACTGCCACCCAAAAGACCGTCGATGGTCCCTCTGGCAAGGACTGGCGTGCTGGACGTGGTGCCGGTGCCAACATTATCCCTGCCTCCACTGGTGCCGCTAAGGGTGAGTAAATCTTTTTGGGGTGCATTCGGCTGGGTTTGCATGGCTCGGAATTTATAATTCCAATGGAAGGGGGTGGGCGTCGGCATAAATAATGTTGGAATTACCCAACCAACGTGGTTTGATGTTTTGGTTTTCAAATACTGACGTGACCTTTTTTTTTTTTTGCTTTCAGCTGTCGGTAAGGTCATCCCCCACTTGAACGGCAAGCTCACTGGTATGTCCTTCCGTGTTCCCAACCCTGATGTCTCTGTTGTCGATCTTACTGTCCGCATCGAGAAGGCTGCTTCTTACGATGACATCAAGACCGCCATCAAGAAGGCCTCTGAGGGTCCCATGAAGGGCATTCTCGGATACACCGAAGACGAAGTTGTCTCCACTGATTTCCTTGGTGACTCCCGCTCCAGCATCTTCGATGCTAAGGCTGGTATCTCTTTGAACCCCAACTTCGTCAAGCTCATCTCTTGGTATGGTACGTATCGGACAATGTCATTTTCCAATCATGTGAAACCCGATATCTGAAAACACCCGCGCTTACGCTATTTCTTTTTAGACAACGAATACGGTTACTCTTCCCGTGTTGTCGACCTCTTGGCTTTCGCTGCCAAGAAGGATGGTGCTCTCTAAATGCATCAACCCTCACACTGGTTTGATTGATGGAGGACCTCCTTATGTACATACTTATTAGCTACTCCATCCCCATACAAGAAATTGGAACGAAACTTTGCCACATACATTGTTTGGAATAAAAAAAAAAAGTACCAAATACGTGATACCAACGTCGGGCTTGAAGCAACAGCCACCCATGAGTGTAGAAACTTTCTCACGGCTATTCGCATTGACATCGTAACATAGTCCGTCTTTCGCCGGTATTGCACATGTTTATTACTGGTTGTTCACTTCATGTGAACGCGTAACGTTTTCTTTTCATATCTTGGGGGTCCCGAACATACATTATGGTTCACACCGTGGTGTCGTTTCGGGTTCAGCGTAACACTGTGCCATGCATGGTTTTATCACAAGGTGATGTCAGGATGGTATCAGTCGTTGAACAGCTTGACATAATTTGATCTGGTCAGACGATGTATCTCAGAGACATATATTTGATATGGTTCAGAAGATGCCATTCAGATCTATTGAAATATATCGACGCGGTGAAATAAGGGCTCAAAAAGAAGGGAAAATTGTATTGTAGATAGTTTTATAACCTGGCTTGGTCTGTTTCTCTTATCTACCGCCATGTACCTTCTACAGTTACCAACAGAGGTGTTGACTGAAACTCTGTTATACTTGGACGACGCTTCTTTGACCACCGTTGCACTATGTAACAAGCGACTTTCACAAATCTGCTCGTCGGAGATTCTATGGAAAAAATTAAGTGCTTCGTTTAGAATTTCGGATCGGGAGCAACCTCCTACATTTTCGTACAAGGCGCTGTACCAAAAATTGTTGACAAAGTATGCCTGGTTGTTGGGGTTATGGCAGTCCAATCACACCTACCACGGCTCTCTACTGCTGGTTTCCTTCGATCCAGACACGGCCTCTATCCAGGGAACCTTGGTGCGGGCACAGGAACAAACACCTGGACAAGTCAACGTCTGGTCACTTGACCACGGCGTGGTGATCATTGACCCCAAATTCCACCAATACCGACAAGACCTCTTTCGTATCTCTCTCGACCCGGAGGGAAATGTATTGGTTCAGCTGCTGCAGCAAGGATTTCAATCTATTCACTGGGAAAATAATGTCAATATTGTCGAGTGTTCGTTTGATAACCACGATGACTGCCCTTACCTGTGGTCGTCGGTACGAACCGCTATGCGCCATAACACCGACCGAATCATAGAACCACCCAGTATGCCTCGGAAGCAATCCACTCGGGCATTCACGTTCAGCTTACCCGCAGACGATGTATCCGAGGTCGGCAGTCTAAACCGTTCACAAATACCCACGCAATCCACTTCGTCAGCAAGAAAACTATTCCATTGGATGGGCACTTCGAACGCATGGCTTCATGACCTTCCGCAATTTTGCAAACTACCCAGCTCGCTGACTCGAATTCAAGATGCTATCAAACCGAGTCACTTGAACGTCAATTTGCTGAAGCAGATGTCTTCTTTCCAAGTGGACAAGTATGATGGATTTCCAGAGGGTCTGTTCAGGAGTTATTATGGTTCCCACGGGCTAGAATACCTGATCATTAGGTGAGTGAAAGAAAGACTAGCTAAATTGTATACCGAGACACAAGTGAGTGATACTGACTCTTTCATTAGACACGACAAGAAGAACCACAAACTGGTCTGTCACAAAGTCACGGGTGACCTTAACATCCCTCGAAGCGAAATTTCTTGGCTTGTGCCTGATACAAGCCAGCATTCACGCGTATGTATAGAAGAGGAATTTGCTTCGGCCCTTGCATATGATGCTCTAGGTCATGTAGCATATCAGGGCTTTAGTGGAGAACGTATGATTCCTGCTGAACGTAAGTTTTGACAAACAATGTTTCATTTCTTCCAAGTTTGTCAGTCATGTCATTTTGGTTTTTAACACCATGACTCTCCCCTTTGCAGTCATTATTGTCAATCAAGACAAACTTGCGCTACATTGGAGAGATCTGCTACAGATCATTATATATAATAGATGTACCTTGGAAGATTTCAACCAAGTTTTAATGCAAAATTCCTCATGGTAGTAGAGGCAACCCATTGATTAAGTAATGATAATATTGAAGTAGATATATTTTCATGCGAGAGGTATTGGCATACAACGTATGTTATAGAAAGCCTTAACCTGTATATATGTTATGTTAATAGAATGCATCTTTTTTCAAGAAATTTTCATGGCTTGACTATATGATTGTGAAGTTTCTTGAATGTTGAGCATTTTGAATTTTTAAAAAAATTAAATATGGCAATTTTTGCAAATCTTGTATGTCAAAAGTGGTTCTCATAATATGAGATTAACCAACAACACTTAAAATAAGAAGAATATTTACACGAATGAACCGTGAGTTCTACTAAGGCAGGAGATGCTATATACCAAAATGATACTACTTGACGACTTTGTCGAACCGACCGTTCTTGATCATAATAGTGTAAGCTTGTCATTGCGAAAAGACACTGTATTTTCATCGTGTATTCATGTCTTCAATAACAATCGGGAAAACTAAAAATTGCAAGTTGTTCAATTTTCAGCCATCGACACTCGCTTCTTTATTTCAAATGTTTTCGAGGCGCGCACAATGTATAGTTGCCCCTCAACGAATATGACATGGAAAATTAAAGGCTACTGCCAGCCAATAGGCACACACCGCAAACACAAACTTGATTGGCGCGACAAGAAACTCAGCGGAGAATCATTGACACCGCTAGCTCTGACACGGCAGGCTTTAACATTGTAGTGCTGAACCCATCATGCGACCGATCTTTTCGATACTGGCTTCGGCTGCAGTGCTCCTTTCAGCCACTCTGTCAGAGGCTAAATCCCTGACCGGGAATCGCGTCCTTGTTTTGCTTGATGACCTCAACTCTGCTGGCGAATACTCCAAGTTCTGGTCCTCCCTCGAAGGTACCTATTTGGTTTATGTCAGTCTTTAGCTCACCTCAGGGCGTATGTCTAAAATTTCAACGTTTTAAATAATACAGACAGAGAGTACAAGATCAATTACAGCACCCCACAGAATCAGTCTGATGTTCTGATTGCCATGGCAAAGAGAAACTACGACCACGTCGTTCATTTCGCTCCCCATAGTAAAGGTAACACTTCTATTCGGTGAATGCCAATGTGATGACTCGAGCTTATGACTTACATGCTATAACAGTTGCACAGGATAGCCAGTTTTCGAACCGAGCGCTCATCAAGTTCGTTGATATGGGTGGCAACCTCTTGATCGGCTTGACTCCCAACACTCAGGATGCCATGCGCGATTTGTTACGCGAGTTCGACATTGAACTTGATACTCGAAATCACCGTGTGTTTGACGATAGCTCCTATGATGAAGGCCTCGATGCTGGTGCTTTCGATACCTTGGTCACCGAGAACATCGTATCTCCTAAGCCCATTGTCGGTGAAGTCAATGCTCCAATTCTTTTCCGCGGAGTTGGCCACCAGGTTGGCTCTATCCCCTTGCTTAACAGAGTCTTGGCCACCGAAGGAAATGCATTCTCTGGTGAAGTCGGTGATAGCTCACGCGAAAAGGGTGCCATTGACCTTGTGAGCAGTTTACAAGCTCGTAACAACGCTAGAGTCTCTGTTGCTGGCTCATTGGATTTGTTCTCTAACATGTAAGTTGAATTACCCAACATGACTGTTGAAATCTATAATACCCGTTTTACTTGCTCATACATTGCACTACTAGATTCATTGATTCACCTGTCAGCCGAAAGTCTAAGTCTGGCGGAGTAGAGAAGTAAGTGGATCACGGAACTGTCAATCGTGTTATTTATTTTATGTTGGTCATTTCATTGACACTGGTTTGTTTAGGTTTGCACGATCTGGAAACAAGGAGTTCACTGATGAGCTTTCTCGTTGGACTTTCCAAGAGAAGAGTGTTCTCAAGGTGTTTGATCACAGACACCACAAGGAAGGTGAAACCCAGAAATTGGAAACCTACCGCATCAAGGATAATATTGTAAGCAAGCGATGAAATCAATCCAACAGGAGAGGATCCTTTACTAATCGCATATTCATCACCTAGACCTACACCATTGAAATTGCCGAATACGACGGTGAAAAGTGGACTCCATACCATGCCTCAGACGTTCAGTTAGAGGTTATCATGTTGGATCCTTACATTCGCACCACTCTCGATGAAGCCCATATTGCTCCAGAGCACCACTATGCACGATATAAATCTCACCTTACACTCCCCGATGTCTATGGTGTATTCACCTTCAAAGTCAACTATAAGCGACCTGGTCTCACTTACTTGACAGTTGAGGATGTTGTGGCTATTCGACCATTCCGACATGACGAATATCCCCGCTTTTTGTCAGCTGCATACCCATACTACGTCTCTGTAGGAAGCATGATTGTAGGCTTCCTGGTTTTCAGTGGCACCTGGCTTTTCACCTGGGGTTCTCGAGAGGAAGCCAAGGTAGTGGTCCAGAGCAAAGTGAGCAAAAAATAAACGCTAACACAAAAGCAAAAAATGTCGTAGAGAGGAATGCATTTTCAAAAAACGAACAATAAAAAATCAGAGTAATGCAATGAACACGGCGTGACCGCCATTTTGAGTTGAGCCTTTTTTTTTTTTTTTAAATGGGTGGGCTTCGAGGTTATTGCAGTGTCAAAATGAATGGTAATAACTACAATTACAACAACCAGTATTGGATACCTCCTACCTACACAGCTCCTCCTCCAGCCTCTGGTTCTTCACGATCCAGAGCCGATGCCATACATCGACCTGCGTTGCCAAATGCTTTATCTCAGCTCCAGCAACAAGCGCACGAATCCAACCGTCAAGCAGCAGCAGCTGCTGCGTCCATGGCATCACTACTCAATTCACAACCTCAAGTGCCTGAGCGCAACGTGTTGAGTTATTCCGACCTTGCCCCTCAGACCTACACCACCGTCGCAACAACGTGGCAACCTGCCGCAAGTTTCTACTGTGACAGCTGTGAAAAGAGCTTCAACAAGGAGCAACAATACAAAAACCACTTGGGGTCACACATTCAATGTCCTCAATGCCATTTCTCAGCTCTCAAACAAGTTCTGGAAAACCATAAAGAAACCGCCCACGGCGTTCGCAATGAAAATAAAAAGTAAGTCAGAGGGAATTACCTTGATTCGTATCATGGTAGAATAGCATTCTAACTCAGAAACCAGGCAATCTCGACCTGACGGTATAGTACCACCGAATGCTCCAAAATTAGACACGCCAGAGGCTTTGAAGAAATGGATCGAGGAACGAAAACGAAATTGGCCAAGCGAGAAAAATGTTGCTCAGAAGGTATAGTGGCGATTTCGTTGGAAGTGACTGGCTAACATAAAGACCAATATCTGATCATTACGAATAACAGAAAAAGGAAATGGAAGAGCGGGTGGCTAGAGGAGATCCCATTGCTCATCAGCGAAATGGGAAGCGAAAAGCTGGAGGAGTAGTAGATAAAAATGCAAAGAGAGCCCATTTAGAGGGCGAACCAGATACCCAAAACACAAATCAAGCCCTTCCAATCAATCCGCTTTCAAATCTGGCGGGCTACGGATCCGATTCAGATAACCAGAACAGTGACAATGATGTTATGGACCCTGAAAAGGATGCCATCTCTTCCAAAGACCCTAACTCCGTTGGTGTCATTGCACTACCTCCATCGGACGAACGACCCAGAAAAGAAAAGGCGAAGAGACTTTGCCGTAATTTTCAAAGAGGCAAATGTTCTAGAGGCGATTCTTGTCTCTTCCTACACGAGAAGCGACCGAAAACTCCACGAAATACTGTGCCTGAGCAGCCAGTGGAGATCTTCCGTACTAGATCAGGCTTGTTAGAAAAGGTAAGAAGTGGAATCCACTTTATATATGAAATCGATTGTTCCCTATGTTAACCTTCATATTCTAGTTGTTGGAGAAGGATATCAAAGCAGAGAAGAGTATACTTCTGCAGTGCCTTCGTTATATCGTACAGAATGATTTTTTTGATCCCACCTCAAAATAAAAAAGATAATGGAATGGTTGGTTCAGGAAAAGAAAGTCACGGTCGCGCGTCGCAATTTCAGAGAAATTTGGGGAGAAAAGCAGGTTGAATTATAAAAAAAAAATTAACGCGTCGAGCAATTCAGCGCGTCGGGCTTGTCCAAGTAAACTTTGTCTCCCAATGCACATTAAGGAGGTAACTACTCGACGGAAAAGCACTTCCATGCTTAACGCACATGACGATACTCAACTTTCTCCTATAGATAACGATTCAGGGTTTTAAATCCTACAAGGAACAGATTTCATTCGATCCATTCAGTCCGCGCCACAATGTCGTCGGCAAGTAGCTAATCCCTCCAGCATACTACCCGCACTTTAGCCAGTCCATCTAATCATTATCTATCATAGTTGGTCGCAATGGTTCGGGAAAAAGCAATTTCTTTGCCGGTTAGTGTGTTTGCTACATGACGAATCAGTCCATTACAGAAGACTTACCTACATTATCCTTGCAACAGCCATTCGGTTCGTCTTGAGCGATGCTTATCAGAGTATGGGGCGTGAGGAGAGACAAGCGCTTTTACATGTTAGTAAACGTCAGAAATTAAACAAGCTTCGCCACATCCATACCTAACCCGTACCTTGTTGTATCGTACAGGAGGGGACTGGGCCAGCTACCATTTCCGCCTATGTGGAGATCGTATTTGACAATTCAGACAATCGCTTCCCGGTAAGATATGGAAATGACTCATTGGATTCATTTGTGCATATATTAAGCCCTTCCAAATCCCATAGACTGGAAAGCCAGAGTTGCAATTGCGAAGAAGTATCGGTCTGCAGAAGGACGAATATTCCCTGGACGGCAAAAGTGCAACGTAAGCAAAAACTAGTATTTTGAAAGGCTGGTGCATGCACTTACAATCTTGGTACCCTTAAATCAGTAAAACCGATGTGATGAACCTTTTGGAAGCAGCAGGATTTTCCAGGTCTAATCCTTACTACATTGTTCCTCAGGGAAAAGTAAGTACTCTGTCGTATGTCATGGACATCTCTACCATGCAATGCTGACGACATTTCATATAGGTTACGGCTCTCACCAATGCCAAAGATGCCGATCGATTGCAATTGTTGAAGGAAGTTGCTGGTACAAAAGTATATGAACAACGGCGTGCTGAGTCCACGCGTTTGATTGCGGAATCTGGTATGCACACATAAGAAATTGTATAGATCACTATTTTTTGTACTCACCCCTTTAATTTTCAGACGCCAAACGATCGAAAATTGACGAATTACTCAAATACATTCAAGAGAAATTGGGAGAACTCGAGGAGGAGAAAGACGAATTGGATCAGTATCAGACATTGGATAGAGAGCGAAGATCTCTTGAGTACACTATTTATGCTCGCGAACTGGCCGATGCCAACAGAAAGCTCGAAGAGTTGGAAGAAAACCGAGCAAGAGATGTAGAAACTAGCGCAATCAAGCAGCAGCAACTTGCCGATAACGAGACTTCACTCAGTGTAAGTAATAACTTGCCATTTGGACAGGCCCTGAAACCGTGCGACCAATAACCATCCACTCCCAACTAGGAACTGGAATCTCGACTTCGTGCCGTTGAGCAACAAGTGGATTTGCTTGATCTCGAACGCACACAAGTGTTGGAAGACCGAGAAGCATTGTTGAAAAGCAAAGTTCAATTGGAATTGAGTGTTGGTGATTTGGAAGAAAGTCAATTGTCAGAGCAAGATTACAAAGTATGTAGACATTTTTATTGCAACTCTCTCGTTGTACGTTTTGTCGTGATGCTAACTAATGTATTGCAGGCCAAGGTCGCAGCTGAGCAACAAAGCATTGAAGCTGAGATTGCTACTAAAGAGAATGAACTTGCAACTATACTTCCGCAATATGACGAAATTATGGCCCAAGCAACATCTCTCCAGAAAGAGTATGATATCACACCAGATTTTGAAACAAACTAGACTATATCCTGGCTGACATACTTTTAATTTATAGATTGGCCAATGCTCAACAGCAGCAACAAGCCTTGTTTGATAAACAAGCCCGTCTCTCAAGATTTGCATCCAAAGCCGAACGCGATTCATGGCTTCAGAGTGAGATCACAGAATTGAGCAGTACCATTGAGTCACTTCGTCAACAGGTATAAATCGAGAATGTGCCTACAAATGCTCATGATTATCGATATAGCTTACACACTTACTATAGGGCATGCAAACAGAGCAAGCAAAGGCGAACATCGAGCAACGTTTGGAAAGGTTGGACTCGGAATTAGCAAAGGCGAAGGAAGAGTCGAATACACGCCAAGCCGAAATTGATGCTTTAGAAGAGGAGCACAGCGAGCTTCGAATTCAACGAGACGAACTCACTGAAAACAGAAAGTAGGTTTTAATTGTATTGTGCGTCTCCATTAAACGTAATAGGTACTTACAAAGCTGGTGTAGGGAAATGTGGAGAGCTGATGCCAAATTGGATACGATCCTTCAAAACTGTCGTGACGAAGTTCGTAAGGCGGAGAGAATTTTATCCTCTGCTGTTGACAAGGTTAGTATATACACTATGCGGAACCGTAGCAGAAACGTTATTTTAACCACTGTACCCTATAGAAAACAAGCGCTGGTCTTGCTTCTGTCAGACGCATTACTCAGAAACTTGGTCTGAATGGCGTCTATGGCCCACTTTATGAACTCTTTGAAGTTGATGAACGGTTCCTTACAGCTGTTGAAGTTACTGCTGGCGGCAGGTAGGAATTAGTATATTTGTAGTGTTGTCGCAGCTGATACGTTTGCTAATCTTTTCCTTGGTTAGTTTGTTCCATGTAGTTGTGGACAACGACGAGACAGCAACTAGGCTAATGGAAGCTATGGCGGCTGAAAAGGCTGGTCGTGTAACATTTATGCCCCTCAATCGCTTAAGGACTCGTCCAACTGTATACCCCAACGGCGCTGACGCTATACCTATGATGTCTAAGCTTACATTTGATCCCATGTTCCAGAAAGCGCTCGAGCAGGTTGGTATCACATAATAGGACCCGATGAATACCCTTCTCAGAAAGCTCATCTCATTGTTTTCCCGCAGGTGTTTGCACGAACTATAGTTTGTCAAAACTTGGCGGTGGCAGCTGCATACTCAAAATCTCATGGTTTCAACGCTATAACGCTAGAGGGTGTGTAGACTTGCTGCTCTACTCTCTAGACCACCCTATAGACCTACTGTATTAACGCTCTACTCTTGCTAATTCCAGGTGACAGAATTGATAGTCGCGGTGCTTTGAGTGGCGGTTATCACGACACACGACACTCTCGGCTCGAAGCAGCTAAGAGTATGAAAAAATGGGAGGCCAAACTTCAAGAAGAGATTGATAGAGGTGTCCGTATCAAGGAGGATATAACCAGATTGGATCAAGAGATTACAAAGGTTCTGAGCATGGCCCAGCTTGCAGATACGAAGCGCCGCTTAGCGCAAGATCAAAAAGATCCTCTTGCTCTCCGGTTACAGGCTATCCATAAGGAACGAGAGACATTGACAGCAAATCTGAGCATCAAGGTATGGAGATACTTTAAAAAGCTCATATATGGGCAAAGCCAACTAACCAACATCCTAATAGGACAAGGCAATCGAGACGTTGCGATCAAACATTGAGCAAACCCAATTCCAGCTGCAAGCGTATCAACAGGAACTAGCCTCCGACGTTAGCCAAGAGTTACCTGAAGACGAACAAATTGTTCTTCATCAGCTCACGTCTCAGACGGAACACTTAAAGAACTCTCTCAGCATGATATCAGCTGCGCGATCAGAGGTAAGTCACCAACGCAAGCTTACGTGGCGGCCTATCGAGCTGTCTGTATGCAGATTTCCATAGGACGCTAACTATTTCTTCTCAGATTGAAGCCCGGAAACGAACTCTAGAAGATGAACTTGATGTTAATCTCAAGCGTCGCCGCGACGATCTAGCCATGAAGCAAACTCTCATGCGTAATACTTTGGATGGAAAGCAGCTTGCTATTGTTGAAAAGAAACTGAAGCGTGCGGAAAAGAGGATCGCTAAGGCTACATCACGGTTGTCAGGTAATGCATTCTACTGCTCAGCTTTGCCCACGTTTTGACATCTGACTGGTGCTGATATTTCATATTGATGTGCAGAAATCGAGAGCGAGTTAGAAGAGTTCCAAAGCCAATCTCAAAGGCACACAACAGATTTAGAGGAACTACGAAATCAACAAAGTGATATCAACCGCAGTCTCCATCGACAAGAAAAGAGCGTTGAAAAGTATTTACTCAAGAGATCGCTGCTACTCCAAAAGAAGAACGAGTGCACTTCCAACATTAGAGATCTGGGTGTGCTGCCAGAAGAGGCGTTTGAACGATATACCAGGATGAGCATGGAGAAGGTAGGACTTGAAGTGAAGCCTTAAAAGGTGTGTTTTCAACAAAATACAACTAGGACTAAAAATTATCATACTATTGCAGCTATTGAAGCGACTTCACAAGACCAACGAAAATCTCAAGCAGTATTCGCATGTGAACAAGAAGGCATTTGAACAGTACAGCAACTTTACCAAGCAGCGGGGGCAACTTATGAACCGAAAGAAGGAACTGGACAAATCCTCCAGATCGATTGTTGACTTAATTAAGGTTCTAGATCAAAGAAAAGACCACGCGATCGAACGTACGTTTGACCAAGTGTCGAAAAACTTTGCCGAAGTCTTTGAAAAGCTGGTTCCATCTGGTCGTGGCCAACTTGTCATGATTCGTAAAGACCAAGAGGTAACGTAATCTCAGTTTCAACCGATGATACGGTATCGGAAACTAACGCGTCAGCTCATTAGGATACCAACGACATGGACACTGATAACGACCATTCTTCAACTGATAACTACTCTGGTGTTTCCATCAAGGTAGGTGTAGCGCATTAAGAAAGAAAAAAAAAGTTGAGTCCCGGACTAACGACCATTTTACAATTTATTTCTTTGTGTGTACAGGTATCATTCAACAGTAAGACCGACGAAGGCTTGATTATGCAACAGCTCTCTGGAGGACAAAAGTCTTTGGTTGCCTTGGCTTTGATCTTTGCCATTCAAAAATGTGATCCTGCACCATTCTATCTGTTTGACGAAATTGATGCCAATCTGGATGCGCAGTATCGTACTGCGGTTGCTGGTCCGTATTCTGCCCCTTATTTCTTCGAATGGATGAAAATTGCCATACTAACGTTTTTTTTTGGGCACACTCGTAGCTATGATCGAGGAAATGTCAGAGCACGGCCAGTTCATATCAACCACATTCCGACCAGAACTTCTGGCCAATGCTGATAAATTTTATGGCGTAACGTTTAACAACAAGGTATCCCATATCGATAGCATTACAAAGGAAGATGCCATGGGTTTTGTTGAACAGGTAAGCGTAGCACTTGCGAATTTGATTGTGGTCACACACTCATTTCTGACAATTTTGATACTATGTCCCATTCCATCTAGGAACAGGCACAGTGAGCTTTAGGCAATGATTGATCAAAATATTTTTTGCGTAAACAACAATACATAGGTTTTTTTACAGGCAATACAAAAGACTATTTTTAATTTCGAGAGGGAGGGTTGGGCTGGGCAGAGCTGAGCAGAGAGGAAAACGTGAGTGACGAAGCAAAATGGGACGGTGGGGTGTATATCGGGCTGTGAATGAATGCGGCCTGAGAGCATGATGAGGAGCAACCAGCAGTATGTACACGAGGCTAAGCAGGCAAAACCTTGAGGATGACTTCCATTCAAATTAATGGTGGGGTGAAAATCTTTTTTCACTTGTAGAGGCATGATCATCGGCTGAGACAATACTCCCGACTGCTGCCTCCCTGGAAGTGATCGTGTCACGCAGATGAGAAAAGGGGATGACTAGGACGACTTGTTGCTGAATTTTGAAGCTTGGCACCACGGCATTATGACTGCTGTCTTCTTGGTCACGGTGATATGTGTACATCCACGGCGTAGCTTGGGTTGGCTCATCGTCGTCCAATGCTGCATCATAATCGTCTTCCATGTCATCGTCAGTGTCGTTCAAGTCATCAAAGCATCGTTCGAGCCACACATCTTCGTCGGATGGAAGAGCAGCTGGTTCTATATTCTTAGCGGGCTGATAAAGGTTTGAATTATGATGTTCAGGCTTTAGAATCGTATCAAACGATCCGCACATCAATAGGTTCCGTATGAGAACATGCTGTCGTAAACATGAGGATGTACCATGGGCAATTTGGTACAACTTGTGTAACGAAATATTGGCTATCGTATAATGCAATTGAGTTGTTGGTTGTTGATAAGGGTCGGGATCCATTTTTGAGTGAGAGAGAGAAATTACGATGTAGTTCAATTTAAAAAACGAGAAAAAAAAAGGATGTGGAAATTCAATAAAGCCTGTTACTTGACAAGCAATATGTTGATGCAGATAAGATAGGTTAATTGGACAAGTGTAAAGAAAGAGGGAAGCAAGCAGAGAAAATGTATGATAGATAGGCGAATGGGGGATTTGGTTCCAATCTCAGCTTTTTTTCAATCCGGTCAACAGGGTCCGAGGAGACGTGTCGGAACAAATTGTAATCGTGCTGAAAACTAGATTTCTTGGGATACGCCTTTAGTTTAATCGGGGGGTTCTTTTTATACCAAGGAAGATGGCATCGCCACTTGGAAAAGACAGCTTCTTCCACGTTATGGAATGGTTTCCCAGGCAGCTACAGCAAAAAAAAAAAAAAAAAAGAATGCAAAGTGAAGGGGGCGATGTTTCGGTAATGGTGATGTTTGTTATTTGGCTTCTTTGTTGAAGAGACTTGTGTGTGCCAATCCACCCCACTCTGCTTTATATTGCAAAAAAGAGAAACCAAGGAAAGAAAAAAAAAATAACGACACGCTCATGAGTTATAACGACGTGACGAGGGGATGTGATGCACCGCGTGTGTTGAAACTTTCAGTCACGAGGTTTAGCCTCGCCTTCACCTTGATGTTAAAGTTTCAGCGTTGGAGGGCGATTGCACCATATCTAAGCCCCACTTCCTATTGGATACTCGATCCACACCGGGCCCTTTAACCTGAGTGGGCCAAAAACTTACACTCAATGACTCTGGCGTAAGGCTCACTTCTACCAGCTTATGAGCCGCCCTATTTGGGACAGCAGTAATCTACTTGATGCAATACAAGCCTTTGTGCTTCACTGGAGCGAGCCGTACCCCTTTGGACCTGCCGTCATGGTCCAAACATATCGTTCAGTCGATCCTGCCTCATTAAAAAAAAAGAAATCGGCCCCTTCACCTTATGTCATGACCAGCCAAGTTCTCTGCTGAGCAGGTAACCTGGGACTCAGACAGCCAGTGTTTGCTTACATCATGAAAGACTTATCGAAAGAGGTAACAACAGCTTCATTTATTCGTTGACTTTTTCGCACAGTCTCCTCATTAGCCTGGCGCGTTGATCGGAGACAAGTGAGAAACATACAGTTGTAATCTGTTAACAACGTCTCATTCCTGCTGAAGTCATTCTACAATAATGAAAGAGAGTATGTTAAGGTCAACTTTTTTAAACAACGATAAACGACCGACCCACAGTTGGGAAACAATACGGCTTGTACAAAGTAGGCAGTACGACAACGACCTTTTCGAGAACGTTTGCAGTGTTGTGTTGATGTTACTCGACTTACTGAAAGAATGAGTTTGAACACATGAGCAGTCGCTGCCTCAGATTCATTACGTACCAAGGATTTACGTATACCTATTCGCGTATTGTGGAGCGGTTTTTCTCTGCAAACCTTTTGAAAAAGTTCGTATGTCTGATGTCGACTCTATGCCTGCAACTGTGTATTTTGTATGCATGAACCGTCGCCGGCCATGGCGGTCAATATTACAGCAGCCTTGAACCTAATAAGTTATACATTTCTTGTATCAGGTTATGCATCTGAAACACCATAAACAAATGGTAAATTCATATTAGCTCGCTCATTGACAACCCTTCCTTGTAGTAGAGCAATCGGTCGGCACCAGCTGAATGGCCAGGCAAATTACGGGAGGGGGGATCGCCATACAGGGAAGATATAGATGTGAAATCGTCATTGGCTATTAATGGAAAATTGGGCAAAAAGTCTGAGGTAAAGCGCGCGTGTACCCTTCGTTTATGGGAAGCATGGTGCTTCTGACTTGTTCGTTTAATGCTTGAACAGAGTCGTGCTGTAATTGTCAATATGGTCTCGGTTAGAGATTGTGCAGCCGTTTTACCATTGGAAAACCTCATCAACATATCGCCCACATTCACCGCAGGAGACATGTCTAGGGCTTGTTGACGACCTACAGCCGAATCAACGAAGTCTGTGTTATGAGCGTAAACAGCCGGAAATGCAGTTTAGAACCTTCCATAATGCGTATGCCATTTATTTTGGATTTTTCACATAACGAACAAGAATCGTAAATCTTCCTCACTGAGTCTAGATAGCGCCTCTACATCTTTACCAATGGTGCTTTCTACCAGCGCGGTCTTTTTTTCTTGCAATTGTACGATTCTGCTCTCAATACTATTTTCAATAATGAGTCGGGTGATCTTGATAGGTCGATATTGACCCAATCTATGGATACGGTCCATTGCTTGTAGTTCAGCCGCAGGGTTCCACCATGGATCGCAAATAAATACCCTACTTGCTTCTGTGAGATTAAGTGCAACACCTCCAGCTTTTAAACTGATCAGGAAGACCGTCACATTGGGATTGGTCATAAAACTAGGTTGAAAGAAAACGTTAGCCTCATTCACGCCTCTCATGATACCGTTTTTAACTCGACATACGATGTGTACTTACTGTTTGATGGCCGCATCACGTTGTTGAGGGGACATTGTACCATCCAACTTGACACATTCGAATCCAGCTCGAGATAGGCGCCAGTTGACAAGGTCGAGAAAGTTTACAAACTGACGTAAAAGGGGTTAGAAACCGAATGTATAGGGTATGCAAATCAGCCCTGTCTTGTTGCTTACCTGGGAAAAAACAATGCTTTTGATGGATCTATCCTCTCTCTGTAGCTCAGTCAATTCCTCAACCAGCGCTTCAATCTTGGTTGAGCTACGCCATTTATCCATGTTAATGCGATTGATGATGCTATTTTTGGAATATTTTGCATGCACTGCTTGTTCGTCACCGTGGTCTAGTTCAATTGTTGGCTGTGACAGGTCAACTGTCAATATCGCAAAGCAGCGTGGGCAATTTGGCGTACGCATTTGCAAGGCACCTTCTTCTACAAAGCTTTCAAGGTACTGTGTGCAGCACTGAAAATGATGTAGGTAAGATGAGGCGCATGTTATCAGATTGTAATGAAAAATCTTATATGAAAGGAATGCTTACCTCTCGACAGAATATATGCCTGCAATTTGACATGATAGCATCCTGAATGAACAGTAAAGGGTTAGTCTTTTTTTTTTTAGAGACATAAATAACAGATTGAGCTAAAAGTCGTACCTCTGGCGGCTCGTTGCAGACGACGCATACAAGTTGCTGATTCTCAGAGGCGTTGGATCGTTTCAATACCATGTCAGGGTGATTCGAACATTGTCGCATTTTCATCAAGAGCTCAAAGATGTTGGCATAGTTGTTAAGCACAGTACCTTGCTCAACATAGGTGGTGAACTTTCTAGCTGAGTCAGAATAAAGAGATTGATACATGTCTTCTTCCTCTTCATTGAATAGATCTCTGCGAACAACCACGGTTCTAGGCGGTAGTCCCAGATCATCTGCTCGTTCAAGTTTAGTTCTTCGGAGCATCATTCTGTCCAATAGTTTTCGAAGTTTCTTGAAAGCAATAAGACCTTCGGCTGTTGCTCCATACGTTTGGATGGGTTTTAGAATTTCGTTATTCCACCAACAGACATGGCTGTGTGTAGTATATAAGTAAGGTTGATCAAGAGCATCGGATGCTGAGTATGAGAAAAAATTACTTACTCCATAGGTTTATGTCCACAATGATCGCACGACTTTCTGTCACCTGGTAGTTGTGAGAGTATCATGTTAAGAATGGATGATTCACTGGTGTTTCGCAGCAAAGTTCACTTACTGAACTTCCAGGTCAACTGTTTGCATGGACAGGTTTTACAGTAGTAGTAACCAAATGGATCTAGAATCAAAAAGTTAAAGCAATCCGCACTACACAATGTCATGCAGTATATAGGAATATTTTGCTAACCGGCTTGCATAAAGCGAATTAGGGAGTAGAGCTCACCCACCCGGTTTTGTAAAGGCGTACCCGTCAACGACCACTTGTAGTCAGATTGCAAGTTGAACTGAAGTAAAGAAAGATTAGCAATGCGAGGGTCAGCATAAGCCAGTGTGTATGATAAGAGATACATACCACAGATCTAGCGGTGTTGTTCGATCGATCCTTAATATTATGGGCCTATTTCAATATAAAAGTGTAAGCATCTTTTACTGAAGTTCGGTTCCGTGTAATTCTAATACATACCTCGTCTAAAATGATGCGATGCCAGTGTATTTGATGTAGTAGAGATGCTTCCTTCACAAGATGATGAGTTCTCTTGAAGCCGTATTCCTGTTTTCGGAAAGCGCTTTCTAATATCGAATCTATCAATTGATGATTAATAACTGTTTGGTGTGTCAATGACATTTTCGGTTGCCAATACTAACATGTAGTAAGGATAACATCGTAACCCTTAAGGAATTCTTTATCACTTGATCGGCTTGCTCCATGATAGAGATAGACATTAAGCACACCATTTGTATGCGTTTCAATTTCTCTCTTCCATTGTATCAATGCAACCTATATACCAAAAGTGTTACAGAGTGATAAATCAAGTTATTGTCTACTGAGTCGAATGTACGTACCGTTGGGGCTACAACGAGGTTGGGTTTTTGGCGAGGTTCTTCCAACAACATTGCAATGGTTTGAATGGTCTTACCCATACCCATTTCATCCTAATCAGAAGAGTAAGATTCATTGTTTCATAAATATAGATATTTAAATAAATACTTACAGCTAATATACCGCCTTTAAACTAGGTGAACAACATGCATCAATAAGATATTACTTCAGTTCTACAATGTTTGGTTGAAATGAAACTTACGTCAAGGCTCTTTTCTTGGTCGCGCATCCATCCAACACCTTCCTTTTGGAATGGAAGCAGAGGAAGCACCAGATCCTTGGGCTGATCGACGGGTATAGGTTTAGCTTGGAATGAGTTTTCAAGATCTTCCCATACTGTTATCAGCTCTGGGTGATGCTCCATGAGTTTTTCATTTACTCTTGCAAACTAGACATCAAAAATGAAAGAGTTAGTAATTTTGGAAGCCTGCTGAGATGACATATAGACATGGACTAACCCAAGACTTGCGAGGAGGCCGTTGTCGACGGTTGCGGCGGTTGCGTGTACGTGCATTGGCAGCTGGTGCTGGACTTTCGAGTCTTGTACGGCCACGGAGGGGTGCATCCGATTCTTCCATAGAAGTATCAGAATCTAGCGCTTGGAGCTCTGCAGGTTCAATAGGTGTACTACGAGTAGAGATACGGCGTCTACCACCTTGTCGGGACGTTCGAGCTCTGAGCGGAGTGGAGGATTCTTCACCAGATGAAGAGTCAACGTTCGGTTCACTGGCAGACTGAATCTCAAATGGTTCATCACTCTCATCATCGTCAATGAGAACAATGTCTTCCTCTTGATCGATATCGTCGTCTGAATCCACTTTAATGGTTCCAAAGTCATCGGAAACACTTGTAGCTGGTGTATATTCAGACTCCATCGGACCACTCGATGAAATTGTCAGAGAGTCCGATGCCTTTTCCTTGCCCTTTTTGCGACGGCTTGTAGGCACGATGAGAGATTGAGTTGTAGTAGTGACCTCTTCTTTGATGCTTTCTACATCACTTGAATCAATTTCTGTAATAGTTCTCTTAAGTGCTCTAGAACGACGAGTCATGGCTGACATTCCAATGGGGAGTTTCGGTAATGGTTGAAAGTCGTTATCAGTAACGTCATCGATAATGATAGAACTGGAGGCTGACGACTTGGTATCGGCATCGGTGAGGTCAGATTTCAAAGGAGCTTTGGATTGAGAGCGTCTAGTAACAGGCATTCGGTAGCAGAATGTAGCGGAATAGGCGGTGAAGTCAAAGTGACTGAAGACGAAGACGGTCAGTTCGTGGACGAAAAATGGGAAAAAGAAAAAAAAAAAAAAAGGGCTGCGGGATGGTCGGAGTGCAAATCACCTAGAGACGGTTCGCCATGTTTGTCCTTCACCGCGATCTAAAATTTTCGATCGTATTTCATTTTATTATGAATTTTGTTACAGCTGTTCGCATTCTATTAGCAATTGTACGTTGCTCAACGCTCCATTTGATACCATCGCCTTCAATATCATCGATTCCGACATCTTTGTCCATCTCATGCACCACGTCCTGAACAATTCGCCGTGTTCCATCATTGGCAGAAACACCATTGGATATCATTTCATTGATAAGTGCATGCATTCCATATACATCTTTCCAATGTTCCCATCGTAGGCTGAGAATAGTGTTATAGACACTAGTAGTGCAACCTACAATATAACTCTCTACCCCCCTTGTTTTAGCCTGCTGGAAGATCGACAATGCCAGATAAGGATCTTGGAGTTTGTTGGATGCCTGTTTGATAGTCGCTGCCAGGTATTTTGGATATCTTTCATCCGAAGCAGCATTGGTTTGGAACAGCTGTGTAAGGGCATACTCAGACAAATCCAATCCTGTTCTCAATTCTGATATTTTTCCTAGTTCTCGAAACTCCTCGTCCTTGACAGCATCTCGTTGCTGTACGGGTTCGTGCCACAAGCTTCGCATTTCGTCCTTTTCTTCACTGTCTCTGCCTGATTTTCTCTTTGGAATATCTTGTAGCGTTGCAGATTTTGGCGACCTATAAGCCGTTGGCCGTGGATTGAGAGCCATATCCCTTAGTTGTTGTTCAATCTTGGAGAAGCCTTTGTCATTCATTGGTGGAGAAGTCTCGTTCAATTTAGGCAAAGAAGTTGAAGGCGATGGTCCGTCCAGCAGGCTGTCCAACAAATCTTTGAAAAACTGCTTCTCATCAGTGTTTGGTAACGGGGATTTGGGTTGCGTTGACGTGTGCCATTTTGCTGGTCGAGTGCGGCGACCTTTGGCTTCATAGGGAGATAAAAATTTATTGTCTTGATATCCTTCCACCTCTTCATTCATTTCTACGCTTTTCTCTGGACCTGAAGCTCGTCTAGAGTGTTTTGGTATGGAATCGCTTTTGTATTGATCATAACTAGCTGGACCTTGAGATGAAAATTCAGTTCTACGCAAACTAGTTTTGAAATACAATGCAGATCATTACTCACCACTGTGCAAAAATCTTGTACTATAATATTTAAAAGGCTGTTTATATGATGGCCTAAAGCATCGCTGACAGAATGACATTTTGCAATGGTATGTCTGTGCAGGCAATCCGATTTTTTTTAAGCAGGAAAACGGTGAAAGTGACTGCCCTTTCGCACCCACTTCGATGCAGACGCGACCATTGTATGTCCATTTGGCCACTACAGAATATATATAGAGCGTCATATAAAACGCCTGTAAAAATATGCTCATAACATCTTACTGTTTATCTACTTCCGAACTGTTTAAAGTCATTTTCTATTGTCTTCAACCCTCCGATCAAGTTGTTGTAAATAGATAATATGCGGCCTCAGTGATCGTGATATTACTCCAGATTGATGATTCAAAGCACAGAGTACGCTTGATCTAAAGTGAGTTGTAATTGATTTTATGGTAGGTTATCATTACCAGGGATTCCTTTTAGACTAAAATTTGAAAGCTTCCTTATGAGCAATCGAGGATATAATACGAATGAATTGCCCAGCTATGACAGCTAAGCGGCAGTCTTTTTCACGAAAGACTTTGAGGTTCAATGTGCTGCTATTCATCAAAATCATAGTTAAACAGTACATAGAATACATGAGAACGATTACGAATTTCTCCACCAGTAACTCAGTATAAGCTTAGATTTGAAGGTAGTAGAAGCGCTATGTGGAGTTCGCAAAAAATAAATGGCTTACCTTCATTGTTCACGTGACTTTTGCGAAGCACGAAAAAATACAAAATTTTCTACAGTTGGATTGATCCCTCTGTACATTATGGCGGAATCAAAACCCTCATTTACTCTTCCTCCTATCAAGGACAACAGCATTGGCTGGGGACCTGCTTCGGATGTTCTCCCAGAACAGTTCCGTGACATCCCATATGCTCCCTACAGCAAGGGTGATAAGCTCGGTCGCATTGCTGACTGGTCCGCTCCTGAGACCCAGAAGCAAGACAACAGAGAAGTCTCTGGCCGTACCGGTAGACAAGGATTCAACCGTTTCAACAAAGGTGCGTTTTATGAATTAGATTACTCTCGAATACGACGTCTGCGACGGCAATGCAACAGGCTTTGGGCGATGGTTGTTGGATCCAACACCATCATATGCCATCCGCCACGATCCAGAGTGCGATTCAATGACTAGAGCAGCAATATCTTCAAATCACTCGAATCCGAGAAGAAAGAGCAGCCGTTTTGCATTTCGCCAAGATTACTTTAATTACGAGAAATCTCACAATATTGTTTGATTTTTCTGATATTAACCAATGGCTCAATTTTTTAGACCCATACCAAAGTTATGGTGCTGGTGTTTCCTCTGCTTTCATCTACACCCACAACGAGGACGAAGCTTCCTTCTCGGTTGTCGATAACAGATCTGCTGCTGCTAAGAAGGCCTCTGCCATCAAGGCTGCAGGTGGACAACGCAATCGCCCTCAAAAGCAACAAGCCACCCGTAATGGCCTTCGTGGACCCAACCAACGCTTCGGCAACCAGACTGGCCGTGGTGGAAGACAACAGGGTCAGAACAGAAGACGATTTGGATGGAAGGACTATGATAAGGTAAGAAGAAGGTCGACTTTGTCAGTGTGGATAAGAATCAAAACTGATATCAGCCAATTATGTAGCCTCAACGTATGCGTGATGCTTCTGTCACAGTTGGTCCTGAATGGAGCGTCCTTGATGAGATTGAATTCAACCGATTGGCCAAACTCACTTACAAGGCCCCTACCAGCACAGATATGTAAGTGAACATACAAACTCTCGCTTCGATTGGTCTTTGATATGCGTTAATTGACGCATACTTTTATTCAGCGGCTCATATGGTCACATAAACATGTACGACAAGTCCTATGATCGCATCAACACCAGAAATGAGAAGCTTTTGCAACACATTGATCGCGTCAAGTACGATACCACAACCTCTGATGATCCCATTATGCAACAGGTAAGACAATTTCATTGTTTTGGATACATCCCTGTCGCCATAGTACTAAAACGATATATCAGTTCATGCAAGAAAACAAGGGAACTGTGTTCGCCACTGATTCCATTCTTGCTCTTTTGATGTGCGCTCCTCGCACTGTTTATCCTTGGGATATTGTCATCACCAGAGTTGAAGACAAGGTTATTTTGGATAAGCGAGATGGTGGTGCCTTTGGTTAGTATTTAATTACGTCTGAACTTCTAGATATCGGAGCGCGTCTGACCCTTTTTTTGATGTATGCAGATTTCCTGACTGTTAATGAGAACACCGCTGATCCTCCTATGGAGACTGAGAAGGAGAGCATCAACTCACCAGGAGCCTTGTCCAGCGAAGCTACCTTCATCAACAGCAGTTTCGCCGCTCAGGTCATCGATCAGAACGAGAAGATCGAGCTTGAAAACCCTAATCCCTTCGTCGGTGCTGATGAAGCCGAAAACGCTGCTTCCTGCGGATACCGCTACAAGAGCTTCGACCTTTCCAACCCTGCTACAGGTGACGAAGAGGTTGAGCCCGTCCATTTGATTGTCCGAACGGAAGTGGATGCTGCTGTCAAGACTGCTGGTAGCCAGGAACCAACTTACTTGACTGTTCGTGCCCTCAATGAATTTGATCCTAACGCACAGGGTGCCGGTGGTGCTCTGTCATGGAGAAAGGCTCTTGATTCTCAACGTGGTGCTGTTGTTGCCACTGAAATGAAGAACAACTCTGCCAAGCTTGCTAGATGGGCTGTTCAAGCTTTGCTCGCTGGTGCTGAGCAAATGAAGATTGGGTATGAAAACACGCTGATACCTTTTTATGTAAATCAAATTCAACATTATTTTAACATTTTGCCCTCTATAGTTATGTCTCCCGTGCTAGCCCCAAGGATAGCAGCCGTCATGTTGTTTTGGGTACTCAAGCTTACAAGCCTCGCGACTTTATGGCCCAGATGAACTTGTCCATGGCTAACGGATGGGGTATTGTCAAGGCCGTTGTTGACATGTGCATGCTCCTCTCTGAAGGAAAGTATGTCCTCGTCAAGGATCCCAACAAGGCTATCCTCCGTGTCTACTCTGTTCCTGATGATGCTTTCGATGGAGCTGACGAAGACGAGGAAGAGGAGGAGGAAGAAGTTGAAGCAGAAGAGAAAGGTGATGAACAAAAGAAGTCAAGCCAATAAGTCCATTGACATCTCAAAGTCATTTTCCGCAATCCCCCAAAACTCCCTCAAAAAATCCCTAGCACATTCATCTTTGTTTGTTCCTTTACAATAAACTGCACTGGTAGAAAAATTTTATTCATACTAAAAAACACAAAAATTCTTGAGAAGACCACGATTAGGTATTGCTGAAGCAAATGTTTCTTTCTTTCTATTCCTTTTGCTAGACGTCATGAGGGTGTCCGTTAGGTATATTATATACATTTAGCGCAAGTTGAACGCTTTGTCGAGATAAAAAATGTATTAAAGTTTGTTGTATGCAGCCTTGTGTTCTGGATATCCATAACCATCGGCTGATGGCGCAGGTTGTGCATATGTATTTTGACCATTGCGTTGATCTGCATATGGCATGTAAGCATTGTTTGATTGAGAGGGCATGTAGGTATTGTAGGGTGGTTCGGCAGTAGGACCAGAGTTCAACGGTTGGGATCCTTCATCCTGCGTGACTGGAAACATTGGGTGTCCGGTACCATCGTCGCCTTCCATTTGCAGCTCTCGTTGTTGTCTACCTCGCATTTCCACCCGTTTTCGAGCCAATCTAAAGGAGTCAACGCCACAGCATAGGATGTTACCAAAGAGCTCTGGAATGAATTTAAAAAGAGAGTCCACAACAGCCTGCCAGACGGTCATTTTGTTCGAACGATCTAGGTAAATCGTGTCGTCCATGATTCGATGCTGTGTGGATTTGATTCCGAAGTACTTTAACATGAGTACGCTGACAACCGTCATGACTACGCAAACCAAGAGGACATAAATGCCAAACCGGACTGCTTGAGCTGTCCATGGCGTTCCGTCATGACTTGCGCTGCCATCTGTACCCTTGATGACATTGAAAGTGACCAAAAGAGAGAGCAAGATTTCACCAACATAGAAGATGATCATAATGGGGCCCTTGACACACCAGAACATGCCGTGTGCGGGGATGTGGCCACGCTTATATTCTGGTCCAAAGACGGCCAAGTAGGTGAACAGCGCAGTAAGAATAACAGACAAAGAGCCAAAGTTGATGACGGTCAACCAAAGATAAGCGCCCTTGACCGAATAGACTTCAGCACAGTATCTTCCCTTAAGCTCTGCGAAAATGGATATGAAGGCGTCCAGCATACTCCTATTATGTCATGACATTTTTTAAAGTTAATGGAACTGGCGTTGTCATCCCGTAATCCAAAACTACAATACTTACCAAATGGGAAACTGCGTAATTAAAAAAAGTTATAAAGATACAGAGTCAATCATCGGCCTTGTAGATCATTTCGGTTTTCTGCCAGAACTATTCGCTTACCTGAAACACCATAATGTCGGTGATGATACGGTAGTGCATACCCCATTTCGATTTCCTGTTAAACAAAAGTAGTTTAGCAGGTGCGACGGTGACCTTCAACGTTCGTCAGGTTTTCTACAATTGGGAAGGTTGCTTACAGGTTGAGTTTCCAAATGCCCATGACTTTGGTTGCGTAGGCTTCCTTACGGCCATTGGCTTCCTTATAAAAAGGCTCCAACAACGCTTGTAAGCAAATGTACAAGTTGTAAACAGCCAAGGCTTCAAACAAGGTAGCGAAAAAACTAATGGTCGTTGAATAATCAGGGCGCAAGTATTCCACAAAGGATAATGTGGCATAGACGGGTGGGTAGAGCAGGATGCGTACTTTATGTCGTTGAATTTCCGGATCGCTATTGAATAGCAAGTTTTAGAAAAATTATTTGTATTGGACGTAGCATAGCAGGGTTGTTCGATACTGACTAGTAATTTCGCAAATGGCGGGAGATACCAATTAAGGAGACAATCCAGGTAATCAAACATAAACCAGCTGAAACCAACCAGCCGATAATATGCCTATATTTATATGATCAGGTTTTATATCCAATTGAAAACGCGATGGAAATTTCATCATACCAGTTTGCTGTTGGGTCTGTCAACACATTGGAAAAGTCAAACGATGGATTGCTGTAAACAGGGCTGGTTAACGGAAAGGTATTTCAGTAGGACGACTGGTTGAAGTGAAGAACGTACAAGCCGTCCTGAGCTCGCAAGCCAGGCTCAGTAGGGCAAGTGACTGCCAGAGTGCCGTTAGAACTCATGTTCGTAGAAAACGAAAAAGAAGTAGGTAACGTCGAAAAAGGAAGAGAAGAGAAGTAGAAAAAGGAGGCCTAAAAAGTCCCTGTATTTGTGCTAAGGCTGGCTGTGGCTTTTTGTACCTGACGAGCCTCTGTCGGACTCCCATGCGCCGAAGAACTAACCTCTTTATTATTTTTACTGCAGTGACATCTTATGCATAATGCCGGCATTATCCATGAGCGGTATGGGCATGGGCTTTTCACATCGCCAGTATAAATCCTCACTAATCCCGTACATTCTCTCTCATTCTAATCTAGACATTGTCGACATTACGAGTGAATTTAGTATGTACCGCCGCCTAAACGGAGCTGGGGGCATTATTACGATTTTTTTTTTTTTTTTTTTAACTTTGGCTTGGAAATACAAAGATTTTTTTTTTTGGGCTTGGCACTCATGCACACATTATCTTTCAATTACCAGTTGAAGTGGCAATACACCAGATACTGTACGTGCGCGGACTATATCCGAAAGGTAAGCTAATATTTGCTCACATCGGTCGTTCCCGTTGACTCATTGCCCTAGTACAACAAAGAAATATTTGCCACTCGACAAAAGTACAACACTCCAGTTCATATGTCAAGACATCCTGATATCAATCAATATATCAATCATGTCGTGGCTGCATGCAAAGATGGGATTCACCAAGTAAATTTTGATTTTCAACGTCAGAACTGCGCAGTTGACTCCCTGCTAATTATAGGAAAATCGGTGAACACTAGAGAAATGTCAAAGCTGTGTCAGTGGAGGTATTCGACTTCCAACAGCGACCAGTAGAGCGCTTTGTTTTTGAACTCAATTCCATCTTCGTCCTATCGCCACATCAGAATACGGATAGTGTAACGACGTAAATGTGGCAGCTGTGGCTCTTTTGGGCGTTTCCGACTTTTCAATAACTCGTTTCTTTCCACAGAGAAATGCTTTGGCCAGACTTGGAACTTCAATTGAGGGCATTTTTGTTACGTATTCATGCCGCCAACTCTATATTGAAGCCGCTACCAGAAGATTCAAAATTTTCAGTGGTGGTGGACATGGAGAGACCTGTAGTACCCGCGTCCCTGCAAGAAAATAAGGTAAATATAAATTCACTATGGTACGATCTCATGTGAAATGAAAAGCCGCAACTCCCTTTCTTAGACGGGCGTTACTCCTTGGATACCTGCAGATGATGGTAAAAAAGGAGATGTCTTCTCCGGTTCTAATTTAGTACCACTTAAATCCGTGGACACTGGCGTTTTACAGGTAAGAAAACATAAAGAAGAATCCGGTACTTGGCAAAATACATGCTACACACAGCAAGCTGACCCAAATCAGATGAATTTGTTCGTCCAAGAAATCAATTTTTGACATGTTTGTGAGAAACATCCAACCTCGCCCCTGGTCGCCACTTGTGTTTCCACTCTCGCATACGATTGATCATAAGCATAATGCAGAGACCACATGCAATGCTACCTTCTGCTTTTTCTACATGGCGCCGTATTTACTGGAAACCACCATTGTGAGACATATCCATTTCCTAACAAGGCTTTTGGGGCTATTTCCGGATCAGCAGGGCACACCTGTTGCAGGATCATATCAACAATTTTGTTTCGAGTGTCTCGTATAAAGAATAAAATGTCGCGCACTTAAAGTATGTAAAAGTGGAGTTGTTAGAAGTACTTCGGTAAAAGTAATTATCCCTAACTCAGCGATTGAGACTAGCCTCCGCGCTGTTCAAGGATGGATAGTTTTCTTCCAATATGGTATGTGCTACCAGCAATGCCGAGCAAACAGAACGGCTATGGCGAAAATACGAATCGAGTACCCTAATCTAAACATAGTGGTCACACACCAACCGCACCAGATATCTCAGTGTCCATGGAAGCCTCTCGTCATGTTATCAACTGCACTAGAAGATTGCCAGCATTTGATATTTTACCTTGGTTTTCTTCCACGACGGATAATACACTTCCATACCAAGAAAGGACTGTAACCAAAATCGGACAATGACATACTGGCGGTACAATACTCTCCAAATGCAAAATGGCCAAAATGCAATTCAGTTCTATTGGTAATGTCGACTCTGGCTCACTATTTTGTCGGAGGCGTTCTCCTCTCTAGCAGCACGACATGGCTAAAATATTTCGTGGGCTACAACCTCAGCGTCACCGACACTGCTATTAGCTTTGTCTCGCGTGATATTCCATTATGGCGATGGACGATGCTGTTAGGTATGCTCAACTGTGTCTGGACGCTCGGTACATTGTTTCCGTCTTCCGTCGAAGGTATCGGCGGATGGACACTGCAAGCGCCAAAATTCGCCATTTTGGCTGGATTAGTCAGTGGCATAGGTGCAAAGGTAAGATCCACTCGTTCCAATGGATCTGCCTGAGATCATATATTGAACTTCTGAATTAGCTTTGCTCTGACACCGGGTATGAAGATCCCCCATCAGCGTATACGCAATGGTCTAAGGATGTTGCGAACTACTACGGCGCAAGTTTGGTGGGTGCAATGGTAACTTCGTTTGTAATACAAAAGGATAGCAATTTGAAGCTACCAGATCAACATTACCAAGTGCTTCCTGGGCTATTCGGTTCTCTAAGTCTCATTGCAATACTTGGTATCCAAGCTATTGTTTTCAAATATTTAGAAAGTATCAAGTCTGGACGTAGCATATCCCCAAAGAACAAACAGGCCATCGTGTCATATATCTGTGGCGTATACTATGTTATGGGTCTTGGTTACAGCGGCCTTCTTTGTCCATCAAAGGCAAGAAACTTCGTGAATGTTCATAATCTGACTAGATTTGACGCTTCTTGGATAGCATCCGTCCTTGGCACTTGGGCGGCAAGATACATATTTTCAAATGTGACGAACACTGCTGGGGTGAAGCGACCGTTATTCAATTCCGGGATGCGATTGTCAGCAGCACTCAAGAGACCACTTCAGAACAGGGCGTTGATAGGTTCTACCATTGCTGGCATTGGATGGTCATTGGAAGGACTTTCCATAGGATCAGCATTGATTATCAGCACTTGTCGACCATCATTGTCCATTGTATCGTTCTGTATATGCTATGTGGCAGCCTACTTCATAACAGATCGTATACAACACCAGAGAACCAAATGAGATATCACTACTACCATACGCCAACAACGTAGTCTCAAGCATAAACGCTTTGTATATGAATACCAAAATTTATAAAATACAATATGAATATGAAAGTAAACTAGCACACCAGATACATAAACGTTATAAATGGAAATCCTATCAACGCCTGTTTATATCATACTTGGCTTAACATTTGCAATTGGTGGATGTATGTCCGAAGCACTTTAGATATCAAACGATAATAGGCAACAAACACCTTTAAGCTCGGACGCGGAGCTCCGTTGCCTTTGCTTTCAGCCAGTTCCAAGTATCTTGACAATAAGCCATGGCCGTATCCTTTTGATTGAGAGGAGTTTTCTTTTTGCCCAAAACATTGGAGTCAAACATTTGGCGAGCTTGTTGTATATATGCCTCGGCACCGGACTTGCCGAGTTTAACTCTATTTTCAGCAGCCAATCTAGCGTCATTGGCAGTCTTCTGGAAGGTCTCTTGTATGGACTGACGGTTCATACCAGTAGGCATAGCGGAATGCAAACTGGTAGCGAGAGGATCAATGTAATTGCTCTTCACATACTCAATGTAATTGGCGTTGGGCTTATTATTGGTTTGAGATGCAGTGTTGCCGTAAGCAATGCTACGCAGCTTTTCGATGCAATTCAAAATGTTTTCCCGAATGCTGGACTCCGATGGGAATGACCAGCTGGCAGTACCCATATGGCTTTGCTGAGCGGTAGTCAGGTCAGCCTCAAAGTCTAGAAGAGCTCCATCAACGCGCTCAAGGACCTCCTTAACCCGCTTGGGTGGAATATTGTGCTGTTCCAAAGTGGACCGAATGGAGTTCAATGTTTGCGAAATACTAGCCTCAGTAATATGTCTCCAATCTTGTACGTTGCTGAGGAAGTGATCAATGTCGCGCTGGACATCAGTGGCAATGTTCTGTGATACCTCTTCACCGCTATGCATCACATTCTTGATATTGTTTATCAACTTGTCTTTTTCAATCGTCAACTTGTCTGCATGAACAGGGTTTTCGAGTCCTAATTATAATCGATGGTACATGTTGAGGTTATTAAAACGATCGGTAGCAATCTATCTCCTTTGATCGTTATTCTTACCATGAGCACAGGCAATCAGCAGAGCGAACAGACTTATAAAGGTCAAGATATTAGCAAACTTCATTTTGACGAACTGCAGGAAAAAAAAAAAATGCGATGTGGTACACGCAGATTGAGAATCAGCGGGTTCAAATACTCTGGGGAGAATTTTTTTTTTTCTAATATTTGTTTCACTGCCTAACAAAATGCCCGAGGTTGAACAAGGGTTATTACAACGCAATAAGCCAGCTGGTAGAGCAGCAATTAGCCAAGGACCTATGCACATGTCTCAAGCCAACGGAAAAGATTTAAAAACGAGAATGCAATTTTTATTGGAAGGGCACAATTTAAGGCTGTTGATAAAAAGTGTTGTAACCACAAAGTTGCAGGTCTAAACGCCTGTAAGCATTTCTCAGAATGAAACACAATTAGGAAGGGTGTTGTGGCGTTAATGTGAAGCAGGGAAGAAGAAGTAAGCATGCAATAGTATCTACATAAAACAGATGAAGAAAAGGGTGAAAGGGGAGAAAAGTAATGATAAAAAAAGAAAAGAGAAAAAACAAGAGATGGCAATGCCGAACAGCTTTTACTGAATGATAGTAAGCTTTGTTCGGTTGGCGTTAACTTGCCAAATATCAAGCTGGCTATATTCTCGGATAGCGTCTTCGAATTGCTGATCAGTGTAGCCTCTTGAACGAACTCTTTGTTGCACGGTCGACATGTTGAGTTCATTTGTTCCCATTTGTTCACGCATGCTACGGACAACGTTGTGGACACCAGTGAGGAAGGTTCGGTCATGAGCTCTATCTTCAACGTCATCGTCCTCATACAAGGAGGCTTTTGAAACGTCAAGGATACGGATAGCTTCATCTACATCACCAGTCTCAACTATATCTGAAAGACGAATTCGTGCTAAAGCCTGAGCCATACGCACAATACCAAGAAGAGTTCTAGCAGAAGAGTAGGTAAACTGCTGATCCTTGTCTTCATCGGCCTTTTGTTGCTTGCGCATCTGAACATAGATACTGGTAATGTACTCTGAAACCGATGCTGTCAAGATAGGTCGCTTGTTTCTGGCATGGGCAACGTAGTGTCTAAAACAAAGAGCAAGTGGGCAATGTTAGCTTCTATTTTCTTGTCACTGTTATGCGGTCAGGCACATACCGGATCATATGGGGCTCAAGATATTCTTGTTCTTGTCTGGGATGCATGTTGTGAGTGTGCACATAGGTGACGTGCTCGGCCAGTCTGCGATCCATATCTTCAGAGGGACGATCCAAAATCAAGAACAGAATATCGAAACGGGACAAAAGCGCAGCTGGCAAATTGATGTTTTGAACAGGTGAGATACGAGCATTGTAGCGACCGTATAAAGGATTGGCAGCTGATAAAATGGAGGTACGCGCGTTCAGAGTGGTGGTAATACCAGCCTTGGATATACTAATGGTTTGTTGTTCCATGACTTCGTGGATGGCGGTACGATCCGATTCGTCCATTTTATCGAACTCATCAATACAGCATATACCATTGTCGGCAAGTACCAAAGCTCCTCCCTCTACAAAGTAGTCAAGGCAATAGTTAGAAACCCAAAATTTGCTGCCAACACGTTCCAAGAAGCCAGGCACTTACCAAGCACCATTTCGTCTGTGATTGGGTCACGCATTACAGCAGCCGTCAAACCAACGCCGGAACTGCCACGACCAGTAGTGTAAACACCACGAGGGGCAACCTTTGCAATGAACTTGAGCAACTGGGATTTGGCAACACCAGGATCACCCATCAAACAGATATTGATATCACCACGGATTTTCATACCGTCAACAACATTCTTGGTCACACCACCAACGAGAAGTAGTAACAAAGCCTTCTTCACATCTTCATGTCCATAAATTTCAGGAGCGATACTGCGGGCGAGCTTGTTATAAATCTCAGGGTCGCGTTCAAGTTCAGCAATCTTCTCTGCAATGTCGGGGGTCATTTCCATTTGATCATATTGCTTCTTCAAGCGATGAATATTTTGGGCCTCAAGGTAAGTATCCGTCAGCAGTCCTGCGCGCATGGCTCGGAATCCGGTATATGGCAAGGGTAAGAAAATGCCGGCAATGTTGCAAACATCACCAGGGTTCAACGATCTACAAAGTTCGCCGTACAAATGAATAGACATGGTTCTGGGGATATGTCCAACAGGAACTTGATCGGTCTGTAGGAAAAGATTTTGACGTTAAACCATGTTTGGCTTTGTCCCATATGCTTGATGGGTGAGAGACTCCCACTTACCAATTCCTGAAGCTTGACCTCTTGGAAAGCAAGGAATTTAGAAGCTCTGGTCTGCATGAAGAGCTTGCCTCTTGACTTGTGTGTTTTGCAGACTTCGGACTGGCATTCAGCAAGTGGGGTAAATTGGCGTTGAGTCACTTCCTGGAAAACTTCATGACCACAGGTATCGCAACTGTAGGCATTGACTTGTAAGCAAGGTCGGACATCAGACACTCGAGTAACAATACCACGAACAGTGACGAGATGACCCAATTGAGAACCGTTGATCTGACGAACAGCTTGAGCATGCTGGTTGTGCATAGGCTTGAAGTACACCTCACTGAAAAAAATTAACATTACGATTAGACCATTATTATAAACCCTCCTATCGCTAAGTCTGTGTTACTCACTATCGTCGAGTCAAGGCAGGAGGGAACATATTATGAACATCGGCTTCTCGATTTTCATCACGGATTTTGCGTTGGTTGATGATGACATCCAAAACACTATCCTTGTAGCTCAATTCAGCACTCTTTGGGATGAGTTCAGTCGAAAGTTGGTCGATGGCTTTTGCGAAGATTTCGGTGTAGCGTTTGGTGTTGCGGTTGATATGAGCAACAGTACGTGCTTCTGAGTCTTCAAACTAAGATGTTTGCCACTTAATATCAGTTCAAACGATATGAAAACTCGAATTAGAAGCTTACTTTAGCGAGGTCCTCCAAATCAATCGTGATCTTGTTCTCTTCTCTGTCCACGACTTTTTGCTGTAAACGTTCAAAGTGTTATATACAGGACTCCTACCTACTGAGGGCTTAAATAACAAGTAACGTACCAGTATTTGCATATACTTTGGCTTTTTGGCGTCGACATCCATTTCAGAGCCATAGTTTGATTTTTCAATATAGCTCTGGAGAAATTCTTTGCATGCGTCTGTTGTGATGAAAAATGAGTACAAGTGTGTGCGACCATTGCGGGATGGACCAACATGTCTAGTTTACCTGCTTCTCTCGCATAATCTATATTCAAACTGTAGGTGGTTAACGCGGCCATTTTCGGTGGATGGAAACGAACTAGACGCGATTGCCAATGAAATCAATAAAAAAAAAAGTTGTGTTGTAAAGACGCGACTTTTTTTTGGGATTACTTTTTCATAGCCCGACAAGGGTGCTGACCTCATCTTGTCAACCAAAATTTATTTCTTTCACTGAAATAGGATGGTTCTCCCTATTTTGTGGTGCCACCTGGATTCTCCCTACAAAGAAGTAGATGGATCATTGTATTTATTTTGGGAAAGGCAGCTGCCAACGTTTCAGATCAAAAGGCACAAATCAGCAAAAAGAGTAAAAATAAGCTCTCTTAAAGCGGAGTGAATTGATTACGGCGAAACCAAAATTGACCAGGTACCAGCACTCTGAGCAATTAAAATAATAGATAAATTTAGCGCCAAAACTCAACCCCGTCCATAAAATCCCCAAGGTCGAAAAAAAAGTTGGCCCCCTCCACCGAATCTCTTGCTGCTTTCGATATGTATCCCAATCAAAGGCAGCAGTCTCCTCCGCCGCCAAACGCGCCGTTGCATTCTCCTCCTGGTGGCTATGACCAGTATCCTCTGACGGATACTCACTTTTCACCCCAGCCTATGGACCGTAACCCTGGTTATGCTGCTGATCCGTTCGACGACCATCATCAACAAGGCGGGATGGGAGGATACCACGACAATGCTCCCTTGTTGCAGCATCAGAACAGTGATTATGGTGATACCTATCCTGCTCAATCTCCTTATGGTGCTCCCTCCCCTTCACCTTCTCCCCAGGTAAACATGGGTTTCCCTTCTCCTGGTGGCGGTATTCACTATGGAGAGGCGCCTAGACGTGTTGCTCGCCGTTATAAGACAAGTAAGTGTTTGTTAAGGACAACGGTCTTCTAATTGGCAAAAATTCTGGGAAAGAGAGCTTGGCACACGGAACTAACCATGGACTTTCCATAGTGAGAAAGGTACCATTGACCAGTGGTAACTTGGTCTTGGATTGTCCTGTGCCTTCCAAGTATTTAGCAGCCGTGCCTCGTAAGGGCACGGCCCCGGAGGATAAGGAATTCACTCATATGCGCTATACTGCTGCCACCTGTGATCCTGCTGATTTTGTTGCTCAAAACTATACTTTGCGCCAAGCTTTGATTGGTCGTTCAACTGAGCTTTTTATTGTGATGGTAAGTTTCTATTGCACTTGGCGTACTTTTTCAAACACCTCACACTAATTCTCACTGTCTTTTATCTCTATAGACGATGTACAACGTAAGTGTATTGAATTAACCGAAACCCTAATCGGGGTTTTGACTCCAAATCAAGAAACAATACCAAGAAGCTAAAAATAATCCACGGTTTAACAGGAAGACGAAATTTTATTTGCACGCACTATGCACGGTGTCATGAAGAACATTTCCCATTTGTGTACGCGTGAACGCTCAAGAACTTGGGGTGCTAACGGTTGGCAAAAGGTCACTGTTTGTATTGTCTCTGACGGACGTACCAAGGTCAATCCGCGAACTCTTTCCGTATTGGCTGCTATGGGCGTCTACCAAGATGGTGTAGCTAAAAATGTCGTGAATGACAAGCCTGTGACAGCGCATCTTTATGAGGTAGGGGGATATTCACCCTTTGGGAACTATTGTGATCGAATGATCAAGCTAACCAGTTTAACCATGTCTGCCGTATCGTTTATTCATAGTTCACCACGCAATTGAGTGTGGATCCTGACATGAAGTTCAAGGGTGCTGATAAGGACATCGTTCCTTGCCAAATTCTCTTCTGTTTGAAGGAGAAGAATGCCAAAAAGATCAATTCTCATCGTTGGTTCTTCCAAGCTTTTGGCCCTGTCATCAACCCTAACGTTTGCGTTCTTCTTGATGTTGGTACTCGTCCCGGTGGCACTTCCATCTACCATCTTTGGAAGGCTTTTGATATTAACTCTAATGTCGCTGGTGCCTGTGGTGAAATTCGTGCTATGTCCGGTACTGCTGGTGTCAAGTAAGTTTTTGGGGGTTGTATCATACGCACCCGAAGTAAATGCATTCACTAACAGCTACCCACCTAGCCTACTCAACCCTCTGGTTGCCTCCCAAAACTTCGAATACAAGATGTCCAACATTTTGGATAAGCCTTTGGAGTCTGTCTTTGGATACATTTCTGTGCTTCCAGGTGCATTCTCGGCCTACCGCTACGAGGCTCTACAAAACGACATAAATGGTCATGGACCATTGGAAAAGTACTTCTTGGGTGAAACCCAACACGGAGGCGATGCTGACATTTTTACTGCCAACATGTATCTTGCTGAAGATCGTATTCTTTGTTACGAATTGGTCGTGAAGAAGAATGCAAACTACATTCTTCACTACGTTTCCAGTGCTTATGGTGAAACCGATGTTCCTGATTCTATTCCTGAATTCGTTTCCCAACGTCGTAGATGGCTTAACGGTATGTATAGAGATGGCAGTAAATATTGGGTTTATTTGCGAGATAGATATACTGATATGACATTTACAGGTTCCTTCTTTGCTGGTGTCTATGCGCTATATCACTGGCGTAAGATTTGGGGCTCTGGCCACTCTCTTTTCCGCAAGCTTGCCTTTATGTTTGAAGATCTTTATCAAACATATAACTTGATTTTCTCTTGGTTCGCTTTGGTATGTTGAGCATTCACGTCCACCGTGGTAGAATCCTATATACTCATTCACATGTCTTTTCTTAGGGTAATTTCTACCTGACCTTCTTCATCTTGACCAATGCTCTCGCCTCCGATACTCTTAACCCTAAACCTATGCCTACAAACGTCGCCAACGTTCTGCATCAAGTCCTTAATTATATATATGTCGTATTGATCATTTGCCAGGTAAGGTTTGAGCACATTTTCGAACAAAGCAACAGCATCTAAGACTAACCAACATGGGCCTACAGTTTATTTTAGCCATGGGTAATCGACCTCAGGGTTCGAAATGGGCGTATATTGGATCATTCGTATTCTTTGCTCTACTTATGGTGTACATGATGTTTGCTACTATTTGGATCACTGTTATTGGCGTGGAAACGGCCGTGGATTCAGCGGGTGGATCGGGTAATATGTTCGTGGGATTGATAAAACAAGAAGCGTTCCGAGATGTCATTGTCTCTGTCTTCTCTACCTACGTTCTCTACCTTGTATCATCTATTCTCTTCCTCGACCCCTGGCACATGCTCACTAGTTTCATTCCCTATATCTTCATGGCACCTGGTTACACCAACATTCTCAACGTAAGTGCTTTCACAATGATTATAGGAGATGTAGGCTTGCAACTTATACATTTCTATCACATCAGGTTTATGCTTTCTGTAACACCCACGACGTGTCATGGGGTACTAAGGGTGATAACTCTATCGCAACTGATCTCGGTGTAGTCAAGTCCAAGAAGAACGACAACGGAGAGCATACAGTTGAAATTGCTGTTCCAACAGAGCAAAAGGATCTTAACGAAATGTATGAAGAAGCGTGTTTGGATCTCACCAAGAAGGTTGTAGAAGCACCTTCTCACCGTGATGCCAAGACCAAGCAAGAAGATTACTACAAGGCTTTCCGTACTCGCCTTGTTATCAGCTGGATCATTTCCAACTTGGCTTTGGTAGCTGTTATTTGCAACGCACAACTTCTCCACTGGTTCGGTGATTTCACTGAACGAAGTACCGTGTACCTTGGTTTCATTCTCTGGTCCGTCGCAGTGCTTGCCGTCATTCGATTCGCTGGAAGCTGCACTTACTTGGTTATGAGTAAGTGGATTTATATAATCTCATGCTGATTGTTCTACAATGTTTTCAACCCCACTCACCACATTTTATCACCACAGAAATTTTCACCGGTTAAACACACTCAGTTATGCGCTGCTGGCAGCTTTATTTTTTCTCCTGACCACCACATCCAAATCTATTCAATTCAACCTATTTCCTTCTATATTTTGCATGGCAATAGCCTACATATTTTAAAAATATATTTTACAGGTTTTGCTCATATAAACATTATTCAGTAATATTGTGAACCCTTAATCTACATGCTGGTACCACTGAATTGATCAGCCTGAGTTTTAACCACAGATCAGGGAAACAAAGGATTTCGACCGCCACCGTTTTTTTTAAATCTCCACTTGCCCCGTTTTCACAACGTCAGCGGTATACTTTGATTCCAGAGGAGAGCAAAACAAAAGAAAAATATGCCAGTCTTTTTCATATGTGATTTTATTCTTTGAATACGTGGCTAAATGCTCGACCAAAAAGATCCAAGCAATAAGTATGCAATATATTCTCGTACATCGTCAAAAAATTTTGGGGGGTTTAAGAGTAAAGGGCGCTCGCTACGTATGAAAGCTTTTTTGAAAAATAAAAATAAAAAAGTTGGGGGATATGTACTTGACCATGTCGATCGTGCGTTGCTTGAGATGAAGGAGGTGGTTGTAGGCTCAATAGAAAAGTAAAGAGATATATTTACATGATGATCTGAGGCTCAGTAATGTTAGCAGCAATACTCTTGTGAGGCAAGATAGAGCCACCATTGACATAGATCTCATCCTTGATGGTAACATCGTCACCAAGAACAGAGCATCCTTCCAAGCGGGACCATTTGCCAACGCTGGAGTGCCATCCAACAATGCTGGAGTGGACCCAGGCGAAGTCCTTCACCTTGGCTCCTTCCAAGATAACACATCGCTGCAAGCGAACACCGTCTCCAATGACGGCATCAGGTCCAACAACTACATTGGGACCAATACGACATCCCTTTCCAATCTTGGCGGAAGGATGAACCATAACATTACCCTTATGAACATACTCCAAAGTAGGGTTGACAAGTTGCTCAGGGTGTTTCTTGGATAAATGAGAAAGGTACAAACAGGTACCAGTCAAGAAATCCTTGGGCTGACCAACGTCCATCCAGAAACCATCCAAGTCGAAGGTGTGAAGTTGACCATCCTCGGCAATGAAGGGGAAGACTTCCTTCTCAATGGAAGTGGGCTTGAGCTGAGGTGAGGTAACATTTCAACTACGTCAGTTGGAGGTTTATAAATAAAAAATTGCCTAATTTTGAAACGCATACCTCAATTCGGTTTAGAACGGTGGGGTTCAATATGTAAATACCAGCATTGATCTTGTTGCTGATGAAAGTCTGAGGCTTCTCGACGAAACGCTCAATCTTGGAGGAATCAGCGTGGTTGACGACCACACCATACTTTGAAGGATCCTCAACCTTGGTGACAACAATAGTACCTTCGCCGCCGTGAGACTTATGGAAATCGACAAGTTGCTCGAAAGGATAGTCGCAAATGACATCGCTGTTTAAAACGAAGAAGCAGCTTTCGTCCTTTCCAAGGATCTCGCGAGCCAGCGCAAGTGGTCCAGCAGTACCGAGAGGTTCAGTTTCGACCGAGAATGTGATCTTAACATTGAACTTTTCCTCATATTGCTGGAGAACTGAAACCATAACCTCAGGGCGATAGTTCACAGCCAAAACAATATCACGAACACCAGCCTAAGCGGTCAACCACGGTCAATAACCATCAAAGATAGTTCCTATACAGATGACAGACGTACCTTTGCAAGAGCCTCGATCTGATGGAGGATCATGGGCTTGTTGGCGAATTCAACCAACGGCTTGGGAAGGGTAAGAGTGAGAGGGCGAAGACGGGTACCAAAACCTGGTTTGATTTGAATGTTATGACCCATGTGCGTATATATTGAAAGTTGTCGTCTCACTTACCACCGACGAGAATGAGAGCTTTCATGATGAGAAGATGATGAAAAGAGCGGTAGACACCAGAGTGAAACGTGGGTGGCCCGTACCTTTTTACGGCGATTCTAAATTAGTGCAGCCCAATTTAAGCGGAGAATTCAACTCAGATATCAGTCCCAATCTTGGCACTCCATTTCTTTTTTTTCCTGACCAGCCAGAGAAAATCCCATCAACAACGTCTGTGAGGATTTTCGGTTCATTGATGCACTTTTGGAATGTTTCTTTTTTTTTTCTATGGTTGGAACAAACTGAATACCTCAGACTCTCAGCGCTGGCTCCACCTTTTGCCTTGTGTTCCAGGAAAATTTCAGTTTCTAGCGACATCCACTTTTGGCATATCACCACAGTTTCCAGAAACCTTACATTAGGTGACCTTCTACGCAAACCAACTTAACTCCTGCCACCCCGGCTTTTTTAATAGATCAGGAAACTTATTTATAGTGTAATTCATTGTTTTATAGCTAAGAAGATAGACATGAAGGATAGCGAGCACTGAGCTGTGACATGATTAAGTCTTGCTGGGTGTTTATTGAGAAAAATTTACAGTATATAAGATGGTTGGTGGCTAACAATATGCATTATTTATCTTGCCCGACATCGTCGTCTATAACACCAGCCATTTGTAACAGCTGACGATCAACGCCTTTGCCGTCTTTTCTGATGTTAACTCCTGCTCGCCTTTCAGCTTCCTGCTTATCGAACTGCCAATCGCTTGCTTGTGTCACTCTTGCTTTTTGGCCGCCCATGCCAAACACTTCCATGCTAGCTGTTTCAAAGAAATATGCGAACTTTTCTCGTGTTCGACCCTTGCCAAATGTAGGGGCAGCTGGGAATGCATCTTGTACGTATGTGCCTTTCTGTAAGCTGTCATCCAACGTCAGTAGGAATGCGTTTTGTGGCGAGGGTGAGGTGGAGGTTCGGCTGCGCTGGTGTTGACTGGCAGGGGGTCCATTGTAGGAGGACGTGCCTCCAAATGCTATACCGAAATCTTTGTGGCAGTAAATATACTGTTGTCCCTTGCCTATTGGGCGATATATTTCATAATTGGGACCAAGCTCATAAACAAAGCATTCGGAACTGCCCCAATACTGCTTTGGCTGTTTCCATGGCTCTGGTATATATGCACCTAATAGCATACTCTTAGGTGTATTCAAAAGCTGAGCGGAAGAAGAGAATCGTCGCAAAGGTGAGCTTCCATGCTTCGGGGCCGAAGCTGATGATGATAATTCTTGATACGATGATGATAATGATAATGAGGATGTTGCCGTACCAATAGCTTCTACTTGCAGTATCAAAAGAGTGGGACCTGAACCAACAAAGCGTGAGAAAGACTCTATTGAGCTGATATATCGACTATACCACTAAACCTACCAGGGTATTTGAAGACGTGGGAGATAAAATTGTTCATGGCGTATCCGTCACTATCGGCGTTGTACAATAAATTCCATTGCTTTTGAGACATGGCATTTTCCGGGAGATTCCAGCTAATCATAGCAGCATACATGGTCGTTAGCAGTTCTGTTTTATCTGGTTTTGGCGTAACATCTGCGCTCATCACAATTTCAGATCGACTAGTGGAACTATGAACAGTAGGGTGTTCATACATTGCAAACTTGTTGTAGATAAAAGACTGTAAGCTCTTGAACAGGTTTGGGGCATTCTGATTCCTCCATTGTCGAAAATGTGACAGTGATATACAAGGCAAATCGGAATCATAATCTGTAGGAGGGATGCTAGATATACTAGCGACTATGTTGTCAGCCATTTTGATTTCTTCTTCACAAGAATTGTTGCCTTGAACAGGGTACGGTGTCTCTTCCCACTCCACTCTGACTATCCAAAGAAGAAATGCTAAGATAGTTGAGATATCTCGGCATAAAATTTGAACATTATTTTCATCTTCTTCATTGTCGTCTGCTTCGGTAGCGTCTTTGAGTTGATCGTCATCATCAAAGTTCACCCCGAGATCAGCTAAACTTAGCCCTCTGCTGGCTGCAGGTTTTATTTCGCTATCATCTTCCATTTGGGGTTCTTCTTGAGAAGCATTAGCTGGTACACCATCTGAGACCTCTCCTTTTATAGTTGCAGGTAGAACTGCAATTGATTCCAGAAAGAAATCCTCAAATTTGGCGCCGAGCGTTTGATCTTTTTCCAGCTTCCCAGTCATAATGACAAAGGCAGTAAGAAAACCATCCAAAGTTAACGGTATAGGACCAGCCTCATCACACTTTGGAAAGGATGCCAGATATGAAAAGGACTTAAACAGTAAAATACCAGCCGGTTCCACTGACGCAGGAAGCTCGAGTACATCCTGAGATACCACGGTAAGTTAGCGTTGGGAATAATCGCGCTCTCCGAGTGTAATCTTGCACGAATAGTTCAGGTACTTACCAGAAATTTCTTCAATTCGATGCACTCAAAGTTGTCTGAAAATGTTGTCTTTAAATCGTTGAATGCCGCATAAAGTGATCGCAACTCCCATTTCGAAAGCCGACTCTTGATATGCTTCAGGTCAGCTTTGGATCGAATGGATGACAAGGCTGACGGGGATACGGAGGTAAAAGAGTCATATAACTTTTGGGAATCTTCTTGGCTTGCGTCATGAACTCCTTGTGTCTTCAACGAGCTCTCATTTTGACCCATGTGAAAAAGACAGCTAGTAGCGTGAGGAAGTCGACGAATTTGGAACCACAAAAGTTGAAAAGCAATGGATCACGTGTTAATACCTTTCATTACTCTTTGTCTCATATGCCATAAATGTGGATAATAAAGTAGAGATAAAAAGCTTGTTTAAAATAACCTTCAAATGGATTCATCTTCAAACGGACTATATGAAAGCTGCGACAGATTTTATTATAGCATACTGCATTCAAGCAAGTGTACCTGGTCATAGCAATACAAGGTCTCGATACATCTTTACCGGGTATAGATGCATCATGGTATGGTATTATGGGTTACTTCTCTAGTCTGACGCAAAAAAAGGACATTCATACACATGGTATTTGTATGTACAAAGAAGGCTAAGCTATAGTACATACTCTGAAGAAGGATATTTATGTTGAATGGACAACACTAATCCTCTTGCTATGAACTCATATGGTTGTAAACCTGAAAACTGATTTATTTTTTGTGTTATGCCTGCTTACGAATGCTTACTACTGCTTATTCAAATTATCACTGATCCCATGCTTCATTAGGCTGCCTTTACAACGTATGCAGAGGCGAAAAATCTCGTCCCCAGCTGTTGGCCCGATTCTGCTTGCCGGAAATCTACAAATTGCATAATGAACTACCAAGATAGCAATCCGACAGTTGAAGATCGGCACAAAAGAACTTTAGGGAATAGGTGTCTCTGATAGACAGGTTGCCTCTCAAAGTAATTGTGGTGGTTGGGGCCACTTAAAAGACACAAGGACGTCTTGTTCACACTGAAAGTTATTATGCAAATACTGATGCTACTCAATGGAAGTAAGCTTACTCCAGTACGCATCAAAGTTAACAAAATTCTGCGCAAAGCTTTCGCATCGGGTTTGGAAGATGTTTAAAGCATAATCATACACCTTCAAAAAATTGCATTCCTTACCTCCCACAAAAGGAAATTTCTCAAATAATTCTCGTCCTTTGTTGTTTGCTGCTACAAGTACAATATTCCCGAGTTAACACTATTAATTTGCCAAGATACATGATACTAGCCTATTGGTAAAGCTGTTTCTATTCATCCTATTCTGGTCTCTTTTTTGCTTCTTGTTCGTCTTTTTCTAATTTATACGTTTCATTTTCATCTTCGCTTGGTCTACATAGAGCATCAGGATCAAACCTTGTTTTCATCATCCATTCTCCTGGATTTCCCCAACGTTGATAACTACTATCTTCTTTTTTATCGTACATTATGAGTGCACATGAATCCATACCTCAGCCGATGGCCTCTCCAGCACCACAGCGTAGATCCTTGAAAAAGAAGGCAGGACAACACCAACCTTCCGCAGGAACATTTACCCCTTTCACCTCTCCGTCAACAGGTAGACGGCGAAAGGACGTAGGTGATTACTGGCTGGGCCATACGCTCGGAAAAGGATCTTCGGGTATGCGATTATCACAACCAGTAGAAAAAGAAAGTATCACTGTATTGACTTTCTATTATAGGACGCGTCAAGCTTGGCATCCATAAGGAAACTGGTCAAAAAGTGGCAATCAAAATTATATCTAAGACTCATTTGGCATCCAATGGTTCGATAGAAAGAGCCGTCAAGAGGGAAATAGCTGTGATGAAGTTGATTGATCACCCAAATATCATATCACTTATCGACGTTATCGACCTGAGCGACTCGCCGAATCTGTAAGTCATATGAGGTCATGCGTCGAAATGTTGTTTGCATTTCTCATTAAACATATTTTTGTCTCGCCTCAAGGTATCTCGTTTTGGAATACGTTGAGGGCGGAGAATTGTTTGAGTACTTGGTATCCCAAGGCAGACTCTGCGAAAGTGAAGCCAGACGATATTTTCAACAAATTATATTTGGTCTTGAATTCTGCCATAGACATCTCATTTGGTTAGTATAAGTGCTGTATGATTTACGTTTCAAGAACTACTGTAATGCATGTTAACATTTGATATTAGTCACAGAGACTTGAAGCCAGAAAATTTACTTTTAGACGAGAACAAAAATATTAAGATTGCTGATTTTGGTATGGCATCCTTGCAGCCCACAGGAAGGATGTTGGAAACCAGTTGCGGGTGAGAACATATAGCAATGAAATGATGTACGAAATGGAATTTATCTGAATATACGTCTCATGCCATCTGATTTAGATCACCACATTATGCTAGTCCCGAGATTGTTGCTGTGAGTATTCGAACAATGGCAATTGACTAAATACAGTGTATTCATGTTGTCTGCTGAATATTTTTATTAGGGAATTCCCTATAATGGATCTGCATCTGATATTTGGTCTTGTGGGATCATCTTGTTTGCACTTCTTTGTGGACATCTACCCTTCGATGACGAAAATATTAGGCTATTGCTTACCAAAGTCAGTCATCGATATGAATGATATATTAATGTTAAGTACCAGTACTAACTCATCCCACCAAAGGTCAAAAATGGGAAATACAAGATTCCTGATCATGTCTCAAACCTTGCAAAAGATCTCATTGCCAAAATATTAGTGATTGACCCGAAAGACAGATATAAGGTAATGTGGTACCAGGCTCCCTTCCCCACAATGTTTTCAATCAACATTAACTGATATAGTGAAACTATAGATGGAAGACATACAGTCTCATTCTTGGTTTACAGTCGAGAAGCATTACGACTTGACTCTTCTTCCTCAGCCACCAGCACCAGAGGAGATCGGTATGCCGCTCAAAGCCTCTGCGCAGATGGACGAAAGGATACTGGAGACACTAAAAGTGCTATGGAGTGATCTATCGAAGCAGGATATTCTCAACGCTCTTCTTAGTAATGAGTAAGTACATTGACACTGTGCATAGAACTGTCCATATATCTAAAAACTGCATCTAAAAGGCACAATATGCAAAAAGTCACTTATGTATTGCTACAGCGGCGAGCCAATAAATATTGGGAGATTGGCCACCCAGACGACGATGTAGTACCCACCACACCAGCCAAACGAAGGCGTCCTGTAACAATATGCGCTGTTGGTCTTAACAGAAATTCCCTACCTGGTATCACTTCAGTAATGGCATCAGAAACAAAAAGCACTGCCTCACCGCAACAATCTACAATTCCAGCATTTGGCGGAATCGATACTGATGGTGAGCTGAGAGACACCTTAAAGAAGTTTGAGTTTATCGACAGCTCAATAGATCGAAATGATATTGATATGGACCTCCCACCTCCAGTTCCACCCAAACCTATTATAATACGTGCAGACCTCATATACAATCAGATCATGCAAAACATTGAGAACTCTGTCACTACGGCTAACAAGCATTCTAGCCTTCCGCCTACTGATCAGTAAGCTTGCCAGTTCATTGAATAATTTCTTGGGTATTTTTTCTAACCCGCCTGTCTATCTTAGCTTGACGTCGCCACTACCTACTGTAGCGCCTTCTCCATCACCTCGTCGACAATCGTTTGTGAACAGCATTGCTACCCCACGCTGCAATCGAAGTGTTTTTGGTGGATTCAACTCAAGCCAGGCTCCTCCAATACCAACACAACAACATTTGGGAGTTGAACATATGATCTCACCGCGTGCAAAGCAAGCCAGTAAATTTAGTTCGATCTCATCAAGAAATACTATAGAGTCGGGAAGAAGAGCTGTAGATAATAATGCAATTACCTCGCCAAGTGCTATTAATAATTCTGAGGACCACAGACGATTTAGCCGATCTCTACGACTGCTACAGCGAAACAAGGTGGATTCTACTAAAGCTACGAAAGCTTCACATCGATTTTCTATGCCAGCGCCCCAGACGAGGACAACGGACTATGATCAGAAAGCTAGCGCATATACCCCAACACTTGGTAAAAAAGAGTCAAAAGCTCATCTTGACGCAATTAATGGCCAACCGACAGCGGTCCATATTCAAGGCATTCTTGCCCAGGGTTCATCAAGCGAGCAAAGTTCTCTATCAGGGAATATGTCTCCATATCTTACCAGTCCCCGGTTATCTTCGTGGATACCTGGCCTATTCTACTTTAAGCAACCAAAGGTATGTTATGTGCATTCTTCGATCTTACGAGAATCTAACTAACAGAAAATATGAATCAGATATGTTCAATCGGCTGTGTCGCACGAGGTGAATTCGAAGCCATTGAGAAAGTGAAGAAGGTGGTGGAAGAGGTAAAAAGGTGAAAAGTGACGGACAGGTTGATGACAATATGATTGACATGATTATTTTCATTTTTCAAAAGCATATGGATGGACGCGTGAGTGTCCGAAGTGACAAAGACGGATTCCTACGCTGCAAAGGAGAGATGCGGTACCGTTCAGCTAGCAAGATCACCATCTTGAAATTTAAGATTCAAGTATTTTTACCCCCAAAAATTATATCCGATAGCTATATGGCTCGTATCGACTTTATTCAGCAGCAAGGTAAATAGTGTAGAGCCATTTGATCATCATCTAGACTTTCTGCTTGATTAATTAACTCACTTTTATCTTTAAAGGTGATGCTATGGCTCTTTCAGACGCTGTTGCAACCATCGGTCAGATACTAAGAAACTACGAGCTAGATGCTGATTTAATATCCACAGCTAACGGATGGCTGATGCGCCAGGATAGCCAACCAGTTGGGCATCAGCAAGTATATTAATTAACTGCTTTATAAACAGGCGTATGACTTCTTATGTTACAGTTTTAAGGATGATCTCCTTAGATGCACCCATGCAATACCCCACACCTTCATCAAACATGTATGCGAAACATGAATATATATGAATTTCATAAGGGTGATTTATGTTTTTTTATGCTTATTATAAAGCGCATCACTCCATTTTCCCACAAATAAAACACCAAGCCATTTAATGCCAGCGTATGGTGAAGGTGAAAATGCTCGCAAACGGCTATTGCAAGAACTCGCCATTGAAGCGGTGACATATTTTCCCTAAACTTTTCTGTATCCCTCAGTGGTGATTATTTACCAGGTGGAGGGAATCTACGTTTACCAATTAATTATAGTGTACCAGCATCTACATCTGCCATTTTGGCCTGACAATGGAAGTTTAAATACTCAAATATTATGATTTTAGTAGAACTTCCCTACCATTTCAAAGCAAAGGACGTTAAATGCAGCAGAAGCTAGCCGTGCACATCGTAATTCGAAAAAGCAGAAGGAGGATTGGATATATTGATGTTATGCGAGAGCGAATATCGATAGGTGATGTACCCAAACGCAGCCATAAAGTATATCTTATCTTCAATGCTCATTTAAAGATCCCGGCATTGATGGCTATAACAAATATAAAGGAGGAGAAGAAAGACAATCTGTTCTCGAGGATAATTATTACTTGACCTGCCAAATACAAATTTGAAACTCCTCGTATAAGCATTGGTTACTGAAAAAAAATTGGGAACCGAAGAAAAAAAAATTACTATAGCTTTTTCTGCACATAATGAAGATGACCGATTACTCAAACAAGGTGGTCCTAGCACCTATGGTAAGCGTCAGTCTACTGTTCTCTTTTCAAAAGCAAAATTTACATATAATGCCGCCATAAGGTCCGAATTAGCTCACTTCCATTGAGATTGCTGTCCTTGGAGTATGGAGCAGATTTAGTTTGGACAGAGGAAACAATCGACAAAAAGATCATTGGCTGCGAACGCCAAGTGAACCGTATGTAAAAGTTTCACAGAAGTTGCTTATGAGACCGATTGTTGTTTGCTCACAATAAGCTCTAGCTGCCACCGGTGTCATCGAATATAAAAAGAACAACAGACTGGTCTTCGCAACACATCCCGATGAGCGTAACCATGTGATATTCCAAATAGGCACAGCAGATCCAGATCTCGCCCTTCAAGCTGCTCTCACAGTGTGAGTTAGAACCTTATGAATGTCGTGCATGTTGATATAAAGGCAATTGGTGACTTACCAGATTTTACGCAGTAAGGATGATGTTGCCGGGATTGATGTCAACTGCGGCTGCCCCAAGAAGTTTTCTATCCACGCCGGTATGGGAGCCGCTTTATTATCTAACCAACCAGTGTTGAAAAAGGTAAGGTGTCGTCAAGTGGGAGTCAAGGTGGTAACAGGTCTAGTAACAGATTTAAAGATCCTCGAGAACTTGGTGCAAAACAGCGGACTGCCTGTCACCTGTAAAGTTCGCATTTTGGAAACCCCCGAGAAAACTAGAGAATTGGTAAAGATGATCGAAGGTACTGGAGTAAAGGCAATCACGGTTCACTGCAGGTATATACGTTTTCGACAAAATGAAAGTTGCTGATTGGCTGTTTCTAATCTTTGTTTCTAGAACGAAAGACATGAGATCATCTGAAAGGGCCAAATGGGATGCATTGAAGGATATTGTTGAAAATGTCAAAACCATCCCCGTGGTCGCAAATGGCGATGTATTTGAGTATGGGGATATTCAGAAATTGAAAGATCACACCAGTACGTATTGAGTCTCGATCTGATTATTGAAGACACCGTGATTTCTGATAGTCCATTTGTTATAGATGTCAGCTCAGCGATGATAGCTCGTGGCGCAGAGTACAATCCTTCTATTTTCCGGAAAGAAGGCAAACTTCCAGTGGTAGATGTTATTAAGGCGTATTTGAAAAAGGTGAGGACTGATACAGAGGCCATCTGTGAGGCTAAGATACTAATGCTGCTTTTTTGTCGCTGACAGTGTGTAGAGGTTAATAATTTGCCTCAAAATACGAAATACTGCATGCTCTCCATGGACAAGGAGAAGGGACATCATACCAGATCTGAAATATATGACAAGATGACGCACACCAAGTCTCATCCTTCATTTTGGTAAGAGACTTATTGTTTAAGGGTTATGATCACGTTCTGCGGTTCTAACGATCCATACAAAAAAATTGGTAGTAAACTTTTCGGAATGGAAGAATTCTATGAAAAGGAGATCGCGGAACAAGAGGCGCGAAAGAAAGCTGCTTCTCCACACGACGATAAAGTCAGCCAACCTCCCAAGAGAAAGCTCGAGGAGCAGGAAGATGATGCCTCCACCGAACGAGTGGTAAAACTGGCCAAAACAGAACAAGACAAGATTGAGCAGCCAATTCAAAAAGCCACTATCGAAGCATAAGTGTGATATTTCAGCATATTAGCATTGTAAACCATTCCCCACTGTAAAAAATAATAATGAGATCTACACTTTTCTTCGTCTGATTTTATGCATGTGTACTTTTAATGAGATAGACTCAAGACCAGCTTGGACTTTTGATATATCTTCCAAATGATCAATTTAACTGTTTTTGCTCAAAGTTCTGGTTCCATTTAAGAAGGTCATTGATATCCTTTACCCAATCAACACCTTCGTTGACCCGGTTGATGCAAGGCATGGGGTATTTTGACATGCGAACCTAACGCAAATGTTGAGTATCCACAGAGTAACGAGGATAATGGCATTGTTAATGTGATTACCTGGAGATATTCCCCTCTTTCCAGCATATAAATCTCTCGTCCATCCATAGATACCTCCACTGGGCTTTTGCTACTTTCACCAATCTATATAATTGTTTTGTTAATATAAGTCTTCACAGAGTGTGCAAGCACATCGTTAACGAAGTTAAAAGGCTCACCTTTAATTGAACTCTGGAGCTTGTTGGCAGTAATACAGTTCGAAATGATAACGACCGTGGACAAATAGGGGTAATAACAAGCGTATCTACGGCTGGATGAACAATGGGGCCACCAGCGGATAGAGAATACGCTGTGGACCCAGTTGGGGTTGATATGATCAGGCCGTCCGCTATGGCATCAGTCAAATACTGACCGTCCACGAAACACTCTATCGCCGTCAGGTGAGGTGATCTGCCCCTATGCAGAGTTAGTTCGTTCATGACTTGCCTATCACCTAAGTCAAACATAATGTGTCACATATAGGATTTTAATTCCTGATCATCCATTCAATGTCTTCTTACATATTTCGACTCCGTCGCGAACAAGTCGTTCTCCATTCGGAAGGTGCAAGGAACAAAACAATCGCATTCGCAGCAGCAAAGATAAATCATTTTTGTTTTCCACAACCTCAGATAAAACGGATCTGTAGTTTCGGATGTCTTTCCATTCAGCGTTAGATAACATTATTATTTGCCCGCTTTCATTGTCTGATATGACATAACATACCGAAAGGCATTAAGAATCCCAGCGTTCCCATTGAAAAAGATAGCACCGGAGGGGCAGCCTTTGGAAACAGTGAAGATACATGAAGCATGGTGCCATCGCCTCCCAATGTGATAGCAAAGTCCACCACTCTCGAATATTCAGCTTTATGATCTACGACCATAGAAATGCAAAGGATTTCGTCAATGCATATCTTAGTCGATGCACAAATATGTCAAACTTACCGTTGGGTATGACAAACACGAAAGGAAGCTTCTCTCGGAAATGCTCTGCAACCGCTGACTCTACTACAATGTTGAGGTCTGGGTATTCCTCATGTAGCCAGCTGTACAGTGTGTGGTCAATTGCCATCCCGCGTCTGATACAGATAATCTGATTTTTCATTTCAATGGCCGTCCATACCTTGCAACATCCACAAGTGCCGCTTCTGTCTTGCTGTCGTTTGGCTTCTTTATAATCAACACTGTTCTAGGCCGCTGACGCCACGAGAGCAGAAAGTTACCGCTACTCATTAAATTAGCTGTTAGCATCTTTCTTAATCAAATTCTAAATATCGCGGTTATCGTACCCATGTGGATCACCCGGCAATTGTAATATCCTTGATATATCTCTAGTTTTAGTCAATACTGGTACAAACGTGTTTCCAGAATCTAATATTTTATGTTAGCATTTCGCCATTTCATAAGAATTTGCAAATGGTTGGAATCAATGGTCACCAAAGGTTAACTCCTTCCGTTTAAGCTGGACGTCGAGCTTGGTAGGCAGTTGTGTACTTTCTCTTAGACCAGTAGTATTGTAGTAGCGTGCATAAGAGAGCCAACTTTGGCAACGTATACGTGTTGTCGTCTGTACATTGCAGAGTATAGATCTCTGCATGAGTTTATTAAGCATGAGTACGAAATGCAATAAATAAGAAAAAATGGCTATTCAAGCTGTAAGTTGTTAAATTTTCGACAAGTTCAAACGCAGTTCGTTAGCCCATGCTGTTGAGCGTTTCCATGTCAGGAACAGCGCCATGGGCCATTAATATATCGGCAACCCTCATCTTTCCTCTCTTCACACACTCCTTGAGCGTTAGGGTATCTGGTGTCATCTTCAAGTCATCTAGGAGGTATTCTATCATAGTGTAGTTCTCTCGTACAGCTGCACTTCGGAGAGCAAGGCATTTGCGAGCATAAGGATCGGCGCCGTGTGTAATAAGTAGCTTGACTAATTTGAGGTGCCCGAGTTGGCACGATTTTACAATCGGAAAGCCATCTGGCAAAGTACTTGAGCAGCCTCTCTTTAGGAGTTCCTCGATAAGTTGGTAGGAGTCGTCTGGCAAGGTTTGTTGTGCGAATAAAACACTTGGTATGCGCCGACCTTTCATGGCAATTTCTGAGCCGTTGACTTTGTCAAGCCTTTCCAGAGTAGCCTGATTAAAAAATCGAAATCTGGGTCCTTGTATAGCGGCTTCAATTGGGTTATTGTTGTACTTCTCCAGCAACCAGTCCACTTTGGTCCCGATAGAGGAGCGGCTTAAGTTTACATACAGTTTTCTTGATACCAAGGGTAAATCATTATTTGCTGACAAAATAAATATGCATGTTAGAATTTCATGAGGAAGGCTGTCCAATGTTGCCTGTCCAAACATTAAATCGTAATGGACATCCTCTTTCTCGAGTGAGATGTCGAAATTGGAACTTTTTTCTGAACTAGCAAATTCATCCGAATTGTGACTTGCAATTTTTGTCTCCAACCTTTTTTTTTTTTTTTCGGGAGTCGAGATCAAATTGGATTTAGATTCGCTACTAGTCATGAACGGCACATCGAACAAACGATCAAGAGAAGACGAGAGCAACAGCGATTCTGAGCAGCCAACTCAGTATCAGAACAGCCGTATCAAGGTTGGTCAGACTCGAAATGTCGACGCTAGTTTGGTACCCCAGGCTCCCAAAGTGCCAAAGACCATGACTCAGAAAGAGAACAGCCGCCGCCTCATAGTAGTGCTTGAACAGGCTACCCTCGAAGCTTTCAAAGTTGGAAAAGACAAAGACGCTCGCTTCCAGCTTTTGAATGCTGATGATCACGTTAACATTTTGAAGAAGAATGGCCGTGAAACGTACGAGGCTCGACCTGATATTACTCACCAGGTAAGCAGTTATTGCTGAGTGCAACGAGCGGTAAAGCATGATACTGATTTTGCTCTTGAATAGTGCTTGTTGACCCTTCTCGACAGTCCGTTGAACAAGGCAGGCCTGTTGCAGGTTTATATCCATACGCAGAAGAAGGTTCTTATTGAAGTCAACCCGCATATCAGAATACCCAGAACATTCAAGCGTTTTTCTGGACTGATGGGTAAGTTTACGTTCAACATATGCAAAATAGCAAGTGAATGCAATGGGAATTAATATATAGGTATTGTTTTTCACCAGTTCAATTGCTGCACAAGTTGAGCATTCGAAGTGTCAATGGCACTGAAAAGCTTTTGCGTGTGATCAAGAACCCAATTACCGATCATTTGCCTACAAACGCTCATAAGATCTCACTTTCATGGGATGCACCCACAGTTCGACTTTCAGAATACCTTCCAAAAATCCCAGAAGATCAAAGCATTGTTGTGGCAGTAGGTGCTATGGCTCACGGCACAGATGATTTTGCCGACAGCTATGTAGACGAGAAGATTGGTGTTTCTGAATACTCATTGTCGGCTTCGGTTGCATGTGGTAAAATAGCTTGCGCTGTTGAGGATCTGTGGGGAATCTTGTAAATATTCACAGAACATCGCGGATGTCGCACAACCTTCTTAATTGTTCTCTCTTCCCATATACTACCTTATCCCTTCATTCCACTGTTTTTTACATTCACCCGGTATCTTGTTTGTAAAATGCTATAGATCTCACACAATTCCTATTTGCAATATAAAGCGCATCGCAATTTTCCTCTTTTATTTTCCATATTGATTGAGCGGAAACAGGAAGGCTCTGTTGATAATTACATCTGGATTGAGGTTGTTTTAATTTTTTCATTTTCCAGCTTCTTCTGTCTGCTCGTCACTACTTTTGAACAAGGCTTCAGCTTCAGCTTGTTTTGATGCCTTATCATCGTCGCTTAGATCACGGGCCCAGCCCATGGGCGATTCTAACCATGCTTGGAACTTTTCAGTGCGTTTTATGCTGTCAGTCTTTTGAGACGTCTTGTGTGGTCTTACAAATACATCCTCTGAGCCAATGATATAGAACATATGGTATGTATTGCGACAAATCTTGTACTGCATGCCAGATTGAACAAAGGCTTTGCTAAGTTGTTCAAGTTTGACGTTTGGACGCACGTTCCTAGTCCATGCGAGATAATTAGCATATAATAAACCAAATAGCAAGAGACACCTTTATGACCTATACCTTTTCAAATATGGTTGTCGTAGCTTATTGTAATCAACGCCTTCGGTGTCTTTGATCCAATCCATGTAACTAGCGACATAGCTTTCATAACGATCTTCTGCATTGGTGTCATCGTTCATATCATCTTTACCCAGCAGCTGGATGGTCAAAATTCGCTTGTTGGCGTCCTAAATACTCTGATTTAGTATCTAGATCCAGTAAAGTAATTCATATACCCCCAATTATATACTTACAAAGTTTGCTTGATAGATATTCTCGTCTTTGCCAACAAGCTCTTCTGCATACTTATTGTAATCATACACAGACTTGGTGGTGGCCAAATCAAAAAGGCGATCACCAGACAACAACGCGGTGGAAATTTCATCGGTTACAAGGGTATGAATTTGCTTTGCAAGGATGTGTACAAGTTTGTCGATGGTGAAAACAAGATAAGCTTTGGTTCCAAAGATGTGGCGTGAGCATTCTTCAAATGACTGCTGATCAACATCGCCTTCGAAGAACTTGTCAATTAAATCCAAAAGCGTTTCGTAGTAGCCTTGAGAGAAATCCAAATCAATTGCTGCAAGCCAATGGCGTTAGGTTCATACATTTTACACAGAACGGATTCTTTTTTCCATGTTTCCTTACATTCGAGGCGAGCACTAGACACACCCAGTTCAATGGCCGCTCTATTCTCCTTCTTAGCTTTCTCAGGGTCCGCTTTGAACTCGGCGTCGATTTTTTTCATGCTGCCAAGGCGTTGATAAGCCAACTAATGACACAAAGAGTCAGAAACAGGGTGTCTATGTAGGCCATGAAACTAAAAAGTACATCTCACTCACCTGGTATAATCTTAAGAAGCAATAAAATGGATTGTTTCCAAATATACTTAGAACTTTGAGCTGCTCAACAACTGGAGCTGTAGCTGCTGCGGCTGCATTCAATACTTGATCTTCAGAAGTTTCCTCCTGCGCATTTGGTACTGGATCAGCCTGAGGTTCGCTCTTGGCTTTTTCAACCGGTTCTGTTGGAGCTACTTGAGCCTCCTCCATTTGAACGTCAGTGGAGTCTTCTTCTTCCTCTTCTTCCTCATCCTCAGCCTTAACATCCGCCTCATCTTCTGTAGCCTCCTTTTCGGTAGTTTCAGGGGATTGCGTTCGTCCAGCATGTCTCCTTCGCCTGGTTGCATCTTTCAAAAGACCCTTACTGTTCGATTTGCGGTTATAGTTTTGCCGCCGGCGAGCTGAGCCTCTGCCAGTCGTGGATGCATCAGAATCGTCCGATATAACAGACTGAGAATCCTTTTCATCAGCCATGGCTTCATCCTCATCTTCGACCATAGCCTTTTTGTTCAAATCAGGATTGACATTCTCCACATCGAAAAAGTGAGAAACAAATGAAGTGGAGAACTCTCGGATCTTGTTGCAATCGCTGTTGGATATACCAGTTTGTCGGTCCAAATATGAAAAGATGAGGCGGGTCACATCTGAGAATAGAGCCTTATCGGGGAAATTGTATCGAAACTGGTGATGGAATAGGCCAGAGGGCTTAATCGAGGGTATGGACTTGCTTCGTAACATTTTTTCAGATTGCTCGCGCTTCAATGTTTCGGCCTCAGTAATCAAAGCTTTAGAAGTGATCGATTTTCGGTCAAGCGCCTTGAAGTTGATACCAAGGTAGTCTAATGCTTTATAATAATTTTTGGCATCGACTTCTCGCCAAATCTTGTTCCACTCACGCTATTAGCGGAAAAAAGGAAGACAGGTGTGAGCAAACAATACGTTGTAAGCTTGTTCAATATGCATATACGACTTCAAATTCCAGACATACCTGAGCTCGTTTCCACTCTTCATCCTTTTGTCGTAATCTCTTCAGCACAATTGGTACCACTTGTGCTGGATTCTCATGCAAAAGCTCTATGATCTCCAAGCCACGCTCATGACCATATATCTTTTTTATGATTCGTTGGTATATGGTCTTTGAAGGTCCTCCGAGGCCAAGCGGCAGTTTAAACTCGGCTTTTTCTTCGTTTGCCATGATGGATATTTTCTTTGCAATGGGATCCAGCAGTGCTATAGTGTTCAAGTTTGCTTCGATGTTGAGGTCATAGTCGTACCTAGAACACCAATATGTTAGCCTTACTTTGTTCGTATCATATTACAAGTTAATATGTGATTATGGTACGAACCTTTCTTCTTCACAACGATGGAGAGCTTCTTCGTATTGGTTTTTCTTGGATGAAACAAATCCGCTATCCTCGCTAGACCATGTGGGATGCGACACAAATTCATCATTGAGTACTTCCCGACATAAAGCATCTCTGCCTGAGCACGCCTCATTTTGAAGCTAATCATTTCATAAGTCAGCTGATGAGAAATTGGTAATTTGATCTGGACATGACACTTACAGAGTTGGGTATCAGTCGGTAGCTTTGGCCATAGGACTTGCTTTGCACATAATCTGGCTTGGATGCCGTTGCGGGGATATTCTCAACTATTTCATCCTTTCCGTTATAACCAACAAAATCTTTAAACCATTTGAAGAGCTTCTTGTCGTTTCCAATAAACGATTGCACTCGTTCCACTAGTGTGTTTTGATCCACAATTTGCTGGCTAAATAAATTGAGGACTTTCAAGAACTCATTGTAAGTGGACTTATTGTTGATGTGCTTTTTGACTCTTTCAAAGAATTCGGTTTCTTGCGCAGACATGGATGGCTGTTTGGGCTCAATTATTCCAAAAGACTCGTCGCGGGCGGAAGAAATTTCGCTGTAGTCAGTCTTATGATGCTGCTTTGATCGCTTTACGCCCTGTATGACCAGAAAAATCAGTCGTCATTCAGGTAAATGGCAACAATCACACACCGTTTTTCAACACATACCTTTGCCACATCCGCACCATTTTCCAACGTATTTCTCTTCTTCCTACCAATCAATACACCTTTCTTTCCTCCTCGTACAGACGCAGTGTCATCAAAGAAGAAGGAGGATGCCGGTTGACCGGTGACTTCAGGTAGGAACTGCTTAAATTCGGAAAGTAGATCAGTGGCATCCTTGAATAGGATTTGAACCTGAGCATACACCTGAGAGAAGACACCACCACCAATGTTAGTTCTAATTGAAACAACCTTTGTTTGCATATCAATCAAGCATTCTGTCTTACCTCTTGTATAGGCTTTTGCTCTTTTTGGTATGTTTGAAGTATTTCCAAAAATTGCTTGTAGGTATCAGGATCATTTCCAAACCTGTTTTTGATCTTGTTGACATAATTAATTGCATGATTAAATTCGACTGGTGCTCGTCGATTGTCGGGAGGAAGCTGATCTTGTTGGCCAGGTCCGGGATGTGGTCCGGCTTCTTCGTGGTATTGCGGCATGCCATGATGTGCGATGGAGGTAGGGTGAGTAGCAGGTTCGTACGTGTTACCATAGTATGATGGTGATCCATTAGAGGTTTGTCCTTCGCGGCTCAGCTGAAGCAATGCTCCACCTTTTGTCGTTGTCGTACCAGTGGGAGTGGTGACTTTAATCACGTCTTGATCATTGATATCCAAAGAGCACTCGATTCGGTATCCAGGTGGCAAAAATGTGTTAAAGCCAGAAATTAAGGTTGGGTGACCACGGAATAAAGTAGAAACCCGCTCAATAACCCCGGGAGTATCGATGCTTAATATATGAATTAGTTGTCGGTGATGCTAAAATGGGTGTGGGAATTTCATGACACTTACGCTTGACTTTTGAAATCTTTCATGATATCCAGGAACTTATTGTAGACGTCGGGTTGATCTGAAAACTGGACCTTGACTTGATCAAGGTAAGTCAACGCATCCCTAACATTCAAAGGTCGGTAAGTCCCACTTGACTGAGAAGACGAACTTTGTTCCGATGTCTGAATTGATGATTTCGCCGCAGTTGTGTCCTGGGGTAATACTTCCGGAATTTCTTCTTGCTTTGGTTGCCATGGTGCAGCGTCTTGTGTGGGTGTATATGGATGGCTATGTACTTCCTCTACTGGTACCTGCGGATCAGTATCCATAGGCTGAGCTCCTCCATCATTATCTTCGTTCACGTCTTCAGTCATAGGGGAAGATTCTGAAGGAGGATCTATTGATGGCAAGTTTCCGGAATCTGGTACCTGTGGTTCGACTTCTGTTGATTCCGTGTGATGACTGCCATTAGCCAAGTCATTAGAAGCAGGTACTGATTCTTGCCGTTCGCTTTCAGGTAACGCCTGAGCTTCGACTGCAGGTGTCTTATCTTCCTTAATTTCTTCTTGTATATCAGCATGAGACGGCGATGTGGTTGATGGAATTGAATTGGGATTCGCGTCTGACACAGATTCCATCTGATGTCCAGCAGTCACCGCACTGTTAAATAAAAAGAGTGAGCACAAAACATTATCGATAGAGGTCTGTAAGCACGTAAAGATACAATTATTTACCTTTCAACAGGAGAGCCTGCTTGAGTGGTTGGCTGTGGAGGCGCATTATTTGTAGACATGTTGCTCTTTCAGTTCAGGATGCTGATGTCAACTGTTGTTTCAGAGGGGGCGAGTGTTAGTATCGCGTTTTAAGGCTGACAATGGAAAGTAGAGCAAGTAATTGACGAGGCTATTGAAAATCTTTCTATTCTTCAGATATGGTCTGAAGTCCATGCAGGGAGTACCTACCACGTTTGTACCAGCGAGTCTGCAATGCGAGAACAACGGAACAACACTGTCGGCTGCTGAAATGGCTTCTGTGGAAGACCTTCTTCCGTTCAACGGCCCTACGTCACGCCATGAGCAAACGTTATTTTTAAGTATGTAAAGCGGAGTTTTCCAGCGCAGTAACATTTGATCGAATAATGGAGAAGTACTCCTGGACATTGTCATATTGCAAAAACCCCTTTGTTATAAGTTCGCCATACTATCTACGTATTCATATTTATACTTGATTTAAAAAAAATTTCAACCGACTACATTTCAAAAAGTTACTTTGCTGTCGAAAGAATTGGAAGTGATCCTATAAGGAGCAGCAAGCCCGTTTGTAGGTTAAAACGAGGCTAGGAGAACATAATAGGCAAAGTTAAGCAATGAGAAATTAGACAATATGGAGACAAGTTTTCATTGAAACATCTTTTTAATTGACCTTGACTATCCATTATGGCAATATGGTGGTATTGCAGGACGAACAACAAAATTTCAGAGCTCAATGTTTGGGTTCTGCACGGTGTGAGACTGGTAATCCCAACGTAAAAAAGACCTTTAAATCAGCATTACTTCCAATACATCTACACTGACATTTACAAAGCTATTATAACAATGAACAAGATATATCTTCTTCGGTTAAATTGATCCAGTCACTACAGCATGTCGGCCGATCGTCGCACGATCCTCTGCACTTTCTTTTTGAAAGTGGGGTAATCCTCACGCCACTCTTTCTGTAAAACAACGCATGCATTAGGGTGAAGTATACTTATATATCCAGAGATTAAGATGGTTCTTACAGCGGCCTCGATGTTGGCAGGAGATTCGTCATTTGGGCTCGACAGCATGGATATCACAGATATTAATATGGTTTCAACGGTATGCACTGGTGACCAGCGTTCGCTAGCTTTCTCATAGCCATACTTGTCATCGCCAGGAGGATGCTGTTATAAAATGTTAGCATCGAGTTTCCAGAGTACCGCGATGAGTAAGCACTGAACGTCTTACCAATATGGATATGCAGACAGTCCCATCAGGATAGACTAGTTGAGGGGTGAATTGGATCAAGGTTGGTATGGTGTAGATAAAGTGATGCTTCGAATTGATTTATACATACCATTAGGATGGTACATGTCGCTTACAAACTTCATAGTTGGGGGCATCATTGGATATGTCTATGTTCATTTTGGTATGAGTTGCAATGTTTGATTACCAATACAACGACGGGTGATGATCCTTACCGATGGAAAAATGAGATGTGCCTTGAAAAAGCCGCCTTCGCTATAAACCGAATAAGCAAACAATCAATGGCATGTCAAACAGGGTTATACATTATTCTTGCTTTACTTACTATATGGTATCTGGGGTTCCGATAACCAGTACCTCCCACTAGACGATGCAAACGAGGTATGAATTTCCGGAACGACAAGGCACAAATAGTTTCAATGGGTCCATACCTCATATATGTTATTGTCGCTAATGAGTCCGGCAGAAAAGCCTTCGACTGGATTCTTTGTTAAGTCTAATTAGGGGGGCAAGATTTACCAGGTTTGATAGACAATGTGAATTGCAGCAGAAGTTACGTGTTCGGTAAGTGAATAAGTGTAGTGGTGATCATGAATCCTGGGTATAGGAAGGCATAAGTACCTCTCAATTGTCTTCGTAAGAGCAATGCTCCTTGTTCACTCGCCATTATTTAGTACAAATCGTGAGTAATGTTCAAAGATATCGGCGCAGACATAAAAGAGCTGAGTTCATTATGCCAGGTCACAGATGCTCATTGAAAGCCCGCACTTGGGTGGTGAGAGAGGAAACAACTTTATTTTAATTTTTTGACATATTATTCATCGTCGCCGAAGTCTTCTTCCTCTTGTTCGTAGTATTCACCTTCTTCATAGTCTCCACTATCATCTCCTACTTCAATCGACACAATGCCATTCATTATGATATATCCAAGGAATAGAGTTACTGCACCGGCAATGGACCATATCCGCTTGCGTTCAAAGTCTAATTGAGCGTCACTCTTCTTTTCCTCCTTCTTCTCCTCTCCTGATTGACCAATGATATTAGACTTAATAGAAGAAAAGAACTCTACGGGACTGTTGGTAAAGCTTTTCCATAGAGTAGGTATTTCCGAAGCGGATTCAGATTGAGGGAGTGGCTCAGCAAAATATGCCTTCTTGAAGCGATCACAGAACAATGAAAGGCGTGGATATTCCGTAGTCAGAATGATGCGAAGACGGTGATGTGGGAGCATAGGATACATGTGAAGTGACAAATATCCGAATGCCAAACAATCGAGAGTTGACGGTCTATCAAGATGGGTTATGTTAAGAGTACAGCAAAAACGTACAATGAAATAAGTGTCATTGAAACTTACTCGTCGCCAAAAAAGTAATCCTTTTCTCCTAACTTAGCATCCAAAACTTTGTAGGTGTCGCGAGCAAGGGTGTACATCTAAATCAAAAATATGATTAGATGCCTTTTCTCCAATAACTAATGAAATATGATACTTACATGATGCCAACCGGTTTCCATAAGCTTCTTAAGGTCGTCGGTTTCTGAAGTAGCCAATGGACTATCGTCATCGTCTTTGATCTCGACCTCATATTTTTCTAACCTTGCCTTCGCGTTGTTTCGTAATCGAATAGGTACAAAATAACGGGTTGGAAAAGGTAATAATTTCGCATAGGTGGGGCGTATAGTCTTGACGAAGTTGGTTTGATCAGCGTACCAAGTGAATAGCTGTTGCATAAACCCTGGTTACTACATTGTTGATGCACATTTGAGGTGGCTTTCTTAGCCTACACCTACCATGCAGTCATATAATTTCTCTTCTATCAGTGAAATATACCTACAGAAAAAGTTTGGGTTATAAACGTGTGCATAGATAAGTAAGAGCTGCCGAGATACTTACGCCAGCGAATCTGCGACTTGTTCAGCAGAGAGTGATGCATTGCCGTCATGACCCTTCTTTGAGAGGTGTGAAAGAATTCGGCTTGCTCCAGCAACCCATACTGGGCCGTCTTTTAAAAGCGGCAGTTGTCCTGGGAAATGGGGTGTAAGTAAAAGTTGTTGGCAAGCGCAAGTCAGAATTGTGTGCGGCTACCAGTTGGGCTAAGCTGTGGGTCATTGGCGTAGACAACCGTAAAATTGGCATTGGTTGCTCGTAAATATGCTTCCACTGCTACACAGGAAGGATCGATAGAGGGAACGTCTAGAGCCGGACCCCAAACGTAGAGTTGAAGAGCCATGGTTTTCAGTCAAGAATCGCAAGCGTGTTTGCCGGGAAGCAAATGCCTTTGCTGTTGTGACTGTTTCAAAACCGCCAGCTGAAATGACACATTTTGAAATAACGGGGAAAAAGTCGCAAACGGTATCATAAGCCAATTCAAGACCAACAAAGGCTATGCATTCAATACGATGTCAGTATTTTTTATCACTATCACTCGCTTTTTGAAAACTGATTTTAACATGTTGCGTGCGGTTTGTAGATTCTGTGATTCGAAATGTGCGAAAATACTCCACTACAAAGCTACCAACCTACGACTCATGTTGCCTTGTAAGTCAACAAGGAGAAATGAAATAATTAATTACATACGAATTATATATAAACGTATATGTCTTTTTCACAGCCAAAGGAACCCAGTTGGTCGATCAAGACCTTGACGGAAGAGTCGGGAGGCAAAGACGCGCCGGAAGAAATTACTATGGACAGATTGCGCCACTTGCATAAACTAGCACAACTGAACATACCAGAAAATGCAGAGCAAGTCGAAGAACTGAAAGAAGATATTAATAGCATCGCTCACTTTATGAAAAAAGTTAGAAAAGCCGACATACCCGCCAGCACAGAACCATTAGTCAGTTTGTGGCAGGACCAGATTGGTCAAACTTTGCGACCAGATGTACCCACTTACACAAAAGATGAAGTCCGGGGAAGGGAGCTTCTTAAAAATGCAAAGAAAACAAGTGGACATTTCTATGTAGCAAGATCAAACGTAGCATTAACGGAGCAATGAAGAAAAAATAAACTGAGGGGATTTTTTATGCAAATGGGAGGGGTGTTCACCTTTATTCTCTAACATTGAATTTAAACATGACAAAACAGAAATGTGGGGGGCAAATTGTCAGATATACGATCACTTCTACTGTATAACAGATCTTGTACGTTTTGTCTCAATAAAGTGACTTTACTCTGCAGGGGCAGTGGTACCTTCAACTGCGGATCCATCCTGTCGCTTCTTATCCAAATCTTCCTTTGTCTTAGCCTCAAGATCTCTGATATCTTGAATGCTCATACCATACCAGCTATCGGTCCAGCAGAACAATTGTCTTATGAAAGTAAAGCAAGTTAGCATCAAATACCCCGTATACAACATACATGAACAAGGAGGCGGTTACAAACCTGTGGAACTTAAGGAACAAGTTGTGAACAGTCTTGGCAATGAAAGACTCAACACGAGATTGCAAACCGAACCACTTGAATTCAATGTACACCAACTTGTAACAGGTCATAACAGGTTCGACCTTCTTGATCCATTGAGGATCATTCAGAGGACCACGACCGGTCTTCTCTGAGTGGTATAGCTTAGGGTCTTCTTCAGGCTTGTAGTCCTTGGAATCGACCTTGTCGTTTGCAACATCGATCAAGATGACTTCACGCTTCTTGAGGTCTGATTTTGTACGACAACGTCATTAGTGTTCAAGGCAGAATTTACCACCACGTCGGATTACAGGCTACGGCCAACATGGCTCATTGCCACATAAGGGAATCAGGCTTACCAGCTTCGGAAATCTTTAATGCGTTGTCAAGCTCACCGCGTGATCCATCAACGTGGAGAGTTTCATATACAATGGAGAAGGCATCCTTCATCCAGCCGTTTCTAAGAACAGTCTTGCATCGGGGATAGGCGTTCCATGCTCTAGAGAAAAAGAAAAGAAAAAGAGTTAACATATGGCGACCAATGTTTTGATTTTATGGGCCGCGCCTGGCTACTCTAACAAACACCATGGTCGTGTGGTATCTATGTTTACCGGATACATAGCCACCGACGTCCCGATGTTTAGAAGGTGATCAAGCCGGGCAAATAGTGAGACAGTATGGCGTAAAAAAAATGAATGGGGTTCAACTTACTCTTCGTACATGTCAAGTGATCCAGCTGGGGCAATAGCACGCACAAATGATGGAACACGGGAAGCCAAGCGGAAGATCTTGTATGTATACTGGCCCTTTTCACCATCTTCCTTTTCATAGGGCTCATTCTTCAAAACCTCAACACCTTCACCACCACCAGTGTTTTCTTTGGATGCTTGAGCAGTTGCATACAGTTGAGCTGTGTACAGTTGAGGTTAGATAAGTAGACGATGGCGGTATTCTGGGCGAATCAAGCTAGTGCTGATCGCGCTGTGAATGAAAATCATCTATGTGGATCTAGCTGATCGATTGAACCTACCAACTTGATACTCTTCTTCTGTACAGTTGTTGACGACACGGAATTCTTGGATAATCATTTTTAGATGAGAAAAAGTGCCAAAGCAGGAAACCTTTCGGTCAGTTTTTTATTGCCATGGATTTTTTTGGCAGTTTGAGAGCGTGGCGACGTCACAATACCGGCGGGTGAACGGTCATTCAAAAAACAATTTAAATTCCGGCAGACGGCGAAATGTGCCGGTGCCAGCAAACGCCATTGTGATGGAAGAGTGTTTATGATAACAGCAGCAGCATACTAAATTTTTTATTGTAAATGCAAACATATCACTTTATATTCTTTTCACTGTCTGGAGGAGACAGGCCTTTCTTCCTGGTTTACTGAAACCTATTTTTTTTCTTTCTTCTTTTTACATTTGGATGACAGTTTGTCTAGTTGCTGCCAAGCACTTTGGCGACTGCATCAGAAGCGGCCTTCAAAGCCTTTTTGGGGAAGCTGGAAGGTGCGTCAAGAGTCTTGGCAGGTGCGCCCTTGTTATCTTCAGCTTTGGAAGCCATAGAGGTAGCTTTACCATCTGGAACGTGGATGAACTTAGCAGGTGAGCTGTCGGTTGCAACGGCATCAACACAGTAGTATCCCTTTCGCTCAAATTGCATGATATCACCGTGCTTCAAATCCTTAACGTTGGCATCGGCATATGCAGCATCCTTGAACTCAGTGACAGGTGTGATGAAATCGGTAATTTCATCACCCTCTTCCAACTTCTTCTTGGTGAGCAAGTAGTCATAATCGAGAAGGATAACATCGACGAGTTCATCTCCGTAAGATAACCAAGTGACCTTCTTCTTAGTCTTTTTGAAGTCTCCTTCCAGATGAAGGTCCAGTTCAACAGCGGTTACCTTACCGGACTCGTCCTTCTTGATATCACGGACAAAAGCATTACCCCAGTCCATCAAAGTGATCTCCTCATTGAGCTCGAAGCTGGCAGCGTCCTCTTGTTCCAAGATGATGTGATCGGATAGAGTGGTTTTCTTGCTGCCAAGTTCAGGGTTCTTCTTATGCTTTGGTCTATCTTCTACAACAGCCTGGCTAGGAGCTCCATTGACCTTGCATTTGACAGCATTCTCCTTAGCAATAGCAGTATGACGAGGAGCGATGGGGTCAATGACCTTCTTGTTCAAGGACCAAAGCTTGTCCCATTCAAGAGTCAAAATGTTTTGGGAAGCACCTTGCATGATGATATATTGCTTGAGTGCCTCGATGGTCATACCACGACGGCGAATACCTGGTAAATCAGAATGAGGTTAAATATGGTTGTACCACGCCATATGAACGACGACAGTTTAGAAAAAAAAAAGAGAAGGACTAACCTCGGACAGTAGGGAAACGGGGATCATCCCATCCAGTGACCAAGCCTTGATCGACGAACCATTGAAGCTTTCGCTTGGAAAGAAGAGTATAAACGAAGTTAATTCTGCTAAAGTCCCAGATGACAGGTTTGCGCAACTTCAAGGCATCCAACATCCAGTAGTATTGAGGGTTACGATCACGGTATTCGTTGGTTCTAAGAGCATGGGTGACGCCTTCGATACTGTCTACGATGGGGCATGCAAAATCATAAGTGGGATAAACCTTGTATTTATCGCCAGTGTAGTGGTGAGGTGTGACGTTGACACGGTAGATGACAGGATCGCGCATAGCCTTATTAGGGTTGTCGACACTGATCTTAGCTCTCAAACAGCAGGTCATACCCTAAAAAACATACAATGTTTAATATACTTAGTTCACTCTCGACCATTAAAAACATTGTGTTAACTTACAAACTCGGTGGCATTCTTCATCTCCTCGAAGCGGCGCAAATTCTCCTCGATTGGCAGATCGCGACTCTTGGATGCGATACCATTCATACGTTGGTCACGCATAGTAGCTTGGTCGGTATCATCGACATATGCATCTCCAGAGTTGATGATTTGAAGAGCCAAGTCGTAAATTTTGTCAAAGTAGTCAGAGGTGTGTGTAACGACATCTCCCTTGATGCCAATGAGTGCCAAATCCTCCTTAATGGATTCCTCAAACTCGACCTTCTCCTTGGAAGGGTTGGTGTCATCAAACCGAATGATCAATTTACCCTTGTATTGCTGGGCAAAGTACTGGTTCAACAAAGCAGCCTTTGCGTGTCCAATATGCAGATAACCACTTGGCTCGGGAGGGAAACGAGTGACAACGCTACCCATATGAGCATCATCCAAGCCGATCTCCAACTTTCCTTGGTCGGAAGCCTTAGCCTATGTATATCGATTAAAAAATCAGTTTTTAGTCCGATAAACGGAATGCCTTATTTTTTAATTTGCTCGTGTCATTCATTACCTTGGTGTCTTGAGCCTTTGTCAGCAAATCCACAGCCAATTTAGCAGCGGGAAGTTCCGAAACATGATCAAACCAACGGGTGAGGTAGTCACCAAGTGACTCCTTCTTGGACTTGTAAATTTTACCGAAAATGGGGGAGCCTAATGTAATATATTTGGTGAATAAGTCAAATTGTTGATCATGGTAATTGAAAAGCGACAGCTAGAAAACTACACATACCCTTCATGGTACCCCAAACAGCAAAATCTGCAGCAGTTGGCTCATAACCAGCAATGTATGATCTCAAGGTAAGATGCTTGTTGATTTTCTTGTATGCACCATCCAAAGCCTTAAAGTCGGTAGATTGCAATTGTTCATCGACAAAAGCCAACCATTCGTCCACCTATGTATCACGTTTAAGTAACAGAAAGAATATTCCAACATGTATGTATTTGGATACTTACAGCAGCGGAGGAGGTAAGGGTGGGATCAAATTTGGCCAATGCATGAACGATATCTTTGGTGCTGATATACTCCTCGCTGTAAACGTGGTGTGAGTAAACATCTCCTAATCCATCGACAGTAAATACCCACGATCCTTACTTTCCAGACTTCAAAACGCTGGTGGCAGTCTTAGATCCTGCAGCATCAACATTCTTGCCTTGGACAAAGTCAATTTTGACAGCGTTCGGGTTAGTGGCGTTTGCTTTAGCAGCAGTGGCAACAGCTCCTAAAAACGAGCCATTAGTAAAGGCATTCTTCTAGTAACTAGGTCCAAGTCTATTATACGAACCCAATGCCACGGGAGCTGCCTGAGTTGCAACGATTAATGTTGTGGACATTATTGAACGGGAAATTTCACGCTGGCGATGTCACTTAAAAAAAAACACTGCGACTGAACGTGAGTCAAACAAAGTCACGTATGCCTGAAAAAAATCGAATGTTTGCTCTGAGCCAGTCTGACAGCCGAGCAGTATAATAACGCACTTATGCGAAAATGCCCCCAACCAATACACACTTCTTTAACCTCGACGCGATGGAACAACGTACATTGCTTTTTCAAAGGCGAAGAAACACCATAAAGATTTTTGGATCCAATAATGAACATTTTGACCTTTGGCTAATAAGCTCTGATCAACATGAATAAGCTATCTCGTGGGTGGGTTTTGTGGGGAAGATAGCTCATTATCAACATCTTTTCGGGTTGGAAAACATCTGTATTCAGCAAGATAAACATGGACACATATATCCTTATCCCATGAGCATTATTATTCAAAAATGAAAATCCTACATAACCCCAACTGCTTTTTATCAAATTGTAGCCAGCCATGAACGTCCACATGCAAAGCTTGTTATGGAGAAAACTAGAGGAAATGGCCAATGGCTGGCGGACACTCCTGCACGACTTGAATCCCCAACCGAGTCTATTGGAGAAATCCAAAGTCATGTGAATGACTACCTTAGTCGGAGCAGATGGCGCCAGCAAACGATTATTATTGGCTACGATCGGCACTCTAAATGAGGGACTATTAGTGGCACTTTACAATGGGTCGTATCTTGAAACGTCCCGCGAGCAAAAATGGTAACCAACGACAGCGTGCGGCAAAGCAACACAGATAATTCGTGGGGCGGTCGAATCGATTGGCCTGAACGGATTAGGATATAAAATACGCTTCTAAGCAGGTACGGAACCAGAGTTCCCTTTGATCTCTCTCACCTTTGGATTGGAATCCATAGATCAAAAATGAGCAAGCCCACAGCTTTATTAATGAACCGGTATCTCTTGGTGCCATTCTCTCTCGGACTGACTCAATTAGCAATGAATAGGAGCGGTCTCCTAAAGGCTTTCTGCGCTGAACATCGCTGGGCCACCGCTTTGCTTTTCGGCTTCGTCGGTTCCATCGTATCAGCTATGGTTGGATGGAAATCCCTGCAAGCTCCTCTTCAATTCATCTACTCTTGCTTCTTAAAGCCTCTTGGTTATCACGGTCATAATCAACAAGATCGTCTTGAGTCGTTTTATCAAGATCAGGCTGATGGTATGTTTAGTAGATCACGTCAAAAGGTACCGAGAACTGATGAAACTAAACACCCCTGTGACCGGCATTTTGTACAGTTTACGATGCCACTCGTGGAGGTTTGCTTCGTGGTCGCAAGACCATGCTTAAGCTCTGTGCTGCACAACTCAAGCAACAAGCTTCACTTTTGAAAAATGAAGAAGATCTTGTTTGGATCGATATTGGAGGCGGAACCGGTACGCTTTGCTTTTTCTGTTGGTAGTACACTAAAACATGCGTGGCTGCTAACCTTATATTCTTCCAATCATTCTTAATCTGTAGGCTGGAATATTGAGCGTATGAATTCGTACTATCCTATTGAGAAGTTTCACAAAGTTTACTTGGTCGACTTGACTCCTTCGCTATGCCGCATCGCTAGAGAACGCTTCCAACGTCGCGGATGGACTAACGTTGTTGTATTGTGTGAGGATGCAGCCAATTTTGACCTTCCTGGACTCCCTGATATGAACGGAAAGATCGGTTTGATTACCATGTCATATTCTTGTAAGTGGTTTCATCATCAGGTGCAAAACATTTCGGAATGGTCCCCTTGAACACAGACTAACTTTCGGCCGCCGTTCCTGCAGTGTCCATGATTGATAATTTCTTCCCTGTTATTGATCGTATTGAAAAACTCTTGTCCCCACACGGTATTTTTGGTATTGCCGACTTTTATGTTTCCGGAAGATCTCCATCCCCTGCTGAGAAACTTTCCGGAAGCCAAAACCGACAATGCTCATGGTTTACACGTTTCTTCTGGCAAATTTGGTTTGACTTTGACCATATCAACCTCGCTCCCGGTCGCCGTGATTATGTTGAATACAAGTTTGGTACTCTTAAGTGTCTTAATGCTCGCAACCACTTTGTTGTTCCCTACGTCGTTCAGATTCCCTACTACATTTGGCTCGGATGCTCTCACTCCCGACCCATTGAGGAAATTCCGCTTGAAATGGATACGCCCGCTTCATCTGGATCATCCGTCATAGAATCACCAACTGCATCTGTCTCTGGTCAACAAACTGGAGCCGAACTTGAGAAGAGCCTTTCCGTTGTTTCACGATCCTCATCATACAAATACCAGTCCAACAAATGGCGCTTGGCATATGACCCCTCTCTTGCTTGCCACACACAGTTCCGATCATACATCTATGCCTTTACATGGGAAGATCCTCGTGTGGATTTGGAACATCTCGATCTGACCGAGTCAGACACAATGTTTGTTATTACCTCTGCAGGTGATAACGCTTTAGAATATGCTATCAAGGCCAAACCCCAACGCATTCACTGTATTGACATGAATCCTTGCCAGGTAAAGCTTCGACTTCATGATTGGAAATATGTATACAAGGTGACTAACTCTTTTCTGTGTCTTAGAACCATTTACTTGAGTTGAAGCTTGCTGGAATTACATCACTAGAATTTGAAGACTTCTGGAAGATGTTTGGTGATGGTCGACACCCTCAGTTCGAGACTCTTCTTCACGATATCATCTCACCCCATCTCAGTTCACAAGCTCTTCAATACTGGTCGCATAACTCCGATCGCTTCTCACACAAGTTCTACAAGACTGGATATTCAGGTCTGGCGGTTACACTTGTCGAGTGGTGGATCAAGATGCAGGGATTGCAACAAGATGTCCATAATATGTGCCATGCTGAGACAATCGAAGAGCAAAAGCGCATTTGGGTCGAAAAGATAAGGCCGGCCATCTTTTCTCCTATGATCCGAAAGGTTTTGAACAACCCTATGTTCATGTGGAATGCTTTGGGTGGTAAGTTGATGGAGATATTGCATAGCGTTACTATCAAACATTTCTGACTCGTATTACCATCTCTCAGTGCCAATGAACCAAATGAACATGTTCTTGAACGACGGAACAACCCAACAATATATTGAAGATACCCTTGAACCTATTGCTTCTCGCTCTTTGTTCAGAAATGATCAATACTTCTTCTACCTTTGCTTGATGCAAAAGTATGCTCGTGAATCATGCCCTTCATACTTGACCAAAGAGGGATTCAAGGTCTTGAAGGTAAGATGCATATCATTTTAAATTCCAATGACTTTCTTCATGTGTGGTCAATGGGCTAACTTTCTATGTACTATTCCAGGAAACTACTGCCACTGACGCATTTAGACTACATACCGACTCTATTGTCAACGTTTTGCGGTCGTTACCCGAGAACTACCTGACAAGAATGATTGTCATGGATCATATGGATTGGTTCTCACCAGATGGAAAGGATTTGGAGGAAGAGATCATTGAGATGGCCAGAGCTACCCAGAAGAATGGAAGAGTCTACTGGCGTAGTGCTGGAAAATACCCCTGGTACAATAAGATCTTTGAAAAGCATGGCTTTGACGTTAAGCCTGTAAGCATTAGAGAGTCTGGTCACTCTATTGATAGAGTGAATATGTATAGCAGTTTCTGGGTGGCATATAAACTTTAGTGGATATTCTTGTAAAATAATAGGAAAATGAATAGCAATAAAAAAAATACCAGTATTGAATTTATTAAAATTAAATAAGCCAATTTTCCCAAGTTGCATGATTGCGATAGACGTCGCACGTCTTTCACCTCGAACCGCACCTAGAACCGGTAGAGTGATGTACAACAATGGATGATTTGTATGACAGAAATAATGCATCTATGTGGTAGGAAAAGTAATTTTTCCTTTGATACCTTTTGCATATTTCAATGGACTACGCGAAGTGTAATTTTGTTGACGAGGTCAATGTTGCAGTATACAATTGAGCAATGACTTTAGAATAAGCATCAGGGTATATTAGCCTTGATTTTGTTCTACTTGTATCAGCATTTTTCGTGGAACGACGCATGCTGGACCGCCGGCTGTTTACTCAAATATCACCCCTTCATCGCATTCTATATGGAAAATCCAATTCATTGTAGGGTATATGCTGTGAAGTATTTCAACAACCAACAATATCAAATCTCAAAATAGTGTAAAAAAAAGACTAACTTTTCTTTTCAGCCCTCTCTCTATAACAGTATATAAAATTACGAAGGCAGACGAAAGAAAGAGATTTCAAGAATTGATTCAAAAAAGAATGGAGGGAAAAATTGAGAGCGAGACGAGCGACAAAAGAAGATACAAAGATAAATCAACAAGTCATTGATATTAATTGAGAAGAATAACTTCTGTCATCTGTAGTAAGCACGATTCACTTGTTCAAGTCGTTCCAAAAAGCCAAGATAAAGAATCGTTTTCATTTTTAATAGATATGATGGAGGTAGTACTGATTGGTCAGTGCGCAAGCTAGGTAGATGCTCTTGTTTAGTAATAGGTCTTTTTAAAGACAACTTCACATACCAATAACGATATCATTAGTGATCAGACTACATGGATTCAAATACTGTCTTCACGGAAGACTGCAGCAAAAAATCGTTATGAGTCAAGCACTGACCCGTAAAGTTCCCCTTACCCCAATTATCCGTTGGGTGCCAAATTAACCGCGCCGAGGTGTCCGGCATGGTCAGCCCGAAAATGTGCTAAAAGCGGCGGGGCATTTGCTATCGCCTTTCTGCACTCCATCCTCTTTCACAAACCCTACTTTTAAAATGAATGCAGAGAAGATTTTTATTGCCTCCACAGGGCTATATGCCGGCTTTGCTTTTGGCGTCTCGGTTTCTGGAGCACCTACTATTGCGGTCTCGCAAAAACCAAAAGACTCGTGGCAAACCATTTATGATAGTGGGAAAATGGTAGTTGTCCCCTTGGCTTTTATCACAGCAATTTCCGGAGGAATGATGTATGCGAGAACTAAAGACCCAAGGATATTGGCAGCCACCCTGTTTGGCTTTTCTCCGGTGCCATTCACTGCCCTTGCCATGAGATCCAACATCAAGAGTCTGCAAAGCTCCTCCAATGCAGATCCTAGAGTTCTGGAACTCACAAACACGTGGACCAACCTTCACTGGGTCCGTACTGCTGCTGGCCTTGCATCTTTTGGTCTTGCGGTCTTCACGTTGTTGTAAGGCTCGACTGCCATGAGACTTTTCCATGTAGTTCTGCCCACCTGTTTATAAGATTTGTTGTGGCAGATGTTGGCCAATTTACATTAGTACCCGTCTTCTTCCACTCTATATATATTAAACATGATAACACAATTTTACTTTTCTCTAATCGGAATGACAATGATTGATATGAAGGGGCAGTCATGATCGTTTAACTGTTTTAGTGTGCCCTCCTACAGTAACAGGATGATTTTATGTTGAGTTGACTTTGATGTTTCAGGTAGGTATGATGGACGAGGCAGGAGCGGAGCAAAGCTTTATGTCACCTCTCATGAATTTAAAACCATATGAATTCAAGGCAACATCTTTAAAAGCCCTGGCTTTGTAGCGTGAGCTACAAAAAGCTTTAGCAACATACTTTCAAATGTACATGCACGTCGATCTGGCTCTCCCACAGCCCAATGTATGGGTATTACTAGTATTTTTCCATAGTGTATGCCGTAGTGCGAAGGGTGGGTGTGTGACGATTTATAAGAACTCCACATCTGTGCATGAAAGAGGTTCATTCCCTGTCATACAGTGACGTGCTTCAATGTCTGGAGTAACCCATGGAAAATGTCTACCGAATGGATAAAAAATTTAACACTCAGAAGCAGTATAAATACCAGTTGTTCTGCATAAAGATTTTGTCTTTCGATTTTTCACTATACTTTTTTATCAAAGACCGTTATCATCATGAATGCCGAAAAAGTTCTCATAACATCAACTGGATTGTTTGCTGGCGTCGCTCTTGGCGTTTCATTATCAGGAGTGCCAACTATCGCTATATCGCAAAGACCAAAGGACACCTGGGAAAAATTGTACGTTACCGGAAGAAATACTGTTGTCCCTTTGCTTTTGACCACTGCTGTTGCTGGAAGTATGGTATACTCGCGAACAAAGAACCCCAAGATATTAGCAACCACCATCATCGGTGCTTTCCCGCTACCATTTACTGTGCTTGTCATGGGTAGTAATGTCAAAACTCTGCAGAGCTCTAGTAACGCAGACCCAAGAGTTCCCGAGCTCGCAGCCACATGGGCTAAACTTCATTGGGTCCGTACTGTTGCTGGTATCACTTCTTTTGGTTTGGCTGTCTACACCTTAATGTGAAAGATATATTTTTCTACTATTTGAAGGATGCAACATACGTTGGAATAATAAAGTTAGAAGCGAATGGATCGCTTTTCCTTGAATTGAACTGAAGTGAAATATGCAATCGAGATTTTCCCCTGTCAAAGCGCAGGTGCAAAATAAGGCGTAACCTTGCCGTGACACCTATCAGCAATGCAGTGTACATAATAAGAACAGCTCGTAGTCACTACTTGTTTTGAAATTTTTATAGCCTTAGAGATGGCATTAATCCCGATGAATCATTGCCCTATCCTCGAAAGATGGCCTGTCAACTTTTAACGTCAACTGATAAACGCTTGGGAGCACGGACAATACATCGATCGAACAGCATTTGACTTGCCAAAGCTAAGTTGTGAATAATTGCGTGATGCACAACTTTATGCGAATGTGCAGCATCAATCGTTAGAATTGAGTCTGTCAATGTAATGTACCAAGCCGCGCTGAAAGAGGTGAGAACACTAGTATTTACCATCAAAATGACTGTTAGGTTTATCGTGCTATGGTTTCATAGAATTGATCCGTACCCGATGAAAAACATTGAACTGTAATGTTTTGCAATAATATTGTCCCTCCAATCGTCTTTCACAAAAATGTATAAGTCATTACTGATTCAATGGATTAATTTTGTCAACGGTTCTCTCTACCATAAGATGCACAAAGACAGAAATCAACCTAATTGGATTAATTAGCGAGCTGTTATTCCCACAACACAGTATTAAATATTTAAACCATATCACAATGGCATTGCAGGTGTGTCAATGCTTTAATCTCACGGCGTAGCGGTTAGGAAAACCTCATGTCTTGCTGGAATGCACAGTGATCATGCACTGCAGTACGACGAATCATCGGTACAACCATTCGCTTTCCCAAGGAACCTTTCCGTGAAAAAAAAAAGTGCGTAACACATACAGGTGTAACAAAATTATAAAAATGTAAGGGGTTTCTCTCTAATTTCTCGTCACATAATTTGGCATCAATGAAACTGTCTTCAACGAACACATTGCTCATCTCTACTGTAACGGTGGTTCTTAATTCACTTGGGACTGTGGCAGTGGACCCTCAGGGCTGGTATGCTGCAAACCCAGGTCTGAGCAAGATCGGACTTGTTGATCAAAGCATTAATCAAATCACGGATGTATACGGACGCATTCGATTCTTTCATGGCACAAACGTGGTGATGAAATCTGCTCCTTGGTACAGAAGTAGTAATTTTGACCCTCCCAATTCGTTTGGTCTACAAGACGTACAGAATCTTCAAGCCTTGGGAGTCAATGTCGTTCGTTTGGGTCACCATTGGGCCGGTGCCGAGCCTGTCCGCGGACAATACAATCAAACATTCTTGGACATTATGAAGAGCCAGACGCAACTAGCGGAAGCCCATGGAATCTATATTTTGGTTGATGTGCATCAGGATGTGCTTGCTGGTCAATTCTGCGGACATGGAGTACCCAATGTAAGTGTAGCTGCCGTAGCCACATCATATTATAAATTATGGGGGCATTAAGCTCTGTTGATGCAAATACATGACCTCTAACTCTAAATGTATATAGTGGTTCGTTCAGTCCAATTGGGTACCTTCCTACAAAAAATTTCCTGTGCCCCAAAAGATCATTCCGTTTGCTACCGATAGCAATGGCATGCCTAGTGCTTCTGATTGTGGATCGCTCGATTGGAGTGTCAGCTACCTAACAGCAGCGGTTTGTAATGCTTTTGGGCGTCTTTACAACAATTACGACAACTTGGGAGATTCCTTTGCATCTTATTGGAAGAAACTGGCTCAGCAATATGTTACTACCAACAACATTCTAGGCTACAATTTATTGAACGAGCCTTGGGTTGGCGACTCCTACGCTAATCCATCTCTGTTGGTACCGGGAGTGGCTGACCATGTTAATTTGGAAGGGCTCTGGAACAAAGCCGCTACGCAAATCCGTACAGTCGACAACAATACTCTGATATTTTTTGAGGGTACCACTTATGACATCCTCTCTGGATTCAACAATGTGCCTCTAGGAGATGGTTCTCGTTCTGTCCAATCCTATCATTATTATAAACCTCCACAAGTAGGCACAATTGAAGATACATTTAAAAACCGAATACAAGATAACCAAAGGCTTAAAACCGCAAGCGTATTAACCGAGCATACCATGTGGATGGGGGATTCCACGCAAATGACTAACATTCAGTTTGCTGTCGACAAAGCTGATCAATACATGATGTCGTGGATGGGTTGGGCTTACGAAAACCTATACAATAGTACACAGCAACCATACCCTGAACTTGCTGCCTTTTATAGTCGTGCATATCCATCTGCTATCGCTGGTACGCCAACAAGTTTTCACTTCAATAGCACTGACAAATCTTTTGCCCTTGTCTACAAAGTCAAAAAGGCGATTACCGCTCCTACGGAGATCGTGTTGCCTACATATACGTATCCTCAAGGCTACAATGTGGCAGTAACACCGGCTAATTCTTTAGTTCAATTTGTCAAGGATTCAGGAACTTTATCCTTATTCACTGCAGACACCACGGCTGATGGTCAAACTGTCAGTGTTACCATCACCAAGCAATAATTGTGCTTTCGGTAGTATTTGTTGCTAAACTAACGCGAAAGTGTACAAATTAATGTAATAAAATGGTTTATATTACCCCGTCTCTTATTACACTTGAACTAAACGTAGCTTAGCTTCTTTCACACCTCTTAACGACACATACCACTGTGCGCTTTTTTTTTTTTTGCAGGGGGGATTTTATGCCTTTGTGGTAAATGATCACTGTATATACGGTATCAACGAGGTACAGAGGTGGTTTTAAAGCATTTAATTAAATTAAACCACGGAATTCTTACCCACCACTGTTATCCAGAGTTCTAATTCCGTTTTTGAAAATTAAAGGAGTCGGTAGAAGGATCACAGCCCAAAGTGTCGCACAGGCCTCGTCTCCTTTTTCAGCGCGTATCGGATTTAAAAACAGTCCTTGAACCGTGATTTCGAACGGTGTCTTCCCAACAGTACCTATCTCGATCGTCAACATACTTCAACATGGCGGAGGAAGCACAAATGTCTCGCAAGAATGCAGTGGAGAGCCAGACGAGTTCTCATGTAGCAGATGGACTGCTGTCAGTAATTCAGCCTGTTATATACGAGACGGACTTGCGTATTGTAGGAGTACGACAAAGTCAAAATGAACTCAACAAAGAGATTGAACGCTTGATTGCAGGTAAAGTCATCGTACATTGCATAGGATTAAAAAATATAAGGGCTATGGACTAATGTTATTTTAACCAATGAAGAGCTACAGCTCTTTTCAGATATTACTGACCCACCGGCTCTGCAAGCATCCCATACAAAGCTCATGATGGCTAGAAAGCAGCTAGCGCACTCGAACCAACTGCTTCAAAATGTACATATCCGAATAACGAGAATGCAGGAGCAGCTCAATCAGCCTAAAAGAACTAGAAAGTAGTTTGTTCCATACCATTTATTCGTTCTTTGGCAATTTACAAACACCTATGTACATAAAATATCATACCAACACAACGATATGGCAAGGTCAGAGTTCGCCGTTTGCATCTTTTCGCCATTTCTCTATCTCTTCCACCTTGCTCCATTGGTGCTCTAGATGTGCCTGGCGAAGATTTTGAAGCATCAGGGAACTCTTACTTCGAATGACATCTGCTTCATCAGAAGAGTAAGTCTCAATGTCGTCGTCCGGAATATCCCTCATCAACCGTCCATAAGGTGGCAGCAGATTTTTAGCTTTCTTCCGCCGCTTTCTTGGAGATTTTTGTGAGAGGGATGGGGATGTAACTGTACCATGATGCTGTGTTCGCTTTGGCGTATTCGGGGGCGACGAGGTGATGGTATGTATAGTTCGGAATTGCGACTCCTGTGAAGGTGATGGCTCGCGCATATTGCCTTTCATTACCTCAGGAGGCTCGTCGATTAGCGCAATTGTATCGTTTTGTACATTGGAGTTATTAGAGACATTGATCTTGGGTGTATTAGTCAGTAATCACTTTTTGACAGCAGTTTCGTCCACTTTTCCATCCTTCACCTTACCTTATTAACTGACGGATAGTCGTTAGTAATTGCTCGACGAGACGAAATAAAAAATGAAAATTGCGCCTTACTATTTACACAAACTTCCGGTATTGACTTCGAATCGGCTGCACTTTGCCCATCGTGAGGATCATGCCATTGACGGGATAACACTTCCGCAGCTCCATGTTGATCTGTTTTTGAAGCCATCAATTCTATACTTTTATCTCCATCCTCATTACTAGTGTACTTAGACGGTTTTGACTTTTCCAAATGGTGTCTTCTTGTTGGAGTCGAAGGTGTGGGTGCAAAGCGACAGAACTTAGGCGGCGTGATAGGTGCTTTAGGAGAGCTAGGCAGAAAGCATGGTGTAGGGGCTGTTCCTCCTAGCAGATAAGCAGTATACCTGATTGCTACTTGTTTCTCATCTGTACTGTCTTCCGAATCTGAGCAAATTACTGACATGGCTCATGCCAGAATTTGGTTGAGCTTGCAGGCGAACTCGGGGTGCAAAGAAAGTCAGTCACCGGGCTTTACTTCCCCTCAAATTATTGGCTTTGTCAAACCCAAACAAGACCAATTTATTCGCTGTCCTGAAAGAAAGTCTTTAGAAAGGAACATTTATCCAAGTATTTACTCTACATTGCCATTGGTGAGTCCTGAGTTAAGCGTCACGCCGTAAGGTGTGCAGATAGGTTTTGGTTTCAAAATCAAGAGCCAGTCAACTTTGCACGATAATGTGCATCATTAGCTATCAGTTGATATCATGATTCAATAAATAAAATCTTTGTTAAACAGAATACGTTTATCATCATGTTTCTATGAAGCCTCGATGTTCGCTTGTTCTACCAGGACAGTCGTTCTGCAAAGCTTATCCCGCCCGTCAACAGCCGCCCAAATAAGGCTAAAGCAGTCACCTAATGAGGTGACTGCTTGTTTTGGACTCCGGCTCTCAATGCATTCTTTCTTTTTTTTTTTGAGTTTCTTGCTAACGTCTAAGAAACCTATCTCACAGCTGAAAGCTATTTCTTATCCTTATAGTGTTGAAAAAAAAGAACATAACAGAAGCCTGTTCGATATTATACCAACTACAGAGATTCATTCAAAAGTCAGAATTTAGAAACGACAATGGTTAGGCGAGAAAAGAAGCATGTGGCCGAGGCGTCTGATCTGTCATCACATTTGTCAGACACGTCCTCGCTCTCATCCGATCCACCAGGAAGTGGTGGCTCAGAAAAAGATTCAGACGACGAAGACGATGATAATAGAAGTAGGGGCGTGAAACCGAAAGCAACGTCCAAAAAGGCAACAAAGAAGCAAGCAGCTGACAGCAAACGGAAGGCAAAGTCCAAACAGTTAACTACCGCAGCAGCGAAGTCGAAACCAAATCGACCAAAAAGTATACCAGAAAAGAAATTGAAAGATTCACACAAGAATCCCTCCAATGCATCCGATCAATATTGCATCTGTAGAGGTGGATATAACGGCAAAGAATTTATGGTTGCATGCGATCTATGTCATGGTATGACAGGCTCTTAGGTTTAACCCACTTTTTTCGTTATTTTTTTTAAACGATTTGTTTCTTTTTTGTAGAATGGTTCCATGGCCGCTGCATAGGCATCTCTGAAAAGAATGTTCCCGACCATTACTACTGCGACAATTGCCAACAAGTGTCTGAAGAAGTAACCCCAACAGGACCTGCAAAAAAGGGTAAAAAATTAGCAAAGGCGAAAACAGGAAAAGGTATTTAACATTGAAGATTTTATCACTTTACACGTACCCGCCTCTCTAAAGAACATGCTATAGCCAAAGCTACCGCAGCAGCCAAGACACAGCGGAATAAAGCGGAGATCAAGGCTGAACCGCCAATAGTAGAAACTGTCATAAAATCCAGCCTTGTTGAACAAGATGCAGATATAGACCTTGAAGACGAGGATTTAGACGACATTTGCCCTGTTTGCGATTCTGAATGTACCTGTGGAAGCAAAGTCAAAACCGAAACCATCACCATTCCCGCCATTGCCTTGGATCCAGTGGTGCCTTCAACGGCTGGAAACAATTTTGTACATGATAGTGGTGTAATAGAAATCATTGGAGAAGACACAACCCAGCCAAAACGAGGAAAAGCAAAGACGAAAGCATCAGAGAAGAAAGGAAAAGACAAATCGGACAAGTCATCTACCAACAAGAAGCGCTCCAACACGAAAAAGCCTCCAGTTCTTCCCAAACTGGAGATTGAAGAAGAATCAATGGACGATGATGTGGCTTCTGTAACGGAAGATGTTTCGTATATGTCAGACATGTCTGATGCTGTTCAATCTAGTGGCTCATATCTGGAAGGACCTGTATATTCGTATTCTGAGGGTTCTCTACATATCGATTCTGGTGATGATGAGGATATTGAAGAAGAGGAAGAAAGAGCAATGATAGAGCAATGGGAACTTTTGCAAGACCAAGATGAGTTGAGCGACAGTTCTTCTGAAGAGGATTTCGATCTGGATGATGAAGAGACCATGGCTATCATGCTCGAAGATCAAATTGAGTCCGATGAAGACATCTACACCAACGATTTCATACACCAAGTCAATCGATGGTCTTCAGACGAGGACGATGAGGAAGAAGAAGGGTACGAGGAAGAATTGGACGAATCGGATATAGACAACGTCTTTGACAACGATGAAGAGAACTTTGATGACGATGATGAGTACGATTCTGACGATGGCGATTCTGCTAACATGCAGTTCTCTCCATTCTTTGACGAAAACACCGATGTATCTGAGCTACTGGACAATATTGCAGCTGCTTTGGCATTATCCATATCTCTCCCTAGTGAAACTGGCGAAGAAGCTTCCGACTTGACCCAGCAGCTACAGCGTGCGCTCATTGACGCTGGAATCGACTTGTCAACCATTGATGAACAACAATTGGAATCCTCCATCTCAGAAGTCGATGAACCTGTAACGAGCATTACACCTGCATCCAATGACTCCGACGTTGACGTTACAGGAACTCCTGACGATAGCACATCTCCCATCACTCAGCTTGAACACCAACCTACGGCGCCTGCTTTAATTGAAGAAAGTGAAAGTGCTACCGCGTTATCTCAGTCTTTGGTGTCTGACCTTCTCTTGGCGTCTGGGCAGGGAGCGGGCAGTAAAATCGACTCTGAGCTTATTGCAGCAGCTGTTCAAGATATTGTCAATGCTGCAACTGGAAATGCTAAGCAAGGGATGTTATCTTCAGCACAAAATAACAGCGCCTTACTTGAAGCCTCCCCTCTCACGCCAAATTCGGGAATGTCATTTGGGGATACAGTGACGCCCCCTGTACCCGAGTCTTCGTCATCATCGTCTCTGAAGAGAGGTTTAGAAGAGGTAAGCAATGAACCATGATTTGCCAAATGATAAATTAAACATCATTTTTAAACATATATCTTTTCATAGGGGGATAACAGTGATCGCCAACAGAAGAGACGCTTGAGTATCTCCAAGGAGCAAGCTACTAATACAGCCGTCAAGGATGAGATTGAGCATTCAGCCGTTCTCATGGATGACTTGGTCGATACGTCCCGATTATATACGCGCTCAACTTCTCGATCACCGTCGCCAGAACCAGCAGAAATAAATCGATTCTCTCAAGATCTCTCGCGCTGGCAGCGAGTTCCTATCGGTACGTTCCGACGATCAAGACGAGTGTCTGCACCGATGATTCAAGCGTCCGCTGCTCTGAAAAGTGGCAACGATGAGTTTGCTTCGACCTTACTGTGTGATTTGGAGGATAGTCCTGCAACCAATGCTTACAATGCGACGGTACCCAAAAAACGTCGAAGACCGAAGCATCGCGGTCGATCTGCTGCCAAGTCCATGAGTGACCTGGCCAGTATCATTCAAAAATCGAAGGATTTGTTGCCGGCCAACTTCAATGCTTTACAAGGAGACCAAGGTTCTGGTGCCTTAGCGTCTAATGGCATGGCATCCAATAGTGCTTTACCATCTACCATCTCCATAGCCATTGCCAATGCTGTCGCCGCTATCAGACAATCCAACGGTGGTCGTAGACCCATTCGGCAAGGTTCACTGAGCTCCGGATTGGATACCGATCAACCTCCAAGTTCAGCCTGTTCTTCTCCACTCTATTCTCCACTGTTTGCTGGTATTCGAAATACTGATTTATCTATCCCTGATTTACATCTTGACGATGTTGTAGCCGAACTACAAAAACAAGAAGAAGAGAAATCAGCTGCACAACGAAAAGGTAGACGACCAAGCAAGCTATCTTCGGCATTAACATAGAGACCCTTGGCCTCTTCTTTTTTCATTTATAGAACTTTACAAGTCCTTACCCACTTGAAGGACTGAGAATCTTTTTTGTTTCTATTTCTTACGCATTTCCTTCCTTTTATTCCACTCCACCTATTGTGCTTTCTTTCTTTTGATCGCTTTTCTCATCTCATTATTTATTGCCCCTGTCTTCTCTCACTGTACAATTACTGCATTTCATCTTTTCATTTGGCGATTATACCGCCTGTGCAAAGATATCACTTGTGAAATACCATTGAAGAAATACGTTCTTTTTTCTTTATAATTCTTTCTATTGACTTTTTCTTGCTTCAATGCACGCATACGCATATCATTTACCGCATACATTTTACCGAAATAAATAAAAAAATTTACTATTATTTACATGTTACAGATTACACGGAAGCTTATGCTTCATCTGCTTTGGAGCCTGCGCTCTGAGCTGCTTCTTGCTGTTTTTCCTGGCGAGCCTGCATGGCCTTTTTCATCCATCGGTCCTCACGCTCGCTCTTCATCTTCTCTAAAGCTGCGCGGACATCCTCTGAGGTCTTTGGAGGTTGCTGTACAGACATTGCGTCAGGAACGGTTCGAAAAAATCACCAACATGGGATAGTTACGGCGAGACTTACGTGTGTCTTTTGGAAATCGGGCCAAAAGTTGATTCCTCGAACATACTGGTCATAGAAGCCAGGTCCTCCAAAATACAACATGACACCTACAGGAAAAAACACATATACACCAAACTAGACAGACTCGAATGAGATTTTGCGTCTCGAGAAATTTCAGTGAATGTGGTACGGCTCTTACCTTTACGACTTCTAATCTTGGGCCAGCCATTTTGTGTTTAACTGAGGAAGAATTGTGAAGCAAAAACAGGGTATGGCAAAATGAAATTATTCTATTGCCATGGCAAAGGAAAATTCGCCAGTCACAATTTCGATTTTCGGTGGATTCTTGCACAGGAGGGCTGCGGCAGCAGACGAGATCTCCCCTCCCCAATTCTTAAACAATGGCAGACGCAGAAGAATTGTCACTGGAAGAGACAAAGTATGTGTTCAATCAATGCACCGATGGTAAAGAAAGACATGAGTCCTAACTCTCACTTCCTTTTTAGCCGTCTGAGAATCCAGGCCGGCCTGGCTCCCTTGGGAGAAGAGACAGAAGATGTCATTGACGAAGATCAAGTTGCTTACGACAATTATCAGCAGCTAAAGGAAGATCGGCAAAGAGAAAAGAACGCAAAAGAAGTGATGGAACGTATTGAAAAGTTAGTATATCCATCTTTTTCCATTTTTTTTTTTTGGCCTATGACCAACCTCATCGTACTCATTCCTAATGCCACTTCTAGAGCCAAGAATCGTCAAAAGGCAACCGAAAAACTGAAAGGAAAAGGTCTGGGCGATGCTAGCGACGATGAAGAAAGTGCAATGAAGTGGATTAAAAAGTCTCGAAAGCGCGAAAAGGAACTTGCAGAGAAACGAGCCCGTGAGCTGGCAGAAATGGATAAGGGTTTCGAAGGTGTTCAATACGATTCCGCTGATCTCACTGGAATGAAAGTGGCACACGACATGGCCGAATTCGAAGACGGTGGTGAGGTTATTTTAACCCTTAAGGATCGAGGAATCTTGGACGAAGAAGACGAAGACGGGATTGAGCTCACCAATGTCAACCTGGAAGAACGCGAACGACTTCGAAAAAATCAAGAAAACAAAAAGAAGAAGCCAGGATACAATGTATACGACGATGAAGAGTTCACGATAGGTGGAGCATCCAAGAACTTATTGAGTCAGTATGACGAAGAGCTAGAAGGACCAAAGAGAACTAGCTTTGTCATTGGCCAAGAAGGCCGCGTGGGACAAGATTCGCCCGCTCAACAAAAAGCCAGTATTGCTCAAAAACTCAAGGCACAGGCAGTGGATCTCTCATACGAAAAGATGCAGGAAGTCAAGGATTATTATACCCACGAAGAAGCTGCGCTAACGTTTAAAAAACCCAAAAAGAAGAAGAAGGTTAGAAGAAGAGTGGCTCAAGACGACGAGGATTCAGTAGAAAATGGCACTCCAGCCAATGTACAGCAAGACACTTCATATATGGCCGTCGATGAACAACCAGCCGCCCCTGTTAAAAAGAGCTTTGACGAAGAGAATTTTGTAGATGATGATGATCTTCAGCAAGCTCTGGCAAGAACTCGACGAATTGCCAATAAAAAGAAACAACAGATCCAACGAATTACACCAGAAGACATAGCTCGCAACATTGCACAGCAACGGGATACTGAGCAACTGGATAATGAAAATGAAGACGAGGCAGATAGTGGCCTTGTCATATCTAACACATCTGAATTCGTCAACTCACTTAGCATGGATCCCGTCATAGAGAGAGAGAAGCGCGAAAGAGAAAGACAACAAGCTGAAGCTGAAGCAGCAGCGGCAGCGTCCAGTGCTATAGTGACGGAAATGCAACTGGATAGTGAAGAGGATGTTGACATGGAAAACGCAGAATCGGCGGACATGCCTCATGAAAACGGCGAAAATGAAGAAGAAATATCGGCAGTGGTAGACGAACCTCTTGTCAGTCGCGGTATGGCAGCAACACTTGCTCTCTTGAACCAAAAAGGTATGTCTACGATGAGATGGAACGATGTTTTGTTTTGTTTCTAACTCCGGTTTGTGCCTAGGATTTATTGCTAAGCCCACAGAGGATCAATTGCAAAGAGAAAAACATGCTGCTGGTCGCCTTAAATGGATCGCTGAGCAGAAACGAAAAGATGCGCAGCGTGAGCGAGAACGAGAACGAGATCGCCTACGTGACAAAGAGCGCGACAAAGGACGAGAAGGTCGCGGCCGTGACTATGAGCGCGAACGTGAGCACGAACGAGAAGTTGAAAAAGAAAGAAAGGAACGAGAGCGTATGAAGGAATACGAGCAACGCATGAAAGATTATAAACCGGATGTTAACATTGAATATACTGACGAATTTGGAAAAGTCATGACACCAAAGGAGGTATGCCATTCTGACGCTCCAAAAAAAAAGTGTTTCTAAAAAAAAAGCAAAATACGAGCCCACTCATCTAAACCACCTTTTTTTTTTTATCTCCATATAGGCGTACCGGGTACTTTCTCATAAATTCCATGGTAAAACCTCTGGCAAGGCTAAAACGGAGAAACGGTTACGAAAAATGCAAGAAGAGCTTGCCCTCAATAGCATGGGTAGTAGCGACACTCCACATAATCTGGCGGCTGCCATGATTGACAGACAGGAGAAGACCGGTAGTGCACATTTTGTACTCAGTGTTGGTAACCGCGGTGTTCTTCCTGGAGACGAAGATAATGCTGCTAAGAAACGCAGGACAGAATAGTAGTCAACGTCCCCAATAAAACAAACGATTGATCAGTGTGGGTATATTTAAGAACCTTTTGAGTAGTTTATTTATACGTGGTTGATACAGTCTAATTGCAACATAAACAAGAATGAACCTTGCTCTAGCAGATAAGATGATTATTTTGACATTTTCTCGGAGGTTGATTGATAGATACCATGGCAGCTTAGTGCCGGCCAGTCAGTTATGACAAAAAACGTCGTGATACATCTCTGTCAATGAGGCTTTGGCTGGCATCGAGCTTGAAACAACCCAGCCTTTGGAGCTCTTAAATCAAAGAAAGCCACTGGAACCTAAGATTTGTGGGCATTTTGCCTCCGCGCCCCACAAGTCTAAAAAAAAGTTGGGTTATAAATAAGCACGAACAGCACAACAAGAGTGAAAGAAAAAGGATCTTTTTCACTAGCGTTTTTTCATTCCATTCAGCATCCCTCTTCCATTTCCTCGTCCATTTATGGGCTTGGCACATCCGAAAACTTCTTCACATTCAAACATGGAAAATATGCGCGAAACCCCGGCTCTCTCTCCGGTATTTGAGGGTCGTCTGTACCTACGTTCCGAAAATAAGCAATGGCAATTGCGACTGTTTCGTTTCGACGGTACGACATTAACATGCCTATCCACTCGAAAAGTCAAGCTTCCACCAGGAACGCGTCTCGATCCAAGTGTACTTGATTTGAACGAATTAGTCATGAACCGATCCCCCTCTGCGTCAGTAACCTCCCCTCTTCTTGCCACGCCTGCAAACAAATCTCGTACAAAACCTGGCGCTGATATGGCTGGGTACTATCAATTACCAAAGTGGACAGTCAATGTCGCAGATATATCTGGCATTTCCATGTTGAAAAACAATAAGAGAAAGAATCTTTTTACGAACCAAAATTCGTTATGTTTTTGTGTTCGGACCTACGATGACCGTTGCTACGTTTTAAAGGCTCAGAAAGAAAAAGATTTGGAACGATGGCTCTTCATATTGACCAAGATGTGGTAAGTAATTCATCCCCACGAGAGAAAATAAAAATAAAACCAGAAATTCTCAATGGAAGCTCAGTAATATGCAACTAAACTGTTTGTACTCCCAGGGACTTTGCTAGCGCATTACGATCACACTTCAACCCTGAGTCACAACAGCAGAACATCCAAGGAGCCAACTTACAGCATAATGACGATAATTTACCATTGGCTCAAACCATTAGTCCTAAAACCCTTGCCATTATTACCTCCCAGGATCAATTGCCTCGTCCTTCATCACAAAATGTCAGTCCTCATACCCCACCCAGCACCGTTCGAAAGTTGGTTCCTCCTCTTCCCATGGAAAATTACGGTAGATTGGCACAAAATTCGTCACCCACCGATGTGTATGAGCAACGTTACCAGATGCCACAGCTCAGCAGTGAAAAGCTCGATTGGATAGATGCTTGGCGAAATTCTTTAGCCGAGTTAGTGGCAAGTGATCCGCAAATCAAATTAGCTCCTCCTGTCATTGAACCTATCAAGGACGATGATTCCATGAGCATAGCAAGTGAAATGACCAGTATTACGACTCGCGCTCGGTTAAAGGCCGAAGAGACTGCTGAATTGAAACCGCCATACTCCAATACCACGGGTCTACGACGTCGAATTACAACTGGATCTCGACACAGTGCAAGGAAACCCACAATCAGTCGCCGAAAAGCCGGCGCCGCTGCCCGACTAAATATAGTCGGACCAGCACCTGAACTAAGTATGGTAGAGAAGGAGCAAATAGATGACGAATCATCCTCACCTAAACTCCAACGCAAGCGATCAAAAGATGTAAAAAATTGGATAGAGTCCGATCGTCGACCTGGACGCGCTTCTCGATCTTCGTCCACCCGACGGCCATCGTTTAGACGTCCAGACAACGTGCGACCATCGTCTACACCTGAAGTGTACAGTCTCAATTTCTTCCAAAGTACGACTCCTAGTGACGAAACAGATAGTCCAAAGGAACCCAACACAGCGTGGACGGCGGCCATCAATGCTGATGATAATGGGTTAAAATATCATTCTTCGGTACGTGGAAAGGCTATTCAGCTCGTGCAGCCTTCCGAAAAGAGCAAAGCGACTGTTATCCATGAAGATGCCGACGCAGGGCAAGTCCGCTCTCGCTCATCAACTCCTACTAGTAAACGTTCATCCAGCCCAGCTCCGCAGAGTAGAATACATCACAATCGTTCATCCAGTTCTTTGCGATCAGATCAAATTGTGTCTTCCTCACCTTTAACCAACCTCATCTACAATAATGCTCAGGCAAAGAGAAACAGTGATATGAGCTCATTCGACCTTGGTGCGGGGAATCCAAGGCGAAGGTACTCTGGAGGGTTCAATGGCGAAGAAAATGGACCTTCCTTTGCCGAAACCCAGCAAATGATGTGGCAAAAGCACTATCATTTGCAGCAGCAGCAGCATATGCAAGCCGCTGCTATTGCAGCGTACCAATACCCAGCCAACTATAGTTATGGAAGCATGCCGTCCCTCGTGTCGCCTGCCATTCCTCCCGTCTCTGTACAGCATTCATTTATGTCCTCCTTCCCCCGAAATTTTCCATCGGGCACCACACCTGACGACGACAAATACTTGGGGGCAGCATCCGATACCCCGGTCATAAACAAACGACATCAATCCTTATATTATCAATCAGCTGAAGGAAAAAGTTACAACGATACCTCCAGACTGTCCGACGACCTTGCTCAACTTCGGGTTCGTCCCAAGTTGTCAGTAGCTGACAGTGACGTGTCAAGCAGATCAAGGCGACCAGAGTCTTGGATGGGAACCAGGTCAACAACACAGCATCATGACCTTGGTACTACCAAACGGAAATCGATGAGCACTTTCAATAAGCTGCTGGATCAGCGACCTGCGATTCGTCAACATAACCACTTTTAATACCTTTCGTTTCATTTCATTGTCTGCGTGCGTTCTCTGTATCAAAATTATTTCTTTTACTTTCTTTGTTGCCCCATTACATTGCAAATCATCAATAAAACCTGTACCGCTCATTTCCTTTAGTTGTATGCCATACAAACCGTATCGGCATCCATCCTGATTGGACCGACCAGCAGAATTGGCTGGCATGGCCAATGAACCTAACCTACAGGTAGGGCCAAGGGCAGATATTTTTAGATAATGATAGTCTTTTGTAAACAGTGGGTAGGCACGCAGGTGTAGTATCTGGCACCGGCTGGTATGAAAAAAGACTTTGCTATCTGCAACACAATGGTGACTTCAGCGTCCCGTTGCCTTGGGACTCTTTGGCAAACTTTATATTTTCCACAAATACATGGGGGATAACAAACCACAATACAATAACTTTAATATGTCTTTTTTTGCGATATTTGTTTGCGAAATACGTTACACTCTGCTGCAGGTATGACAAAGTGAGTGGGTAATGACAGATCTATAAAACACTATATACTAGAGATATACATATGTACTATCTAGTTGGCAAAAGCAGGGATACCAGTGATGGCCTTGCCGAGAATGAGGGCGTGGATGTCGTGGGTACCTTCATAGGTATTGACAGCCTCAAGGTTAGCGGAATGACGAATGATGTGGTATTCGTCAGAGATACCGTTTCCACCAAGCATGTCTCTGCATTCACGGGCGATGTTGATAGCCTTTCCGCAAGAGTTGCGCTTAATCATGGAGATCATTTCAGGAGCAAGTTGGTCGCTATCCTTCAGACGACCGACTTGAATACAAGCTTGAAGACCAAGAGCAATCTAAATGAAAAGAAGGGGGTGAGATACATCATACCGTAAAAAAACATCGTATATCTCTATGGAAGCACTGCATACCTCAGTATGTGCATCGGCCATCTTCTTTTGAATAAGTTGGTTGGCAGCCAATGGGCGGTGGAACTGCTTGCGGTTCAAGGTATATTCACGAGCTTGGTCCAAGCAGAATTCTGCAGCACCCAAGGCACCCCAAGCAATACCGTATCGAGCATTGTTCAAGCATCCGAATGGACCCTTGAGACCCTTGACGTTGGGAAGCATGTTCTCAACAGGTACCTCAACATCATCCATCATGATCATACCAGTGATGGAAGCTCTCAGAGAGAACTTACCCTTGATAGCGGGAGCCTCAAGACCCTTCATGCCCTGTAAATCCCAAAGAAACCCCGCAGAAGAATAACATTAGACTATGCAGCACTTATCCATAACAAGTCGCTGAACCCTCTTTCTTGATCTTACCTTCTCCAAAATGAAACCACGGATAGCACCATCTTCGTCAAGGTTTCTGGCCCATACAACAAAGACATCGGCAATGGGAGAGTTGGTGATCCAAGTCTTGCTACCACTGATAACATAGTGGCCATTGACCTTCTTGGCGACGGTTTCCATACCAGCTGGATCAGAACCGTGGTTAGGTTCAGTGAGACCAAAGCAACCAACAAGTTCACCACGGGCTAAGAATAGAAAGAATGCATAGAACAGGTTAGAGAAAGCGATGCAATGACTCACACACTAAAACGTGGCTTACCGAGCTTGGGCAAGTATTTCTCCTTCTGTTCGTCGGAGCCATAAGCATTGATGGGGTGCATAACGAGAGAAGACTGGACCGACATGGCCGATCTGTAGCCTGAATCAACTCTGTGGAAAGGTCAGCGAAGGGTTCCCCCCAAATGGCAAATGCTCCACTCAACTTACCTTTCAACTTCACGAGCGGTCAAACCATAGGCAACAGAGGAAACGCCAGCGCAGCCATAATCCTTAATGGTGGAGCCCAAAAGACCCAGCTCACCCAATTCATACATGATATTTCTGTCAAAGACTACACGACCAATGAAAAAGCGGGGTTAATTACAATACGTGGGAAAATTCTCTCACTGCATCCTAATTCACACATACCTTCGTTGCGATACGCATCAATAACACGAGGCTGAAGTTTTTCTTGACAGTATTCGCGTGCGGTGTCTCTAGTAGAGTAAATAGATACGTTTAGTTTGATATGGATCATAGCATGGTATAATAGTTTGAGCAACCGTATTGATCTCGCCCGCGCTATACGTTTGACAAGGCAGTCTCTCACAGCTCCAGCCAAGATATCTTACCTAACAGCAATTTCCTCGTCCGTCAGTTGGGATTCGAGATTAAGAGGATCGACCCAGTTGTATTTAACAAAGTTCCTGGTCTGGTTGAAGACGGCAGGGGCAGAGAGTTTGTGAGCAGCAGGAGCCAACTTGCTGGCAGTAGAACGCAACATTCCTAATGAGAGCATGGTATGTGCAAAAAAGAGAATGAGTTTTCCAAAGAGATTGAAAGGGAAGTAGAACTCAAAAGGGCTAAAACTCTGGACGTATTATCGATGAGTCAGTGACTTTCATTGAAAGCCTTCCAGGCCTTTTAAAGAGACGGCTACACGTGATTCCCCGCAAGTTCACTGGGTGGGCGGACAGTGAATTAGTCAATATGTGTGGGTAGGTACAACAAAGGAGTTTATTTTATTTTTCAAAAGTTTTCTGATAGAACCAAAAGGAAAAGAAAAAAATCATGTACAAAGTAGAAAGGGAAAAAAAAAAGGTTTTGGTTATATACTACAAAAGAAAGAAGACCTTGTTGAGTTCGTATGAATGAAAGCAATAACCCAAGACATCATTTCTTTGCGTGGTGTAAATCCTTCATTGACGACCCCTTTTGATGCATCTTCTCATTATATCCGCCGGTCCGCGTTGACGTCGTTTTCGGTTTAAAAGGCTTTCGTGGCGGTTGGCGGCCGACTTGCTGCCAATCTTCTGCCTTTTGTCCAATCTCTGGTGACCAGTTCTCGCCACCTTTGTTCGCTTTGATCGATCCAGTCGTAGAACCTTTGGAATGGCGTTCGCGGCGTTCACCTTTCTTGTCTGCATCCAATCGTGGATGGTTAAGGTTTTGATAAACATGGCTATTCATTTTTCCATATACGCGTCTACCCGATCTGCGACCCTCTTCTTTGTCCATGATGGTATGATTCGCCATTTGCTGGGCAACGCTAGATACCTCAGATTCCATGGACGATGGAACCCATGGTTGAGCATGAACGGCGTCTCGAAGGGACGTTAATCCGTTCTGTCTCTTGTCTTGTTGAGGCTGCTTTCCGACTCCGTCGACCATCATCATTTCGGGCTGCACTTGGTTGGATCGGTCAACCCCGCTCTCCCAATTTCCCCCCCACCCGTCGTGCTTTGCTGTCCAGGAGTCGGCTAAAGCATCTCTTTTTTCCGGCCACCCATGTTTTTCAGCGTTGCTTGATTTAGACCACATACCATCAGGACGGTCTTCGCCCCACGATGTAGACGTTTTTTCGGCAGATGGGATAGTTTCCCAGTCTATTTTAGGCTCCCAAGCTTGCTGGAGTCGTTTGTGAGTGTTCCATCCAACATTGGATCTTCGGTCTCTGGTTTGTTGCAACAATTTTTTGTAGGATGAGTTGGATAGTTCACGATGTCTCTGCCGAGTGTTTCTCTGTCCATGATCGTGCCGTTCTCGCTTGGTCCTGTCTTCTTCATGAGGTATAATATCGTCCATGGCAAAGATACCATCATTGTCTCGCGTAGGTACGTTTTGAGACTTATACTGATCCACATCTGACCAAGCCTGTTGCTTGTCACTATTGGTATTTTTGGCCGTAGTTCCTTGATCAGACACCGTAGACAAAACTTCTACGTCATTTCCTCGTAGATAGGATCGATCAAAAGGTATGACATATTCGGAATAAGGACCATCCTCTTTCGCCCCTTCAAACAAAGATCTTAGGTAACCATAGTCAGGTTCATCGTCAAATTTAAGTGCTCTTGCATATTCAATGTACTTGAGGAAAGCCAAGGGAAGGCCAGCACATAAATCTTGAAGCATGATCATTTCCTTCGCTTCTCGCATTTTATCCCATCCCAATCTGGAATTTCGAGCTTGGATGCCAGTCCACGGTAGAGATCCCATGGCCAAATCAATTAATAAATAGCCAATGCTCTCCATATCATCTCGTCTTGAATGTTCCTTGCCGCGATGAACGTTGAGGGAGGCATAACGAGCGGTGCCCGTTTTATTACGAATGCGACGTTTGCCTTCGGGGTAGGGCTTATTTGTACTTGGATTTCGCCACCAGGAAGCTAATCCAAAGTCAATGGCAAAAATTTTAAGGGACGATGGATCTTGCTCCTCGAAAAGGACTTTGCACGAAGGTCGAGCAGCCTCATAAACCATGAACCCATTGTCTGTCTGAGTTTCAAAGCATTCAGGGTCAGGCAAGCGAAAGGATGCTGGAAATAAGAAGTTGTCAGGTTTGATGTCTCGATAGATGATGCCTCGACTATGAATGTGTTCTATAGTGTTGATCTTTGGGTGATGTTAGCAGCGAAATTCCAATTAGGACAGAAATTTGCCGTGATGTGGCTATTGGTACTGACCAGCTGACATGCAATATTCAGTGCAACATCCAAAGTGAAATCTGAAACAGCCTGTCGCAATAGTTTGAGACTTGGGCCAAGTAGATCAACCACAATACAATTAAAATCGTCATGCTCGCCATACCAGTGGCAAGCGGGTATGCCAGCTGTTGAAATCGTGTCAGTGATCCATGTTGGCCAGTAAGAAGATGATCGGGGCATATTTACTTACGTCCTCCTACAAGGGCATCGTACATAATACTTTCATGCTTGAGTTGGGGATGTCTCATTGATTTAGGCTCTCGTTTAATGGCATATGAACGATTGGTATCAATGTCTCGTGCTGTTGCAGTAATTCACGTTAATGTTATATTCATGGGCATTGTGGGGATTTGCTAAAAACGTTAAAACCTTACCTTCAAACACCTCTCCAAATGATCCTTCACCAATGCGGCCTAATACTAGCCATTGTTCTCCAACCAATATATCATTGCTGTTTGCACTTAGAGCGGTGCGTGCGCTTTCAACCGAAGAGGTGTAATGGGGTACTTGATAGGATGATTTAACAAACGTAGGTGACTCTGGGCTCGACTTCGTGTGGACGGCGTAGGTGGTTGACATGACAGATGCGATGATAGAGACGTATGGGGGGGACAATATTTTGCAGGTTATAGAGCAGGCTGACGGAAAAGTCCAAGGCACCACAATAGCTTTGTGGGGAGGAGGTCTAGAGATGCCTTGAGACTGTTTCCTGCCGCAGAATGGAAAGAGCTTTGACGATACGAGAGCAGAAGACTTCCTTTTTCACAACAAAGGAGTCTGTTTTCAAAAGGCGTCTGGACTACGGAAAAAGGCGAGCGGTGTGATGGGGCGAAGGGCAATGTCAATGAGCTGTTTAGTTAGGCGATGGAGTGGAAACAGGAAAAGTCGGGTGAGAAAAAAAATGGCCAGACAGCAGGTGGTTTGTAGGGAAAAAAATTGACTTGGAATTTTCAATAAAACGCTGTGATGTAACAGCAAGGTTTCTATAACATGTTTATTACTTCAAGTCATTATCGTTCAAATGGCTTTGTACATTATGAACTGTCAGATTGATTTCTTCTACGATGGTTTCTACCTCTGCCATGGCTCCGACACCTGTTACCATTGAGGTGTTAGCTCACACGGACATAGTAGGTCTCTGACACATTTTAGACTCACCAAGATCTCCGCAGGCTAATAGTTTACTGATGGGTGGTATAATCTTGTAGCCAAGGAAGGATTCAAGTGTTTCAAGCTGTTTGGCTGTAAATGGATGCGTCCACATATTGGTGTTCATGGCTGGGCATACCAGAACTGGTCTAGCCGGATCCCAAGCCCGAAGGACACATGTCTATTCAATGAAGTGTCAAGATGATATGTGCAAATCGTATTCTAAGATAGATGCACTATTTACCAGAAGGTTATCACAAAGTCCAGTAGCGACTTTGGCAAGCGTATTGGCATCCAATGGCGCCAGCACCATAACATCTGCCCAGTTGCGTAACTATATGTAGGTTCATAAGACGCCTATTCGTGTGACCCAGCCTACCATCGTGTTACTTACATCAATATGCAGAACGGGATCTTTTATTTGACGCCATGCCTGCCGTACAAAGAATTAGTTGGTAAGCGGGAAAACATAAAAAATTATCTATCATATGCAAAAATGGCCAATGTTACTCAGCACCAAACAGGTAGCGAGCACTTACATTCCACTCATCCTCATCTGTAATCACCTCTGCTTCAACATCAGACGCTTTGAAAAAATGGAGTGCAGGTTTTGTTGTGACCACTTTAATATCATACTCTGGATTCTGAAGGAACAAAAGGGGCGATTACTAAACACAGATAAATGGAATGCTATGGAGTCGAGATGTTTTTATTCATACTTGTCGTAATAAGTGAACAAGCTTTGGTATCTTAATGCTGGCCACACTCCCAGTAGCGCCGACCAAAATATGTAGTTTTCTAGTGGTTGATGGTGTTTCTGTCATGAGAGTTGCATTGTCAACGCAACGACACCAGCAACTCAAATATCCGGAAAATTTGGCTGTCACAGACCTCAGCGTTTGCCTTTTTTGCCACCACCGCTGAATCCTTTTTTCTTGCTGCCACCTTTGCTGCCGCCGCCCTTGCTGCCTCCACTACTGCCTTTTCCTTTTCCTTTTCGTTTGATAGCTTTGAGCTTCATGTCTTGTCGGTTAACGCGTTTGATCTCGGTCTTGCTCAGCGTGAGTGTTGATCCCTGCATTTTGCCAATACCGCTGTCGATACCTCTGTCTCGTCGTTTGCGTTCTTTAGGCTTGGAGGCTGCAGCATAGAGATGCTTCATAGACTTGTCGTACATTCCAATGTTCTTGGCGTGCTGTAACTTCTTTTCATCACGTTCCTTCTGTTTCTTTTCCATGCCCAGTCTCATCGCTATTGGTCGCTGCTCAGGTTTAGATTTCTTAACACCTAGACTTTCTAATTTGTTCATGTTGAATTTTCGTCGTTCTTTGCCGGACATCTCCTCCATTTCTAAAGCAAAAATGAACAGAGTTAGAACGTAAAATACCCGATGCACCACGTTTCCACCAAACACTATTGTTATCAATACGCACCATATTCTTCTAGTAGCTTGGATGTAGCCAATAATTCTTTCAATTCACGATCATGAGCCAAATTTTCCTCTTCTTCTTCCATTTCTTTGACTGATTTAGGTGGCGGCGGTGGAGGAGCTTCCATCTTGGCGACCTTCGATGACTGCGAGAGTAAACATTGAGATATCAGAATTAGCATTGTAGATTGGTTTTTTGAGGAGGGAGATCGTAGCAACTCACCATGAACGCCCTATAATCTGCTTTAGAGGACCCTGTTATTGTCTTTTTGACCGCTTCAGCAAAGACCACAACTTCTGGTCCTTTTGACTTTGTCGAATGGCTTGTCTCTTCTTCTTGTACAGTTTGCCCGTTGGCTACACTCGCTGAAAAATTGGCATCATCGAATGAGTACTTGCATTGATCCCAGTCACGCACAAAACCATCACCCCTTACCTAAGCCAAACAATTGATCTATTTCATCTTCATCCTCAAAGGCTTCCAAATCCTCATCAGGAAATACAGGAAGCTCTGAATCCACAGGTGCGACTTCCATTTTCTCAACTACCTTCTTCGCCTTCTTGGGTGTCTTCTTTGAGCTGGTGTCGACCGATTGCATAAACTGTTCTCCAAATTTGTTGAGCTTCTTCAAGAGATCATTCTCGCTAATTTCATTCTTCGCTGGTCTATGAGGAGTGTCAGTACCAGGATTTTGATTCACATGCATATCTACCACTAGGGTTAAACGTACATTGTTCGAGATTTCTTCTTTTCCACTAATGAAGTTCCTTCGCTCTTTCTTTTCTTTGCTTGCGACAGGAATGAATTGGAGTTGGACTTGGCCTTGATGGACGAGATCAGTTCGTCCACGGAAGGCATGTTGTATACGAGTAATGGATTATTCGAGGCTATGAATTCAGATCAAATGGCACTGAAGGGTAACTTTTTTTTTTTTTTTGGCGGCCAGTGTGACTGTATTTTGGAAAGAATGCCGGCATGTTTCCCTTCGAACCATCAGCGCTAAAACTTTCAATGATCTGAACTATCACAGTATACCTTTTGCTGTCCCACCTGGGAACAGTTATTTTTATGGTGACTCACAAAATGAGCAATATACGAGAAGGCAGATACGAGTCTCGCAAATACAGAGGATAAACATCCTAACGCAAACGTCGTAAGCTACCATAATTACAATGTTACTAAAGACATACTCAAAAAGAATGATGAGTAAGAAAGTGAAAATAAAAAGCAAATGTTAATACAAAGTTAACAGAAAATGGCTTTGTTCTTAAATAGGTGGTGGAAGCTTTCTATCAGGAGATCGTCTCAGCCAATCGTTCACCATTTCCTCGCCAGTTCCGCGATTTCGGTCATGTATCCAAGCTTCTTCGAACATGCTCGGAGGGACTTCTGAAGGAGCAATGCTCATATATCTGCTGTCGGGCTTTTCACTTTCGCTACGATCGTCAAACGATTCGTATCTGCCTCTATTAATTGGACGCATTGGAAACTCTTGACGTGGGCTTGAGGGAGATCCGGTGTTATATTGCTTGGTTGTTGGGCTGACCATGGTAAATGTCAGGGATGAGTTAGTGTACGGGTCAGAGATAGCGATGCTCTCGTGGCCAGTGTTGCGGGTGAGCGATGCGGTGTCGTTTGTCAAAGAGGTGGGGTATTCCACGATGGCGGGAGTCATGGGTCGGTGAACGCTATCTGTATGTTGCATCTTGCTTTGTTCGCCATTGTATGAAATATAGTTGGATACACGACTGTTGAATTTATTACCAGGCGCAGTATCATGTGCAGTACCAATAGGACGAGTTGATTCCATCTGTGATGTGACGGGGCCGGCATAAAGCTTGCGGGGGTGGAAGACCATGATCTTTGAGCAAACAACATCGTTAGTATTCGGATAACCTTACCCATCTTAACTACAGCTCATTGAACTTACAAATAACAACCACAAGAAGACTGTGCAGATGTTGACGTTGCTGATAAGCAAATCTAAAGAATGAACAGGTTAGTTGACATTGTTTCAATACTGAGGCAGTAAAGACGTGTAACATGATAAATACCGATGGCGAACTTGTTATGATTAATGATTGCATTTGTGGTTAAACCTAATATGTAGATATGCATTCAGTACCACGAAGAAAAAAATGGACATGCTACTTCAATGCTCGGAGATACTTACCGTCGACGCACAGAATGACAAAGGAAGCTCCGTACAAAAACAAGATGATAGTCATCAAGCTGTTTAAGATTTTATCAGTAAGGCGGTTCATTTCGTTGGTTGCCAATTAGGAGGATAATATTTTTTTGCACTTACACATTCATCTCCATAAAGTATGTTAGCTTAGTTACAATAGCTTTGCCGTTCGTTGCATTATGCGTCTTGCTAATTAAAGCTCGGAAGCGGAAATGGGAACGAACACCGAAAGCAGCGATCACAAGTGCTAGTGAGAGTTATCAGGAATATAAGCAAAAATCATCAGTTTTTCCTTTTGATCAGCTCTATGACCTACCTTCAATGCCATAGGCAAGTTCTGGCACAATTTCACTCTTTGTCATATCGTCGCGGAAGGCCCATTGTAGCACAGGGAACAACGCAATACTGATTACGCACCTTGAAAACAAATAATTTTTTTTAATGAGCCAATAAGACTAATGCAACACACAAAAGTTAGTTTGAGAGACATAAAGCACTACTTACCACGCCACATTAGTTTTGAACTCCCAGCTTCCCATAAAACTATGCTTGGCCACTGAGCTGGACAGATAAGACCAAAAGCATTGCAACAAGAAGAAGATACCAGTTTGCAGTGAGAAGGTCACACTTTCCATGTAGTTCATAGTCTAAAAAATCGAATCGCCGTGAGTAAAAGTTTGCAACGCCGATAATCTAGTTATAAGTCAACTTACGGGAAGAATGTCCTTAAACTCCTGGGGCCACAATTGATATGGTGTGCTGACGATATAGCCTGGAGCGACGGCAGTGTAACCGACTGTGTATTTGATTCTCGTCGTTTCAAAATCTATGGGAATCAGAGTATATTGTAAGTATGGGCCGAGTATATTATCACCGTACCTCTGACAATTCCTCTCACTTACCGTAAAACGCCTGAAACGGCATCATTATTAACATCATTACCGTTACTACACTTTTTAGTTCTCCCGTAAAGATTTTTCTGGGATGCAGACACTGTCATCGACAATTAGTACCAGTTCTTTGCACAGGTACACATCAAACTAAAGGCTTACCCGGAATCTATCGGTAGACCAGATGTGATATACTAGGAATACAAAAATGTATACTTCGATAACGGCTCGACCTGTAATGCCCACGGTTGTAATTGTGCTTGTGTAAGCAATTAAAAATTTACTATATCGCTGTCACTCCCCATCGCACAGGAAGGTGTGCCCTGATTTGAAGTGAATGTGATAGATTATGCTGTACGTACCAAGGAAAGAAAAGTCGCTTCATACAGTAAAGGTTATGGATAGTGAGCCGGATGGTCTATGGTATTGAGTCGAAGGTTGCAGAGGTGTTATCTTACCTCAAATGTGTCATTGTAAATCAAGTCGATGCTGGAACGTAGTTAAGGGTCTTTTGATTTAACGAAGCAGTGCTATTGTCTATAAGGATAGACCACCTGGCCAAAGCGCAAATAGAAAGAGAAAGAAGAGAGGCAAGAGTACGAACATGTTCTTGCTCAGGTTTTTCTTAGCCGTTTAACGACTAGTGGGCAACTCAATCAATCAGAGTTTTCGCAGTTGTATCACCTTTGAGATCAAACCTGAGATTTAAATTTACTGCTTCCAATTTTCTCCCCCGCTTGCCTGCTCCATAATGGCAGTACTACACGAGCTGTGTACAACTCGATTTTCATTTTTTGCGGTAGATCTGTTATAAATCCAAGTGGAATTGATGTGACTTGAGTACTTTTTGAGGTTATCTTTCTGTTGATGTATAAATATGTCGTCACTTCCACTTTTTCATCCATGGAAGAAATGGATTCTTACTCCTGCTGGCGAGCTAAAAAGAATATTCTGCTCTTCCCATTGAGGATAGCGATTCACTGCGGACTTCATATGGGGTTTGGAAATGACTTTCTGCGAAGAAGGTTGATGGTAAATTGAGTGGCGAGGTTTACTGGTTACACTGAAATCGGCTTGCATTTCGTGCGCCAAGATACTAATCATAGTCTAACTTACATCTCAGTAGGATAGTTTATCCGTAAAGCATAGCTGTCGGTAGATCAAAAGAGTATTTTTATTGATATGCAGTAGAAACATCTCCTCTCAATCGCATCTCAGGTTCAGATTGCCGCACGCGCTCTGTCTTAATTTGTCTTCATGTCCGTGACCCCGGAATGTGATACAAACACATGAGATCCTAATATCGAGGTGTTTTTGACGGGTACCCTCGAAAAGCGGATATGGATATATGAAGTACAATTTCTACCGTCGTACATGTCTTAAACATCATATTGCTATATTATATTGTACCCAAGCCAAGAATAGATGCTATAGGGACGACGGGGAAAAGAGGTTGTGTTATGCGGGAACAAAGAGGACAAGGACGTCGTGAAATCAATTTTGTCAAAACAAAAAAAATCGAAACTACGCAGGACACCTCAGCAAATATTTCATTATTTTACACAGTGCTTTATTGATAGAGTTAGAAATAGCAGTGGAACATCCAATTGTTATTGCCGGCTATATACGTGGAATTTACCAAGTCACACCTTTTCCTTCAATGGATACTTTAGGTGTCATCCTCTTGGGCCCTGTTTTAATGGCCCTCATTGTGTCCTTCAATCTCTTGAATTTGCCTTCGTTCTATGCGCAGACAAAAAAATTGAATTAAAAATTTCAGTCACCAGAGTTTTGAGCGATCCACATCTGCAACCACTACATACCTTTCCTTTCATTCGGTCGGCACGCACGGTGCTTTGTGGAACAATCTCAAAGTCTGAGGCAAGTGCTTGCGGTATTCTAGCATGCACAGTGTTGCTACTATTATACGATTGACGAAGATGAGTTTCAACCTCATATGCAAGCCAAACATTTCATCGTGTAAACTTACGATTCTGATTCATCTTCTTCTGTTGGTGCAGTGTACCTAGGTCGTCGATAAAAGTTGCTATAATATGAAAGGTTAGGTAAATGCAGGACACTCATTGAGAGAAACTGCTCCGGCTCAATAACATGAAAGATAGTCATACCGATCGTCTTCGTGATATTCTTTGGTTTGTAGTCTTTTTTCGCGATAATCAGCGCTACGGCGTAAGATGGGACGACTCCATTTTGCAACCAGTTGATCTGCCACCCTTTTCACCTTTGGTTCAATACGTGGGCATTTGGTATAAAAGAACATGACACGGCCAACACCGCTCTCTCTCAAGTTATCCGTGCGTATGGGTAACTGGGTAAAACAGAATCATTGCATTGGTAAATTATCAAAGTATTTCATTACGCTATAAAGTAGAGCCTTATCACTCACCTTGGCCAATATGTCCAGCATGTCATTTTGAATATCTAAACTTGGAAGAGAACCATCGGGCAGAGGCTCAAGCCAAAGTTTGATAGCTTCAAGGATCTGATTTTCTAAAAATTGTTCATGCAGGTTTGTCCTAAAATGCAGTATTATTACATGGCCAATATGCTCTCATAACATTCGAATTAGTGAACAACGTACTTGGTAAGAGCAGCAGTCACGGTGTTCAGCATCTTGAGCTTCGATATAGCGGGTCGCTTATCTTCATTGGCAGCAATATCATTGTATGCCGCATCCTTCATTCTATCCCTCAAAGTGGCCATCATCTCATCTGTATTTTTTTCCAATTCCTGCCAAAGTTGTGGGGAAACAATGAATTAGCCTCGTAAAAAAGGTGGGTTTGCTGTAATCTAGGATTCATTTCAAGATGTCTACATACATATTCGTCGACCTTCTTCTTCTTTCGTTTTCCAGATGACAATGCAAGTGCAAACTCCCTGTCCAATTCGTCCCGCATAGCTGTGACATGATCACAATTGTCAGCTTAGCTTACATCAAAGCATTGATTGACCATAAGAACGTCAAATACCTTGTTGGGGGTCGACTTCACCTTGCTCCTCTGATTCAACGTCGTCTTCTGTTCGTGCTCTCTTTTGCTTTTGCATTCTAATTTCTTCAGAAAGATCAATTTTTTCGCCTGACTCTTCATTGTCGTCTCTCTGTCGCTTTTTGAACGATGGAAGTTTAGGACGCGGGGCTGGTTGAGAATCGCCATCTTCTCCATCATTTGCCTCTCCCTCGTCGTAGTCGTCGTCTTGCACTGCGTGGGCTGAAGGAGCGTCTACATTGTCATTATCATACGGTTTGGTGGTGTCGGTGTTACCGGCTAAGGTAAAGGAATCAATATAAGCCCATTAGAGAAACTATTGGCTAGGCGAGCTATCGGTTATTCCAGAGGGTATGAATTGTACCTTCATTACCAAGATCATTGTCTTGATTGTCATCATCGAGGTCAGAGATTCCATCCTCGGATTCGCTGAATAATTCACGGTTGATGGCAGCCTATTTCGCAAATGAGTTGACAGTTGAGAATCTGGGCATCCATTGAGATGTTCATTACAATTATCTAGGCGAGTAGTAATTGTTTCATACCTGTGAGGTCTCTTCTTCGTAAGACATGTTTGCCTGTCAACTACAAAGGTTTTTTCGGCTTGCCAAACTCCTGCTGCCTTAAAGCTGTGCTTGGCCGATTGTGATGTCAGCATTTCAAATCTCGTGAGTACAATTTCTTTACTTTGCTCTCTCAAATCCCACCTGGATGAAAACGTCCCAAATTATTTCATTCCAACGATTGCTATCTAATAAGAATTCAGTGTCGCCAATTGAAGTCTCTAAGTAACCTACTAGTATAAGTGGACTACTGAGTAAAAAAATACTGGATGATAAATATACTTTAGGCTATCACTGAATAACAGCATAGGAGAAGAAAAGCAACATATAGCTCGGCAAGTGGCCCTAAACCCTATTGAGTTACTTAAACCAAACCTCAGTATGATTTCATATAGTAGTGCAAGCTCTATAGAAAGTGAGCCATACCAAGGTGAAAGTTAATGTGTGGACGCTCAAATGAAATACTAATGGATACAACTAAGCCAATGCTAGACCTGACTTCTGCTTAGCTGTGGTACCTTGGTCCGCCTTCAATAGGATAGGGTGGTAAAAGCAAAAAAAAAATGAAATCAAAATCAGTGAAGACTTTTACTTATTGAGCTCACCCACTCAATGATGGGAAAGAGTCAAACAATTCTAGGAGGATTTGACATGGTATTAGCATTCTGTCTCATGAACATCCTTTCGAACGTATCTCGAGAAAACCCTTCGATCGAGACTGTATTCACATAATGAACGAATACATTGCTTTTTATAAAAAGGATGAACTTCTTACTTCTGGAGGTTTCTAACTATTTGAAGTTACCTGGATTTTGTATATGCAATAGGACATACCATCTTTTGACACGGTGTTTTTTGATGCCATGCTGATTCAAAAGTTGTGTTGATGTGCAACTGATGGCAAATCGGCAAGTTCTATCAGTAAGTAATATACATGATTCGTCTAGCTTTTTTTCACAATACAATTTATGAAGAAAAAGTAAACACGTATATATAGAGATATTACTTAGCGAAGCAATCATCGAACCTGCCTTGTAATGTTTGCGTTCATGTCTAAGTGCGATCGTCAAAGAAGAAGGATCGGCAGCACTTTCAAACCTCGGCTTGACAGTCACTACCTCTTCCGATACCATCATTTTTCTTTAGCCTTTCCTTGATCTGATCACTTTTACGACTTATTGCTCAGGGTTGTGATTATGACGAATACAATTTTACCATAAAGAGAACGGCCTTGCAAATCAGGGCACTCCATTGTTCGGTTGATTATTTTGCCGTTCTGTTAAACGGCAAAGTGAATGACTCTTCGTCTTGACGTAGTAGATCTGTGAGCCATTCTTCTTTATACCTCTTCAACATGCCAATAGCAAAAACGAGAGAATACCTTGGCTCGCGTAAGCGAATGATATTATCCTACTTGAAGGATTGGATTCTTGGCATTATGTTCCTCGCCATTTTCCTTGCCATAGGTAAACTTTGACTTGCAGTCCTAGCTTCTGCCACTCCCACGCTTGGCAATCAATTTGACCCTGTTCATTAATACGTTGTATACGGTAGATTATGTCCCCCCATTCCATCAAGAGTTCTATCTGGACGATTGGTCCATTCGATATCCGTACTCAGTCAAAGAGCGCGTGAGCTTCACTGCTCTGTTGGTGGGTGATCCAGCATTGAACTGAAATATTCTGTTGATGTAAAAGCTAATATCGTTCTTCCATAGCTTATTTCTGTTTTGGCGCCGCTTGTGATCATCATAATTATCGCTGGCTTCATCAAGAGAAGTTTTCATGACTTGCATCATGGTCTTTTAGGTATGTTTGCATGTTTGTTACATGCAAGGCAACATGCATATCAGCTTACGACTTCCGATTAGGACTTTTTTTTGCTCTGACATTTACGCTCATGTTCACTGATGTATTAAAGGTAAGCGGAATAGCGTTGTTTAGGACGATAACGATGATATTTGCATTGTGTGTTGGTAATCATTGAATATTGTCGCTACTTCAAGATCACTATCGGTGAACCGCGGCCCGATATGCTAGCACGGTGTGCACCCTCTGTTACGACGTCACCCGTCGAAAGTTTGTTGAGTGTCGCTATTTGCAACGGGGTTGCCAGTATTGATTTGCAGGATGGATTCAAGAGTTTTCCTAGCGGACATTCGTCATGTAAGTGAGACATGTTGGGTATTTATGGGATTTTGCGACCCTCACTCGTCAATTCTGTAACTGACCTTCAATATACTAACGTCGGTCGTTCGCTCGGAAACAACTTTTTATTGCATACAGACTCCTTCGCTGGACTCGGATATCTCAGCTTGTATCTGTGTGGAAAGCTTCATATCTTTGACCATCAAGGACATGTATGGAAGAGCTTTTTGGTCATGGTACCCCTTATGGGAGCTATCCTAGTCGCCATTAGTCGTATAATGGACTATCGTCACCATCCTTGGGACGTGATATTCGGTAGCTTGCTCGGTAAGTAAGCCTTCAGTTTTTTTTATTTATTTTAGGACTCAGTTTTTTCAGGTGTTACACTGGTCCGATGCTATTCAGGGCACACACCGTTATTTTTGCCTCTCTGCAGTGCGTTAGATTGTGGTTGAGCCCAATATTACCAGATCTAATTTTATAACCCACCATTCGCTTCTAGGATTTGCCGCAGCGTACTTCTCATATAATCAATATTACCCCCCTCTGCACGCACACGATTGTCATGTGCCTTTCGAGCCACGCCACCATGTCAAATTGATTCCTGACGAGTCTACGGACGATACTACCAACGCTGATACAGCAACTGTGGGTCGAAATCCTGTGTCCTGACTGTAACACTGTGGAGCCTTGTTTGTTTAAAGTCAAGAACACAACTTTGTACAAGTCCGAACTAGCTGCTGTGTGGCTATGCCAAAAACTTTATACCTCGTCAGCATCATGGGCGCGTTTCAATCAAAGGAGACGGGATTCATCGGTTTCCCAGGTTACTGCACTTAATAATAAATATGTAACAGTTGAAATCTGGGTATTTTGACAGAGACGAGATTGTCGCCATCGCTTCCACCAAAAAAACGCCTACCGGGAATCTCACAAACGGAGTCCAACAAAAAACCTGCTGGCATACTTATTTTAGTAATGGAACTAAACCAGGATTTAGATTTGAGTTCTTTTCTCACTTTCCCTTTCGGTGATGATGGTGAAACTTTAGGAGAATGATTGAAAGCAAAGGGATGCATGGGTCAATGTTTTGAAACCGAATGGAATGTTTCAAGATTTCTATAGGAAGAAAAGAAGGATAGGACGTGTAAGAAAATAGTCATTTAAAAGCATTAGCAAGCTTTCTATTTTAATGGCATTGAGTGGCAAACCTGGTAGAAAGGTACCCCATTTCTAATTTCAGAGAGCGGCTTAAAAAAGGAGGGTGGCATAGACCTCACGCGACGTCGTATGCCCGACCATAATAGGCGGCCACAGAAAATTTTGTTGGTTCGGTAATATAAATTCAATTACATTTTGGATAACTTGTTAAGCTTCTTAGTCACTCATTCTTTCTCTATCGCAATGAAGCTACTGACAGGTCTTGCCTTTATCGCGTCCGCTGTCTATGCTGTTGCGGATGTTCAGTATAGTGTAGTTGCATTTCCCGCCGGAGGTCAATCCGTCTCTGTCTCTGTCGGTGGACAACAGTATCCTTTGGCAAACTCTGCCCAGTACCCTAACATCTATACTGGGTCAGCACCATCCGGATCTACCTACCAATATGTTTTGACTGGTACTAATGGAGCTGCCGAGTCTACTACTCGTAACTTGGCATCAGGCACCAGCAAGACCGGCAATGAATTCTTTAACCGCACCCAAACTGTTTATTCAGTTCCTGGCCTTCCTCAAGCTTTCAACCCCATCTACAACCGTATGTATAGCCTTCAATACATTGCGTTAGCTTTCAGAAAGCGCTCACCAAAACTATCCATTCTCTAACACATGTACCCTTTTTTTCATTTTTGACCGCAGGCTTGGAGACCACTTTTAATCAATCCACCGAAGTCAGCACCATCATTATGTGGGCTAACCAATCTACTTTGGATGCCATGTTGGCTGCCCCTACCACCACCACTATCAAGCAGGTTGAGACTTACAACTTGACTTACATCTCAAGCACAGAAACACATTTCTTTGAAGGTGTTGGATTCCAAGTTAGCGGCAAGTCTACCAAAGACTTTGCAAAGCAATCATACAAATTCTCATTCAATGAATACCAGAACAAAACCACTGACACCCGTAAGCATTGGTCTTATTTGTTGTTCGAGTTTGCCTTTTTGGTCTCTTGTTTATGCCTCTGTTAATTGATATTTACTCTATATGTTCTTGATCAACAGTCTGGGGACGTAAAGATTTTAAGCTCAGAGCTGACGAAACAGATCCTACCTTAATGTAGGTTACTACCATATCTCTTTGATTGCATTCAAAAGACCACCACCACTAACAAACCATTATGTTTTACGCATAAAGGCGTGAAAAGCTTATGTTGGACTCTCTTCTTGCTTCTGGAGCCGCCTCTCTCTCTGGTCAATGGGTTTGTACAACCGTACTACGGCACTAGTGAAATTGCTCAACCTAATTCTAATACAACTTCCTCGCAGGCTCGTCTCTACATCAACAATGTTCCATTTGGTCTTTATTTGATGATGGACGATGGCTCCTCCCATTTTTTTGAAGCCGAGCTCTTCGACGGCAATGATAAAGCTCCTTTGGGTGTAACCTACCAAGGAAACGCTATTGGTGATACTGTTCAAGGCAATTTAGTCTACCTCGGAAATGATTCCACTAAATACTCTGCCGATGCTTACACCGTTGCTGATGATGGCAATGTCAAGGCTGAGCTTAAGGCTGCTCCTCTTGCACCCCTCATGGACTTTTGTCAGAAACTCGGTGAATTCGATCCTTCCACTGCCACTGATGCTCAGCACCCTGGTAACATCACTGAATTGATAGACCCCCAGCACACCTTGATTCACATGGCCCTCAACTTCCTTGGTGGATCATGGGACGGTCTATGGTACGCTGCTAGTAACTATTACTTGACCCAAAACTCCGCCTCTCAGAACTGGACCATCATCACTTATGATTTTGATGAAACTTTCGGTAATGGTGCTACTGCCAATTTGGTCAACGTCTCTTACCAGAACTACGTTCCTACCAACGAAGTCCGTCCTCTCGCCACCAAGTTCTTGGATTCACCCTACTATAAGACTATGTTTGAAACTACTCTCAAGACTATTCTCAAGAGATTCTTCAAGCCATCCATCATCAATCCTCGTCTCGAAGCTCAAATGAAGATGTTGCAAGAAGACATTGCCTGGGACCGCTCTCTTACCAAGAAGTCTCCTGGTACGGATAATCACTGGACCGTCGACCAATTCCTTACCAATGTTAAGACTACCTCTGGAGGTATGATGGGCCTTGAAGAATGGGTTACCCAGCGCTCGGCTGCCACTTGCCAGCAGCTCAATATTACTGACACCGATGACCTTCCTCCCCTGCCTGCGCCGACCTGGAGCAACACCAACATTGTCACTAACACCACCTCAAGCACGAACGGAACTGCCGCTGCTCCCTCTGGTCAAGCTTCTGGAGCTCAGACCACCGCTGTACCTGCTTTGATGACAATCGTTGCTGCCATCACTGCATTTGCCTTATTGTAATACTAGCTGTAAACCAAAACAGATGTCCTCCCCTTTACTTCCACGTTGGTCGTTTATTTCACATTGAGCTTTAATACCAGTGTTACATGAACTGCTTTTACGCTATAAACGTATTATTTGTACTCCATAAAACTTTTTATTAAGGTCTTATAAGATAGACCTTTTCTTTTCGCAATAGCATGTAATGTCTGATAATGTTGAAAATCTTTTTATTGTACCAAAATCTGTGCATGTTTTTTTTTTGGGACTAAGGACCCACTTCGCCCCATGTTCTACCAAAGCGCAGCGTGGCTATCATAGACAGCCTATCAGTAGGGCCACAACAAAGTTACTTGGCGTCAAAGGGCCTCCGGCTGAGGCGAGAAGCTGTTATGTATTACTCCCATTATACTTTCATGGGGCAAGTGACCTTCAAATTTAGTTTACATGAGTACCTTATTCAGTAATACCTTCGCTGCTTGCACTTGTTCTGTTAAAGCCTTTCACATCCCTATTCCCAAGTTTAAACCAATATTACACCATCATATGCTTGCGTTACTTTAAGTGATGCTACAAACTTGAACTTTTGATGAATACATTTAATGCGACAGAAATAGCATGGTTGGTCTACAAATGAATGAGAGAGTATACAGGGGCATCCAATGCCTTGCGACCGTTCAAAAAGTCCAATTCCATGACGAAGACGTATTCAACGACCTTAGCATCGCACTTCTTGATCAGTTCACCAGCGGCACCAGCAGAGCCACCAGTGGCAATCAAATCATCAACAATGACAACACGGGCATTGGGCTTGATGGCGCTCTTTTGGACCTCAAAGACATCCTAAAACAGAGTAGAGAAATATGCCATGTTTAAGTATCCCACGGTCGCTCAAACACTAAAAAACACTGCACCCAAGCCTTACCTCGCCATACTCCTTAGCATAAACGGCTCTAGCGCAGTCGCCAGGAAGCTTTCCAGCCTTGCGAACGGGAGCAAAGGCAGCACCGAGACGAAGGGCAATCAGAGGTCCGAAAAGGAAGCCACGAGCATCAAGACCTATGCACCAGAACGTGATGAGTTTAGGCACTTATCGTGTTTCCTCTTCCCATATTAAAAACTTACCAACAACAACATCAATTTTCTCCTTGTGAGTGGAGGTCAAGTGGTAGACAATGTTGGTGATAAGAGCTTCCACGGCAGTAGGGTCTTGGAAAACTGGGAACATATCCTTGAAGACGATTCCCTAATGTAGCGTGGTCGTGTTAAATTTGGCTCCTAATGACAAGCAGCAACATGAATATATCTCATACCTCCTTGGGGAAGTCAGCATGGGTACCCAGCATGGACTTGATGCGCTCGATGTCGAAGTTGGACATGTTGGTGTTAATGGAATGAAAAAAAAAAACTTTTGCCGAAGTCCGATAGTGAAATTGGCGGAAAATGCGGGCACGTTTTATCTCTCGAAGTTTTTGGCTCACGTGCTATGTTATGAACAAAAACCATTGGGGTATAATCGAAGGTATGAACACATACATTGCAAAAATGATATTAAGCTGTAGTAAAGACTCTTTTCTCATAGTTTATTAACTTCTATTATAATTCATCCACATCGCTATCAATTGAAATTTTAAAATACATTTGACGGGTGCAAGCTATATTGTCATTAATTTGTTTCATGTGTGGCATAATAAACTATGGGGTAGGGACTTCAAATTCTGTGGATTTATACCTTATCGCCAATGACAAAGATCATCCTTTATTGCCTCGGTTACCTACAATCAATAGTTAGGTCAGTATGTTCAGTCTGTCACATTGATACATTGAATTTGATAGACATACCCCATCCCTTCGGGTTATCCTCTTTGTAGACATCCCAGTCCCGAGCCTTCATGGTTTCAGCGTCCAGCGCTTCATAATCGTTATCGTCAATCTCCGGCTTTTTGGGCTGGTCTTTTCCGCTATAAAATGTGTTTGATATTTAGTACCGTGCCAATTCTTATCATATAGTTGATGGATGATACCTACCCTCCTTTGATATGATTACCACGTTCTTCTTCTTGCTGAAGGTATTCGTCGATTGTCATGGTTGGTAGCGCCCATCCCGGCCGGAACACTTGATCTTTGAGTTCTTGTCGTTTACTTGTGATGATGAATGGGCGAAGTGGTGTGCCGGTTTTGGAGAGGAGCGGTCCAGTGGCGTTTCTTGGATCAATTCTAGGTTGGGGTGAGCGCTGGTCGCTGGTATCTCCACGAGCGGCGCGCTCTCGCATCTTCTCCATTTCCAAAACCATAACATATTCTTGATCTATTGACTGAAGGTGCTCGAGTGACTTTATGATCTGGAATTGGACCAATGACATGACCAGGTCGCGCTCAATATCCTCTACATCCATATCGCCTTCACCCGATGTATCTCCAGCCTTGTCTAAAATTTCTTGAAGTTCCTTGATTTTTGCTTCGGTTTCCTTTTCTCGTTTGTATCTATCAATCTTTTGCTCGCGACTGGTGGCGACATTTAAATTAGGAGTCGCATCATTGTCCTGAAATCGCTTAAAAAGCTTTGCATCGACTGGTGATATGACTTGATGGACTTCGCATGTGTGTACAAATTCAACAAGATATTTCTACGGGCGACGGATATTGTTAGTCCATGTGGAGAGATACTGGCTCACTGAGCCAGATCAAACGAGTGCTTATTAATGCCTCCTCTTTACCCACCTTTGCAAGGTCAAGAATCTCTTTTCTATTTCCACCAGTTCTCTGCAACACCAAGCCGCCGAGATACGCATTGACAAGAAGAAATCGCAAGTCATTAACGTTGATGTCCTCCAGAATCTCGTTTTCGCTGAAGATTCCTAATCGTTGTACTAGATCGCTGGCTTTTTCTAGGTAGGCGATCCCTTGCTCGACTTGGCTTTGAAATTGTGGGTCGGCAGAAGCCAGCTTGGACTCTTTTAGGCTGAGATAGGCGCCTTGTCCACGATTGAACAGTTCTGATAGTGAGAGGCTTTCCATTGGTATATAATAGACAGATCTAGCACTAGAAGCAGGCGTTATACGACTCGGATTTCTGCATCAAAATCAAAAAAATCACGTGCTATATAATGAGCTTACAATTTTGAAGCCTTGCAAAAAAAAGCAGGTCATACTTTTTGCCCGTAGATCTGGAATCTATTGCACAAATGTCGTCTAATGATCGCTACATGATGGAAGCATATGAGGAAACAAGACTCCAAAAACTGAAAAGAAAGTGTAGAGAAGAACCCTTTGTACCAGCAGGTAGTGAAATGACATAACGTGCAAAAAACTGTAAGAGTTTGTGTGAATAGCGCATTAATCGCTTTTCTTATCCTGTAAGGTGTCGCATTGACTTGCTTTGCTCTTGGAGCAGCTACTTATGGTATGAAGAAGGGTAAAAGAAGCTATGCTAACAATATGTTGAGAGTACGAGGTAAATATATCGAATTGAGATCTTCTTTAGCTGGATAATAGGATACTGACTTATATATTCATAGTGGCCGCACAAGGTGAAGATCTGACCGTATCACATACAACACATTCAAATGTCTAAACTAACAAATTCATTTAATCACTACAGGATTTACAATTGCAGCTATGATTGTGGGATCGTTTGTGTACTCCCAGAATACCAAAACATCTGCTCGCGAAGGCACTGACAGTGCTCCGTCAAAGCAACAATAGCCAGCATATAGTGCTGTAACAATTATATCACCCTCGACTCACTTCCCTCGGACATTGTAGTATAACATTCAGGAAGAACAACATTTTACTATAATCGCAACGGCCATAAAATCTGTCTATTCGATGTGTTTTTCATTTGTTCTTCTTCGTCTTTTTAACATTCGGCTTGACCCCTCCAGTGCGTTGAAAGTAGTAGTCCAAGAACTCTATCTTGTCTCTAATCCCAAGCGATGTCTTTCTAAGCCGTGCGATGCCTCCCAAAAGTGTCAACAACTGAGCACCAACGCTATCTCCATCATTAGCAACAGCATCCGTGGCAGCATTGGGAATGGCAGCTGTAGGAGCTGCAGTTGGGCTTGTAGAAATCATGTTTGCAATACTGAAATTCGGTGATGAAGGAGATTCATTTGGTGCGAGCCATTTCACCAGCAAAGTGTTTGATACCTATAGAACCTATTAGTGATCTTCATCTGTCATCCAAAGATCCCAATGTTGCACTTACTTGGCAGCAAAGTTTCAAGAAATGAACAGCCTTGTTTCCAACGGTGTAGGTTGGAGAGAAATGGTTGTATTCGTATCTGGAAGAAAAGCATTGTTAGGGCGATGATGACTGCATGGATTGTTATTTCAGATGCTCTTGTTAGAACAAACTATTGACGTACTTCAAGGCTAAAATATGAATTTTAACCTCTTTCTCAGGTAAAGAGAAATCTTTGAATAGAGGAATGAATTTGAGAAGTGCTCGACCGTTGGAAGTTGTTCCCTGTATAACCAATGATTAAAAAGTGAAAAGAGTTGCCTGATAAACGCTTCAGGAAGACTTACTTCGGGAAACACAACAATAGGACCCAATCCTTGCTTCTTTGCCAATTTAGAAGCCTCTTTCAGACTATATGTTTTTGCATCCACTGATAATTCAGGGTATTTTCCACATTGTGCAATAGCCTCCTGTGCAGTAATGAATCTTACTTGATTTGTGGTGGCATCGATCTGGGTGAACAATGGCGAAAATCTAAATTGGTGGATGTATTGTATCAGATCTGTTCTAGCAAACAGGTCTCTAGTGTAGCATGAAACTTACTGAAAGGTCAAGTAGAGAATATCAATGTAAGAGCTGGAGTTGACAATGATCACATCGCCAGAGCCTACAGATACCGAAACTTGCTTCTGATTGCCAGCTGAATGACCACGACTGTGATATAAAAGCAAATCAGCAATACGAAAGACCGACTTGCCAGTCTAGGCCTACTCACCCTCTACGAACAGATACGTTTTCTGAATGGATAATGTAAAATCCTATCACAAATAAGGCCATTCGAGCCAAAATCTTCATCCAAACCGCGTTCCATGTTCGTTGTAGCGGTGGAGCTATCGACTATAGATCCGGTTTAATCAACGGTGCCATTGTAATTCATGGTACGTGAAACGGAACCTACCAAGATGCCACCAATGCCACTGATGAAAAGAACATACAGGCCTAGCAGCACGAATACTACTGCGACTCTCACAATAGCAAGAGCAGGACCAACGAGCAAGCGAATAACGTTTGTGCCAACTGAAAGTACAGTCGTTTCCGATCTTGGTGGCTGAAAACAGTAAAAAAAAAATTGGGTTTACTGAGGTTGAGCAACAGCTTTCAGTCTATGGCCTTGTGAATGTTGATATCTTACGACAGGTGGCAAAAAAGGTTGAATTCCTGTACCGGCATCCTACAGATTGCCAATCAAACGTTTGATTTAGCTACAATCACATTGCCTTTCCATTTTAATCATATTATATATATACCCTCCAGCGTGAGTACTTCTCCATGGTGTGTTAGATAGCACTAACTATACAAATCTAAAGTTTAAAGAAGTAACTGGAATGCTGTCGCTCTTGGAGTTCCAATGAAAGTACTGTTGCGAAATTCAAACGCCGCCAAGATGTTCTGTCCCCCCCGTCTCCCAACTGAATTAAGGGCTGCCAAGATTGGTCTCCGTACTGACACTGTTGTCTTCACCACAGTCCAGATCATGCAGCTGCTCCTCTAAAATTGATATAGAAGCCACATCTCGAACCGATTCATAGAGGACAATCAGTAGTCCAATCTTTTGTCTAAGTATCGGCTCCAAGGTGCTTGCATACTTGCGAATTGAATGTGGATGTAACTCGACCTCCGTTTGAATTTGTTTGATGAGTTCGCTTTCCCTTCTTGATAATGTATTGACTTGAGAATAGGTGAAACGGTGCAAAAGAGGAAGGGTCGAAGATAAAAAGTGCTCGTACTGAACCTTTGGTCGGGAGCTGCACAACAACGACGGATCCATTTGCTTAAATTTTACAAATTCACCACTGGTACTTTCCGAAGGTGTTTTTGAAGCACGATCTTTTCGCACCCACTTGCTGTCACCATAGATGTCGATGAGCTGTTCTTCAATGCTGTCATACCCCATGTTATTCTGGTCATTTACTGTCAGACGGGGTGACCTTCGATGTTGAGGCTTGGAATCGCCTTGGTAAGGTTCTGTAACTGACTGAACATTGTTAGAGGTAATGTTTGAAAACAAAAATATAATAATATTTATTTCTCGCACAGGGGGATCTGTTTTACCTTTAATGCTCAGGCTTTGAACTTCAGGGAGGCTTTCGCTGCTGATACTTTGTACTCTCACTTTTAAGTCGGGCATATTTGGAGCCGCCTCTAGTTTAGGCTTCAAGATGGAAGCAGGCAGTGACCTTGATTTCTTGAGAGATCTTGCAGTTCTCGTACTGGATGTTTCCTTTTTACTGGGTATTATCGAACTGTGTGCGCTTCGTACATCTCTCCCACCTTCTTTTATCGTATGCTTTCGTGTTGTTTCCTTTCGGCTATCAAGACTATCGTCGCTGTCGCAATGAATCCTAGCTTTGCGATCAGCAGCTGCTTGTCTAAGCTTTTCTTGTCTTGCACGCGATCTCTAAAAATAGCAGTGTTATTCAGCTTTCAACGGACGGTACGCAAATTGCAAAAGCCTTCCGTACTTGTACAAATGATTCTGGTATTGAGCTCTGGATAGGGACTTCTTCGGTACTGAGTGAATTCATTGTAACGCAAAATTAGGTAACGTTCCAAAAAGAAAAATATATGAAAATTCGCGAAAGGGAAGAAAAAGAAGAGATCATCCCTTTCAGGAGTCAATACCATATCTTTATTGTATTTGAGAATGGGGGTATCATGATCATGTGCGATTCTACCCTTTCCGTACGCAAGATCCAGGTTGTTTACTCTTGCATGGAAACAAGGGTTTGCATATGTTCTGAAAGTTTGCATTGATCAACCGCACGCAGCTCTGAAGTCGTACGTGCGCGCGTAAATCGCAAGAACAATGACAGTTTCGAAAAATTTTGGGTTGCTGAAAATTGCTGTCAAACGCCCTGCATCTCCCGAATGAATAACACATTGTCAAAATTTCTCGATCATCTTTCGAGCACTGAGCATGTGAATTTATCCAAAGTTCAAGTTAAACACACGCCAGACGCTGGATATGGTCTGTTTGCTACGGAAGACTTCTCCGCTGACATCGCCGAACCAATGGTGACAATTCCGTCCAACTTAATTGTAACCGCGTCAAAAGCATTGCAATATTTAAAGGAACATAACCGTCAACAGTATAACGAGCTAAAAGAGTTACCAAAGAATAACAAGACAATTGAACGTTACTGTATACTGTTATTTTTAATCTGCGAAAAGAACGCTGCAACGCCATCGTCGTGGAGATACTACATTGACATTTTACCAACCTTAGACACATTGAAATCCTCACAAGCGTTCTTCTACCAGGATGAAGAAATGCAGTTCTTAGAAGGGACCTCCCTCCATAAATCCATCATGGAGCGACGAAGCAATGTTTCAAAGCTGTTGAAGCAGCTTACAGCTCTGGTTCCATCCGCAAGCAATGTCTCCTTGGACGACTGGCAATGGGCGGACATGGTATTTTGGACCAGAGTTGTTAGCATCGACAGTCAAAAGCAATCAAAGGATAAAGATTCATCTGAAATAACCCCTGACTATGCCATGGTTCCTCTCTTGGATTTTGCCAACCATTCTCTAGCGCCGAATCTAAGGTGGGAGCTGGATAGTGAAGGAAATTTTCAACTTCTGGCACACAGTGAAGGAGGTAGCGCTGGAGAGCAGCTGTACTTCTCATACGGCGACAAACCAAATCAAGAATTGCTATTTCTTCACGGTTTCTGTATACCAGATAATCCAAATCCGGCAAAATTCACTATGTCAGTTATACCTCTCATGATGATGGACGAAGATACTATCGAACCCAAGATGCGGTGGTTACAAGACATTGGAGAGACACATACGCTAACTTTGGAGAAAAATCCTCAAGGTGACGAGCATCCATTGATGAAAGCAGGTATCACCAAGCACTCGGCAGCTCTTCTACAACTCGCTGTGCTCGACGTTGATGATCCGATTGATTTTATACTAGAGGATGACAACCTGGTGCTATGCTTTGAAGGCAAGCCACAGGCTAGCTTAGATGACTTGCTCGAATCTGTCAGTCGCTACGAACTTTGTCCAATTCAACACTTGAGAGCATCTCTTCTTCTCTCTCAAGCTCTGGGTGACCACTACGAAAAGATAGCGGAGACGACAGAAGAAATGAAAAGCGCATCTCATTCAGACAACTCTGTTATTCAGAACATTCTCATTTATGCCTTGGAGGAACTTGCGCTTTTGGAAAATGCCTTGTCTATACTTCAAGACGTCCAATCCGACCTTGGAAAGGATCCTAGAGTCTTACAATACATTGCTGATAGCCAAAGTGCAGAATAACAGCAACATAACTCCAATAATATAGATCCGCAAGGAAGGTTAGACGAACATACACGTCCATAACTCATAATCATAGAAATCTGTCGATCATGCTCATCACAATACATATATTTTTTATTTCCACTAAGATTGCACTTTATTAATTTCTAAGGCAGGCAGGTTGACCGGTTGTAAGACGGTGATATAAAATTACAGAAGATAATAATTAGAAGGACCCTAATGAATAGTCATCTTGGTACCAGTAACCTTCACCCAGGCCATTTTGAACAACGGGAATTTCTAGGCCACCATGAGGAACTTCGACGCGATCGCCAGCAATCTGCAGTAACTTGACCTTCACACCAATTTCCGTCAGAGAATGAATGTATTCTGCGGTGTCTTTGCTAGTGATACCTTTGTCTAGCAACAAACTGAATCCGTCCGTCCATTCAGAAAACAAGGCAGTAGAGCTACATCTGAATTCTGCTATAACAGCTTTTGAAGATGTAAGAAGATTAAAAGTCTGTTGCGTCGATTCAGGATTTGAAGTAGATATTTGACCGGGAGAAAGCATAGTGGTTTGACCGGCTGGGGGTATAATGGAGGATTGTTTGCTAGTCACCTGTACTTCTGCAATACTAGAAATATCGACTGATATTTTATGAATAGGTTCCTGTTAGCCAAATGCATTTGCCATATAGAATATATAAGAAAGGGTTTACTTTTTTCTGTGAGCTTGTCATAGCTCTTCAACTGCGATGTAACTCGCTCAGTGAATTCCCCATAGTGCAATTGCTTTTTGGAGGGACTCAGCTTAAAGTATCGCCATCTGTATCCAGAATGGGCGGTACCAGAGGCAGCAATGGTCATAGCATGACCAGATGATCCACCTATAAGCACACTAGGATTCATCAAGGCAGGGTTGTTGATATTTCCTATGCTATTTGGAGAATTTAAGTCTGATGTACTGCCCGGTGCCCCGCTTGATCCCGCCAGAGCATTGCTTCTTGCTGTAATTGGAAACCATGCACCTTGCATCAAACAATCTATGCGCTGTTGCTTAACGAATTCGTATGACTCCTTATATAACCGTTGGCGAAGATTTCTAGTAAACAACAGTTTGAGTTTTATGTTGCATCTATCAACCTCTCGTATGGCGCTACTGTATCTTCATACCTTATCGCCTCACGACCAAGAAGATCGTCAGCCCATTCAAGTTCCTTAAGTCTTCTGTCACGAATTACATCGTATGGAGTCTCCAACATCACTTTGTCGAATTCAAAAATGGTCTTTACACCTTCGTTTTTCAATGCATATCTGATCTGGCTGCGAACCAGAGCTGAAACCTTTGAGAAATCATACGTTGTCGCCTCCATATCATGAAAGATTCGAAAGAATAGATGCAAAGTTGTATGGTGAACTGAATCGAAGCTAAGCATCAAAGGCTGAAAGTCTGATAAGTTGGCTGTTATGGAATTCAAGAAAATGTTAGAGCTGGTTTGAAAACGAAAAACATATGAAATATTCATCATGGGTTGGAGGTATTGTTATTTACCATTGGAGGATACATTCCAATAGTCACTGAGAAGATCTGTGACTTCAATACTTGCTCTTGCAAAGGGACACCGCCTTTCATGTGTCCGATGTACTTGCTCCAAAACCATCTAAGAAATGAAAAGAATAGCACTTTTTGAGCTTTGTGTATACGTTGATGGAGAATTAATGGAAGCTGAGGGAGTCAGTCATTCTCACCTTTGCAAATGTATCCTTATCTCTGACTGCAAAGCTGTGCATGTTCTCTAGGCCAAAAACACCAGTCCGTCCAAATTCTCGTTGTGGTATTTCCGTCTACTTCGATGTCAAAAAAAAAGAAACCCTACCGCAAATCTACAATGTACGATTTCACACTTACCGAAAACCCAATCTTCTTCCACTTGCGAGCACCCATTACTTCAACGTTTTCGATGTTGGCGGCCTGCCAGATATCATTCAGTAGCCTTGCGTGACGAGGATTGCTCAATGAAACCATTGTCTTCCTTCGCTTGTGAGCGTTTTTGGTATACGCAGTTTGAAAATCCAATAAATACGTTGTCAGCTCCTCCGACGGATGATCATTCATCAAGCGCTGTATAGGGAGAGCGAAATTTAGATCTTGATATTGTACACTATAGCCCATACTGCTCGCCCAAACCTACAATAACAAATTTTCGAACATTCAAGTTCTGTAGAGATTCTGTCAGATCTCCTCTGTGTTCGTCAGTCACATGTTTAAGCATAGTCGTGATTAGTTCCAAGCTGTTGAGGCAGAGCAGGTAGTCAGGGCTCTGCAGTCGCTGAACCAAAGTCGGTAAGAATTCTGTTTCTTCTTTGCACGAACGATGCACAAAATTATATCCATAGCAAGTGACTGGTCCTGATCCGGGCAGTTTGTCGGCGCTGACCAATTTTATCAAGATGGCTGTCGCTGGTCTGCACACGGTAACTAGGGTCTGTGAGACATCTATTGCGACGATAGTTCGAACAAAGTCTTCATCCAACGTATCCCATCCGGATTTGTGTTCCATGAGAGCAGAAAGTGAGTTGAGGGCGTAAGCAAGCGTATTACCAGTGGTCGTTTTAATGATATCGCAGAGTGACTGTAATCCACCGCGTTCTAAAAATTCCCTTGCAAACTCTGGTTCCTAGTGAAAGAAAGGATCGATTGATTAATGATTCGATTCAACTTGGGTCTTCCACATATGTTTTTGCCAAAAGTTGACATTGTCAGCTTACCTTTAGATATTTCTGCAAGGAGAAAGTTGCAATCTTTAACACCTTGTCATCTTTGGGAAGCGGCTGACCAGTTTTGGGATCTGTCAAAGGAGGGCCGCTGATAGACATACGCTTGACCATATTTTCCGCTTCTTCTGGCGAAGGTGAAGTGATGACATCGCTAGATGTGGTGTCATTACTCATTTTGTTCTGGATGGAGATCGAAGGCGGGTGTTTCAAGAGGTTACCTATGCATTAAGTGACTGTGATTTTCCATCTGTCTCATCATGTACTCTGAGCTGTTATCAGCGACGATCGTTAATATATAATAAATTTCGTGTCATGTTATAACATATCATGTTTTCAATTTGGAAGTGTGTTTTTATTATACAAAAGCATCCATATCTTGGCTACTAAGGCTCATCAGGAGCTATCAGTGGTCAATTGAGAAATTTAACCACGTTATTGACAAGGTAAAAAGCTCAACGTCGGCGATCGTAATCCCTTGAACGTGATCTTCTCCTATAGCTTCTATCGTAAGATCGATCTCGCGAACGATCGCTGTATCTGTCTCGCCGGCGCTCATCGTCTTGTTTACTACGTTTCTGGTAGTCATCGAACTCGTCGCGAGGGCTCGCACTTCTATCTCTTCGTTCCCGATGGCGGTCTCGGCTATCGTGTCTGCTACCGTCGCGACTGTTGTGGCGGGATCTTTCACGACTGTATGGGCTACGGCTGCGGGATCTACGTCGATTTTTTTCATACTTAGAGCCGCGGCTGTCATCACGACGTCTATATCCGTCACGACTGGTGCTTCGCTCTCTCCCAGAACTAGATTTTTGAAAAAAATTGGCGTTTTGCAATTATGGAATTGATGAGTGCATGTCGACAAAATAGCTTGCTTAAATGTATCCTTACCTTCGTCTATCATCGGAACCTTTTCCTCCACCACGACCCTTACTCTCACGATCATAATCGGCTATTTTCTTTTCGATATCTCTTGCAATAGGAACTGGTATGCGAGGTAACATTGTGCCGTAGAATTTGATGTCGGTGAGGAGATGTCTGCACAATTTGCCAATGGTACTGAGAAAAGCGTTGGGTTTAGTACACCTTGGGTTAAAGGCAAAACCACTCTGAACAATGCATTACCTCTTGGTCGGTTTAGTTCCATGAGTCATATCGATCTCTTCTTCATCGTCAATGTATGGTCCTAGCCAATCCCATAGTTGTTTTGGTGCACAGACATATCTGAGGTAGAGGAATCCAACCCCACGAATGTACCTGTATCATACTGTCAGTATGTGACGGTGCACTCAAGTCGTATAACTTTCCCACATCAACTTACGGAGAATCTGTGTGGTCAATCAACCCCTCCAACTGTTTAACAGTCAAGCGCTGGGTCCATAATTTGAACAGCAAGCAAAACGCGGTTGATGCAGTAGTTCCCTTCACAAAGGGTTCTACAATTGTACAAAATGGAGTTAGAAGGCAAAGTCTGAAGTTGCTCCACAGCTGTAGATAAAGGGCATACATGCTCTGGAATCCTTACCCAGATTGTACACTGTTATAGTTAACGAATAGATTCGATTAGCTGACAAGCGCAATATACTGCAATCCATGTAATTGAGATCGACAGCTCACCTTCATTATAAATTTCGTCCACGATTTCATGATAGGTTTTTTTGTCGCTGTTGCAATAATTGATTATTATGCATATTCAAATGACAGATCAGAGAATGAAGCATTACTCACTATAAGCTCTTGAAGTACGGCGATGCCAAAATGTTTTGATAGATAATGGGGTTGAAGTTCATATTGGTTTCGTTGCCCCATGTCTCCAACTTATTCGAATCTCCCATGGTGGCAGAAAAAAAAAAGAGAAACTGATTCCAAGCGGGAAGGTCGATGGAAATCTTTTGAAGCAATTTGTTTGTGACGTCAATTTGGCTTCTCAGGTCTTCTCCTGTCTTCTCTCAAAAAACCTCGATGATACATTTTCCAATAGTAAAAAACGTTTATGTAATAAAGTACAAATCAATGACCTCGTAAAATATATCCAACTGATTGCCCATATTGGAAGTCTACTCAAGAAATCGTGCCTAGAAAATGGGATAATATTGAAATGGTTGAAATGAAAGAAAAGATCACATACACATGATCAATTATATGATCAGTTAGAGCCACTTTGTCTGTCGACCACCATCAAACTACCGACGAACGTCAAGTTCTGAGAAGTTGGAAGGGGTTGTCAGTAAATTGTCAGTAGGGAGTGAAATCATACCAAAGAAACCACTTACCATCTTTGCGCGAACCTCAACAATATCTTCAGGTACCAAGAAAATGGTTGCTCCCAACTTACGTGCAATGGAAATTGCAAGTTTTGCGTTGTTATAGTAGTCGTCATCTATTATATAGGTACAGGTTAACCCAAGCTGCAGATATAGATGGGTAATCCATGTTATGTGGTACTTACATGAAGTGCCGCTGGCAACCAAAGAGTAATCGACATATCCAGGCTTTATACCGTTAAGTACATCCAAGAAGAAGACACCGTTCTTCAAACTTCCATCCTTGAAAGATGACATCTTGCTAGACTTTCCACCTCGCTTAACAGTGTCATTAGCCCAGCGGACCATATCTTGATCCGTGACAGGTCGTCCACCCTTAGACAAGGATTGCAAAGTGTGAATAATGTTTTCTCGCATCAATTGCCAGACTAAGCCGAGGGTGAGTGTGCGCTGGCCATCGGTAATATCTGCGCCTTGAATACCGACCAAAGAGAAGCGGCGTTCTTGACCAAGCATGACAGCGTAGTTACAGTTTTCAATCATCTTGAAACGAGAAAGTGGTTGTTTTCTGCTGACTTGACGCCAATTGACACTTCCAGCTATAACCTTGTCAAAAGCTTGCAACAACACGGTACCGTCCTTAAGATCCTCAAACAAGTTGTAAACACCAGGGTCAACATCCAAACTGTTGAGCCACAAAGTGAAGACTAATTGATGGATGCCGTTAACAACATGGTATGCCTAGCTGCTATTTCCAAATCGTAACCTTACCTCGCGCTTCTCTTTCGCCTTCAGCGTCAAATGGCTCAATTTCAGGAGCTTCCTCTTCAGTCAAAGGATCCAATCCTGGGTGTGTGTTGAACAAATGAGCAACGAAAGCAAGGTTAAGCTTAGGGTTACCAGCAATTAATGCGGTGGGAGTAAGATATTTTCGGCATTCAATCTTTTCAGCATTGTCCAAAACCATCTCAGCACGGGTCAACAGATCGCGCTCTTGGAGAGGTGCACGAGAGCAGACATCTGGCTTCAATTGGTTCAAGAGTACAGTGTAGTTTTCACCATCAGAAACATCCTTGCTGAAGTTGTTCACTCTGTATGGGATGGTTCGATCATCAGTAAGAGAGTTTTATCGCCATTGCTATAAATAAATAAACAAAAAAATGGCAAGTTATAAATTCCACGACACATACCTTCTGTTCCAGTTAGCAGCCTTCAAATGGTAATTGAACCATCTGAGAAGAATTTGGTCCGGGGGAAGTCTCAAAAACTCATCCAGAGTCTCTCCGTCCTCAAGCAAACGATACAATTCAGGATGAAGCTTGATATCAATCTTGCTCAGCAAACCACGCTTGATGATTTGCCAGATAAGTCCAAGAATTAAATGCTCACGACCTTCAATAAGATCCTGGGAACCAATGTTAACAACAGAGCATCCGATAGCCTTGGCAGAGTTGATAACGATATTGTTGTTTTCAGTCATTTGGAAGCTGTTAATCTTCTTTCCAGCATTAAGAACACGCTCATCAATGGTGTCAGGAACGGCGTCGTTGATGAGTTTACACATAATCAAACCATCTAGAAGAATCCATGGTTTTTAGTTTCCCACAGAGTCACCTAAAGCCATGACAACATTCGCCTCGATTGACCTACCTTTGCACTCATCGAAAAGTTGCATAGTATTTGTGGGGATGGGCAAACGGTGACCGATATGACGGTCGCCGGCCATGACGCTGTTAATATGTCTAGTAAATTCAGTTCTCTCATCCTCGTTGATGGTGTGAGTGACGTTAGCATTTGTGCCGTGGACCTTGATCTTGTTTTGATGAACATCGAAAGCACCCTTATTTACACCTTCTTTCAATTTGGCTGCAAGCTAAAATGGTTGTGTTTGTTAGTATTTTGTCTATGGGATTTTTTTGTCCGACGGAATTGATATTCCGTTCCTCTACGGTTCGTGTCTCGCAGTCATGCGTTATGGGAATTTGGCCCACTGTTTCAAGTCTTGGCACACCTTTGCATCATTTCATGGCTTCATCCAACTCCTCCTCCGCGCTCAAGTGACAACGCCAAGACTAAGGCTTCGAACGGTCTGCCTTTGGATCGCGCGGCTATGACGAACACGACAGAAATGGCCAATCATGCAAGCGTCATAGGCCAAAACGCCTCTCGAAACAGTGCTCCCATGCCACCTGCCTGCCGTCATGGACACTACATTGAATGAATACATACCTCTACAAACTCCTCGGCATCAATCTTGCTGGTGGAGCTTGTACTGACTTGCTTAATAACCGCACGAATGTCGTCATAGTTGCCGCTAACGCCAGCCTGTTGACAAGCGTTCTGTACTTCTTTGGCATCAAGGTAACCGTCGCCATCTAAATCGCACTCACTAAAAGAGAAGGAATGAAAAAGAACACAATGTTAGTCGGGGCAAGTTTTTCTTATGGAAAGATGACGAACTATTTCATCTCGGGGAGATTCTTACTTGAACTGGTCAATAAGCGAGTTAATGTCGTTGACCTGCAAAGCAGGGAATTTCCTCTGTAGAGTAAAGGCGTTGGCAGGCATGAAATGCAGAAAGTTGGAAAGGATTTACGAGAGAGTAAGAGTTGGTAATAAAATAGACCCAAAGAATGGAGAACGAGCGATGACTCTCTCGGCCGACTGAAAATGGAAAGCGTTGACATCATTCGATTTCAGCAGCTGCCATAATTCCTGCGAGACACTGATTATTTTATATTTTTCATAAACCAGCAAAGGCTAAATACCTTTTGTCCATCTTTCAAACCAACATGCCGGACGCTCATAATCCATTTACTTCAGACGATCCTCAAGCAAACCCATGGTCTGGTCCTTCTGCCAACAATGCAGGCGGTCCAGCCTATGGAAATGCCTATGAAGATACTTCCAACAATAACTCATCCTGGAACTATGGCAGCATGCGTATGCCAGAACCTTCCGTCCCCAACGCCAGTACACCTATGGGAACCATGAACCGAACTAACACACCTAACAACTATTCCGGCAACGCTTGGGACGGCGACAAAACGGAAGTCCCTCATGGAGACCCCAATCAGAGTGCATATCAGTTTGCTGGTACACGCTACGGAAATGAAGACACAACAGGAAATGCTTACTCTGTAGCTAATCCCCATCCTCCTGGCACAACTGGCACTGCTGCTGGTAGTCAAGTTCCGAAACCTGATGCTTCCGATGCTTTACCCCCGGTATGGACTGATAACAAGTCGTCACCGCCATCCAAATCAAGGTTGGGTATTCGCATCGTGCAGCTCATTGCCTGTATTGGTTCTATTGGCTTCGCAGCAGGTGCTTCCGCCGTAAGTGAAAGATTAGCCTTGACAATGACGAAGCAATTGTTTCACTCAATTTACCGACTTTCCATTTACAGTATTCACATCAGCCTGTTCCATTCGACAACAAGGCGCTGTTCTATTTCTTATGGGCATGGGTAAGGACTATTTTTTTTATGAAGCGACGGTAGCTGGGAAGCATTCTAAGAACAATTGAAAATTTGTAGGCCCTCATTTCAATCGTCTGGGTGTTCTTCCATATATTCGTTTTTATCTCCCGTAGCCTTCGCAAAGGAAAGAAGATTGCAAGGCTTGTTCTCATTTTGCTTGATTTCATATTTGCCATCATTTGGGGTGTATGTATCATCATTGAAGCTGCACGCTACCCTTGTGCGCCTGGTCAACATTATGGATGGTAAGTTCTTGGCAAAATGCTTTTTTTCATTCACAGTGGCACTAAACAGTCGGTACTTTAACGTCCGCAGGTGCGATTTCTATAATGTGAGCATCTTTTGGGGCTTCTTGGCCTTCTTCTCCTTTGCCCTCACCCTGTTCTGGGACATCTTCGGAGCTTGTCGTAGAGCAAGAAAATAATCGATATAGTTTAAAGGGTCTTCTTCAATAGTATCATCTATCCGATTTATTACCATATTACATATCAATTTTTTTACAATCCAGCCCAAAAAGTATAACAAGGCTGTTTTCCAACACCTTGTAAGCTAGATTTACAACGATTAATAACCTTTTTCTTCAAATAATTACTTTATAAATGGAACAGAAGAAAATTTCGTACATCGAGATCGGCCGATCTGAAAACCATCCCACATTATGGAATATGCTAAGATGATGATGGGTCGACGCTGTGGCAAATACGTAAAAGAGAAGAGGAATGGTAAGCTGTTGTCTGTTTGCATTCCAGCGTATTACAAACTGTAAACCCAGTGGGGTCAGAGGAAGCACAAATGTCGAACGTGCATTCCTTACCCCGTCCCCCTCCTTGAAGCTCTAAGGGACTGCGCAGACATTTTGTACGAGTGTGTGATACAATTGAATGTACCATTACAGGTATGACATCAAATGTTGGTTTCATGGATTTCAACTTACATAATTTTTCCTAAATGAGACCGACCGAGCTGCTGATACGCTGAATTTTAGGGGGAACGTATATTTTTAATTGTTTTGTATTGGTTATGTACATTATGGAGAAGGGAAAATAGTGCTAATGAACAAAAGGTGCAAATAATGGCACACAAAAGGAAAGGAAAGGGTTATGGGATGGATATAACTGCAAGGTCTAAAATAACATGAGAGAAGAAAAATGTATGTGCAAAAAAAAATAGTGCAGTGAACAAATAGGTAAGTCAAGCAAAAAGCTTACAGGCCCATGCCCTTCAGTTCATATATCAATTCTTCCAGTACTGCTGATTTTTCTGAATCGTTTGCTTCAGATAGCACCTTCAACATGTGCAATTTGCTAGCAGCATCGGCTGTTCGTTGTAACTGTTGCTGTTTAGCCTTAGATTCTCGAGAACAAGCGGACTCTGAGGCGAGTATCACAGAAGGATGCATGTGATTCGCCGTGGTCTGATCTCTTGTATATTTTTCATGAAGCCTGAGTGAGGCAACTGGAATTTTGGAAGCTCGTTTGTTTCGACGTTTGTGCACTTCTTTTGGTGACTTCCGCACTTTACCACTGGAACCAGCGATTTTTCGTAAAAGCTCGTTCAAAGCTCCGGCATGCTGTGAGAAAGTCGATTCCATAGTTGAATTAGAGTCGCAGTCAATAGGGGAGGCTGGGGATGGTAGCCTTGCCGAATGAACTGAGGCCAAACTGGAACGTCTCCTTGCTTCCACTACACTTTTCAACGTATTAGACAATCGCTGGGCAAACACAGCATCCAGTAAAGATGGTTCTTGGGGTGATGGTGGCGGTGCTTGCGGGCAAATGGCATGCTGAAAAGCGAAATCTTCGTTGAATTCATCTTTGTAATCATACGAATCTCCATTCAACGAATATTGCAAATCGACATTATAGTCTGAATCGTCATAAGTGTGCGGTTCAGAAAATGGCTGTGGGATAGCGACGAATCCTTGAGTGCTTCCCAGCATGCTATGTTGATATGTCTTCTACTCTAGTTGTTAAAGAAACAGAAAAGAAAAAAAAACTGAAATTAAAAGACGTTGGTTGGAAAAAAGGGAGCAGAGAAAAAAATCCTCCCAGAGCTCGTTTCCTATCGTTACGAGTTTGAAACTCCGTTCGCCTTTGCCAGCGCATCACACATGTACTATAATATTGTATAAATTGTTTTATTTCATGATGCTTATATACAACCAACCTCTTCCCTTCCCTTAGTATCGATAGCGGGTGTTCGCTTCGTCTACATACAGCTTTCGCGCAAGTTGCGCATCACTCAACCTAGGTTGAGATTGCTGTCTCTTGTATTCCTCGGCCGCTGCGTCGTCCAAATGGTTATTAACATGATGATTTATAGCCGGCTCATCTCCTTCAACTTCCTGCTTGCACACTGGACAGGTCACTTTTCGTACTTTTCCATCGCTTGCTTGCTGCGATCGTTGTACTCTTTGCGGTTGACTCGACGTAGTGCTAGGTGTGTTGCTGAATACACCCAAGTCAGGTATCAAGAAATTATCGGGATTGGCAGCTGGCTGTTGATAGTAGCCAGTATTCATTCCCATCATATTGTCTGAACCATATTGATTGCCGTGCCCTGGTGATTGATAGCCTGTATTGTAACCAGTCTGTTGTGCATATTGGGATTGGGGAGTTGGCATTTGATAATTGCCAGTGGAGTAACCATTCGTATTTGGAGTCGCCTGCATAGTGTTGGTCGCATATGACTGTGGTTGAGGCATGGACTGTGTGTAACCTGTAGATGAATAGCCCATAGAAATGGAGGACGGAGTTGGCATGGAGGAGCCACCGAACGAGTTATAGGACGATGGTGTATGCATCGTTTGTGGTGAAGTGTATCCCGTCATAGGTTGGTTATACGAGTTATTACCGGCGTACGCCGGCCCATTGCCAAGCTGTCCTTGATTGCTATTAAACTGGCCCTGTTGTGCTTGAAAGTTGCCTGTTGAGGCATAAACTTGTTGAGCAGGAGTTCCTTGATTGTTACTATAGAACTGTTGACCTGGCTGGGTGTATGGAGATTGTGCTCTAAACGGATTCGAATCCATGACGGAAAAGGTGAGGAAGTCGACGGGCTCGGAGCTTCAAATTCCCCGCTGCTTGTCTTGGCTGTGACGTTGGTCTGTTACCAAATAGCTCATTTTTCGCTACGTTATTTAACTAAGCAAATCCTATACATCCTATGGTATGGAGCGATGTATGCAGTTTAAAGATGTTATTTAATCTGATTTTGGATGCTAAAATCACTTTGAACGGACGATTTTTACAAAAACTCGATGACAGTACGGAAGTAAGTACCACAGTATCTTTTATTTGCCTAAAAAAAAATATTCATAAATTGACCCAAACATTCACCTATAGGCTACTTGTACGTGCTTGTCTTTTATATCACCGTTGGATAAGAAGCCTGCTGAACTCTGATTTCTTCCAGTTGACAACTTTTCTTGTCTAAAGGCACACTTATATTAAGTACGCTGATATATAAGCTCCAACTACCTACCCTCCAGCTTCAGAAGTTTTATTAACAATGCTTCGTGCCAACTGAAAATCTGCATGTACTGATGCGACATGAAATATACATATTATTAGTATCCGTAGAATGATATATATGCACGCGATACTGTTAATATGTAAAGCATCCTTCGACTGATGAAGCTCGATGCTGTCTCATTTGGTGGAAGTAGTCATGTCATACTCAGTAAGGTACAATGCATATGAAGCTTTTGGTCAATGTGGCGAGCAGAATATCATACTGTGAGTTTAAAAACTTATTATCGAACACGATGTTACTCCCACTCTGTCCTTTACCAAACATCTGTTCGATAATGAAACTGGGAAGAGCAATATTACTAGGAATCATCTGAATGATCCTGTGCAGACGCGTAGCAGTCAACTAAATCGTGGCCCTCGTTTCAACACTAATCGTCAGTTGAAATGGATGGGATCAACGCTTTTATATTAAGAAAAGGTGTTGGATTGGTTCAAAGAGACGACGTCGTCTCGTTAAAAGGTCAGCAGCCTCTGGTGTTGTCCAACGCATGATGGGCTCCAACCAAGTTGCCAAATTGGGACGCCGTGAATTTCAGAAAGTCACCTGGCTAGAAAATGAACAGACCGTATCCTTATCGACATCTACCGTCTGTAAAGGCTCTACCATCTTCCAAAATGTCCACCCAGCTTGCACTTTCCTTCCGTAGTCTTTCGATTGCCAACCGTCGCTTGCTTCCAGCCATTCCTGTCAGCCATCAACGCGGCCTCAAAACTCAATCAGCTGCAACAAAGAAGACTCAGACTGTCGCGAAATCCACCACCAAGGTCACCACCAAGAAAACCAAGCCAGTTGAAAAGCCAAAGGTTGAAAAACCACGTTACAAAGATTCCAGTGAGTAGCAAATTTACACTTGTGGCTATGAGCTATAATTAATGATGTATGGGTCTTTATACAGTCTTTGCCGCGCTCCCAAAACGCCCTCATTCTGCATGGCAGATTTACCTTACCGATCAGCTTCCCAACATGCAACACAACGGCAAGATTAGCGTTGCTTCAGCTACAGCAGAACTTGGACCACAGTGGAGGAGTATGTCTGAACAGGAGAAGCAGGTATGGAATCGTGATGATGGAACACCTCTATTGACGCGTGTTATGTCGACTGACAAAATGTGAGATTTTAGCCATATCTTGATAGATGGGCTAAGCAAAAGGAGGATTGGAGTAAAAAGCGTGAGGCGATTCTAGCAAAAGCCACGCCATACGAAATCTATCGCGAGAACTTGCTTCGAAAGAAGCTTGGAGAACCACTTGTGAAGGATCCTAATGCACCAAAGAAGGCTAAAAATGGTTTCATGTTCTATGTTGAAGAGCTTCGAAACACTGGACAGGCTGACTACTCACAAGGCATAGCTCATCATGCCAAAGTTGCTGGAGTGAAGTGGGGAGGTCTAAGTGAATCTGAAAAGAAGGTACGGCGGTTTTCGTCTTCGTCAGGTCCACCCTTGGAGCTTATGCTAACCCCCTATCATATAGAAATTCCTTGACCTTGCGCAAAAGGATAGTGAACGCTACCACGAAGAGATCAAGTCTTACAATGCAAAGATCCATGCAGACTAACTAACTGCCGGGTAATTAGCTAAACTCTGTCCTTCCTTAATACATTTCTGTCGCGACGAACGGATGTGCGAAGAATATGTTGTTTCTTTCATTTTTCTATGGTTTTATTAAGGTGTTATCTACGCACACCCTGTTACGAATGTTTCTATGCCTGCTACCATGAACAAATTTTTGTCTTGTTAAATTGTTCAGCGTTTGCATGTTGCGCTTGGGTTGGGAAACGGTCAAAAAAATTGCACGTCACATAACGAGCCAAAAGCAACAAGAATACGTCTTGACTTAAAACTACCGTAACATAGAACAACAGAATGGTCGCTGCGACAATACCTGGAGAAGTACGCGATACTTCACATTTCGCGGACACTCTCTTAATCGTAAGTGTAGACCATTGATTTACTTTGACACTACCGCATTCTAACTGTTTGATCGGACAGACCGATGATGATGTTCCGTACGAAGAAGAAATCCTTCGCAATCCTAATACTCTTCGATGCTGGCTAAGATATATCGAACATAAGAAAGACGCACCAAAGAACCAATTGTTCCTTGTTTACGAACGTTGTTTGAAGCAGCTTCCTGGATCGTACAAAATTTGGAAAAAATACTTGGATCTTCGACGAGCTCAAATCAAGGGTTTGAATCCCATTCAACATGCAGATCTTTTCGAGGCTGTCAACGAGTGCTATGAGCGCTCTTTGGTATTGTTGAACAAGGTAAGAAAGATAATATAAGAGTGCTCAAATTACATTCAAGTACTAAAATACGTGGTCTGCAGATGCCTCGTATTTGGTTGGATTATTGTGCATTCTTGATGAAGCAACCACACATCACTCGAACTCGTCGCACCTTTGACAAAGCATTGCGATCGCTTCCCCTCACTCAACACGAGCGTGTCTGGACGCTATACTTGGAGTTCGCAAAGGAAGTTGGTGGCGAAACAGCCAACAAGTTATACAAGAGATACCTCAAGGTAAGGCGTTAACTACAACCGAATGCGACCTATTATGTAAAGTCGTGAAAGCTTACTAATGTACATTTCAGCTTGATCCATCGCACGTTGAAGCTTATATAGATCACCTGTTGTCACTAGAACACTACGACGAAGCAGCCATCAAACTGGCGTCTGTAGTAAACGACGATAAATTTAAATCCGTGCGTGGAAAGTCACATTATCAATTGTGGCAAGATCTATGCGACCTCGTAGTCAAATATAGCGAGGATATCAAGACTTTGAAGGTGGAGGCCATAATTCGAAGCGGTATTCGACGATTTACGGACCAAGTTGGTATGCTTTACTGCTTACTTGCAATGTATTGGATCAAGCTAGGACTTCTCGATAAAGCTCGCGACGTGTATGAAGAAGGCATCACAACCGTCATGACAGTGCGTGACTTCACAGCCGTATTTGATGCATACGCCGAATTTGAGGAGGAAGTCATCACTAGCAAAATGGAGCTTGCTGCCGAACGTGAAGAAAGTGGCGATGTGGACAAAGAAGAAGACTTGGACCTCGATATGCGTTTGTTGAGATTCGAGCGACTCATGGACCGAAGACCGTTCCTTGTTAACGACGTTCTTCTTCGACAAAATCCTAATAATGTGTTGGAATGGGAAAAGCGGGTTTCCCTCTGGAAAGATGACAAGGCCAAGGTACAAACAAAAACATGCTATTTTTTACTCTTATGTGCTTTCTTATCTCTAAAACCATTTCATTCTATAGGTTGTCGAAACCTACACTGACGCTGTTCAAACCGTCAATCCCAGAAAGGCGCCTGGCAAATTCCATACACTGTGGATTCACTTTGCCAAATTCTACGAAGACGGTGGAGATTTGGAATCTGCTAGATCTATCTTTGAAAAAGCTGTCAAAGTGCCTTTTGCCAGTGTCAATGATTTGGCTGAAGTCTGGTGCGAATATGCCGAAATGGAAACTCGACACGAATCGTTTGACAATGCTCTGGATGTTATGGGTCGGGCAACGGTTATCCCTCGCCTCGGCAATGTTAACCCACACAATGTCAACTTCCACGACGAAACCATCTCCCCACAGCAACGCGTCTTCAAGAGTCTCAAGCTTTGGGGCTTCTATGTTGACCTCGAAGAAAGTGTTGGTACTGTGGAAAGCACAAAAGCAGTGTACGACAAAATCATGGACCTCCGTATCGCAAATCCACAGATCATTGTCAACTATGCAACCTTTTTGGAAGAGAACGAATACTACGAAGATTCTTTCAAGGTTTATGAACGAGGAATCGATCTCTTTGGATGGCCAATTGCGTTTGAACTTTGGAATATATATTTGGAAAGATTTTTACGACGATATGTGAGTATTAAGAATTCACGTCTGATAGCTTAATGGATAGCTGGATACTGATTGCTTCCATTGATATAGGGCGGAACAAAGCTGGAACGTACAAGAGACTTGTTCGAAAAGTCGTTGGATGGATGTCCTCCCAAGTATGCGAAGCCACTATATCTCATGTACGGAAAGCTGGAAGAGGAACATGGTTTGGCTCGTCATGCCATGCGTATATACGATCGGGCAACAAGAGCTGTATCAGATGAAGATCGCCTAGAGGTAAGGCTTGCCTTTATAATGCGCAAATGAATATACATGCTCATATGCTGATACACTGCCATCATAATAGATGTTCAACTTTTACATTGCCAAAGCAAGTGCATCATTCGGTGTTACGGCCACTCGTGATATATACGAGAAGGCCATTGAAGTGTTGCCAGATAGAGATGCCCGAACAATGTGCCTTAAATATGCCGATATTGAGACCAAGCTTGGTGAAATTGACCGTGCTCGCGCAGTTTATGGACACGCTGCTCAATTTGCAGACCCAAGGGTAAGTCTTTCACACATGTGTACGTCAACTGAATGAAACAGTGCTTAACATCAGTACTTCTTTAGTCGGCCGAGTCTTTCTGGCAGAAGTGGCATGACTTTGAAGTCAAACATGGTAATGAGGACACCTTCAAAGAAATGCTGCGTATTAAGCGATCAGTTGGCTATTCTGTGTATGCCCATAATCCCATTTCTACAGAAATTAAGACCGCTTAGTTGTAGAAAATCTCCCATTCGTTTTGAAAACAACCCTCACAACTTTGTATTAAATAATTAAAAATGGTATTTGGCGCGCTTACGTTGACAATGTGAAGAACAAAAAAGAAGCTTCATTTATATTATTTCTACCGGTTACTTGACATCCAAGTTCGTTGAATCAGTACTGACGAAGCGACGACTGCTATACATAAGGGCAAGGCATCCCTCGCCTTTTCGGCTAGAGACTGGTTCAACTGTGCAGCATCTTGTCGAATAAGGAAATGTTCGATCTGCCTCGGACTGTCAGTGGAATTAACCTTTATCAAGACGTAGTCATGACGGCTGCGGATCCATAACGACATGGATGCAATGATGGTTGATGTGAGCAATATTGTGCCCTTGTTATTCTTCACATATGAAATTGGGCACCCCAAGAAGAAACCGGAACGTTTAGTAGGGCTATTCTGTGACGAAGTCCCAGCAATATCTCCTGTCGCAATGATCTCGGCAGGCGACAACCGTGGTTGTACACCTTGATGCGAGTCGCCGTTGGTTTGAGATATGGAGTGGTTGGCGATAGTAAAGGTGGCGAGCAAAGAATGAACGTGCTCCTGAAAATCATTGAAGAGAGATTTGATGGCAGACTGAGACTCGCCATGACCCATAAATCGCTGATTTCTCATCCAATACGTCGCAAAAAGACCGCTGAACGCCGTTGTAATCGTGATCCATTCCATGTTACGTCGCATCTTCAGGTCGCGTTGCCTACGACGCTGTTCTTGGATGAGAGAAGTGCAATCATGGTGTATATGGATGACTGGAACATTTGATGATAGAGCTTTTCCCAGCTCATGAAGATTGGATACACCTAGGGCATATACCGGAGTACCGTTATGGAGGGGTTTTTGCACTACCGTAGTATTTACGTAAGGTTCTGAGATCCGTACCAACCTTAACACATCTATGTTCAGATTTAGCCAGCTGTACTCCATACAACAAACAAATCAATTTTTAGACCGTGGAACTACTCCCATACCTTCTGGTGCTAATGCAGCTATTCCTGAGCTCCAAATGGATGAGTTTGTGAAAGACATGGACATCCTGATTCGCAACACAGAACGTCACAAGCCCGATACTCGGTTTGTAAAACGTATAAAGTAACATTTATGCAGAAATTTTTAAGCTCATCACTTTTTGGTTCTCATCCATCGAATATGTCCAAAGTATTGATTGTAGGCTCCACTGGCTGGCTCGGCGGCAAGGTTATGGAAGCTTTTCAGGGCACACATCATCAATTGACTGCCTTTGTTCGTCCTCAATCGTTAGAAAATCCCGAGAAAGCCGATGCTTTCAACAAGTTGAAGGAACGCGGTGTACAATTGATTCCTGGAGAGCTCAACAGTAAGGAAGACTTAGTGGCTGCACTTCAAGGCATGGATGTTTGCATATGTTGTCTTGGTTCTTTCCAAACAACAGAACAATTTCCTCTCATCGAAGCCCTGAAAGAAGTCGGCACCATCAAAAGATTCATTCCATGCGACTTTGGAATGGACTACCGCCGGGATCCCCATGACTTTGCAATGACCGAAGATGTAAGTACAGGAGGTGAGCTGCGGTGGAAATATGATGTTGGTACTAAAGCTTTTTAAACAGGGTCTCAAAGTCCATCAAGCCGTCTTTGACGCTAACATCCCCTACACCATTATCGACAATGGTGCATTTATGGAAATATCCTTGGGCAAGCTTTGCGATTGGACTCAACGTAACCCGATCACCTTAGAGACTACAACTATTACAAGATGGGGAGAAGGCAACGTCACTATCCTTACTAATTCAGTGAATGATATCGCTCGATATGTCGTTCGCACTATTGATGACCCTAATACCATCAATAAGCGCATCATGATTGATGGACATTCTGCTACCCAAAACCAGCTGATTGATTTATGGGAAGAGGTCTCTGGAACAAAGTTGCAACGCAAGCAAGTCGATCTGGATGAATTACAGGAGATGATTAAGAAGGCGGATGGGTACCCAAAGTTCGGCCTCCAGGTAAGTTGCATGGTTTGCTATCTTAAATAATTTGACGTCTTGACTAAAACATACGATGAAATTTCAGCTTGCTCGCTGTGGATTCTTCAGAAATGGCTTTGTCCGATCTGAAGACTACCTTTCTTCATCCGAGTTGTACCCTGACATTTACAACTCTTCCACAACCATCAAGCAGTTTTTAGAGCAGCGTTATAATTCCTTGAAATAGTATAGAGGTCAACAAATCCTGAACCGCTGCCATATTATTTAATTGCAAGAATTATATAAAATAGAAGATGCCCGATTAATAGGACCATATTTTATTATGTTGATATGCTTAACGACTATCTTGATACAGTAGTTCCTTCTTGTATGTAATTCCGTACAGTGAATCAAATATACTCGGTATGCTTCGTCACGGAAGCAAAAGACTGCTTCCTGGCCAATTCAACTTCAGCTCAAAAGCTCGACCTCAACCTATTCCTCTGCTCAAACTCGATTTCACGCCACCATGGTCAAGTATACCGTCAACGAGCGTGCCTACGCCTTACCTTTACTGCATGCTGCTAAATACCCATCTTCAGAAGTTTGCGGTATTCTATTGGCAGAAGCATCTTCATCTGACAGCGAAACCGTCAACATCACGCAAGCTGTACCTTTGTTCCATCACTGGACTACCCTCACGCCAATGCTAGAGGTCGCATTACAACAGGTGAATGTCATGAGACGTGAGGACATGGTAACGTATCCCCAACACGTAGTTCTGACGCTTTCCTTTTAGGTTGATCTGTATGCGACGAAAAATAAACTGGAAATAGTTGGTTGGTACGTTGCGAACGAGAACAACACCGACCGATCGTTGAATGAGCATACGATTAAAACGATAGACAAGATTTCGCGACAAAACAAGAATGCTGTTGTATTTTTGGTAGGTTCTGCAGCTGTGCCTATGAACATTTTGGCTACCATAGACTCATGTGCTTTTACCATACACCACAGATTGATAATGACAATATCGACTTGCACAACAACAAAGAAAGTGCCATCTTGGTTAGTCTTAATGCTCTCTCATTCTTTCGAGACTTCTCGATCTAACTGCGTTTTCTTTTTTCTTTTTTTTGCGTTCTGCAGCCGCATATCAAGAATGGTGGTCAATGGCAGCATAGCAAATCGTCGTTCACTGCAAGTTCGGATTTTCAATTGACAAACGTGGATACATTTGCAAAAGTGCGTGGCCTTATCAGCAACGGTCAATACAAGGATCTTGTAGACTTCGACATCCATCTTGAGGATGTCTCTGCAGACTGGTTGACTAATTCGAAATTGCACGGCTTGTAACTGAGGAAATAGAAACCCGTATTGCCATACAAAAAATATCGCCTAGCATTTCCAAATAGTTATTCACTTATCACAAAAGATTAATAGAAATTGTTTTATTGACAGACTAGAGGGATTCATTGTGTGTGAACTATTATTGGTATTTGTTCATTGTCTAAGTAAAGTTTGTTGTGAAAATGATAATGTTTGGGATGCTAATTGAACAGACCTATGCGCTTCCAATTCTGGAGACATTTACCCACCAGCGCAGCGTCTAATTGGGGTGTTGCCTTCAGTTTTCGGCTGACACTCTGTGTCTTTGACGTTACCCAGACAGGCAATTCCATCCCTCCAACTACGTCTTGATAGAAGGAAATTAACTTGAATGCTGGATTTCTATCGTCTTCCGATAACTCGTTTATCCATTCTTCAGGGGATACGTGGCTGAACTTGAGTCCATTAGCATGAAGTGCTTCCAAAAAGTCCATCCAAGTGACTCTGTTTGGATTAACGATATGGAAAATGGATCCAGTAGGTGAAGGTGCATCGTTAGCGGTGTTCATAATGATCTCCAGGATTGCAGCAGCAGAGTAATCTAGAGGTATCCAATCAATCTCGCTATTCATAATAGGCATCTATATATGAACATATTTTCAAAGGTTAGAGTGGCTATCATGTAACTCGTAGGTTGACCAAGTGTAATTACCTTCTTCATGTATACTGCTCCACCTGCAACCATAAGTGGATATTGCTCTTGGGGATTCCAGTAGCCATTGACTGTATCACCGCTCATCTGACCTACTCGCTCTACATAGCCTTGGATGCCTGTGTTTTAGAAAACGAAGTTAAGATACGGTAGACAGCCAAATTGTATTAAATAGCTCTTGTTAACTTACCCTTGTTTTGCGTAACATACCGCATCAAATGTTCAGCAATGAATTTACTTTGAGCGTAACCCATAGGGGCAGCGCAGGATGGATCATCTGGAAGTGGCTGTTCAAACACCTCGCCTTTCATAGCCATACTTGCGCTAACACTGGAGATGAAATGGAAGCGCATAGAATTGTTGCCGCCGTTATAGGCTAGTTGAAGTAAGTTGAAAAGTCCATTGATGCATTCCTTCTCATAGTAGGTAACAGGTTGGAGGAAATCCAACATCCATGCGCAATGGCAAATCACTGTGGCTTCAGTCTGAATGCTCCTGTATTGCTGACGGTCTAATCCAAGGCATTTTTTGGCTTGGTCGAAAGGGTAAACCTGTAATTTGGCAGACTTCAGAAGTCGTGTATCCAACGCACGACTAGAGAAAGCCTTTTTTAATCTGTCACGGCCATCTTTGCCTCTCACTAGAGCGTACACCTTTCGTATAGACTTATTTTGAAGCATGGCCTGTAGTACAAGAGCTCCCAGAGAACCAGTAGCACCAGTCAATACAACTACATCATCTCCTCTGTTTTTCGTCTGATATGACCGGGTGGGCCGTGGCATTTGCTCGTCAATAAGCTTTATGTACTTCGACAATAGGCCTCTGGTTGCTTGATATGATGCTTCGACAACATCAGTTTCCAAATCTTGGCAAATGGCTTGAGTCATGTCTTTAATTGTACTGTTCTGAAACACAAAGTTGGTGGGTACATTTTTCGTGAACTTGACAATGCTGAGAAAATCGGGAAGTTTTAAAATTTAAAAAAATCTCGAAAAACTGATACAGACTTTGTGGAGTTTTGCTTACCTATTCCTGAGCTGAACCGCCAGAAGTGAATCTAAGCCTTGATCAAATACGTTCATAGTAGTATTTACTTCTGATGGCTTCACTTTGATGAGTTTTGCGATAGTTGTTTTCAGGAAGTCAGATATGACCGTCGGCTCCAATGGCAGTTTCGTATCTCCTTTATCTTGTTGTAACTCGCTTGACTGGTTGAAAAAATTATCGTACATGACTTCAAGATAGTGACCATACTGCTTCTCTGCCTTTTTTCGTGATAGCGTTCCCTTGTCAGTTACTGGCAGCTTTTCTATAAGCGGGAGTACCTTGACCATGTCAGGAAATATAATCTTGGAATGTGCCGGAGCATCTCGATTGGCTTTATCAACCGCAGCCTCCACTGTTATATGAAGTCAGTAACTGCAATGTATGAATTACCATATTATCTCCGCAGGAACTTACCGATACTAAGCATATCGTAAATATCTTTTCCCATAGCCTCTTTGACATTCAATTGAACTAGCACAGATGTTGCAGCTCGACTTTGTCCGATAACAGCGCACTGCTCAATGAGCGCGTTGGAGTTTCTCATAGCTGCCTCCATTGGAACAGGGTTTGTTTTTTCTCCATTTGACCTAAAGGCACCATTAAACTGCCATTCTTTTACTGCTCAGTAGAGGGTCCACTGAAGTATAAAACACTTACATGATCAAAGTATCATCAGCTCTTCCACTAATAAACCAGTATCCAGGTTTACTCGGATGCGGCGTCCATACATCATTTGTCGCATATGATCCGTCAGGACGATTGCTGGCATTTGTTGCCATGAATGGGCTGTTGGGCAATATAATCAATTGCTTAATTTCGCTTCCATAGTCAGTATCTTCCATTACGTAGTGCTTGCTGGGTAAGACAATTTTCATTGGCGTGAACTCTTTACAGTTTGCATCTGGATCTGCAGTAGCAGCTAGGCCCATTTCTAGAAACAAGAAGTTGTATTGGTATACTGGTATCGCATATGATAAATTACATCCTGAAGTAAAACTACAGAATAAAATCGTAGTATACAACAGTGTGTTCCACAGATCAACTTACCAGTTGATCCATAAGAGGATTTTATGTTCATTCCGTGGTCCATCAGAATGTTTCCAGCCTGTTGTTGCAAAGGAGCTCCTCCAAAACTGAGAATGCCATTTGTTAAACTTTTGAAATAATGTTAAAGACGAATCATTCCCAGAAAAACAACTTACAAAGCGAGTTTCACATTTTTCAGTACATCAACATCAGTAGCATCCATTTGGATTAACTGGGCAAGCTGCTCAAGTAAAATCGGGGCAACCATCATACTGTTCGCTTGAGATTTTCGAAGACTATCGGTGATTGTAGTCGCAAGAGGTGGGAACTAACCAGATGCCGAGTTGTCAAAATAAAGCACAAATTGAGACAGATATTGGAATTTTAGACTTACGTTCGTAGGAAACACGTATGTTCCCCCAATAAGCGCGATACCAAAAAATATGGCGCCCATAATGTGATACATTGGAGCAAGAGAAAGAAGCTTAGGTGACTCGACAACATCAAGCAGGTTTGCATAGTTGTTAAGCATATGCAGCATATACCGGTTACTGAGGTAAATAGGTTTTGGAAACCCTGTAGTTCCGGAACTATGGATGATAAAGGCGATTTTCTCTGATTTAACCTCTGAATTTCTCTCGGTAAGCCATATGCTTTGAGCCCCATTATCAAGTTCTTTAGTTTCTTCGGTGTCGACATCAAAGGCGAGAAAAGTTGTCCCTCCATCAATTTGGTCGATTACGGAACTTGATTCTTTCGCAAACCGCTTATTGTGGACCAGGAATTTTGTGTCAGTCCTTTTCATTAGATCCACCATTGCAGTTTCAGAATTCTTTGGGCTGAGAAGCATAACGCGGCATTCAAGCTTCACGAAAGCGAGCAGATAGAGTCCATATTGTAGGGAATTATCCGCCAGATATGCCAATGCCTGGCCTTGTAGGTCATATTGATTTTGCAAGCGATGAGCCAGGTTGCTAGTAATGATGTCAACTTCACGGTATGTCAATGAGCACGGATGTTCATCATCAGGATCTTTCCAGTATTGAATATAGGTGGAAGATGAGAATTTTTCAGTGATGGCGGCAAATAGTTGATTGACAGTATGATACTGATCAAGAGGATATTTAAATTTGAATTCGTCCATTTAACAGTTTGAATTGAAGAAGTTTACTGTCAGTCAAGTATGCAGATACCTCCACTTTTTATAAAAACAGGAGTAAGACAATGGGAAGAAAATCCGGATTGGATGATGTAGGAGCAATTTTCTGTATGCTGTGACCGCGGTATCTATTTAACCATGCTGGTTTTCCGTGATCAGAAACTCCTTTTGTGCCACCTGCATAATATGATAATAAGAGTTCTACGGATAAATATATACTGTTACCAGTAATCACTCTAACAAAAAGATTGGTTAATTTCATAACTCTCAACAACGGAAAATGTAATAAGTCAGCCGGCTAAACTTTTCGGATGAACGAGTTTAGGCGAAAGAAATGATACATATAAGGCAAATTAGCGAAGGCATATAGCATTGTAATTGATCTATTTGACCGCCAATAAAATGAGCAAAGAGATGAGATGATAAATTGTATCATCTAACTCAACAGGAATAATAAAATTTTGATATCTTACTGGTTGGCGAGTTCGTCGTAACATATCATATGTTGGCACTGGTTATTATGTTTAATGCATGGACGACAATTCATGATGAAAACATTTATTCTCCTCTCTAAATGAAAAGCTAGCGGCTTCATTGAGCTATGGTATATTGCTTTCGGACCGGATTTGTTATTATCCGTCCGATGCATGTAATGAGCGATGGTATGCAATTGTGTTGATAACCTGACTGCCACGAAAACTGCAGAACCGGCGATTCATTTCTTCTCTTACGCATTGTCGTTGTACACACAGCGTGACATTTCTCAAATGACGTTAAACTTGCTGGCTAAAACTATTTTCCACAAAACCCATACTTTAGGCTAAACACTACAGACGCATTCAAGTTTAGTGCTTGGTCTCTGAGTTATGAATTCAATAATAGACCCGTTCAGACGAAATGGCTGTTCTCGTTATGTGTTAGTTATATCTCAAACATGCTTCTCCAATACCTTATTCCCAGACTGTTACCTGAGAATAGTACACTACTGTGACATTGTCTACGAGGATTAAACTAGTATAGCTCCTCATCCTTACTTTGTTACATACAAAGCCGTTCCATCATGATATTTTCTGAGCCTATTATTTGGTTTAATTATGCATTTATCTAATGGACTAGAATGAGATGAAATTCTGAATATGTTTCAGTTCTTCGTATGTGAGGTGAGCCATTCATGCTATTTCAGTTCACCTTTTATGCCTATTTTTTTTAATGCTCAAATCGCCTTACCGTTTGTACACAGCTTCTAGTATTTTCCAAAGCCCCACTCCATTCATTGAATTATCTCGCACCATAGCTCAATAAACATATTACATAAAAATACATACTGAGATAAAAATCCGCGACGTCTTTTAGCGGTAGTTTTTTTCGAACAAATGGTAATAGCCAATGCGAAAGCATTTGATTGGCCGCTACTTTTATCATAAAAAATAATATGTATTGGAGCAAGGAATTGTCTTTTTGCTTGGAATACCGACAAACGCCGAATCACCTTAAACCATCTACCAATGAAATTAATCGGGCTTACTGGTGGTATTGGCTCTGGTAAGAACATCTTGACCATTGTCTTATGCTACTTCCATTACTGATTTGTAGGGACATACGCTAAATATTATCCCAACGTTTTGAATTAGGCAAGTCCACTGTGTCTCGGATTATAGCAGAGCAGAATGTACCAATTATCGATGCCGACCTCATTGCTCGGCAAGTCGTGGAGCCTGGTCGTAGAGCATATAAATTAATTCGAAAACACTTTGGTGACGAGGTATTGAATGCCGACGGAACTATCGATAGACCTAAGCTAGGTGCCATCATTTTTGGTGACTCGGACAAACGCAAGGTACTCAACAGCTGCGTTCACCCATATGTCCGCCTCGAGATGTTTAAGCAAGTATTTTGGCATTGGATGACTGGAAAAAAGCTGGTATTTCTGGATGTCCCGTTGCTCTTCGAGAGCAAGCTTGACAAATTTGTCAACACCACTGTCGTGGTATTCTGGTCAGTGTGAATAACTTGCAGGTTGGACTTATGCAAATCACATGTGTCTTGGCTAACGATTTAAAATAGCTCCGAACTGTTGCAACTCCAACGAATAGTGAAACGCGACAACATGACTGAAGAAGCTGCAACGCAACGAATTCGCTCCCAAATGCCTTTGAGTGAAAAAGTCAAACTCGCCAATATCGTTCTGGACAATTCAAGCGATGTAGATCAACTCAAGATACAGGTGAAGAATCTCGTTAGAAGACTGACGCCGCCAGTTTCAAGCTGGCTTCTTGGCTGGATTGTTCCACCAGTAGCTTTGGCAATATCAGGTTTTTTCATCAAGGATTATGCCACGCGTGGTGCCCGCCTTCTCATTGCTCATTACAGTAGACCATAGTTTACAAAGTTTGACAAGCTTTATATAGAGTGCTCGCCTACGTTTTTTATTGTAATACTAACGCTTAACATACATTGTAAATTGGTAATCGAGATTATTGTGTGTCTGTATCCCTTCTGCAACTTGTTCTTCTACAAATTTTTCTAGTTCTTCATGCGATGCCAGTCGGAAAAGACTGTCGTCGATCTCTGGGAAGAAGGTATCGCAGTCAACTTTGGACCGTATTCTAGTCAATAATATGGACGTGCAGTTAGCATGCTTAATTGCTTCTCGGTAAATTTGAGCGCCTCCAATAACGAAGATGCGTGGGGTTGTTGATGCGTCTATGACTTCGAATGCTCTCTCTACTGATGAAACTAGTTTGACTGTCTGGTCCTTTGTCTGTCTGTTAGTGGATAAGTCCATGACAAAAAAGATGTTAGCTTTGGCAATATGTTAACACAGCTGTTGCATGAGCCACATACACATCGTAGTCGGTATTTCGAGATATGACTATGTTCTTTCTTGAGTCTAAAGGTCGAAATTTTAGCGGAATAGATTCCCATGTAACTCTTCCCATGATCACAGCATTCTGAACGGTACAAGACTCTGCTGCCTGAATTGGAAAATCCTTTGGAATCTTAGTGGTGATCGCCTTGAAGAAGGCCATGTCTTTGGGAATCCGCCATGGTAGGTTGGCTTTGAGACCGATGCCGAGTTCCTCAGTCGCTGCAACTACTAGCGTGAACTTCATGATATGTCCTTGACCAAGAACTTCCCCGCGTGAACAGTCTGATACTGCTCCGGAAAAGGTAGTCACGCCAGTACCGTCTTATGACACTGTTGTCTATACGAATTCCTCTGTCTACAATACTTTGATCTTTAGAAGGAATAAAACTGGAATTATAAAATTGAATGAATGTCTTTTTATCATCAAGCGCCATGATCAATCCATTTGCTCAAAAATCTCAATTAAGTATCTTTATCTTGAAGGAACGGTGACAGGCAAAGCGTTCATTGAGCGTCAGTAACGTTTTCAAAGCTATAAAATGCTTTAAAGATGAGAAGACGTATAGAAAATTATCAACCATTTCATTGATATTGACCAACGCGGCATATTGTCCTGAATTTCGACCTGAATCAACTTTGTTGGGCTTGCGAAAATACAGCAAGCCCTGAAATTTCAGCAATAAGCCACTGGCAATTTAAAGCGCCGCCATAGCATATTTACTTGGGCCATACATTTTTTTTGGGTTGTTTCAGTAATCGACAAAATACAACATGATCGGGCTCAAAGGAACTATGTCTGTTATTGATAACTCTGGCGCAGTCATTGCCGAGTGCATTAAAGTAATGAGCGGAGGAAGATACGCTAGACTTGGTAAGCTGACTGAAGCACTGCTCATTCTCGATTTCTCCAATCTCATTCATACCCTTGCAGGCGATGAGATTGTTTGCGTTGTCAAGCGAGCTAGACCTATCAACCCCAGTTTAATCGGAACACAAGCTGCCTCTCTCAAAGTCAAGAAGGGAGATGTCAGACATGCAGTTATTGTTCGCACAAAGAAGGAAGTCGGCCGACCTGATGGTAGATATATCCGCTTCGACGACAATGCCTGCATTCTTTTGAACCAGAAGAAGGAGCCACTTGGCACTCGTGTTCTTGGAGTAGTTGCTGCAGAATTGAGACAGAAGAAGTGGATGAAGCTCGTTTCACTCGCTCCACGAGTAGTCTAGATGATTACTCCCTTTTTCCAAAGACCATTATGTATAGACATGTAGATTTCCGATTCCTGTTGCAAGCCCAATCCATATCCCACAGACAAATCTTGTTAGATAAACGCTCGAATTATTCATTAGTATACATACGGAGTTTTGCAACAGACTTGCATTGGGCAATGTTTAGATGTATGACTAGCAAAATAGGGTTGTACCGGGTGCTGTCAAAAGTCAGATTGTAGGCAGGGGATCATCTGAGCGTAAGCTGTATACAATACAAAGTAGCTCGCTGGTCTATGCAGTATTGCCTTACTGTACAAAAATAAGTTCTTAATTGCCCAGTAAGCAGGGAAAAGTACAGTCAAAGGATTAAAAAGCAAAAAATTTCGAGAACAGGTTGTACCTGTCGCGTGACGTCAAAACCGCGATTTAGTCTTTCATTTCGTTGCTTTAACCTCCTTCGCAAGTCCATCACCACCAATGCAGGATAGGCTACAACCGGTAGGTTGAAAATGACACTTGAATCTTTGTCCTTGTTTGGGAACTTCCTTTAACCTGAACTAAACATATTCCACAGACTTTGCCGCAACGATCAACGAAACTACCTATTCATTCCGCAAACACAACCAAGGTCGCCAATAACGCGAAAAAACCGGCTCCATTATCGGTCTCCAATAACAACATTCCGCGTAATAACAAAGGGGACACGCTCAAAGACGGCAAATCATCCATTAAACCCAAAGCAGAACTGAAAGCAGGCATGAAGAGAAAAATTTCATCCTCTCCAAAGCATGAAAACGGCGTTTCACGCGTGAAGCTTAATAATAGTACAGCAAGACCAGCCATTACGAGCCTGAAAACACCTTCAGCCAGTTTCTCCAGCGTATCGAATAATAGTAATGGTGTAAAATCAGTCGACAAACCAAATAGAGCCGTCGCCAGACCTGCTTCTATAGCGAACAGACGAAAACCACTTGCGGCATCTAACACTAAAAAAGCAAGCGAAGATAATGCACCTGCTGACAAACCACCGCAAGCTGCAGTCAATCCGGCTACAGGCATGCCCAAGCTAAAGAAGCGACCAGCCTGGGACACCAAAGGAAGACTTAGTGATATGGAGCAACTCCTGCCTATGTTACAGAGCAAGGTTAAAAATTCTGATGACACAGTCAACAGCATGAAAGACCTTCTTGAACAAGAACATTCAAAAAGTAAGCATCGTACTTATGTTCTACCAAACCATATTTAGCTGCCTTCATGAACTAAAAATTACTTCTTTGAAGTCAAAGAGCTGGAATCCTTCCGACAAAATCTTGAACTTAAGGTTGAAAGTAAGGAAAGCGAAAACCAAGAGGCTATGCGACAAGTCTCAAACCTTAAAGACGAGCTTTTGGTAAGTTAAGAATGATGTCTCATCACCCTTAGATACTGCAACTGTATCTCACTGAAGATGACTTTCAGATGGTTGAGCGAAAGCACAATGACGACTTGGAAAACTTGCGAAGCAGACACCAACGAGAAGTCAACGAATTGGATGCTTCCAATCAATCATTGCAAAGGCAAAAACGCTCATTAGAGCAAGATCTAGAAGACACTATGAACAGGCTTCAAGACCAAAAGACAGAAAACTCCAAGCTGCGAACAACCATATCGGAAAATTCAGCAGCAGTTTTAACGATGGAATCCGACACACGAAATTTGAAGTTGAGATTACAGGTACTTTGCGTTAAGATGCGTGACTCGGAGTGATTTCTATTTGCATTAGCTAACTATACTGGATTGTAAGAACACTGAAGAATTACTGAAGGATAGAGAACAGACTATCGAGAAATTGACTGCAGAGCTCAACGCTGCAAAGATTACGGTTTCTGACATCGAAGACAAGCTGCTCGAAGAGGAGAAGAATCGTCGACGACTCCATAACACCATCCAAGAGCTGAAGGGCAATATCAGAGTATTTTGCCGCATTAGACCCGTTTTAGGTAATATTATATCTTGCAATTGAACGATGTGCGTATGGAATATTTACACTCTCCATTTTAGACACTGAGAAGAAGGCTGCTGCCAGTGTTACAGATATAGCTTATCCAGGCATAGAAAAAAATCAGCTTGAACTTGCTGACTCAACTACGTCGAGCAATGGCACAGTGGCTATCAAGTCATATCCTTTCACATTTGACAGAGTTTTCCAGCCAAGTGCAACTCAAGACGAGTGCTTTGAAGAAATCTCACATCTGGTGCAGTCAGCTTTAGATGGGTACAACGTATGCATCTTTGCCTACGGACAAACTGGAAGTGGAAAGGTACGTAATGGACGTGCTGTCAAATAGCACAAACGCGGACTACGAAAGATGAGTTGCTGACATGCGAATGAACTTCTTCCAAACCATACAGACATACACCATGGAAGGTGTGCGAGGTGCTGCTGAAGAGCAAACGGGTATGATTCCAAAAACAGTCCGGCAAATCTACAAGACAGCTGAAAAGCTGAAGAACAAGAATTGGACATACGAAATGGAGGGACAGTTCTTACAAATTTACAATGAGACCATCCACGACTTGCTTGGCAATCCTAACGACTTTGGTAAACTCAAACATGAGATAAAGCACGAAAAAAATGGTAGTACCATAGTCACCGATATGACAACCGGTAAGATATACTGAATAGAACCATATGAATGTAGGAGGTGCGGGTTCTAATACATTACCATCACAGTTTTGTTGGACTCGCCAGCAAAGGTCACAAATTTGTTGAAAAAGGCAAGCCAAAACCGAGCAGTTGGAGCTACCAACATAAACGAACGATCGTCAAGAAGTCACAGCGTTTTTACCTTGAAGCTCAACGGTAGAAACTCTGTTACTGGCGAAGTCACTACAGGCGTTTTGAACTTGATTGATTTGGCTGGCTCCGAGCGACTCTCTTCATCTGGGTCAACAGGTGATAGGCTGAAGGAGACGCAAGCCATCAACAAGAGCTTGAGTTCCTTAGGCGATGTTATCTATGCCTTGGCCAACAGCAAAGAAGGCAGCCATATACCTTATCGAAATTCGAAATTGACTTACTTGTTGCAAAACTCACTTGGTATGTTTAATAAGGGACAAAGTACAGCGTTAGGTGTTTTGAACTATCCATTGACCGTCGCTCTCGTTTCTACGTTTTTCTGTATTTACAGGTGGCAACAGCAAGACACTCATGTTTGTAAACATCTCACCTTTACTCACACATTTCAATGAAACACTTTGTTCTCTTCGCTTTGCTACGAAGGTAATTAGCAATCTATATCTGAATCGAGAAAGCCGATTTCATGTCTCAACTAAATTATTATATCTTCACTATTCAGGTCAATTCTTGTCAAATTGGAACTGCAAAGAAGAATATCAAGTGAACATACCAGTATCGTTAAACTCAATAAACTCATTATGTACTTTCTATTTATCACTCTACGCCTATCTTCTTACCTATGGAAGGGTTTTTGGGAAATTGTCAGTGTATGTTGACCGCCGATTTGATAACGGAGTCCTGCAGCATCTACTCAAAAGATCCTTACACATTCATTTAATAATACTATATCAAAGCTAAGGCTCAAATAATGTTTCCTAAAGATATTGAAGGATAAAAACATTGTGGAGCTGAACAATAGTGAGAAAGTTACTTTCAAGTATCGTTCGGACTTAGAAATCGCCGTCACGTCACGCCGACTTCAGGTCATCGTATACCAATATTCTGTTATAAGCTTTAGAGTGCTCGTTTAGCTAGAAGTGAGAAAAGAAATGTCTAACGCAGGACAGGTAAGACCATCGTACATGACTACTCTGTATTCATAGTGGAGCCACCAAGCAGGGATTGTTCAACACATTCGGCCAAAGCAGCTACCCCATCTACGGGATCGTACAGAAAACGAGAACAGCCAAGCACAGACTTCACCAAACTCGACTCAAGGCAAATCTCAGCTACGAACCAGCGATGCCACAATGACCGATGCCAACCCTCCTGCGCGAAATCTGAATTTGAATGCCCCAAGAGCGAGTACTGAACTCAGGGCCTTTTACGCAACGCAATATTGGCCAAAATTGGCTGTGAAATACCGTATTGAATGATTGTAATAGTTTACCATTATCTAATATATATTCTTGCACTCTCTCGTACAGTCACCATCGATGCAAACGACGCCATCGCTCAACTCACCAGTTTCCATCAATGCGGCCTTTGACGACTGGCAGAATAAGGCTATCAGCAAGATTTTGAACGTCACTTTGAATGTAAAGTTCATTTATCTGCACAAACAAAGAAATCTTCCATTGCTGACATAATTATCCATCGCTAGGCCAAAAATATGGAGCAGGCTGTCTATTTGTCGGGTTTGGATAACGAACTTTACGAGGAATTGGGCGGTAAGGCCAAAGCATGGCAAAGCGACTCCTTTTTGGAGATTGAAACAATTTACTGATTGAAAACTAAACTCAATTGATACAGACTCCGTTGCAAAACCATACAACATCACTAAAGATACACTTGATCGAGCCTTGGTCGCACGCCTTTCCATTGATCCACAAGAGCTAAATCCAAACGATGCAAGCTTATCGGCGTTCGGTCGCAAGGAGATCCTTCTTCCACACTTCGAGTACCTGCTTCAATCTTGGTCCAGAGCTCAAGATATCAGAAGAAATTTGATAGCGCGAAGCAAAGTCAGTCAGGTTCACTAAGTCTCATACCACCATTAATATGCATGTCACTAACATGCATACTACTTTGTAGAATATCGATGCCAAAACCCTTCAACAAAGAATTGCTGTGATTGACAGTGCTAAAGATCTACTTGTCTCATATGCCGGCTTAGTCACGCAGATGCCAGGCATGTTTCCTCAGAGCTCTGAAACTAAAGAGGGCACGGAATTGCTGAAGGAGAAGCTTTTGGTGGGAATAGATAATGGGAATGGGTTGCCCTCAGAATATGTGGATGCAATGATTGCTCGTTTTGACGGCGATGGGCTGGAAGGGGTAAGTTGTATAGACACAATGTGAGCTATATGCACTGTGATATTCACCACTTGCACTCAAGATTTTTGGCCCCCCATTACTATCTATTTCTCGAGATCTCACGAATATGACCATATTGGATGAATTTCTGGCGCCGATGAGGGTAAGTCGAAGTACGAGTAATGCGAATGAGATTTTGTTTTTCTACTAAAATCTATTTCGTTAGGTTCTTGCTCAGGTGACTCTTTACAAACCTATCGCCAGTATGGTACGTACAACTGCTACGTATGAGCAGCGTGTGCTTTGCTTTTTAACAACGAGTTCCTCGACAGTTACCATTGCTTGATGAATTCGACCCTGAAAATGCTGTGGCGAACAATATTGAGGTTGTTTCCTTGCTTGGACCTTTCTTTAGACTTTCTGGTTTTCCGGATGTAGCTGTAAGTAACATTAGATTTGGATTCTCGTTTTGAGTATCCAATTTACTCATTACGTGCTTCGGGTAGCCAAAAGTTGCCGAATCCTATTTCAAAAACCCTGAAACTAGGACTGGTGCGGATATAGAATCGACCGTCAACACTGTGAGATCCACTGTACATAGCATTCGAGTAAGTAGATATGTTCCGATGACATACCACTCAGTGCTATGAGAATGAGTGTTAACAAGCGTTGCAGATTTCTGTACATCAAATTATGAACAATATGGTGCGAGCGTCCCCTGAGACAAGACAACAGCTTATTAATTATCTTCAACACATCATCCAACTTAATTTGAAACGCGCTCAAATGAGAGTTGACAAAACACAGGTGTCCTCAGATGGTCTTTTGAGCAATATTACCCAAGGGTTACTCAACCTATGTGATCCGTTTCTCGACTTTAGAGCCAGCAAGGTACGATGTAGCATGCATTTGTGATCATCAATACGATAGATTTTTTTATTCAATGAGCATCGTCTATTAGATCGATAAGGTTGAAATCGACCATATCTTTGGCAGCGATTGGCTCAATCTCAAAGAAGAAACGCTGCTCAATGCTGCAAAGCCAGAATCAGACGAATTTTACGACAAGAAGCTGTCAGAAAAGAAAGGTAATATCCGCTTTTCTCAATGAACTGTTAGAAATTCATAGCAATGTCACTAACATGCCACAAATTTTGGTACAGGCTCAAATTTCATTACTCAAGTATTCACCCTTACCTTGGCCTATTTACACTACGGTCCCATCAAATCCTTTTCGGACTATCAAGAACAAGTAAAGGCTTGTGCTGACTTCAAACAGGAGTTGGAGGACTATGAAAGAAATCAAATGAACGATCCCGTCAATGCTCCCATGGCTAATATCATTTTGCAGCGAGGAAAGGTGCGTACATTTCGGGTGGGAAGGCTAGCATGTTTTGAAGAAAATATCTAACAATCATTTAGAACAAATTGACCAGTATGGAGTCGAACAAACTAGCCATGGAGGCTATGGTGCTCGACAAGGATTTTCTATCTCACACCATGAGATTTTATAACTTCGTCATGAGCTGGATGGTTCGATTGGTGGATCCAAAGGGCAAGCACCCTTGGGAGACAGTCAGTCTTCCCTTACCGAAAGATGTACCAGTACCGTTCTCCATGCTCCCTGAATGGATTGTGCAAGACATTGTTGATTTTTTTGTCTTCCTTGGAAAGTAAGTATCTTATGGTGTTTTGTGTGAGGTGTATGTGCTGTATGGTTTCAATCGCTGACTCTGCTCTAGGCAAGCATATCATCATCGAATCTTAAAGTCAAATTCCCAAGCAGAATTGATTACCTTCATCATCACATTCCTATCGAATGGCCAGTATATCAAAAATCCATATTTGAAGGCAAAGCTTGTAGAGGTATGTAAAAGATATTATGTTGCTGAAAGTCGCCGACTTATAAGCTCAGTCGCCGAATCTTTCTTGATAGATTCTGTGCTACTTCACATACCCCATTGGACAAGGAATTCCTGGTGACCTTGAAGACGCCCTGCACTCTCAGCAGATATCATTGAAGTACTTGATGCCGGCAATGTTAAATTTGTTTGTTGGTATGTATCATCCAAATTGTAAGATGTGAACGATTATGGCTAGCAATATCTGATGGAGTTTCGTACAGAGGTGGAGCAAACTGGAGCAAGTTCTCAATTTTACGACAAGTTCAACATTCGTTACAACATCAGTGAAGTCATGAAAAACCTGTGGAGCAACCAATCGCATAGAGATAGTTTGCGAAAATCCACTGCGTAAGTTGTCCACAATGCCAAGGGTATGTCTCAAGCGAAAGCTTTCAAATCTCACATACTTCTTACTTTTTTAGGAACCACGAACTTTTCATTCAATTTGCCAATATGCTGATGAGTGACGTAACATACCTACTCGATGAAAGCTTGACTCGTTTAACCGAAATTAAAGGTTTGGAAGATGAGTTGGGGCACCCTTCACCTGAACTTGCGGCGAATCCTGTAAGTGACAGTCTATTATTGCAGTACTTTATACACTTGGTATAATCAGTGTTGTTACTAATTGTGCTATTCTATCTAGCAATTGCTAAGAGAGCGTCAAGCGACTTTGACTGGTAACGAAAGGCAAGCACGATTTTATGTCACTATGGGCAACTCAACAGTGCATATGCTGGAATACCTTACAAAGGAAATTCCTGAACCTTTCATGGCTGGAGAAATTGTCGACCGCTTAGCTGCCATGTTGGATTATAACTTGTCACAACTGGTGGGACCAAAATGCACAGAACTGAAGGTAAGGAGGGATCACGAAAGACAACTTTGTGTAGAGAGCGAGAGGGGGGGGGGGAGAAATCACAGTGGTTTAACCAATACCATCAACCGACAACAGGTCAAAAATCGGGAGAAATATCACTTTGCACCACGAACTCTGCTTGCTCAGATTATCGATATATATCTCAACCTCAACTCGGATACTTTTGTGAAGGCGGTTTCAAGAGATGAGCGATCCTACCAAAAGAACTACTTTTCAAGAGCTGCGTCCATTCTCCTCAAACATGGTTTGAAGTATCGGGATGATATAGCTGAGCTAGAACGGTTTGTCAACAGAGTAGAAATTTCCAGACAAGAAGAACATGAAGAAGAGGACGAACTCGGCGACATTCCAGACGAGTTTATAGGTAACTATAGGAAGGCTATGAATAACACTTTGTGCAGCTTACTAAAATACAAACATTGAACAGATCCCATCTTATCGCATCTCATGGAAGATCCCGTTGTGCTTCCAACTTCCAATATGATTGTTGATCGCAGCACCATAAGAGCACATCTGTTGGGTGACAAGAGGGACCCCTTCAGCCGTGCACCTCTTTCAATGGATATGATCAAACCAGGTAAGCCTTCAGACATTGAATAAAAAGTAACATACGTGCAACCGCCTAATCAAATTTTCAAATAGCTACTGATTTAAAGGAACAGATCATGGAGTGGAGAAAGCAGCGAAAGATTTCAAGCCAAGGAAAGCTTGATATTATGGATACTACACCGTAGATAAAAATTCTGGAATAAAAAAGATTGAGACTAATTAAATATTCTGAGAGATCTTGTTCGTCATTAGCGATGCTGAAACTTCATGCTAGGCATTGTAGTTCCTCCAATGTGTTGAGACGAGGGGACACTCATTCCACGATACTTGGTGGTTTCTTATCGCACATCAACTCAGATACCTTACCAGGACATTGATGTCACATGCGCCTTAGCTGAGGATGACGGGCTTTTAAATCTGAACTCATTAATTCTGTTGATTTTGTAACCCTTGTCACCTCTTCTTCTTTATATCTATTTTTAATCAATATGGACCCAGGAATCGACAGAAGCCAACTTAAGAAGGTGAAGTCACGCAACACATTCAGATTTCTCTCAAAGTGTCATCTAGCTAACTCCCTTGTAGGTTCCTAATCTCATCTATGAAGACCCATCCATCGTTACCCCCATCCACCGTTCAGAAAGACATCCTTGGTCTCCCGTCGAGGAAACCAACAGCGCCTCGTTCGCCGATATCAAGGGAGTTAAGAAGGCAGCTGAATCAGCGAAGGCTCCTGTAGAAGAAGAGAAAAAGACAGAAGCATAGAGTGTGTCCGTTACCATCTAGTCTTGGCGAAAAGCATATAGTTTGCAGAAACAAGTATTTATTGTCAAAACCAAATGCAGTGTATAGGAAGCTTTACATGGCCCGAGATTATCATATCAAGAAAGAGAATATCATTTGAACCACCTTGGGTGATTGAAAATCAGACTGTGTGTGGTGCTGCGTGGGGGTTGCTGTAAAGGTTATTGTGTGTAATACATGAGGCGCGATGCCGTCATTTTCGCTTTGCGTGCTTTCCCTTCGAGATTCTACTTCGTTTCTTTTCATTTCCAAAGTCGTCATCATGTTCATCCATATCATCCTCGGAGAACTCCACCCGGGGTTGCAAGAGAAGGCCATCTTCTTCCTGTTGAAGCCTCATGGCCATAGCAAGATCTTCATCTAGATCTGGAGATCTTGATGATGATTCGGGCGTGTCCTTCTCACTGGGGATAGGAGCGGACGATCCAGGTGTGGAAGGCGGCGATGGCGTATCCATGGGTACTTGTTGACCAGGTGATGAAGGTGAAGGTGACCTGTCCAGCTCGATCTAGAAGTTTCGCAAAGGTTAGCGTTCTCGTTGCACAACACTATTCCAAGTTGGCGTTTATTCAAACCTTTAATTCGTCCACTCGAGCAGGATGAGCAGCTCGCGCTTTAGCAATCTGACCTTGGACTTTAGCCAACTTTTCCTGGAGCTTCTCAAGTTCCTTCTTTTTAGCCTCTAACACAGCTGCGGGCTGTCAAACAGGATAAGCCGGTTAGTATGATACGTCTTTGACAGCTGATCAGACATCTAATACTCACGTCTTCTACTTTTGGGAGGACGATAACTTTCCATGTCTCTTCTGGAAGCTCATACCTTCATAGCCCATTAGTAACATGTAGGTTTCAATATAACATTGGTGATGCTTTCGACTTACATTTCCTTATTTTTCAACACTCGACTTTTTAATTCCTCTCGCGACAATTTACCACCTGTGTTGACAATACAGTTGTTCTTTCGTTTGATGTGAGCGCCCTGAATCTTAGAGTTACGCTCTCCAATCACCTTTGGGTCAATATGTAAGCCTGCAAACTCTGCTCAATGCAAATCAAAAAGGAAATAGATGACAAGAGTTAGAATAAAGCTAGGACAAAAGCCACGCTTCCGAGTAGCGTAGCCAATGGAATTTCTTCCTAATATTCCTTGTATTTACCAGCTGTACTTTGTTGACCAAGAAGTCGTTGCAATTGCAAATTCATTTGAGCATTAGTCTTTCCAGGCAAACAGTCGCTTTCAATGATCTTTGCCCAATTTCCAATGCCAAACAGCATTAGTGCCTTTCGCAAAGTTTCTGATTCCTCCTCGGTCCAGCCTGAGAGCGATTACAAAGGAAGATCAGCTTGTGCAGATGTATTTTCACTGCAAAAATTTGCAAACACTACTGACCTGGAGACAAAGTACAATTCCACAAACTGGCAGAATCATTTGAACGAAGGACATTTCTTGCGCCTGCAGTCATACTGCGAGGCTTATGTGAGACGGCTGCCATATTTGTAATATATGAATGAAGTTTAGATTATTCCTTGAAGCAAAATTGACAAAGCCAATGCGAGGAAGAAAAAATAGGAGTAGAAAACAGTAGCGGCTTTGTAAGTTGAAGACGCGTTTTCGTGGTCGTTTAAAAAATCGCGAGTCCACGCGACGCTGAGCCCTGCGAAATAAAAATTTTCCCCTCATGCCCAATGCCCTGCTAGCTCCAGCAGATGTGCATGGCCTCACCTATCGAGGATTTATAGAGATTAATGTAAGCGTGAGGTACCTATGTCTTGTTTAAAAATGCCAGAAACTAACTTGCATTACGCAGAATGAAGAACACTATATTGAAATACAGCAAGTGTCGCCGTCAACTTTGACAGGCGCGAAGCTCTATGGCAGTCCAAAGTTGAGACGATTACTCCACACGCATAATAAGACAATACTACAGCAAATGAGCCATGCCTCTAACATACGAATGTTCCTAAGTGATCTGACGAATTTACTGGTATGTTTATTTGTTTGATAAAGCTTGCTGCCATTTCATGACCGGGCTAATATTTTATCGCTTAAGGAGAGAAAATCCCAAAACGCGGAAGCCCAGGAACAAGAAGTTTCGAAAAAAGTCGCAACCATGTCCACAAAACAATATGAAATACTCCTCAGTCAACTGAATACTATTGGAATGGAAAATGTAGTCTACATGGACCCAGGCTTGAAGTCCTTCCACCTATCAATACGGTGAGTGCCAGCCCACCAGTGAATGCTGACCTATATGTTCGCTAACACACCTTGCAGGGATTCATCTGGTCGACAGCATATTGTTTATATCGATCTTCCTGAAGGCAGTCATATATATCCGCTCAATGTCATTGCAGAGCTGCCGTGCGAGATGCCAACGTTTAGTGTCAAGACCAATATACCCACAGTTATATCCGCCATCCGAGACATATTGAACGACTACCAAAAGCTATTTGACGAATTGGACAACTTGGATGCCAACTCCTGGGTATTAGACCCTGTGCGGCCTACTCGACGAGATACACAGCGACGACTAGCACTTGGTCATCACTGCACACTTCATCTTGAGATCAAACACACCAAAAACCCGTGTGAAGCACCTGACTTGCAGTTATTTGGCGCCGAGTCACGCATTGCAGTGTGGAAGGAGGCTATAAACCGCAACATGGCAGCATGGTGAGGAGCAGGCCAAGCATGTGCATCGTCTTCAGCAATATGTACTATATACTGATTGAACCTATCTAATAGGGATGGGTCCAAACCCTTGCTCGACAATATACTTCGAGTATTAGAACTGCCAAAATTGCCACAGAGGGACAATTTTGGCGACAACTCGGCTGACGTTGAATGTGGTATCTGCTACGCCTACCACCTTAACACACCCGACACTAGTGCTACCACCAAGACGCCAGAAAAGGAACAAACGCCATCTTTGATTTGCAACAACGAGACATGTGGTCGTGCATTCCACCATCGTTGTATGTACGAAGTAAGTAATGGCTTTATTTTATTGACCTTCACATGCAGTGATCTTCCTGGGGTATTTGTTGACACACCTCAAAGTGGTTACGATCAGTGCCGACGACTCGGCAAAGTTTCGACGTTCTATTCGGGTTTTGCCCATATTGTAACCAGGTTAGTCCCATTGACAGTCCATGCTGCCGCCGATTTCCTGTTTGCGCTACTTAGTCATACAAACTCTGCACCAATCAGGACATCACCAGCAAAGTCATATTATTGTAAACAGGTACAAACCTCTTTTCTTGGTTTGTAAACAACGTGTTACCGAGATCATCAAGGGCCAAAAATTGTCTTTTCTCAAAATACTTTGCAAGCCCCTTAGACATATATACCCGCCAGGTTGCAGTACATTTGTGCCCAGTTTGGGCATGGTAAATAAGATACAGCTACTTGAAGCAGCAAATATTAAGCACTGTTTGATTGTAACCAATCTAGCCTGTATATACTTTGTGCTGCTGTGATTATTCTACTTATTATTGTGAATAAACTGTATGGCTCAGCATTGTATAAAATGCTACTTTGACTCGATATTTAAGCGGAAACTCTTTGGCGAGTCCCAAACCTACGAATTCGGCAAAGTCAAAAATAAATCGACGATGATTTGCCATGGCTCGGTAAGGTGTACCAATTAAGGTGTACCAACCAAGATTGTTTGCAACTCATGGCCGGCCGTTCTATTTCTTACCCAAAGAGTCACTATCCTTAATAATGTATGCCTTATCTTACATGGCTTAAGGCAATTCGGTACAAGATCACACGAATTTCCTCACTTCAGCTCACGAACTCAGTCTCCAAGCAATTACTCCGCAAGAGTTATGGCTACTGGCTAAGTATAATGTTGGGAAGGCAGACTCCCATTGTTTTTCACACAGTTAACCTTTTTTATGCTACACGGATATTTATCAGATAAAACATAAATTCCAATAAAATATTTACAATCTAAAGTGGCAATTGTTCTAAATAGGGACTCCTCGAACATCGATTTGTTCGTCGTAGGCCGGAGGAGGAAGAGGAAGGCCAAAAACATCTCGGACAGACTGTTGCGGATTAGGTTCGACGAGTTCATAAGCACAATATCCACCATGAGAATAATGATGCAGATTATGGTTTTTGCGGGGATGATCGTCACGCGAGGTTTCTCGGTACTGGGGTAAAGCAACACAATCCTCATCTGCGTGACCAGCAACACATTCATTGAGAACTGTGATTTTAGTATCCAGTACTAGCGCTCGTTGTGTCGGCTTGTTGCTTTCACCGGGGTAGGCCACCAAAACGGTAACTTGCAACCAGTGTTGTACTGATATTTCCGGATGGGCCATGGTAGAATGGTGCAAATTAGGGCAACTGTCAGCCTCTGGTACAACAAACACAATGCGGTCCTCCCAAGAGCTGCCCACATCATCGATATCAGCATTCACTTTCATCTTGGCTTGATCTTGTCGTCGTAAGTAATGCTGTTTTTCCAAGGTGTGCTGCACTTGTTTTTCAGGAATTTTTAAGTCACGACGTTCCTGAAGTCGGACATGGACATACTCAATCCGCATGCCTTTAAGGTGTGGTATCACACGGACGGAAACAGGTAATATGCCACCGGGGGAAACGGCGCTCTTTTCTACGGTAATGTGGTAGTCACACAAGTCGGGTAGTTGATGGTGGGCTGTGATTGATTCTCTCAAACCGTCGCTGGTGAAAACCGCATCTGAAGCTAGTCGAACCAGATTAATCTCCTGCTCCGCCGTATCAACTTTGGCTTGCAAAAATCCAGGAAGCAAGCTGTTGCCTTGTCGTTTCTCTTTTTCGAGTGTAGCAATCAGCTTATAGTTCACCTTGGCTTCTTCAAAATTTACAGATTCTGGTAATGAGTTTGGGAGGCATAACTCAAATGGGTATCGATATTGGCCAGGTGATAAGACCATCAGTCGCTCGGCCTCTGATTGTACAGTTGGATAAATGGGTATGATCGAATCGATAAATGTTTTGGAGCTCTGAAATCGTCTCTGCTGACCTCCCACACCTGTTGGGCCACCTTCTTCCCATGCAGTGTTAGATTGTCCCAGCAACCGAACTGTGATATTCTTGATCAAGGTGGAATCCTGTAAGTCGAGGATAACAGCCCCTTTGACTGTAGTATGGGTATCATCTTGATGCGATCCTCTCAGGTAGACGACGGGTTCAACAAGATCAATATGTACTGTGTTTTTTGATAGTAAACGGATCATATGAGGTTCATTCAAATGGGAAGAAGAGATAGAAAAGCGGTGAGCACCACCAAAGAAAAAAAATAAAATATAAAAAAATGACAGTGTGTTTCAGACCCCATTTGGAATAGTTATCGGGACGGCAAGCAAGCCAGGAACAGCCAAATTACAGTGCTTTTCATTCATAATCCGCGCACGGGGTATTCCAACTCGTCTTTCATACTTTACTCAAGCTTTTTGATTGCTCATCAACCACTTTAACCATTCTGCACGCCACAAATTAAGCATTGTACACACCGGAGAAAATTTTGCTTGGATATTGTCCTTACCTCCGTGACATATTGACCTTGGTTACCTTAAACAGATGGTATGGTATTCAAATGATATAAGTTAGAAAACTTCTTATCGTAGTCATCATCACCTCTCGCAGTAGCTCCATCTGTACTTGAATTTTTTTATACATCGTCCGGGCCATTGATGATAGAAATTAAGTTCCGCATGCGGTAATGTACGATTCTGAGGTCATTCTTTCATGGCTCCTGCTCGACCCACAGAACTTGCATTAAGAACTTAAAGCTGAGTTCACTTTTTTTTTTTTATATTAGTCAATGTTACCGTGCAAAAATTTTGAGTCATGCACCATCCATTCGGCAGCATAGAATGCACAATGTAAAGATGAACGCTACAACGTCCGCTCACAGAGATCACTCGGTACCTGACATGCTAGGACAAATGGCTTGGCAACCATCTCTAACTTCGCTTCGTCAAATATCGCTTTCCACGTTAACACTGAATGGCACTTTGGTTCACCCGCTTTCATCAAGAACAGCACTATATTGCTTTTTCAGAAAAAGTTGAGCAAATGAAAAGTGGTGTATTAATTTATTCGTTTGGATGTTATTATGTGTCCTACACATGTCCTCACAACTGTTTTGAGGAATCACGCCAGATACTTGAGCAATAGAAGATAAGTCATATACAGTATTTGATTATTTGTATGTAAAGCATGAGTTTTAGTTTCGAGTTTAAAAAAAAGCAAAATCGGCTTGGAGTCAGTTTCGCTGGTATATCGATGACGGATGGATCGACTCAGTAGACGTATTGACAGTCACCTGGAACAACTGCTACCAGATACACCGGTGAACGATTATACAACATGTTGGATTTCAGGCACAGTGATAACAGTTTGAGACAAGGCAGCCTTTTGCGTCAGGCTGATAACCTTGGCAAAATCAACCTCTTGCAGAAGATCCCAGAGACCTGTCACATCGATGCCTTTCTTGCTAAGCTCTTTGGTGATGGCACAATTCTGAGCGACAGCATCCAAAATTTTCAAATGGCTCTTCTTGGCCGTCAAAGTATGTTTCGCCTTCTTGATTTTAGCCACAGCCTTCTTCAAGTCAGCCGTGGTATAAGCATCCAACACAAATTTGGGCGGCGCTTTCTTCACAGAGTCATCGAGAGATGAGTATTTATCCATCGAATCTTCAACCATTTCGCGCTTTTCATCAGATATCACATGTTCCAATATAGTTTCAGTGACCATGGCCTTGGGCGTCGTCAAGTAGTTACGGCCAGTCTCGGGATCGTACAGGACTTCCAAGTGCTTTTCGACATCCGCAACGTGTTCGCCAAATTCACCGTGAACATCCGCAGTGTCAATAAACAAGAGATAGAGATCCAAATCCCAATCTCCAGAGATCTTCCTCCTGAACAAGATGAGTGAAATAGCGATTACGACCAAAGCTCCCGCAAATATAGGGACCCAAACAGGTGAATCAATGGCCTCAACATTGATGTGCATGACCAACGGAATAACCAGAGAGTGACCATTTACCACCGAGGTCAAGAAAAGTGCGTCTCTTCCCGGGCTGTCCTTGGCAGGGTCCACCAACCTAGATCGAAGTAAGATGTCCGTAGCTGTAATATTGACCAGACCCATATTGTCATTAGGTTCTAGCAAATAGGTGTCAGCGGATATCAGTAGATTATTAGCGGCTTTGAACCGGTCTGAGCTTCCTATATTGTTCAAAAGTTGACCCATGGGTGAAGGAGGACTGTTTGAGTTTTGACCCAATTGCACCGGGGCGACCCACTCTGCGTAAGTAAAGTTGGCTCTTGCTACCTTTGTCTTGGATGCGCCAAGCACCAGTGTTGTGGTTGTACCATCGACATAGACCACGGCTCTCAATTCACAGACCGAGTCGGTGGTGTTCCATTGCATAAAAGCGCTATTGGTACTTGGCGTTTGAGGAACGGCAGCCAAGAGTGTGTCTATATGACTTTGTTCGACGCAAACACCAGTATTGTTGTCTCCCAGGTCAGCCAGATTCATAAAGAAGGTAAAGTTATTGTTCGGCTGTACAGATTGGATCACGCCATAGGTAAGAGAAGACCATAGGTAAGACTGGTTGAGCATGGACCAGCTCCCGGCAAATTCATTTGTCCACACCAGTGATTTAAAGCTCGGCTCAAATAGCTCAGATGGCGGCCGAAGGGGCTGAAGGAAGGAGTAATAAAGATTTGGTCGATACATAAAGAAACTCCAGTCTCCATCTGTCGTATACGCATAGTTTGTGATGGTCCAGTTGTTGCTCTGGGTAACGCCGGTTATGGTCATGGATGCATTAGTAAGACGCGGTTGAACAGAGGTGTAGTTTGTCCATAGATTCACGCCGTAATCCGAAGCTATGGTAAACTCGCTCATTTGCGTTCCTGTCAAAGGAGTGTATGTTACATGGCTTTGATCGAAAGTCATGTTATTGAGCTGATTAACAGGGTCAAGCTGATGGAACAAGTCATAAAGCAGTTGTGTTTGTAAAGAAGTGGGATCCGAGTTGCCCTGCATGCCATTGTCCTCAACCGTGATCCAGTAAGGAGTGGGGGTCTGTACAACTGTCTGATTGGAAATGCTAATCATGTCGAGCTCAAACCTCTCTGAGATTGACAACAGGGTAGGCACATACTGGACAAGCAGGAGTCCCATGATGTAGCAGACCAGAGCATAAACCATGATACCTTGAGTCTTTCTCTTCTTTGCCAAAGTGCGCAGAAAACTTGGTGAGGCAAAATCAGATACCGTCTTGTTTTTTGAAAAGTATCTAAAGTCGTGGTCGCCATATTTCATATTGAGCAGCAATAGTAAAGCGGCAAAAATGACGCTCAGCGCAACACCTGCTACAGAATACACGAACTGCAGTAAGCTCTTCTGAATAAACATTCGTAATCAATAGAGGTTGAAATGATTGAATGTATATCAATAAATGAAAACACTTCTGCCCCTGTTCAACGTCCTTTTGTATTCCTCGTTGTGTCTTTTGAAGGCCTTTTTTCAAGCCACCAAGCAAATCAACTATTTTGGGTATAATGTAAAATAAGCTTCATGGCTTCCACATGTTGCACAGTAACCGCCATTTTGCCTTTGTCGTCATTTTTGATGTAGAGCGCGCCCACCATCTCGCTTCATGTTGCTCTTTCGCTCCGTATCACCGAATGCTCTTTTTGCAACCACAATCAGTTCTTGTCGTGGGCAATGCCATTGAGCATAAATCAAGGTTTCCCAAATTTTGGCGCCAAATTGATACAACTGGCTCATGATGACCAGCTAGAAAGAAATGTTCAGCTGCAACATATTAATGAACGAGAATATAACCAACAATTTGGTAGAGAACCCACCCGAGAAAAAAGTAATATCACCAAAAAACGTAGTAAACATAACCCACCGAGATTTTCAAAACAAGCGTTGTGGAGTTGCCACAACAGGCCGGCAGCCATTTTTGGGCATACAAAATGGGCTCTCGGTAGGCTTCAAGTCTAAGAATGGAGATAATTAGTGAGCCAATGATGTTCAAGGATTAGTGGTCCTCTTGGAGGGAAAAAAAACACCTATATATGTGTATATAAACAACTGCTTTCATGTTAACAGCTCTCAAACGATATAGCAAGCCATGTCCGTCGTCGTCCAATTACCTAGCCAAGATGTTACCATTTCTGCGTCGCCTCTACCACCACCAGCAGTAGCTTCTAACCCTGTTAAGAAAACGGTTACCAAGACTGTTAAAAAGCCTGCAGCAGGTGCTGACGTGCCTGGCGAAGCTCCCACTACCAAGTCCACCGCAAAATCCGAAACGGATGCCACTAAGCCTGTAAAAGCTGTTACTACCAAGAAGGTCAAAAAGTCTGAGACGGATGCTCCCAAAACTGTCAAATCCACCACGGCCAAGACTCCAGAAACCCCTGGAACCGATGCTCCCAAAGTTGCCAAAACCACTACCACCAAGACGATCAAAAAGTCTGCCACGGACGGTACCAAAGCGGTTAAAACAGCTACTACCAAGACTGTGAAAAAGTCTGCCACAGGCGATCCCAAAACTGTTAAAACAGCTACTACCAAGACTGTGAAAAAGGCTGCCACGGGCGATCCCAAAGCTGTTAAAACAGCTACTACCAAGACTGTGAAAAAGGCTGCGACAGATGCTCCTAAAGCCGTCAAAGAAACTACTACCAAGACTGTCAAAAAGTCCGCAAAGACTGCTCCCACCACTGCTGAAGATACTGCTATCACTATCACAAAAAAGTCTGGATTAAAATCTTGGAAATTGCCTTCTATTTCTCTGAATTTCAATACGAAGTTTGGCAAGGCTACAGTCGATCTAGGTGGCAAACCTCCGGCGAAAGCTCCTAAGGCAGCTCCCAAGGCAGTTTCTAACGTAGCTCTCAAAATAGACCCTCTAGCAGCTCCCAAAATAGACCCTCTGGCAGCTCCCATAACAATCTCTAAGGCAGCTCCCAAGATGATCTCTAAGGCAATTCTCAAGAGATCTCCACCGGTAGTACTCATGGCAGCTCCACCGACAACCCTCACGACATCTCCTCCATCAGCACCACAGGTAGTCTACAAGACTCCTCAAACCTCTGCCAAAGCCATCACACAGAACACTTCTCAAGCTCCCAGGGCAGTCTACAAGGTGTCTCAAAACTCTACCATAACTACCACAAAGACTTATTCTCCAGCTTCTCGACCGGCCCAATACCCTGCCGTCTCGACTGCGCAGCCTCGATCTCAGTCACCACCCTGTTATCCCTCTGGAGCCACTACTATGGCTCCTGAACCCTATCACCAAGCACCACCCTGTTATCCCTCTGGAGCTACTACTATGGCTTCTGATCCCTATCACCAAGCACCAGCCTATTACCAACCGGGCGCTAGCGCAGAAGATTTTGGAGGGCCTATCGGACAATCTTTACCACTTGCTACGGAAGTTTTGGGTCAAGCCGAGAGAGCATATGAAGACTATGAAGAAAGCAAGGAAGTACATGTACTTCATGGAGAAGATCATCAACAACACGAAGTATTGTATCAAGGAGAACATGAAGGACTGTACGAGGAGGAGGAACACCAGCACGAACAATATGACGCAGAAGAAGATGAGGAGGAAGAACACGAAGCAGAATTAGAAGAAGAAGAACACGAACACGAACATGAAGAAGAAGAGCATGAAGAAGTAGAACATGAGGAAGTAGAACATGAGGAAGAGGAGGAGCATGAAGAAGAAGAACATGAGGAAGAAGAACATGAGGAAGAAGAAGAAGAAGAACATGAGGAAGAAGAAGAAGAAGAACATGAGGAAGAAGAAGAAGAA